TCGTTTTCACTAGTCGCGTCTGTTAGCATGGTATATACTGTACAAGCCGTTGTGCAATTTTTTACCCTGCATCGGTGCTGGTTTCAGAGCCTTGTCGGGGATACAGTCATCAGGCGGGCCTAGGTTAATTGAGTCTATCAAGCCTAAGTGATGGTGGCTGTGTTAATTTGTTCAACTAGGATTCTCATTGGATTTAGGCTGCTCGGGCCGCTTTGGTCTTTGAATACCTGACCCCCCTCGCTGCAATGATACCCCGGAGGAATTATCACAGGATGCGGAGTGCATGTCAGCGCTATCTTGCCTTGACTCGACTGCCTGGTCGCTAATTCAGGCATGCGAGGGGTTTCGAGGTCGAAACATATCTATGGGATCCTTTCCCCGCACAAAAATTCGGGGAAAGAGATGAATGACCACTTTTTGGCCCTTCTTGCGTACTCCAGACAGCCTCCATGATGCAGGATACCAAGCATCGTGGCACTTTTTCCACGTGTCGAAGCGAACCTAGGAAGCGCCCGGCAATGCGACGCAGAACCGAACTTTGATTGGGGATCCGATTGAATTTCGATCTGGAATTCTAATTCCAAATGAGCCAGAAGCAGAAGTGCAGAATGTTCCACCCATTCAATAATCGGTCGATTAAACTCAAAAAGGGACCAGTTCAACCAATTTCAATTTCCTCACTGACCGCTAGAACCGATTGCAAGACCCGCTTGGAACCCAAGGACTTCTTCGACCAGCTCCATCGAGCGCAAATCCGCAATTCTACAATACTCCCCAAGGTTCCTCGAATCAGAAATAAGAACTAGCTTTTCCAACCGGATTCAATATTTGGCGATGATCACATACTCCGCTTCCCCGACACTGCAGCTCGCCCCCGAACAAGGATACCATTCTGTGCGGGGAAAGCTCCCTCAGCCCTGTACCGAGACGACCCCGACCATGCAAATGCACCAATAAGGCTACGATGGGCCAAATACATCGTGCCATAGTTGATCTATTTCGACAGATGGACTCACTAGCGAAGTTGAACTACTAGCCGAACTGTATCAAGTCACAAATCAACGTGGATGCTGGCCCTCCTTGGAGCTAATCGAGTCCATCGAGTCTTACGTTCCTCCCCCACGGTCTACTCATCTGACCCTTTGTCGTGCGGGGGATCAGCCCACCAACGACAACGAGACCAAGAAAGCAATATACTATGTATCCCAGTTCGACTCTTCGCCAGACCGAAACGACGTCAGCATCGCTGGCGCAGCAAACTGCCTAGACCGCGCATAACAGCCATTGCCAGTAGTGTTAGCGGGGTCCGGATTCTCTCGGCTCTAGGCAAAGAATCATCATCCTAGTCTACCCCATACACAGACGAAAAGAAGAAGCCTGCACCCATAAATTACGCTAGTTACAAAGTTCATGTATCGTATGATGCCAATAATCCCCAAGCCCCAAGCCCCACGCCCCCATACAGCCAACCCCAAACTAGTCGAGATTCTGGAAATCCATTCACCCCACGATCCTTGGAACACGCTTCGAAAGGGTTTCTTCGGGGGCTTCTTCGTGTTCAACTGCCAAGGCCTCGGCCCCGTATGAGCCCATCTCGCTGCTTTCGGCTCGGCGGAGCGGAAGAGAGTTCGGGTATGATGCTTTCGGGGTCCACTTTGCCATCTGGAAAACTGGAGGACTCGGTCGTGGTTTTGGTCCATGCCGCATCCGTCGGGGTCGGGGAAACCCCAGAATCCACGTTTGGGGAGTGGAAACTACCTCCGGGTTCTAACTAGGAGAACTAGCCACCTTCCTAGGTAATAACAGTACTATCAACTATAAGAATCAATCTATTACTCTAGAACAAAATGACCATATCAAAAAGATCATAACAAATAGCCATCTTGCACTCGCCCTCGATCTAATCCCCCCAGAATCACTTTGAAGAAATTTAGGTTAAGAAATTCGGACATAATTCAATTGGTTAACTAGATTAATCATCAAATAAAGACTTTGACAGGCTGTTTCCCGTTCATTATCCCGTAAACCTCCAATGATGGACGCGTTTACGAGTAAACATTTTGCTTCAACGGCCGGACGGAGACATGCCTTAGCAAATTCCCACGCTGTAAGCAGAAAATTTCTACAGCCTCGAAGATTTCTGAAGCCCCCTCCAGCAGCGATAGTACGCTCGTATGCCTCCTGGAGTTCATTAAACAACATCAAGTCGGTTCCTGAACCCTCATGTATATGACCAAATACGTGTAGCCTTGGTCGGACTCTCCAGAGCGTCTGTAAAAGATATGGACAGCCTAACTTGAGCAGATCAAGATAAGCAAATGGTGGAGTATGAGTAATAAGCACGTCGATTCCATCTGGTATTAAGCTAGTCCATATATCCTGATTTCGAGGGTATTGAAAAGCCCAATTACCGTGCCGGGTAGAATAAGGACTCCCGTAAACCCTAAACTGACGGCCATTCGGGCAGGAAATTGTTACTTCATCATTTTCCAGGTAGATAATATCGCCCCAGTCGAGCAGAGCTCGCTGAGAGGCTGCTTGGCCAGATGAATCATCCCATGTTGAGTCCAGTAATAGATCATGATTACCAGCAATCACGATTTTGATAGGGTGAGGTAGGGCGCGTAGCCAGCCGAGTGTTTTTTGGAGTTCCTGGAAAGACCCCGACTGTGTGAGATCACCAGCATGTATAAGGATATCTCCATCCGGAACACCGATCTGGTTGTTATGCGTATCGGAGATACAGATAACTGTGACGGGGCTGATAATAGGCATAGCTATAGCCTTTTACCAACTGTAAAGCGTTCGTGCGAGGAAGACGTAAGGATGAGCCCGGAATTTTTGCCACGGTCCTGGTCGCTGGCGATGAACGAGTTCGTGGAAGACTGGACATGACTGGAAAGTTGAGACCAGGAATCTATCGGTACCTAGTAACAAGCGAGCACATGAAGGATTGGTCTGTTTCGAATGAACGAGGTCCGGAGCTGGCCTCGATCGTCTAGGTCTGAGACTTGGAGTAGGAAGGGTGAGCGGTATCTGTAAAGGACTTAGTGTGCCACGAATGAACGGGCCAATCACATCGAAGCAAGCAAAAAGGTTACAGTAGAAATCCGCTCTGGTTCTATAACTCTTTATGCCAGGGTCTTTACGGGGACTTCCAAGGTTGGTTCAAACCTACATTAAATCCTGCCGCACTTCCGGTACGTAAGGGTATCCATTTTCCGCTGAAATTCCATTGATATCTGCTGCATGATACCAGGTATCATCGTTGTTGTGCCTTGAGTATTTTGCCTTGTATTGTATCTCGAATCCCTCTCAGTCTCGATGCGTAAACGTGGCAGGTTAGGTACTCTTCGAGCTCTTGTAGTGTTGTCGAATAACGATGATTTCCTCCGCCTCCCCATCTATCTTTGCCATAGACTTCTACTAGTGGTGCAAGGTCAGATGCCTGATCTTCTAATAGCTCCATCTTAGCGGCTAAATACAGCTTCTCAAGCGCTAATACTGGATGCACCTGACATTCGGCGGCAGTCCTATTTTCGAAGATCTATCAGCTGGTAGATTCCGTAAACGCAATACGGGGGATAGATTAGATTGTTGGGGGAAATGCGGGGATATGGAATGGGAGTTGCTGTACACAACTCAGTGTAGCAGAGTAGTATGGAGTTTACAGTAGTAGTATAGTGTGAATAAGTCAAATAAAATGATTGCGAATCAGTGCCAATCCCCCGCATGCACATGGTGAACTAGGTGCATATCAAGATGAAAATAGTAGGGCCAAAGCAAACAAATGAAGTGTGTGAACACCTGCATTCGGGTTTCATGCTAGCGACATGCAATATATAGATCGGCTAGCCGCTATTTGAGATTCTATTTTGGATCAATGTGAAGTTGGTGCTGAGTATAGTCCCGAGAATACTCCCCAAGTAGACTGCCTGACCATTCACCATTGACCGACTTTGAATCTCGGATCTACGGAGTGCCGTAAGTCACGATAGAGTTATATAATGGAATACTCTGCTGGTCTATTCCTATTAAGTCAGTGTGATGTTATACTCCAACTGTATACAACTGGTTGGTATCCTAGGGTGATCGGCGATGCTGTCGAGTGGAGCGAAAGCGATAGAGATGATGCGGCGAAGGATCCCAAAATTGAGGATCTTCAACTGAGGACAGCGAGGATAATGAAGAAGCTCTGGTCTCAACCAGAATTGATTTTCATCCTTTCGGGCAAAAGATACCAGTTGTCTAGGTTTTGCTCCTTGCCCATAATCTCCGCACTTGCTAAGTTGCCGAGTATCGATAAGTGGGTGTTTCCAATCGTGAACCTGCCCACTCTTGTTCTTATCAATCAATCTGCAATTCCCTTCGGAGAAGCTCCGAATTTGCCGGTCGACTTAGCTGGCAAGTCCCATGCCTCCAAAGTGCATTGAGTGAATTGATGATTGGACCCTCCTATGAGCTTCCCGCCTCCTACTCCAAGTTCTGATCAAAGATGCGGGGTCTACAGCACAGTTATCTCCCTTGTCTACACCACCTTCCCAATCAGGTTTAACCACCTAGCCGACGAGCCTGTCATATTCATCACAGCTCAAGTTGATCTGCTATCGGTACTTCTAAGGAAACTGCTTTCCTTCTGCCGAGCAGAAAAGCACAGCCAACCATAAAGCTGCGATCGGCCGACTTGTCTGTGCACCTCCCTATCATGGGCGGAACAACCCGCGCCTCCGCATATCAATGGCACCTCAAGGATCAAGTTGCTCTTTGAGGCATTGCGGCTTGTGTTATCAGTTGCAATTGATGGCAGTGCTCGGCAGATGAGCGTGTTGAAATGCCTCGTTATCTCGAGATGTTGCGTGCGGGGGTGGTAGTCTGGAGGTTGAAATGGGCCAGCCTCGCACTAGGGGTTTATTCCTCTAGTAGAGCCCTGAACCCTTTTTAAGGAGACTCATTGAACCCTGATCTGAGATAAATCAGAGGTCTTGAGAGGCAATTGAAAGATGGGACTCGTTGAGGAAGAGCGAACGCACTCGATTGCGAATCACTCGGTTGATTTGGACGTCAAGAATGGCGCGCTACTAGAGGGCAAGGCAGATGCAGCCCTCGAGTTCCTACGCGATGAAGATACCGCGATCGCAGTCGAAATCAACGAGAAGACTCTCGTCCGCAAGATTGACTGGATGATCATGCCGTTAATGTGGGCAGCGTACAACCTGCAATATCTCGACAAGGTGCTCATCAACTATGCATCCGTAATGGGTCTACTAAGCGACACCAACATGCGAACGAACCAATTCTCCAATCTAACCCTCGCTTTCTACGTGACATATCTATTCTTCGAGTTGCCGACTGGTTATCTCATGCAGCGATTACCGACTGCGAAATACCTGGGCTTCAACGTTATGCTATGGGGTCTGATGACAACGCTGAACTGTTCGGCAAAGAACTTTGGGGGATTGATGACACTGCGAGTACTACTCGGATGCTTCGAAAGTGCCATTGCACCGGCTTTAATCCTCATCACTTCCATGTGGTACAAAAGGAACGAACAGCCAAAGCGAATGGGAATCTGGTATCTCGGCACCGGCACGGCATCCATCATGGGCGCCCTGGTAGCATACGGCCTGCTCTTCTACACAAGTGATCACTTCAAGTCATGGCAAATCATGTTTTTAATCTTCGGACTAATCACAATCGCCGTGGGCATCTGCATCGTCATTTTCCTGCCCGATAATCCTATGACCTCGCGATTAACGCACGCCGAGAAGGTCCTAGCGATTGAGCGGCTGCGCGAGAACCGCACCGGTATCGAGAACAAGCATTTCAAGTGGCGTCAATCCATCGAGGTCTTTAAAGATCCGCAGACGTATCTGATCGCCATAGTCGTAACGGCCATGGACGTACCCAACGCCGCGGTTAGCAGCTTCACGTCGTTGATCATCAAGAACATCGGGTTCACTACCAAGGAAACCGAGCTCCTGAACGTTCCTAACGGAGTCGTCAGCATTATCAGTATCTTGACAGTCACATATCTCGCATCTCGCTACGACCAGCGCTGCCTGTGTGTAGTTCTCGCGTTAGTGGGCGGCTTACTAGGTGGCTGTCTCCTCGCATTCTCGCCCAAGGACATGAAAGCCGCTCAGCTGGCCGGCAATTATCTCACTCAAATCACCGGTTCTGCTCTGCCACTCATGTACTCCATAGCAGGTGCCAATGTTGCCGGACATACGAAGAAGATCACCATGAACGCAATCCTGCTCATGTCCTTCTGTCTGGGTAATATTCTGGGCCCGCTTACCTTCCGCACGCAGGACGAGCCTGATTATATCCCCGCGAAGATTGCGCTCGTTGCTACTATCTCGGTGGCGATTATCTTCGTACTGCTTTTGCGGGTTTACTACGGTTGGGAGAACCGGCGCAGGGATCGACGACATGAAGGCGAGACGCATGTGCAGAACTCGGAGTTTTTGGATCTGACTGATCGGGAGAATCCAGAGTTTCGGGTAAGTTTATCCAAATCTTTTACTCTGATAAATGGGCTGTTTTCTGACTGCGACTATAGTACAAGTTGTAGATGTGATGTCGGAAGGACAGTCCAACATAATATGGATTACAAATGCTGCGGGGGAGGACATGTACATATTCGAAAGTATTTCAAATTTGAACAAATTATATACATGTATATGTTGTTCTAATCTATCATCAAACGCAGCGCTATGCAATCATAAACAAAAACAAGACAATGGCTCTATATCCAAGCTCAATCAAGCCGCGGCCTCAACAGTCTTCTTATACTCAGCACTGAACTCCCAGTCGTTATATCCCTTAGGGTTCTTCGGCAGGTACAGCACATCACGGCTATGGGGCACGAGAGGCACATTCTCCTTAATACGGAACGGCAGGTCCGGGTTGGAGGTAAACGGCCGACCAAACCCAATAACAACCTCATGATCCTTATACTTCTGATCAACAGCCTCCTTGGCCGACGCAGGCTGATATCCACCAGCAATCACAACGGGACCCGCATCTTGGTAAGCATCCAGGAAGAACTGCAGTTCATCCGCAGACTCGGTATCAGCATTACCAGCAATGCGGCCCTCAACCACGTGGGTATAAGCCAGCTTCAGCGGGGCCAGCTCGCGCGCCAGATACTCGAATTGCGGGTGCGGGTTCTCCATCCTCATTCCCTGGAAGGTACTGTAGGGACTGAAGCGGATAGCTGTACGGTCTGCGCCGATAGCATCGGACACGGCGCGAGTGATTTCGATTGCGAAGCGCGCGCGGTTCTCGACGCTGCCACCCCAGCGGTCGGTGCGCTTGTTGGTAACGTCTTGGATGAATTGATCAATCAGGTAGCCGTTCGCACCGTGGATCTCGACACCGTCAAAGCCCGCAGCGACGGCATTGCGCGCAGCCTGCGCGTAATCCTGAATATAAGACTGGATTTCCTCCTCAGTCAGCGGGCGCGGGATCGGCGCTTCGCTAGACACGGGAATATCACTGGCAGAGACGAGATCGAATCCAGAGGCCTTGAGGAGGTCTGCGCTTCCGACACGGCCCAAGGCCCACAGCTGCATGTAGATGTAGGAGCCCTTGGCGTGGACGGCGTCGGTGACTTCCTTCCAGGCGGCGATCTGGGCGTCGTTCCAGATACCGGGGACGTTGGCGTAGAGGCCGGCTTGCGGGGTGATCAGGGTTGCTTCAGTGATGAGGAGGGTTCCTGGTGTGGAGGCACGCTGGGCGTAGTGCTCCTTGACGAGGGGGAGGGGAACGTGGTCGTCGCTAACGCGGAAGCGGGTCATTGGTGCCATTGCGATGCGGTTTTGGAGCTCCATGCGTCCGACGCGGAGGGGGGTGAAAAGCTTGGTCATTGTGGATGAGGTGGGTGGTTGCTGTGCGAGATGGGATGTATAGACTGTGTATAGATGGGATGGTAATGGGAGGATGGGAGAGTCAATTGACAATTGAGGACTCAATTGAAGTGATGGGTTTGAATGAAGTATGTTATCGAGGTAGAGAAGGACGAGTATCGTTGTTATATAGTCTTTGCCCCTCGGCCTTCAATACGTGGTTAGTAAAAGATCCACCGATCCACAGGTGATGACTTGAGGATGATTTATAATGGAGCATTTTTTTCATCCGAGCATAAAAAATTAAGCAATGGGAATGGACGAATAGCGTGGATCCAACATGGCTGAAAATGTCCCCGAGCCGGCAAATGCGGTGCCGAGTTTCCCTTTTTCTTCGACTGCGTTCCACATCAAACTACTGGCTCCATATACAAGAAACCTCCGTCTTCCAATAAGAAGAGAGAACTGTCTATGCAGATTATTAATCTAGAAAATTGTGCAAAGTCCTTTTTAAGGTTACTGTAGGACTGACAAACAGAACAAACCCGGGCTTTCGGCTTGATGCTCGCCACTTGATTTCTCATCTTTCGAAATAGAACAACAACAACACACCAACACGTAGTACCCGACTCGTGCAACAGAATAACGCCATACCCCATCGCTAACTCGCTTCAAAAACTGGTATCACGACATCACGGTATCACGAATGACGAATCACGAAATAACGACTCCAGATAATGGAACCCCTCCAATAAAATACAAAATCACGATCGCTCCAGGCGCCGCGCCGTCGCTTCAAGTTGCTGATTAAAGGCCCGGATCTGGTTCAACAGTCCTCCCTGTGAACCAGGGGCCCGACAGCTCACATCATCAGCCACAGTGCGAAGCATGAATTCAAGGTCTCCAGGAGAGACCTCGGTGCTAGGTTCACCACGGTGCTGGCTGCGATCGAGTGCCATTTCGAGGCTATGCAGCGAGTTGTTAATGGTATTGCGCGCCTGTGGTCATTGTTAGTTCTCACGTAGTTTCAATGTAGTCCTCATATAAAATAGAACACTTACCGTCTTTGCACTCTCCTCCTCCATATGCTTGGCGCGCACCGCATCCATTTGTATAGCTATACTCTCTCGCTCTTTCCGTACCTTGTACAGATGAGTCCGCAGATCCATCATATCACGCTTCGCCTTTCGGAGCTGCATCCCCAGCACAAAGTTGCTGTCGAGGATCTCGCTCAGATCCAAGAGACGACTGTCCAATTCCAATCCAAATGCCTCCACGGCCTTGCGCTTCCGGGACCACTCGGCACGTTTCTGAGCATTAGTCTCGTTCTCGATTCCGGTCTTGAGTTTGTCAAGAGTCTTCTCTAACGTCTCTCGACAAATCTGGCCCAGTACATCCGCCGGGTTGACGCCACCGCGTGTAGGCAATTTGGTATTCAGGCGAGATACGAGCCCATCGGGGGACTCCTCGTCTTCGCCGCCAGAGCCCTCGGCAGAAGCATACATCGCATCCAGAGCAGAAGCATTAGCAAGACGATGAACGGTGACGGGAACGGTTTCGCCTCGAGGTTGTCTTGTCTTCCGCCGTGGCTCTTGTGCTGCCTCAGTGTCAGGTTGCTCTTCTGTAGGTGTTCCCTCGGGTTCTGCAGCTTGCTTGCCCTTTCTCTTGTTTGACCGACCACGCCGAGATTTTGGAGGACCAGCTTCCGTCTCGGTATGTACATCTGCCGGTGGTGTTGGCACTGGTTCTTGGCTAGCATCATGCTCAGGCTCAACCGATGCCGATTGTGATCGCGTGCCTCTTTTCTTGGGTCCTTTGCGGCCGTGGCGTGTGGCTGCATTGGATGTCCTGCTTACAGACGTCGTAGATCCAGTCGGACTCCCTGAACGATCTTGAACTTCCGTCGCTTTAGCCGTCTTCCCAATGGGTGATGGTTTTTGTCGGAGTCGTCTGGTTTTGGGTCCTGCCTCAGTCTCGCTGGTTTCCGGAACATTTGGCACTTCAACTTCAGGATTCGCCTCTCCTGCGTTTGTCTCTGTCGTCGCCTGGGCAGGAGAAGGTCTCCTACGGGTGCGTTTAGTCTTCGAAGATGCTTGAGAAGTAGCATCCACTAGCTCGTTCCGCGTCTCGGCCTCAAGGTCTTGACCTGTCGTTTGTGTAGTCGCATCGTCCGCGGGCTGTGAGCTCTTGCCCTTGGCATTGCGAGTCCGGTTGGGCTTAGACTTCGCTTGGGCCTTATCTCGAGATGATGGCCTTTGGACTGTTTGGTTACCACTCTCCAAATCCGCAGTGATCGGGCGGGTGGTTTCTAATTTTTGTTGTTCTGCATTCGCGGTCGCATCGGCTGCCGAGGATTGACTAGTTTCGGTCGCATCTGAACTCGACTGGTTGTCGCTTCGGGCAGCTGGTGAACTAGACTTCCTTGGTGGTCTCTTGGCCAACCGTGCTTGTTCCTCTTTCGCCGAAACTTCGTCGTGCCGTGGTGATCGACTCTTTCGCCGTTTCTCACGCAGTGGCACCTTGGACGATCCAGATCGGCCAGGGGTTGTAGCGTCATTCTGTGCAGGTTCCAAAATATTTGCCGGGCCACTCCCCGTTCCATTCGTGCCTTTGTCACCCTCTGTCTGTTTCTGGTCGTCGGTCGAGACGCCTGGCTGAGGATTCGTTTCTGGTAGAGTCGCCGGTATGAGGGTTTCCATTGAAAGAGCATCCACGCTCATGCGTGAGGGTGCCTCTTTATCGCCATTCTGCGCTGCTTTTGACAGCAAATTCCCGGATGCAGCTATTGGAGGACGCGAGAGGGTAGTAGACTCCTGACTTGGCTGGCCTGCCGTGGCAGCGTTAGTAAAAAGGTGTCGCGCGGTTCATGGGTCATAACGAACTGATCTTCCTCCTTTTGTTGCTGCGCTGCTGCGCAGACTCCTCGTCAGCGGGTATATCGTATGGTGAAGGGCGCTCTGGTTGTGCGTTTCGCGCGCTTCCTGGTGTGCGCCGTATCCTGCCATCCGTTTGCGATCCTGGTGGTGTTGTTGTCGCGAGCGGCGCAGTCTCGGTTTGCGATGGTTGTATCGGCTCAGGGAAAAGAGATAGCGCAGCAGAATCTGATCGCCCAGTTGCAGCGCCTCCAAAAGAAAACCCGAAATCAATTGCCTTCGTCTTGTGTGTCCTATCCTGCGGGTTAGCTTGCACGTTCCTATGTTATGATTTCGCGGGGTAAAGGCGCGTACCCAGCTCCGCGCTGGCGCATTTTCAGCCGCTCCTCTCGCGCTGTAAATAGTTATCAGACCAATGCATTATAAATCGAGGTTCATTCGCACGTACTGGAAGCCATTGTGGAGGAACGGCGTCGAGATAGACGCGTCGTGTTGATGTTGGAGAAGCAAAAGATGGCCGCGGCGGTCGGCCCCAAGAAGGTCCATCGAAGCCGATCCATTTTTGTCCCGATTTCTCCGCAACGCTCCAGAAGAGTCGCCCTCCTACGATCCTACGCCTTTCCTTCTATCGTCGCATACCTCGTTCTCAATGGGTTGGTTTTGGGGTGACAACAAGAGCGATCCTGTCAAGAAGCTTGACCCTGGCCTTCGAGAGTTCCTCGAGCAGGAGACGCCCGATAAATATGTGCCTGCACCCGACTTGAAGCAACCGTCACCTACGCCGGCGCCCGCGCACTCCCCCGACTCACAAGAAGCCGATGAGTCCTCGAAACCGAATGTCCCTGCTGCATCTCTATACCAGGATGGCCGCTATGCCGATCTGTGGAAGACCTACAAACCACCGAGCAATATCGATAGTACTTCCGGAGTCCGCGCGGCGGAGCGAGTGATCGAAAAGAACAAGGAGTACGGGGATACTGTGCAGCGAGCAGCGATGGAGAATTGCGCTCTGGAACACGAGGCTTTGACCTTCTGCTTCAAGACTGGAAATTGGAAGAAGCAGATTGAGGCCCGGTTGACTATGTGCTCAGCGGAGAATGCCACTTTCTCGCGATGCTACCAAACACAAAGCGTCAGTACTCCTTGATGCCGATATTGTCGCCATTTTTTACTGTCGGAACCATACTGATATCTGTACAGAAATTCCTCCAGGCGCTGGGCTACGCTGCATCCTTCGAAGACGATGCCGAAAAGGAAGAGCGGATTCAAATGCATGCCGATACACTATACCACCAAATGCTGGACTATGAGAAGAAGGTGAAGGAGGCTAAGGAAGCCGGCGTTGAACCACCTCCACTCACCTCACTCTTTAATCCTGAAAAGCCATCTCATATCGAAGGCGTGGCTGGCACCCAGGTTGAAATCCCTGGCGGCGAGGCTGTTCCACCTGGTTTCAAGCCATCTAAGCCCCTGATCAAGCTCACGCCTCATGAACGTGAGCTAGAGATTCGATCGCATAATGCCCATCTGGAGCAACAGAAGCTGTTTGCTGAGGAGGCCACCCCATTCATGAAGAACCAAGCGGATGCTCGGACGAAGAGACAGGAGAAGGCCGTCAGCTGGTTTGGAGAGACGATTGGAAAGTGGGTCTCATAGTAGGAAAGAGTACGAGATGAATCTGTAATTCTAGCTTTTATGCAAAATCCTGTAACTATCTATTACTATACGCATGGGAAATGGCGATATGAGGCGTTCTGACTTGAGCTCGTTGAATTTGGTCTGGCTATATATCGTGTGGTCATTATTCCTTTTCTCAGCCACCACCTCTTTCAATTAACCCCGAGAGGTAATACCAGCCATTAAGTAAAAAAAAAATCAACTCTAAAATGGTGGCCACCACGTGTAACTATTTAATCAAATTGGGAAGATCCTCTCCGTTGAAAGAACCCTCCTCTTCCACTCACCAATCGTGGCTGGTGGTGTAAAATTGGCTGCCTTTCACTGGGCGGGCGTATCTAATCGCCGGTCGCGTTCCCGCGTCAAACAACTCGAAGCATCATCACTGAACACCCTTCCACAACCTTTCTTCTTCTCCTCTCCCGCCCCGTTCTTCTCTCTTTTTTCAACTCTCCCACCTCATTGTTCTTTCAATCTCACCAGGTGTTTCGTTTCTCTCCCCCCTCCCTAGGCTTCAAAGACCATATCGTCAACCGGCCGAGACGGGGGAGCCCTCGTTCCCCATCCTTAAATCCACCATCGAGAGACCCATCGAGCACTTTGTCCGGGTTTGAGATCAGTGGCTGGTCAAGCAGAGCTCGCTGAGCTGCAGTCGGCACTATGAAGGCTTCTCCACTGCTGATCTCGTGGCACAACGACAATGCCCCCATCTATTCCGTACACTTTGATCCCAATGGCAAGGGCCGACTAGCAACGGCTGGAAAGTAAGTGCTCTCTCCCTCTTTGCAGGAAGAATACCCTGTGAGCTAACAAGGAATGACTAGTGACAACAATATCCGAGTATGTTTTTTCGCCTTCTCCAGTGTTCCTATTACCATTACCCTCCTTCGAAGTCCTATCTGACGCAACCCTCCTCCTCCAGCTTTGGCGACTTGAGTGTACCGGCGAAGAACGAAAAGTGTCGTATCTGAGTACACTGGTGAAGCATACACAAGCCGTGAATGTGGTTCGATTCTGTCCCAAGGGTATGAGCTCCTCTGGCAGAAAGCAGAAAATGTCCCGTAAGGCGTTCTAAATCTGACGAGGGTTAATAGGTGAGATGCTGGCATCTGCCGGAGACGACGGCAATGTTTTGTTATGGGTTCCTTCAGAGCTACAAACACAACCTGGACTAGGAGAAGACCGGTCGGATGACAAGGAGACCTGGCGTGTGAAGCACATGTGTCGTTCCTCCGGAGCCGAGATCTACGACTTGGCCTGGTCACCCGATGGAGTCTTTATTATTACGGGCAGCATGGACAACATTGCTAGAATCTACAATGCAAAGAATGGTTGGTCTTGCTATAGCCAGAAGACCCGATTGTCCATCGAGTCCAAATCGCTGACGCTTGACTGTTCTAGGGCAAATGGTACGACAGATTGCGGAGCATTCCCATTATGTGCAGGGTGTCGCGTGGGATCCGCTCAATGAATTTGTCGCAACCCAATCATCCGACCGATCGGTTCACATCTACAGTTTGAAGACCAAGGATGGCCAGTTTACTCTGACCCCTCATGGCAAGATTCTTAAGATGGATCTGCCGGCCAAACGTATTTCGTCTAGCAGCCCTGCCCCGGAACCGACTAGCAGGCCATCGCAAAGCACGACCAACTCCATTGCTATTGCATCCCCAGCTCCTTCAACACCGGGAACTCCAATGACCTCTAATCTACCTATGGACCCTCCTCCGGTTTCTCACAGTCGTCGTTCCTCCTTTGGCTCGTCCCCGTCCATTCGGCGATCCGCATCTCCTGCCCCATCTCTACCTCTACCTGCTGTAAAGCCTCTGGAGATCTCATCTCCGAGTCTTCTTGGAGGTCTTGGAGTGAAAAATGCCAGCATTTATGCGAATGAGACCTTTACGTCATTCTTCCGGCGACTGACATTCACCCCGGACGGAAGCCTCTTGTTCACACCTGCTGGGCAGTATAAGACCTCTCATGCCTCGGCCAATGATCCCTCAAAAACCACCGACGAGATCATCAACACAGTCTACGTCTACACGAGGGCTGGTTTCAACAAGCCACCCATCTCCCATCTGCCCGGTCATAAGAAACCCTCTGTAGCTGTCAAGTGCTCGCCCGTGTATTACACCCTGAAGCAAGGCGTCCAGCCAGTCAAGAATATGACAGTAGACACATCTGCAGGAGGAGAGGCGATGTTCCCTCCTTTGCCAGACTCTGTCGTAGCCTCGAATACATCGTCCACCAGCAAGCCTTCCATGGATCCGCCGTCTTCTAATGCCCCAGGTGGAGATGCATCAAAAGCACAGCCCTCGCCGAAGACCTCTGAAAACCATGGCAATGATACAGGAATGGCGCCAGTCTTCGCGCTTCCTTATCGCATCATTTATGCTATTGCTACACAGGATGCTGTACTAGTATATGACACGCAACAACAGACACCATTGTGTGTTGTAAGCAACCTTCACTTTGCTACCTTCACAGACTTGAGTTGGTAAGTCGATTCATCTCTCTGTTCATTATTCGCAATGATCTAATATAATAAAGGTCTAATGATGGATTGACGTTGATTATGAGCTCCTCGGATGGGTTCTGCTCTACTCTTTCATTTGCCCCTGGAGAGTTGGGTCAGGTCTACACGGGCGCAACATCAATTGGCTTAAATCCAGTTAGCACAAGCACCCCTTCGACCAACATCACACCTTTGCCAACTCCAACACACATCCCGTCACCAATCAAAGCGACCCATGCACCGGCTAGCAGTGGAAGCATTCCCCCGGCTAATAATGGCCAAGTCCCTCCAGCAAGCCCTGCACGGTCTAACTCTGCGGGCTCCGTCGCGACACAATCGTCTACGCAGCAGTCCGCAACTGTCATCAACAACCCGACACCAACACTTGGCTCCGTGCCTTCGGTGACAGTAGCACACTCCGCGCAGCCTTCTGGCCTTCCCCTCACGACGCCACCGCAAACTCCTCTGCCAAACGCCGCTACCCCATCTATTGGTAGTGTGCTGGGCAAGCGTGATGCACCGGCTACCAGTGAATCCGAAAAGGAGGACAGCAAGGGCCCCGACTCGACGACGGCTACACAACAACCAAAGAAGCGCCGGATTGCTCCAACCTTGATTTCTGCCGGTACGGATTCGGCGTCATCCAAAGACGGCTCCCAAAATCCTAATATCGGGAGCTGAGCATTGACCATGACACCTTGCCACTGGTCTCATGTTCATTATCATTAATCATCAGCAGTAGCTGCCTCCTGATTCTCCCCAGGCCGTTCCACACAGGCCCCGGTCAGATCGCAAAAGAGGAGCCATATACTCGCCAGCTCCTGACTTCTCACGATTCACGCTCCCCTAAACTCGCGGCTCTGGTTTCCTCGTGGTCTCAGATTTCAGTGTTTTGCAAATGCATATTATTACGTCGGTTTCCGTTGATCTTTGAAGGTGTTCAATGTCAGGCGGGCCCTTCATTTCCTGTCTACTGCTCACCCCATGTTCTATTCCCCCTTTTTTTATCCTCGGACGACGAGCATCGTCGACTTTCTCCGAGTTCCCTGAATGTCTTTTCATCGCTGGCGTTACCCCATTCATTAGCTTCTGACTTTATTTCTTTCCCGTCATCGCCATGTATTTGTTAATTTCCATTATCCTAGAGTGGGTCATCAGCCTCCTTCGGTGTCGTGCTCTCATCCATTTGACGATTCATGCGCTTGCTGCTCGAGCTTTTTGTTTCCGATTCACGGGATCCTTGGAGTGAGACAGACTAATTACAGAATTGAATCAAAAACACTTTAAAATATTAAAACAATAGACAATCTGTAATGCCAGGTGATTTTCTCTTGGAGCGACGTATGGGAACGTTGACCTGGCGCGAAATTTCTTCCTCAGAAATGCCATGATCGAGCAGAGTGAAGAACCCCTCCGTCGTCATGGTTGGCAAACCTTCTCGGCTAGCTGGAGGCGTGCTTCAAACCCAAATTAATTTTATTTCTCTAAAAGGCTAAGATGGTTACGAGTACATCCCTGTACGATTGAGGATGCCTAACTAAGCGCCTGCGCCCCAGTATCATTTTAGTGCGAGAATTGGCCCCCGATACCATGAGGACCCCGCACCATTTTTGGCCTCTGCACCAACCCACCGGGATTCTTCTTATTTGGCACTTCATGATATATCCTGATAATTGTCTCCTAAGATCTAGCATTGAACTATCCATTGGCAGACAAGTGTTATGGGGGGTCTCAAATCTCGCCTGAAGCGATTTGTTGGGGGTACTTCAGCAGAGCACAAGACCTCGAGCATCATTGGAAATGGCGACACAACTGGTATGTTGAGAGAAAGCACAAGAAGCTTCGTATCACCGGTCAATCCTCAGAATTGACATCATATAGGAAGTTTTGTCATTGAGAACAACAAAGAGAATGACACCACGAAATTGGATATAACGGACAAAGTAGTCCAGTTGTCCCTAGCAGACACTTCAAGCTCGTCTCCTGGTCCTACGGAAAATTCCGGAGCTGAAAATACCCAAGTTGCAATCCACAGCCCAGCCCAAGGGTCTGTTTCCCTTTGGGATATTGCATATGATTCTCTGCGAGAGGACCGACGAGACTTAATCGTTGCGTACGAGGATATTTTGTCACGGGCGTTCATGACAGGTAGGCCCCAACAAACTTCCAACCAGCTTATCAAACTGGCTGATGATGAATATAAAGTGGAAAAAGATGCACCATCAATTGCAGATGCCAACCATTTGGAAAACCAAATCCCCCAGCACGACGCGATCGCACGACGAGAGATGCTGAAGAAGATCACCGAACTCGGTCTCAAGCATATGAAAGACAAAGAAGTCACCGTCACAGTATTCGGGCTTGATATTGGTCTAAAGGACACCTTGGTCAGCGTCGCAGGCGCCGTTGAATGGGCTGAAGACTATGTCAAAGCCGCAGTCAAAGATTTGCCATATGCTTCCGTTGTCATGGCAGGTGTCTCGCTCATTCTTCCCCTGTTGAAAAACCCGGTTGCTATCGAGGCTGCCAACCGAGAAGGCTTTACCTACATCACATCGCAAATGCGCTGCTACGTTGAAATGGAATCGCTTCGACTCCCCGCGGATATGGCAGCTGGGTTGAAAAGTTCTCTTACAGATGGTGTCACTGGTCTGTACAAGCTTATAATAGAGTTCCAGGTGGAAAGTGTGATCAGATTCTACCGCAGTCGGACCAAGAATTACTTCCGGGACACGGTCAATTACGATGACTGGAGTCAGAAGCTGTCTCAAATTAAGGAAACTGAAACCTCACTTGACAAGTTGTTCGAGAGGGTTATATCGGGCGAGAGTTTGCAACAACTGAAGAACCTCGCCCGCGAAGCCAAAGACTCGCGGAAAAGCCTGGATGATATGCTTCGCAAGTTCGATGAACTGATTGACATTTCTCGAGACCAAAAAACAATCATGGAGAAGAATGAACAGCGCTTGTCTCATGAAGATAACCGGCGCTGCCAAGAGGCTTTGCAAGCAACGGATCCTGTCCTAGACAAGGAGCGTATCCTGTTGAAAAAGGACCGGCTCCTCAGGGACTCGTATTGCTGGGTGCTGGAGAACAACGAATTTCAGGAATGGCGCAATGATGTAGCTGGTCAACTGCTGTGGCTCACAGGTGATCCTGGCAAAGGCAAAACTATGTTAATTTGCGGTATAATTGACGAGCTTTCGAAGCCACACGAGACAGCCCAAGACGGGAATATCTGCTACTTCTTTTGTCAAGCCACCGATGATCGGATCAACAGTGCGGTAGCTGTTCTGCGAGGTCTTATCTACATGCTTGTGAGGGAACAACCTTTGCTCATGAAGCACCTGCGTGAAAGCTGTAACGACAAGAGCGCCCGGCATTTTGAAGGACCAAACGCATGGGTGGCATTATCCAAAGTCTTTATCGATATGCTTGAAGACTCAGAGCTACAGAATACATATTTGATCGTGGATGCGCTAGATGAGTGCCGTGCCGACCTTGACCTCCTTCTCCAATTTATGGTCGAAAAATCATCAGCGTACTCAAAAGTCAAGTGGATTACCTCGAGTCGCAACTGGCCAAACATCGAAAAGGGCCTCAAGTCAACACAGAAACGCAGGCTTTGTATCGAGCTAAATGAGGAGTCAGTCTCCGGGGCGGTGGACTCGTACATCCAGAGCAAAATCAACTGGCTAGCACAGCGGAACGAATACGACGAAGAGACACGAGAGGCTGTTCAGCAGTACTTGTTGGCAAATGCAAACGGAACCTTTCTCTGGGTGGCGTTGGTCTGCAAAGAACTTGCCAATATATCGGGGTGGGAAGCTGAAGAACTCCTCACTGTCTTTCCACCTGGCCTTGATGATCTCTATGAGCGCATGCTGGGGCAAATCCGAAGTTCAAGACATGCTACTCTGTGTAGAAGTATATTGGCCGTTATCTTGTTTGTGCACCGGCCAATTACACTAGACGAATTGACATCTCTAGTGGAAATGCCGCCTCGGGTCTCGGGGAATTTAAAGGCTCTGGAGGAGATCGTGGGTCTCTGTGGCTCTTTCCTGACTCTCCAAAAACACACAGTATCCTTTGTCCATCAATCAGCAAAAGACTTTTTGCTTGACAAAGCATCCGCCGACATCTTCCCCGACGGGGACGAGGATCTACACTATAAAATATTCTTGAGGTCACTTCAGACAATGGCAAATACCTTGCGGCGAGATATCTATGCATTGGGAACCCCGGGGTATTGCATCGAGGAACTCAGTCAGCCGGATCCCGATCCACTAGCCCCAGCACGTTACGCATGTGTTTTTTGGGTGGATCACTTGCAAGACTGTGGCCCCAAGAAGAGAGCGAAGGACGACTTGCATGAGGGTGGTATAGTCGATAGGTTTTTGAAACGGGACTTCCTTCATTGGCTTGAAAGTCTTTGCCTTCTCGAGGCTCTCCCGGAGGGAGTCGTGTCGATGTTAAGTCTTGAGGCTTTGGTCCAGGTTAGTGCCCGGAGGTTAAGTTAAAGTCCGGGAACCGAGTTAACAACATATCAGGAAATGGCAGAATTCTCACAGCTAAGCGACCGTGTTCGCGATGCATGTCGATTCATCCGATACTACAAAGGGTTGATAGAGAATCATCCTCTCCAGATTTACGTGTCAGCTTTGACATTCAGCCCGGTCAAAAGCATAACGAGGAATCAATACACGCATGAAGAACCAGAATGGTTTCTGAGAATACCCCAAATGGAAGACAGTTGGAGTTCCTGCGTACAAACACTGGAGGGACATGGATGGGGAGTATCATCAGTATGCTGGTCACCGGATGGAAGTCGGATCGCATCAGCGTCATCGACCAGCGGTATCAAGATCTGGGACCCGGTAACAGGCCAATGCATATCGACACACGCGGACCCCAAGAATGAAGTTCGCTCATATTGGGCGGGCTCGGTTATTTGGCCAAAAGATACGCCTGTGGGTTTCGGAGAGCGAGGTGAGATCAAGGTCTGGGATTTAATGATAGACAAGTGCATACCAACGCTGGAGGACCAAAATGACCATAATTTTCTCGCTGCTTCAGTATCTGGGTCACAAAATGGAAGCCGGATCGCGATGGCGTCGAAGGATGCCTCTATCCGGATCTGGAACACGACAACCTGCCAGTGTATCTCGACATTAAGTGGCCATAGCGATTTTGTTGGTGCGGGAGCGTGGTCACCAAATGGACGATTGTTTGCGTCGGGCTCAGATGATCGCACAGTCAAGATCTGGGATGCCGTTACGTGCCAGTGTATATTGACATTTGATGGCAATAGAAGCTGGGTAGGTTCAGTAGCCTGGTCACAAGATGGTGCACTGCTTGCATCAGGCTCAGCCAATGGCAAAGTATTGATTTGGGACTTGGAAACTGGTCAGAGCATATCGGCGCTAAATGGGCACGCGGATTGGGTTTATTCATTGGACTGGTCGCAAAATGGGAGTCGACTCGCGTCAGCCTCGACAGATTATATCAAGATCTGGGACATGACAACATACCAGTGTATATCAACGCTTTGTGGCCACGGCGATGCAATTCTTTCGGTAGCTTGGTCACATGATGGTGCATGGCTTGCGTCAGGTTCATCTGATGGAACAGTCAAGATCTGGGAACCAGGAGTAGCCCAGCAGAGCTTGTCAAGGCTCGAAGGCCATACCGAACTGGTCACGAGATTGATATTGTCTCCAAATGAGGCGAAGCTCGCATCAGCTTCACTGGATACATATATCAAGATCTGGGACCTGGGGACAGGAAAATGCACAGTAACGCTTAGCGGCCATACCGATGGGGTCTATTCACTAGCTTGGTCGCCAAATGGAACTCAGATCTCGTCGGGCTCAAGGCATGGCTCTCTCAAGATCTGGAACACAATAACAGGCGAGTGTATTTCAACACTCAAGTGCCATGACGGTATCCTGAATGAAGTAGCCTGGTCACCGGACAATGCACGTCTAGCCACAGCATCATCCGATGGTCTAATCACTGTCTGGGATTCAAAAACATACCAATGCATGTTCACACTCAAGGATGATGAATCTAAAGCCTGGTATCAGGCATTAGTATGGTCACAGGATGGGGGTCGCATTGCTACAGTATCGCTGAGTCGGTTTGTCAAGATCTGGGATACGGCCAGAAAAGATCGCGTGGTATCCTTCAAGGGGGATGAAATCTTTGCCTACTTTGGTACATGGACACCTGAGAGGTTGCAGGCTCGCCTTCGCGCACTCCTGGAAATGAGGGACTATGATCCTGAAACTCACGAAAGCTTGTTTATACCAGAAACTGCTGGCTACGACTTTGACGAAGGGTACAAGTGGATTACATACTCAGGTAAACCTTTCTTAAGGCTACCGACAGAATACCAACCAAATGCAGCAGCTGTTGGTAAGAATTTTGCAGGGATTGGCTGTCACTCCGGCCGTGTTCTCCTGCTGCAGTTCTCAGATGTCAATCCTTTGATATAGCTAGGACCACAGGACGAGAATTTGTGCGAGAGGGAGCGAGAGAGCGAGTGATGAGTACTTACTGGCCGAAAGGCCGTCCTGTGCCATGTTTTCGAATGTACTTGAGAATTTGTGCGGAGATGCCGGAATTATCCCATCGCAGCATTTAGAGTAGAAACGAGGAGGGCAGGCCATATCAAGGCCAGCACTAGTATCACCTCAGGATGATAACTAAGTTTCTGGCACTAGAACCAATCATTTTCGGCGTCACTTTCACAGGTCCTTGTATTCCAGTTGTAAAACTTGCACACTAAGTATCTTGTATCTCGTTCGTGTCATCGCTATCAGATAAAGACATAATTCCTAGGCCTCCAGTCTCAATAGAAGTCATCCCCGACATAAACATATCGTCCATTGAAAGCGCAGTTAGAAGAATGAGATTGAAGAAACAACAGGAACCTAAAGCCTAGTCATCAATCTTAACATGAATGTCCTCATCCTCACCACCCGGCTTCTGATCTGGGAATAACAATGACTGTAAAACATCCGACAGGGACCAGCCAACCGGCAAGACAGATATCGCTTCAGTAACACGCGCACTAGTAGCCAAAGTAGTCACCGCAATAGTAACTGGAACAGACGAGCTGGACGAAGAAAGTGTCAGGCTATTAGCCCACCGAAACAAAGCATCGTCATCCCTAGAACCACCAGCCACAAAGATAAAGTCCGGGAAACTTTCACGGGACTTCTGATCTAGAATCATGGAGGCGGCAACAGCTTTACATACATCAAGTGGCTCAACACTGACGGAGCCAGCGTCACGAACGACGCGAATATCTTCACTGCATCGTGCCCTTTTGATTTGATCGGCTAGTTCGGATGCCTGACGAGCTGCTAATTCCTGGTCGACAGCGTTTTCGTAGCGGAAGGTCAGTGAGCACCGGCGTTCTTCGATGGCGCTACCTTCAGTGCGTTCGTGGAAATGTTCGATTACCTTTCTGATACCGGCGTGCCAGTCGCGGGTTCGATTAACGTCGAAAAGGGCTTCCCACTCGGTTGTGTTGACAAGTTTTGCAAAGCAGCCATTTTCTGCGATGAGCCCAATTTGTGCCGGAAGTGATTTGAAGGTAAGACCAAGCTGGTCGGGGCTGCGATTGCTGGTTAGGTAGATTATGTTCTTCGGGTCGAGGGCTAGTTTATGTAGAGTATGAATTGCTTCAGAAGAGGAACTGTCGGTGTTTGAGGGAATTATAGCATCGTCTTCCAGGAAGAGAACACGAGACTCGGCTGTGTTGTAAGAGGTTAGGAGGGCGTCAACTTGGAGTGGAGAGACGGCATTTGTATGGTGAGGCTGTTGCAAGCTGCGAGATTCTGTGAGGGCGAACTGCAAATTTGAGAACCAGGCCAACGCGGTGTACGGTGTTTTACAGTCGAGAAGATATTGCCAGTTACGCTTCTTTTGCTCCGGTGACATATCCAGTGCTTTATTGATGGCTTCGGCGCATCGTTTGTAGTCCCATGGGTTGACGAGGAGCTCATGCCCCCGGAAAATCGACGCACTGCCAGTGAATTCACTTAAGATCAGGGATCCATGCTGTTGAGAAGCCATCTCGCCGTCTTGACAATGAATAAAGTCGTGGCTTGTTAGGTTCAAGCCCTCGCGGAGATTGGTGGCCATAAAGATGTCGGCAACACTGAGGAGCGCAAGGAATTGCGAGTAGCTAATATCCTGTTGTAGGAGGACTAGAGGCTGGTGGGTGAGTGTGGAATAGACCGAGTTGATGCGCATCGCAATCTTGGAGACCTGGGCTTCTAGCTCTGGAATCTCAGAGGCTGACGAGGTAACTTGAACGAGAACAACCTATGTCATATGTTAGAACTCGGTTGGGTATGCAATAGGTATATGAGTTTAAACTCGTGGCTCTTACATTTTCCCGCCATTTGGGGTAGGTTTTGAGGAAGAGCTCGTATGCCAGGAGCTTCTGCTTGATTCCTCCAGGAGCATCCAATCGGTCTCGCGCGACAATCAAGTGCTTCCCCCTGTACCGATTGGTGATACTGCCGATCCATTCTTTGACTTCGACTGATTGACGTAGCAGGTTCAATGACTTGTAGTCAATACCCAAGGGACATTTTTTGACACGGACGAACCGATTTCCGACCCGGACCCCGTCACCTGGGCCCTCCAGCTTTCGAATTCGGCTGCAAGAGTGCAGAAAATGGTAACAGTATTCTTCAGTCTGAAACCCAATGAGGTCTGCGCCGAGAAGACCGTCCAGCAGAGCTTCCCGTGGATTCAAGCAGCGAAATACTTCAGACGAGGGAAAGGGTGTGTGTAGGAAGAAGCCTATCTCCGCATGAGGCAGTCTAGCCCTCAGAAGCGCGGGCAAGCTCAGAAGGTGGTAGTCATGCACCCAAATTCGGTCTCCCGGTTTCCAGCGACTGGCGATTGCGTCGGCAAACGCCTCATTCACTTTCAGATACTGTTTCCATGAATAGTCATCGTAATCCGTATGCCGGGGACTTTCTTGCATTTGGTAGTGAAGGGCCGGCCATAGAACTGCACGGCAGAAATGAGCATAGTGCCCTTCAAACTCGTTGTCACCCACAAACACCGTCAAAGAATCATAGTCCTCCAGAAGAGTCTCGTCGATGACATTTCGAATCAATTCCGGGAGGGAATCAGTTGGCATGCCCAGCGTGCCAACCCACATCTTGCTCTGCAGGACCCCCGCTTCCTCGGCGGCATGTACGGCGTTCTGCAGGCCGCCATGACCTTGCTCTGCAGCCTTGACAGCCCAGTCCACGGCGGAAAGTAGTGCACGAGGACTCTCTGCCTGATCCGGAGTTGGCCGACCGGGCGCACCGTCCAAAAAGCTATCCTTCCAGTCCGTCCGTAATGAAGGTCGATTTAGGATAGATGGCTCTGGGTGTGTAGTTGCCGTTGAACGCGGCTGGTTAAATCTGCTGCTGCGACCCCAGGGTACGGCACGAGGCTCACTAGGACCAGGTCCTTTCGGGTCATCAGCGATAGAAATCTCATCGGCGAAATGTGATGCGTAAGCCTTGAAGATTTTCTCATCCTCGGTCGTCGCCCCGGGGGTCAACGCTATGCTACCAGAGCGGAGGCGAGGTAAACGACCGACAATGGGACCAGAGTTAGAGCCATCGACAGCACCATGGCTGGGCGAAGACCTGCGACGAGCACCTCTGGAGCCAGTTGTCTTGAAGTCAATGGTGTAAGGGAGAAATCTGAGGAATGAATGTGAGAATGTGAGACGGTTGAGGGATTAATTTGCGCAGAACTAGGATTCAAACTAACAGAGAAGCGATGAAGACGGTCATCGCGTGGAGATGTCGCTGACAGAATTCTCGCAGGCGAAAATGCTATTGTGGAAGACGCGCCAACATATCTGGTACGGACGGAGAAATGATGCAGAAGAAGAAGAGAAGGTGCGCCTTGACGTTGTCGGATGAGGGGGTTGCAATTCCAACGGAAGGTGGTTGCCTCGAAGTGTTGAGGCGGTTATACTTCCAACAACACTCAACCACCTGGCTGGCCGATGGGCGTTGCGAGAATAATACCTCGGTCTGATGTACATTAGTCTTGCTATAGCACAGAGTATTATACCTTTGTACACTCCGCCACAGCATGCGGCATTTCTTGACTCACCTCGGGCTTTCTTTTTCCTTCCAATGATCGGATGACTCGGTTTGCTTGAGGATTTCCTTTCGCGATGTGCAAATGCTGAAATTACGGGCTATTTGAGCAGCTCTGACCTCAGGGGGCAGTGAGGACTTTTCAGAAGACTGGGGTCTCTAGGGTTGTGGCCTGTGCCAGTATTGTATCGCGAGACTAATCTCCCTGGCTAGCATTCCAGTCGGGAGCTTCGAGAATAGGTCACCTAACAATAGTGATCAAATCCTGACGGTCAGTGCTAATTAATAGGCTCATCTATTAGTCTTTCTCGGCAATACCGTTTGCAAGCGTACATAGAGATGAGTACCTGGTCGTGTCTATCCTCAGGAAATTTGATATGCCGTTCCGGCGTCGTAGTACGAGACTGAGGCCGGTTATATAAGCAACCACTTTTCCATTGGAAGGGATCCATTGTCTCTTAAGGTTTCAATGCGTTCCATGACCAAACTACCGGAGATGTTTAAAGTACGATGAGATCAGCCAAACCACCAGATCCTTGGTTCTTAAGGTTGTGGACAGTGACGGGATATGTAGGTCGAACCTTAGAAGACATATATGCCGATAGCGATAGCCTCATTTCCTACAATAAAGCCGCATAAACACCTAGAAACCTAGAACATAAACACAACCTAATGAGTCAAACTACCTTCTATTCCTATTCTCCGATGAATACAAAGTTGCGGAACGAATAACCTGATATAATAAACCATATACCGATCTCTCATAGAGGAGGAAATGTTTACCACAGTAGTTTGGGCTACACCACCGATGTCAATGTAACACTGGCAAACATCTCATCATTAATCTGGTCACAGCCGCGTATGCTATGCTACCGTCGTGCATCACATCGCGTATGAGATCAAACGCGGCGCCGACGCAGCAGTGGCGCTACAGAATCAATAGTTCTGGTTGTCTATCCACGTTAGTATATCGCGTAAAAAGAAAACAAGCTCCAAAGACGCGGTGGTGACGAGTCACCGACGAGGCCGGACAAAAGTTCTGCCTTATCAGTGTAATAGCGTCGTAGATAATGCACAGTATAATATACCAATCTCAAGCGTAGGGACTAAGATCAATCCCCTAAGGCACGAGAAAGGAGAATCTATCACGCACTAACCTCGTAGTAAACGGTTAGTGAAGCTTAGCATACGACCCTTTCCCAAGGCATACAACGAATGGATAGCTTGACCCATCACTATCTCTCCGAGAGAGCCATCGTCCGTGCTTAAACCAGCTTCGACCAGCCGAGTGGACTGCTGATGAAGCCTCATGCCTCTTTCCGAACCACCTCATCAAACCCGAACCCAGACCATCACGAATCCGGTAATTTAACAGCACGAAGAATCTCCTAATCAGGATGACACTACGGTGAGGAAGGTGCTACCGTAGGGCTACCAGGACCCGCAGGGGGAGCTAACTCATGTACGCAGAGTCATAGACGCGTAACTAATGATCCCCGATGCATGACAGCAGCAGTGCTCAGCCAGGCATGGTATCGTACGGCATAGCGTTTCAGGCAAACGACCCTAGTCAATACAGAGCTAGTCCTGTAATCAACCTGATTAAAAATATTCAGATATCAAATGCGGCGCACGTAACTCGGTCAGCGGACCCCGAGAGGGTTAGTGGTGGGTGACGCGGAAGGGCAGAGCTAACGCGCGGTAGCGCGTGAGCCAGTGGACCGAACTGACAAAGAATTTTCCCGTTAGTGTCGATGGTGTATGGTTATTGTTAGTACGAGAAATAAAAAACCCCGTTTTTTCTTTCTAATCTTCCATTGCTCCATACGTCATGACGGTTCATGGAGTGTCGGGCCGAAGCGACGACGTTGAAAGGCTCGTTGATCGTCCACGAACTCCTGACGCGGCCGAGGATTTGCAGCGATGCAAGTGAGGGTTGCATGTCTTCTCCGCTAGGTTGCGTGTCCGGGGGGTGTTGGTACTTGATTGATGGAAGAGAGGAGAAAGAAAGCGATAGGCTGCCCAGATGCCCAGCAAAAGCGTCGCAATGCCCAGCCCTGATGCTTTTGATAGTTCGTTGCAGCTGGTGTGGTGCCAAGGGTATGCCGCGAGCTCTGTCGGGTTATTCCCATGGGACACGGAGCGGAGTCGATGAGCTTATGATAATAATCTGTCAGAAGGAGGATGATCAGAATATAATACGGCGTACGTCACACAGCCAAGACGTTGGCTTTTCTGCACTGGATTTGGCCCATGCTCTAAGTGACGACGATGACGGCCCTTGGCTGCTTGGCGTGGGGAGAGCATGGCCCCCAAGCTAAACCAGCGGTATAGAATTTATCCCGATGCGTGATCACCTGAAGACAAGAGTATTTTATCTGCATCATGCTTCTTGGCTTCGTCGCTCTTCCCGTCTCTCTTCCCGTCGAGGACGCGACGTCTATAGGCAGAGGCGTCGATTTCCTTGGTTGATGCTCTCCCCACGACTAGGTCAACATCATCCGTTTCGTGGACATGCAGAATCGCGGAGTCCCGTTAGTGTACGGCAGTGACAATCGAGTTTAATTTTGATGTAACAGACTCCATACTGTACTATTGTGACTCCGTCACGGTTTGGGCATCGTGGGGGGGTGAGCCCCCAAGGCTGAAGATTGGCGGTTGGCCCCCAGTTGCAGAAACCGCCGGTCGTTTGGTGTAAAATTACTGGGAGCTTGCGCCATCCAAGCTAGACGCGATCCAGCGATTATCGGCTTTGCCGATCGGAAATTTTGGGTGGTGATAGGATTTAAGGTCAGAATGATTGTAACTTGATGATACGCGCATGGCAGTGCATATATAGTATGAATTATACCTATGAGCTATGGGCAGGTGAATGATCCCCCAGATAATGGCAATTGTACGAAAATACAGAATAAAACATACAGCACAGCCACCATACACGGAGGCTGAGGCGGAGGTTGAGGCTGATGCTGAGGCTGTGGGTTAAGCTTGAAACGTCGGCTAATTCCCGGGTTGACTGGGTTGACTGTGGGCACTGAGTTGAAAGGATGTCGGGATCCGTTGCTGGTATGGAGTAGTAAACGAGTCATGAACTAATCACAATACGCGTCTTTGGGGTAAGTTCGGGGACGGAAGGGTTAGCGAATCGACGGGACCGCGACCGAGTCAATAGTCGCGGGAACTGGTGGACGGATGTTGACTGGCGCTGCCATTGAGGTAGCTGGGAGAAGAGTAATAGAATTCCAAAACAAAAATAGAATCAGGCCGTCTAACCGCCTACCCGCCTGTACCGTCCAGTGAGTCTGTCTGGATTAGAAAGGGGAGAGTTTGCAATTGTCTCCATTGTACCATGTACAGCAACCTTCGTACTCCATCCTGTGATACAGAAAAAAAGAGGGTCAACATCTGGATACAATGGATACAAACCATAAGGAGACAGTGGGAGACGTGTCGGTGGATGAGGGTGTCGGAACGAAGCGATAGCTTGCGAATCGCGCGACTAGCACCAGCGATGGGGCGACCCTGAACCCGATTGACCCTCATATTTTCAGGGTCTTTTGACCGTTCGGAGGATTTCCATGGACGATGATTGGTGATCAAGTTTGCTGGGGGGTTGCGTCAACCAGCGATACCCGACCAGAAGAGTAATTGATAGCCCGGGACTGCAGTATTGTACGGGCCGGTGTCGTTGACCGCGTGGACTGGTAAGACAAGATCAACCACCATGATTGGAATTAACCGTCCTGCCGTATATCGTCTCTAATAACGATATCGCTTGGTTACATCCCGATCGACAGGAACATTTGGCCATACCAAGACCTCTTCCACGCAGTGCAGGATATTCTGGAGTGCGACCGAAGCATCATGATTCAAGAGTGCCAAGCCCCCCTGTGAGCGAAAGGAGCGAAAGAGGGTCCACTCTCCACTTCAGCCTAGCCATTGACAGACGGAGATGGTGATGAGCTCAGCAAGAGACCACGACAGCGAGGATGTCAGCATGGCCTAAAGGAGTTTAGTGAGTCGACAGAGAGGATGAGTAGTGGAGCCCAACGAGGCTCTAGCCCGATCGTACTGGCTGCCAAGACGGACGCTTGCGCGTCTCCGCCACCGGGGCCTCTCCTGCCCCATCCAAGCCCTGCGACGAGGAAATTGAAGAGGCTTCGAACGCGTAGGCTGGCGCTCTGCCCCGACCTGGCTGTCTTTTTCTGGGACGAGTCGAGACACGGGAGGATCATTTCGAGATCTTCACCCAAATTCGTTTATGCTTTCATCTTGACGACATGCGGTCGAAGACCCTGAATGGGTGCAGGGATCAATCGGTATACTCTGATAGAGAGGATGGGAAAGAGTGGGAAAGGAGGGAGGGCAGAAATCAAAAGAAGTAGAATTAAGCAACATAATAAGCCTCTTCTTTTGAGGTTTGATCCGAAGGACTCCATCAAATTTCAGGTACGAGTGGTGAAGAAAGAGTGCGTAAGACTCAGGCTCCTTTGAAAGGAAGTTGTACAAGCCTTTCTCGGTCATGGGACGCGGTGTGCCAAGACTTGGTAAATACGATACGAGAATTACGAAGGACCCTTGCGAAAGATCAAAGTGTAGAGTAGAGTATATACAAAGTAACTCAGTACAATAACGTTCTATACAAAGTGTAAAGAATCATACAGGTTTTCAAAGTCGATCTCTAACTGTCTACTCCATAGACTCCATAGAGGAGAGAATATAAAATCCATCAGTTTTTTGTCGAGTTGATCTGGTTACGTGTGCAGACGGGGAATTAGTAAAATAAAAAAAAGGGTCTTTTCTCTTGGCCCGTGGTATACGCGGCTTGGGCGCGGGGCCCGTGATTGGGGCGAGAGGCTGACGACGCTCGTAATACTGCAGTATTTGGGACCAACACTGTTGCACGCTCAAAGGCCTGGCCCACTCCCTTTTCCGCTTTCCCCAGGGCCCTCTCTCTCTCTCTTTACTGACCCTTCCTCTTACTCTCGACTCCTCCCTCTCTTACTCTCCCCTCCTTTAACCTCTCGATCTTGCTCCTTCCCACTTGGATTGTCCAACCCTCGACAACTTTTGTCACCATCACCACCACCCTGGAGTAACTTCATCGACGTCGCCTCGCCGGTGACTCCCACCTAATCCGACCATGGCGGACGGCAGACCCCATCATCGGGCCGCCCAGCCTGCCTCGAATATGAGCAACACTACCACATACGATGCCACCTCTCTCAGTCAAGAGTTCGAACAGTTGATGCGCACCAAGCGATTCAATCAACTTCACGATTCATCTCGATCGCGGTCTGGATCTCAGTCGCCCGCCCCTTCACACACCAGTCACTCGATCCCGCCGCCTTCACGAGCGCCGCCACCTCCTCCCTCCCTTGGCACCCAACCGCGCCCAGCTTCGCAACCACAACCATCCAGCCCAGACCTCCGTGGTCTCCCGATTATGCCATCTCCTCCTCAGGATACCGCCGGGCTCAAGTTTTTTAACATGCTGAAGGTCCTTTCGGTTACGCCGACAAAGTACGAAAACCCAGGTCTACTCGACGAAGCCCTCTGCACCCTCCCTCTAGATCGCCTGTATGCCGAAGCCGAAGAGGAGTCTCAGATCATGCAGGCCCATGCCGCTAGCGTGGGAGGAAAGCCGGAATGGGGATATCAGGATTGTGTGATTCGGGCATTGTTGAAGTACGTTCGAGACCCGCCACAGACTCTTGGTTGGCATGAGGCCCTCCGTTTTCCCCTCTGTCCGTACTAACATCCCTTGTTCTACAGGTGGTTCAAGCGCTCATTTTTCCAATTCGTCAACAACCCTCCGTGCTCCAAGTGCTGCCTGCCCACGATCGCACAGGGTATGACCCCTCCCAGCCCCGACGAGACCGCCCGTGGCGCCACCCGAGTCGAGCTGTACCGCTGCTCCGGGCCTAGCTGCGGCGCCTATGAGCGATTCCCCCGTTACTCCGATGTCTGGCAATTGCTGCAAACGCGCCGTGGTCGTGGCGGAGAGTGGGCCAACTGTTTCAGCATGCTCTGCCGTGCCGTTGGTGCCCGCGTTCGTTGGGTATGGAACTCGGAGGACTACGTCTGGACTGAGGTGTATTCCGAACACCAGCGTCGCTGGGTTCATGTGGATGCGTGCGAGGAGGCCTGGGATCAACCTCGTCTTTACACCGAAGGATGGCGCCGTAAGATCTCTTACTGCGTTGCCTTCTCCATCGACGGTGCGACCGACGTCACTCGTCGCTACGTCCGCAACTTCGCCAAGCACGGCAGCCCTCGCAACCGTACCTCAGAGGAGGTCGTCCTTTGGTCGATTCACGAGATTCGCCGAAAGCGTCGTGAGAACATGTCCAAGACTGACCAGCGTCGCCTGATTAAGGAGGATGAGCGTGAGGAGCGGGAGCTTCGCGGATACACGGCATCCGCCCTGGCAGCCGAGATTCAGAACATTCTTCCACGCAGCTTGGTAGGACGTCCCGATGAGCAGAAGCACGCCGACGCCCGCCAGGAAGCTGCCTCGGAGTGGCTGAGCGCCCGTGGCCACGGTCACTCGGGACCGGATCGTTCGAACGGCGGACCATAAATTTGCACGACTCCTTTGGCTTATTTTATTTCTACGATCAACCCTACCTTATGAGGGCTCTCCAGATCCTTTTCCTAGGTTTCTTGATCTCATCGAACGGACGACTCGATGATCCTCGTCCAGCTCATTGAGCGGATGAAAGAGGACCGGGTGCCCGATTACCCACGTCGACAACGTGGACACCCCCTACCGATCGGAGTCACGACGGTCGCATCGGCTCACGGTCTACGGTACATGGCCCAACGATAGCCACTGCTGGTCAGATACCAGCCTGCGACCGTGACTCGAGAATCGAATCTCCTTGTGGCTTACCTTGCCTGACTCGCCACCAGTTTGGAATGGTGAATTGCTGAGGCGCAGTAGCCACGGATCATTCATTACGATCATCAAAACAACCCTACCTCCTATTATGGACGGCCACCGCCCATACGGGTTTATTCCATCTCCCATTTTTCGGGATGTCACTGTCTAAAGCAAGGCAGCTTTAATTTCTTTCTTTGTCTCCAGACTCTATCGATTTTGGGGGTTCCCTCTCTATTCGCATTCTGGAATCTCGCTTTGGCCTCTTTTTTTTTGCACGGCGCTTGGTGATGATTACCTGCTTTTCTCCCTATCTTTAATTTTGGGAATTCTTGCCCGACGGCATATGTTGTACGAGACACGTTGCAGCCATTTCTTTCCTCATTGTGATTTTCCATGTATACGTCTCAACCCCCTCGACTGGGGAGCGACCGCGTGCTCTTTTCTCCCATTTCTGGGATTGACTTTTCCTATCCCGAGTACATTATCTACTCTTTCCTACTTGACCTTCTTTACTATCATCTTGATACTTCTTACTACCTCTTAACTTACCAATTATTAATACTTTTTGATCCACTCAAACCACCATCTTTCACTTGTAATCTAGACCCTGAATCGTGCGATCTCCATAAACGAGTAAACCCAAAACAAAAATCCCTGCCCAAAATTACAGTCCTCGTTTGATTATGATGTGCGCTCATCCCCCGCGATGATTCCCTTAGTGCCCACCCATCCCTAGCCCAGTGGGCCCCCAGCCTGACGATGGAGTTCAGCCGTGGAGTCCCCTTCCCACCAGATACGAGAAAAATCCAATTCCTTCCCGCATTAGACCTGTTCATTTTTATTTACAGACTCAGCCTTGAGTCCATGTATTATGCAGCTTCACTGTGGACTTGTTTCATCCTGAAACGGGGGATCTGAACAGGAATTGCCGTATCGTATCAGCCCTGTTCATCCTGCACGGGCCTGGAGATATTTTTAGGAGCGCCGTGGGTGGGTGGTGGGTCCAGGGTCCTGGTGGAGATGGTCGGAGTCGGGGCTAGGACTGGCCGGTGGAATAGGGGTCCGATGTATAACTAGGGAGATAGTTGGATTGAATCCTGAGTATGAAGTGCTTTGGTATAAGTTGATTCGAGTGATATGTTATAGACTTAATAGGTAGCCAATGTACTTCACTGTGTGAGGCTGGGAGTTTGTTAGGTATGATATCTCTTATCTTATCGTTGATGCTTAGCTCTTATCGGGACTGTTATGTATTGAAGCGAGGCGGAGCATGACGATGATGTAAAGGGGAATCTACAATTGTAACTGTCCTAGACATGACGATATACTGTAGTACTGTGGATCATTTTGGTAAGTCTATGGAACATTCATTATGCTTATTCTTTAATTTCCGAACTATGTAGATTCTTGCTTTTTCTTGATATCCAGGGATAATGGCATGGATTTTGTGGGCCCTGCGCAAGGGAAGTATGGTAAGGCTATGTGAGTGGGTATGATAGATAAGATGATGCAGATTGTGCAACCACACATTTCTTTTTAGTAGTTGTATCATGCTAGGTATGCATATCGCTGTACGCATGGGGTATCCTAGAGACAAGGGACAAGAACAGAGGACAATCGGGCTACCCAGGAAGGATAGTCTACAGTCAATCAAGAGCATCTCACACCGTCGAGATCCAACAGTCAACCCCCCTCCGCCACAGATCATCCCCAATCTGGCCCACCTCATGAGAATAGTACGACTGACCCTGTAGTCGAAGCTCCCACGTAGCCAAATCAGTATCAACATCCCTGTCAGTGTCATCCTTGCTATCCATCAACCGCGTCAATCCAGAATCAAAAAAAGAACAAGCTGACCCTTCAGACCGAAGGCTCGAAGCCGAACTCCCCGTCAATCGCGACGAAGAACTCGACTCGAAACTCACCCTCGAGCTCATCTCCTCATCTGAACTAGAACTACTCCCACTTCCCTTCCTCCAATCCATCAGATCCATTCCCATGTCCACCTTCTCTCGCACCAGTGCAGTTTTTCTTTTCCCCTGTATAACATGTAACCCACATAACGGCTCTAGAAACACTGGTAGCTTTTCCACTGGCTCACTGAACCAGCTACTACCCAGCACGAGAACGAATGACCTCAGCGCCGGTAATTGCTTCAATGAACGACACGTCTCTAGCCACTGGGCCCGGCCCGCGGAGACGTATATGGCGCGCACGGGATCTTTAGTCGGTAACCAATGCCCTGGGAATGACCAGCGTAGCTCCACAGCTCGAATACATTCCCAGTATTCTGATGGAATTGTAGGTTGTAAGTATGGTAGTGACCAGGGGATACTGAATTCAAAGGTATTCGTAGCGTAGAGGAGGTGAATAGACTCGGAGAATCTAGAATCAATAAGTTAGTGATCTCGAATAGAGGAGGATTAAGAAGATGGTCAAGAGAATGAAACAGCCCACGCAGCCCCTCCTCCTACTTCTCAATGTCTCCCTCTCAAGAATCACAGTTGAGATTCCAAGACACAGAGAACCAGGCAGGAAAAAAAGACAGCGCAAGCCATTCTCCAATTTCACCCATACATTTGCCGACACGTCAACACCAACCCAAGCAACCCATCACACCCAACACCCCACGAATCACCCTCTTTAACAGGCTGCGCAACCCCCGCACCATGACAGATCTCACAAAACGGCTGCCCCGTGCCCCGGGCAAGCTTATTATAAGAGTCTAGCCTCGGCCGAGATCCGGACTCCGCTCCAGGCCCAGTACCACTGCCAGTGCTAGCACTGTGGTCATGTCCCAGTGGACAAATAACATGGCCGAGACGCTGGCCGCTGTGTTGGATGATGTGTAGTCGTCGGCCGCCTAGGGCCATTTCCCAGATTATTAGGCGCAGTTCGGGGGAGAGGCGGGTGAGGAGGGCGCATTGGGGTTGGGGCTGTGGGGTATGAGGGGAATCGTGGCGGGGATGGGGTAGTGGAGGGGGTTTATTGTCTGGTTGGAATTGTCTGTTAGCTTTTTGATTAGGATGTAGAATATTGAGATTGTATGTCTGTAGGTTGTATGGTGTATATAGGCAGTGTATGTTCATGATCAAGTTGTAAAGTGCGAGACCAGGTATCGAGGATAGAAGGAATAATCGGGGGAACTAACTTTGGTATCGTTGGGCCAGCACATCCTCCCACGAGAACACTCCTTTTCTAATGCGGGCCATTGGGTGGAGAATATAGTGACAGAAGGTAGACCCGTCAAAGAAAAAGAAGAGAGGAGTGAATTGACATAAAGAAAAAAACAATAAGACTGTCGCGTGGCCGGGTAGCAGGTTTCAATCTTGTCTTATACTTCCCGGCTGTGAGTCAATTCCGAATTGAATTCGTCCTGGTGATCAGTTCAAGCCATGGTCTTGGCCGCAGCCTGAAAAGTATTCCATGCAATCGGACCGGGTATCATAACCCGGGGGGAACTATAAATACAAATTCATAAATAATGAAAAAGGGGGGGGGAGGAGAAAGGGGGTGATAAAGAACTAAGAGTCCAAAAACACGTTCCTTTTCTGTCCGACTTCGGGAAGAGCAAGAGAGTCGGTGAGCGATCGCGCGATAAAGGATTTAGCCCCCCTGGTCGAATTGGAGACTGAGAGAGACTAGATTACAGATTAAGTTACTGATAACGAGGGGGAATTTGCGGAGCTTAGTCTACCGGAGTAGGTCACTCCTGGCGGGAGACGGGAATCCATGCACACTCAAGGAGTATGGATGTAGTACAGGATAGTAACTGAACTACCATATTGGTAATATTGTAACGACCGCCGCTTGTAGTGTACAGTACAGACCGCATAGACCTGCGCGATTTTCATTCTCACCCCTTGTCCATCATATCAAACCTCGAATCAATCTCACTCACCCTCCTATTTCCGGCGATAATGTAAGCAAGTTATTGACCAGGTACAGAACTCCTTTTCGGTGACTCCGTTCCTATATCGCAGACACTATTCACGGCTCACTTGCTCATTCCTCGCACCCTGGCAATAGGTGTAGCACTGCTCGTCCCACTCGCGCCCAGTGTATTAGTCGGGCAGGAGACCTTTAATCCCTGGGACAACATAGCGCGCCCAGCCGGCTGGAGCCGGTCAATCGTGGTTGGCGCCGGGAGCGTCCCCACGTACGCATTGAAATTGTAGATCCCGCGGATGCAAGTGTCCACGATATCCTTCAAACTGGTCCCCGACAGGATATCCTGCCCATTTCGGGAGACGGCGAACTTTTGCTTGCCCACGCCCATTGGGGCTCGGTGCGCACTGATGCCGGCCGGTGCGTCGAAGGTTGCGGATTGATCGCCTGATTGTACGGTCACGCGAGCAGCGGATTTGAGTAGCGAGACGACGAAGACTTCGTCCGTCATGGACTCGTACCCATTCGGTCGGCCAGCGAAGAAGTTGCCGCTGGAATTGTTGGGGTTGCCTTGCATCGTGGTGTCGGTAGCGTCACAATTCAGGTCTTTCTTAGTTGGTCGGTACCAGTATACCAGCTTCTCTTCTTGGATATACGGGAGAGCAACGGTGGCGCCGGCCTTGTATGCCGCGATGAAGGGCTTGGCCATGTCTAGCCAGCCATTGTGTGGCCTGGAGAGTCGATCTGTCAGTCATCACAAAACATTACCATAATCTATTTGATAAGAAACACTTACATGTCCATCACCCACTTTGATGCCCCGTCATCGGTATGCGGCGACGAGAGCGGTCCAACATAGTGCGACTCGCCATAGTCGTTCCAAGTGATAATCTCCACGAAACGAGGACCAAGAGCCAGGATCTCTCGCCAGCGGTCATACCACAGCAAGTCAGAAGGGAAGACCCAATTCTTGCTATACGAGACCTCGCTTCCGAAATGGGTCGAGAACCACGGCGAGACAGCTATAATTTCGTTAGCCAGGCGTCGCCATTATACGTCACAGTTCATTATAGGTCAACTCACGCGCAACATAGGGCTTCCCATTCAAAGCCTTATTATAAGCCTCATCACCCTGGACAACGCTAACATTCTGCCCCGCAGTTGGCGCCTTATTATTACCATTATTCGGCCACGCCATCCAATTCAGTGCACCCTGGATAGCATCAAAATTGCCCTGGCCCGGGTGGAAATTCGGCGCGAAGAAGAGTTCCTGGCCAGCGGCAGAATTCATAGCATTGACATCGACACTGTCCCCAGAAAACGAGGACACGAATATCTTGCCATCGACCTTGAGTTGGGCGGGTTGGTCCGCATATTGCTTGACCTTGGCGCCGACGACGCTTCCCTGGCGGACGTTCCACCAGTTGAAGTCGAAGGAGAGGAAGACTTGCATCCCGTTCTTTGCGGCGGACTCGTAGGCGAAACCGAGTTGGGTGTCGGTGTACGAGTCAGTGCCGATGTTCAACGCGAAGGCATCTATGCCTGCGTCTTTGGCGCGTTTCATGTCATCGTCGTAGTCGCTGGCGCTTTGGCGGTTACTGGTAATTCCGATCTGGATATAAGGTTAATTATTAGGCCGTGCTTTGTGAGTGTCTACTTGGGGCATCTTACCATAAAGTGACAGAAGACCAGCCTATCTGTCTTTCCAGGGGTAGTCGTAGGAGTCGAAGAAGGTACCTTCGTGGAGGAGGTGGGCGTCGGACATGCCCAAGAGAGAGGCATCATCAGCCCGACTAGGGCTAGTGTGAGCAGCTCTCGGAGCATGCTGGGTGGAGTTGGTGATAATAGAACGTACAATGGTAGGAATAAGTAAAAAGGTAATTTGAAAAAGAGTGCAATTCTTCAGAACTCGAAGAGCAATCAGAATATACTTGTCAACAAAGGCCCAGCATCCAGCACCGGTAAGAACCTTGAAGAAGAAAAAAGGAGCGTCAGAGCAAAAAATCCCAGGAAAGAAGGAGCGTTATAATGACAGGAAAACGAAGAATTCTTGCCCCTCCAGGGTTATCTGTGATCTCTGGAAATCCTTCACGAGATCCTTTGACAGCAACCCCCCTTCGGTATAGTCTCCCCTTGTATGCAGCAGCAGATCAGCCAATCCAACGTCGTCTCCTCGAAGGGGAACCCTACCATTCAATCAAACTGTTAAAGTCATCAGGATCTATGACGAGAGTGGTGGGCAACTGATCATAAGAAAAATTTCCAATTCCTTCGCACTGCAACAGTATCACCCTGTCAAACAAAGATCTCCGGTAAGAAACCCCCGAGAATTGGCGCGCGCGATGGACGCCACCGGCGCGTCGCGTGCGATCCACAATTGCCCCGTGAGTGGGACCCTGACAAAGGATTAAGGGTGTGAACTGGACTTTAACAATGGATCAATTGACTGGGATAGATCTATGCAACAACATAGATGTGGAAATAGGCAAGGTTTCAAGGTGCAGGGCTGACCGTTTAGAAGGGTTACTTTGGACAGGTGCGATAGGTGGTCGATGCGTTCATTAATGCCGACGATTAGTCCCTTCCACGTCTAGATTAAAGGATCGACGTATGATCGATGCCGATTCGACGTCTATCTCGGTGGCTGTCACAAGTTCTCGGTTGTTGCGACAAAGCCTTAGGCCCCTGGATCAGGGTTCGATAAGGCTTAAGGGGTCCAGGGGTAGACAAAGAATCTACCAATCGTGATACGATGATTGGGCTGTCTAGGACGAGGGGCTCAGTACTCAATATTGTACATTCTACCAATTTTTTTCTTTTTCTTTTTTTTAATTTCCCTAATCTTTTTGAGCTGTCTACTGCGCTTATATCACCTCGTCATCGGGCATCGGACTGGAACCCTGCATGGACGGGACGATAGGATCAAAGTTTGGGTGTACAAAACGACACAGAGTACAACCTTGAGAGTTAATGAATAGGTGAAACCGGCACTGACAAGGAAGGGAACACCCGAGGATGGGCTGGTCTAAACTTTATTGTCCATTCGTCACCATATGTCTGCCCTTCTTGATTCCTTTCTTGCTTTGGCCAGGGTCAATCTCGACAAACCAATCCCGTCTATCTCGGAGGCATAAACTATAAGCATGAAGAAGGAATAATCCCCTAAATGTGTCAGGTGCATGCTGCCTCCATTTCCCCGGTTTGTATAAAAGATAATTGGATGCTGATCTTGTGATGGAGGGATACCGTTGGAATAGCAGCGGCCGAAGGGATACTACTTTGATATGCGGGTTGACATATTGGCTGGAAGCACATGTCAAAACCCCATGGCCCAGCAGAGTTTACACCAGACAAAAGAAAATACGGATAGGATCGACTAGATGATCATTTGCAAAGTGGAGATCCGGGGAAATATGACTGCTGACCCACAACTACTGAAGGAACAAGGTTGACGCGTAGATCATCACAAGTTCAGGTTGTCTCGTTCCACAGAATGGCACTTAATGCGCCATTTTTCAATTCAAAGGGCCGTCCCCAGGTATGAAAGTATCCCGGTTCAAGTCCATGACCTTGCTATATCGGTATGCAACACTAGATCACATCAGAGAATAACCTCCCAAATACGCTGCAAGAAGATGATCATCACACATCATTGGGGTATCAGTTTCAAGTCTACCGAAAAAAAAGTTTCTTTTCGGATCCCATCCGAACCGAGATTGAGCTTCACGCTAAAATGTAGATCACGAGGTATGAAAATGGTGGCGTGCGGGGCAGGGGCCAAAAGTGTCTCCCAACGAGGGTCAATAAGCACATTGGCTTTTTATATAGTTGAATTAAAACAAAAACGATGCAAAATGCAAATTGTCGTATGCAAATGTATGGTGAGAAAACGGGTAGAAGCGCCATGGAGAAATATTAAGAGTTTATATAGATCACACGACATCGTAGCCCGGCACAGACCGGTATCTGGGTGATTCGGTACCGCTCTGGGCGTCCGACTTGTTCCCGCCGACGTGGGGAGGTGGCTTGGCCAGTCGCAGGATCCAGCAGAGGCAGTACTCGACTGGCAACAGTAGCAAGAATACGCGGTTAATCATGAAGCACACGGTGACCGAGATCATGGCCATGACAGCGTCCAGCCAATAGTGGTTTGCAGTCGCGACGATAACGCTGAGAACCAGCAGCGAGTATGCGAATGCGAGAACCGTGTAGATGATTTGAGTGATGGTGGACTTGCGGACGGGCTTGCCGCGAAGTCGGCGGAAGATTTCAGAGTGATAGAGGAATGTGCTGCTGATCACGAAGGCGTAGGTAAAGTGTAGACTGGGCATGGCGGCGAATTGGTTCACGGATTTGCTGTCGACCCAGACACTCTCGGCATGCTCTTGACGGACGGTGTCGAAGAAGTGGTAGGACTCGGGGAGGAGACGGGGTGGCATGCATGGGTATACGCAAAAGGTTGCAAAAGCGAAGAAGTTGCCGAGGGTCATGGTGCGGCGGACGAGGGCGAAAGTGTTTGCATTGGGGGCTTCGTGGTAGTACCAGGAGATGAAGCTTGAAAGGAAGTTAGTTTTGCTTTCTTTTTTGACTTATGAATGTACTTAAGGAATGATCACTCACAGTACGGTTCCTGGGATATGCACGAGCGAGTAAATCCGGTTGAAAAAGGTCATGATGCCCGGGTGACTACCCAGGAAATAACCTTGAAAGTCCGATTCCAAAATCGGGAACAACCATCTGAAGATCGACTCATGCTCGAACCAAAGGATATCCTCGCCATGTCGCTGAGCGACTTCAACCACACCCACCTGAGCGGGAGCCAACCATTGTGCCGTCGCCTTGGTGACGGAGTAGAACAGATAGTTGACAGCCCAATAGAACATCTCGACCAAGAAGGGGAATTTGTACAAGATGCGGCTGTGGATATGGTTGGACCAACGCGATGAGTCTGGTGTGCTGATAGGAATGCCACAAACGCGCTCTGCTTTGTTCGGGTTGGGCGACTGTCCGCGGTCATCTTCTACAGAGTCAAAATACCCGCGGGGATTGCGCTCGTCAGTGGTTCTGCTGCCGAATATGCTGTAGTTTTTGCGCCGATTAAGCACGAGAGAGCCAATCATGATGCTAACGACCACCTATCATTCACCATGTTTATTAGGAATTGTCCAACGAGAATGGTCTGACCGAGGAAAGCAACTTACCAGTGGTTCCAGCCATGAGTGTGAGGAGAACTGGGGTTTCCCCATGTCCGGCGTGGTCGCCGACATTTTGAGAAAGATGAGGCCGAAAACAGACTCTCCAGTGAATATATTATGTTGACTTTGAACAGAAATCCCAGAACAAGGGTGGTTCAAACAATAATAACAAAAAAATAAGACAGCGAGAGAGCAAGGGATGGGGAAAGGGAAAAGGACCAAGAGAGGGAGCGGAAAGCGGAGGGCGGAAATCGACCACCACGAGCGAGAGTTAAAAGAGGATTATGATTATATAAACGAGATCGACAAAAGTAGGGAGCCCCCTTAGGGATTTGGGGGGAAGGAAAAACAGGGTTAAGATCTGGAAGGAACCCTTTCAGCTCTAAACGATGGGGACGTTGGACAGAATAGTCGGACGCGTGTCTTGGCCCAGGGGTGGCTTAACGAAGTACATGACTACATGTAACTAATCTGATGTGCGCCCCCTCCTCCTCCTCGGGGGAACCCAATCGCCGGTCTATAATCATCATAGAAGGCCGAAATGTGGTTATGCATGGAGAGAGAGGGGGGCGGTCTCATAATTGACCGATCCGGCTTTGGGTCGTGTGCTCGATGCGATTGGGCATTCCTTGGCATCGACTCCATAGTTGGACGGGGAAACACTGAAACTACTAGGGAATATGGAGTCCTGCGGCATAGTTTTTGGTTAGTACCGTTGATAAGGGGGATAAAAGAGTCCCCTAGGAGAATTATCTTTTCATCCGAAACTGATGGGACCAAAAAGGGAGATTATGGAGGCAATTACGTATACGGCTGGCTCGGAGAATGGAAGGCGCTTACTTCCGCGTACTCTCGTTCGGATGTTCGCCCACCCGTATTCGTATCTGGCCTTATGTGTACGGAGTAGAACTAGCTCGTGAATTACCTGACAAGGCTATGTCGATCGATCACTGACCGGAGATACGCTGACCTTTTGCTACGGCCGTACGAAGGAGATAGCATAGCATATAGATTCAAAGCATAGGGACTCCGTAGTAGAAACCCAGTTGATGACGAGTATCCTCCTATGGAACCATCCGTCCTGCACGAATGACCAGATTCCGAATTTGATTTGATTCAAAATCCTTGCAATTTTTTGCCAGCGCCCCACATCGTCACCTTCCCCTGATCAATTTATTGGTCTCCAGGTCGGACAACTTCCCCCCTCTTGGCGCAGTGATCTCCCCATTTGGACCGGGCCCAGAGAGAAACAAGAAAAACCCAGCGCCTCGATGTGCGATACATCATGCATCTAATACGGAGTACGAAGTACGAAGTACCACTGTCCACTGTCCTGCCCCTAAAATAATAATATCCTGCATAGCCACAAGAGACAAGCCACGGCGCTGCCATCAACGCCATTCATTGAACCACCACGTCAGCCCTCGCAATCTGATCCGAACACCAAGCAACGAAGACCTGACCGAATCTGGGCCGTGGCGGGTGAGGCGTCCAGGCTGGCGTTGACTGAGGCTCAGCCCTCATGTCCTGTTTCCCGTTTCTACACTGTACCGTTGGGCATCCACTCATTCCTCTTTTTCTCCGCTTACATGATTCCCAAGAAAAAAAAATTCCTTATTTAAGAAAAAGACCCAGGCGAGTCTGCGACGAATGGGCGTATTGTGAGAAATGCATAATACTCGCGAATAACTCCCCAATAGTGCACCGAAGATTCTCCCGAGCTCCACTCTTCTTCTGCTCCACTGGGAAAAATCGGTATTCGGTGCTTGGCGCCGGCCGGACTCCGAACCCATCGTACAGATTCCCCGTTCTGCGAGATAGAAAAGTATGCTTAAACATGTCAAATACCGAGGCACGAGAAAAGGTTGGTTTATTCATCATGCTCGCAATTCGCAAGGTTTGATGAAAACTTGCTATCGCCGTAATTAAAGTTCTAAGTTTCTAATTTTGACTATCCGCGCGCATCCGGCGGAGATCTAGTGGTTTTATGTCGAATTTATGAACGCCCTAAACCTTGACACTCGCCGTTTAAGTATGTACAATGCTGGACAAGTCGACGTAGACTATGCCGGTTCTCCCTATTCACTCCCGTTTATTGGTCTATCATCAGAGATAGAGTTATTCAGAGTTATAAATACATACCCACTTTGGTCCGGTCAAACCCTTCGTGCCTCACATGTAAGGACCCTGTTGCCCCATCACCTCTGGGCCGGGTCGGCCGACGCTGTCATAAGCCCGGCCAATCAATGAAGTGAACTGGTGGAAATCATGTGCAACTTCTTATGTAGACAAGTACCTCCCTGTTCTAGCCTATTATACGAGTCGCCTACAGTTTCTGAACAGTCATTGAATTGGTCATCGTTCATTCCATCATAAGAAAGAAGTCAAAAAAAAACCCTACGGGTTTAGAGAACCGCCACAGCAGAAACGTAGCTAACAGAACTGTCGGCCACATCCACTACATCCGAGCTGCGCTCATAGCGGAGGAAATGGAAAAGACCCTTCTTGCTCTCCGGTTGAGTCTCCATCACAACCTCGAGCGCAGCCATGATAACTCCAATCGGATGCCGGCCACAGACCGTATTCCCAGTGCGGTCAATAGTATCGAGGAACGTGGCGGCAGATCCAGTCGTAATGGCCGTCATCGTCGCAATATCAAATGCGGAGATACTCTCGTGAATAGTAGGCGCCGTCCTCGGGACCCTATCACGTTGCCGCAAGGCATGTCCCGCGCAGACCGAGTTGATGCTCTCCAGGACATCATCGGGATCCTGTCCTGGCTGGGGGAGCTCTTCACCCGATAATGGGAGTACCGGACCTGGCATCGGAGCGTCCGGCACGTAGTACGTGTAGCGGAAGCGGAGACCCCAGTGACAAAAGTCCGAGCTGATCACAAAAGCATTGGATGGATCTGCCAGATACGGAGCCAACAAGGCTCCGAATGCCTGCTCTGTCGCGGCAGAGGTACTTCCCACCATAATGGGAACGAGCGGTGGGTACTCTGCCGTCGGGGTGTTTGGGAACTGTAGCTGCAGTAGGCGATGGATGTATGGGAGGTGCATCTCGATGCTATGCTCATCCTCGTCGACAGACTGGCTCATGGTTGTGAATCGCATCTTGGATCCATTTGGCTTGGTTGCCTGGGTCGTTAGTAGCTTACTGATAAGCTCTGTGTCGAGTGGCAGAGGGTCGCTGGACAGCGGGGTCTCGTACGAGGTGACTTGGGGTAGAGCCAGTGTTGAGAGTGCATAGTGGTGCGATGGACCCAGGATAAAGATGCGCTTTCTAGAATTTCAAGCTCTGTATGAGACACATCGGGCTCTGGTATAGTATAAAGCGGGGTGGTAAACTCACGCCTTTGATAGATCAAGGGCCTTGTATGCAAAGGCTGCGCAGGGTCCTGAGTAGGAATACCCCGCATGTCTGTTTCATTAGTCCTTCTAGTCTTTTTAAAAGAGGCTTGGTGGGCTTGGCTGGTCAATATACATACGGGGCAATGATAACTCGAGCTCCAGGCACAGGCAGCGGTCCAACCTTATCTAAGGACTCCGGCACTTGGGCCAGCCAGTCGTCCAGCTGGCGAGTCAGGGTTCCAGTACTACCAGAGTACCAAGATCCGGCGTGAGAGGCTTGTCTGGTTGACATGATGACAGGGATCGTTGTTTTGGATGGGGTTCCGAGTGAGGTTCAAGAGTCGAATGTTTTAGGTTGGGGGAAGCTCCGACTGAGGAGAAGCGGGGGAGGAAACCGTCATCAAGTGGAGCACAATGCGGGATGCCGAATGCTCTGGACTACGGTATCCCGGATTATTTAGAGTAATAATAGGTGTTTTGGCTTTGAGCGATCCGTTTAGACGTATTTCAGACCTTGTATATGTTTACTGGTGTGAAATCAACTAATAAATTGGTTAACTCTGACTGTCCAATCATCAACATATAATGACGTCGTCACGGGATGGGAAGTATACCGTTTTCAGCCAACCTACCATTCGAGTAGGGATTCGTAGCGCCAAATGGGTTTAAATTCTCGAAGTATGCGCGTGAACATGTCTGCCCGTTGCTGATAGTTACTAGTTAATGTCATCCTATCTTTAAAGTGATTAATCAATCTCGAGCATTCCACTAATTAGTCCCTGCACGATCGGACGGTACAATTCCCGACCAGCCAACCACGAGTATTTCTTGGTAGTAGCAAGAGAGTTAATTCCTCATATATACTCAGACAGTCGATTTCTACCCACTATAGCCCCATATCAGCACCTCAGCATCCACACTCGCAGCGTTGTGTGCAATGTTGCCCATTCCGGACTAGCGTGTCCCGGTCAACGCGAATCCGCCGAACCAAAGACGCGCCCAGCCAATTAGCATGCGCGCTCCGCTCCAGCCTTTTCCTCTCGTCCAGATGCAACTCTGCTTCTTACACTGCCGGCCTGGGCTTTAAACCTGCAATTGCCCCCTCAGAGTTTCTCTGGAACATCTTATAATCATATTACCACCGCAATGTCCCTCAAGCGCAAAGCCTCCTTCTCTGGCCTCCCGTCGAGCATGGCGATGCCCATGCCTAGCGGATGGGGCGTGTCCGATAGCTCCAAGGACCTTCCCAGCCGGACCCGAAAGCGCTTCCGGAACGGCCGTCCAGATGACGACGTGGTATATGGTACGTGACACTCCTCTATATGGAGATATCTCCAATGGAGAACAGTGCTCCACGCATATCACCCCAATCCTACCCTGTACAGACAGCAGAGCAGCTTGCTGACGGCTCACGAGCAGAGAAAACCCTACGCTGGATCTTCTCTGCACAACAGCAACAGCAACAACAGCCCATTACTCCCATGGACACCGCAGACGACGCCATGATGGACGCCGAGACCAGTATCCCTTCTCCCGAAACCGTCGACCCGCGCCAACAGACCTTGCTACGATTCTTCCAGCCCCGTGCAGAGGCATTGTCGCCCTTCCGACCCTCCCGCGAAGCCCTTGCAGCTCGTGCCAATGAAACGGCTATGGACCAGGAAGAGATTATGCGCCGCCAGGCCTTTTCGCAGATGAATATGGCCGGAAGCACGAGCGGAAGCGAGATCACGAGCCCGGGTTTTTTCCAGACCGAGACGGATGTTGATATGGATATGGATGGCGGGGAGAGTAGCGATAGCTCGAATCCCGTTTCTAAGTGGGGATTCTGGAATGGAGGTGTTTAGTTGATTGTGGACAGGGCAGCGGTGGAGCTGTCAAGGTTCTCCGTTGAATCGCGCGCTGGTCGCTCGATGGGGAGAGGATGTCCGTTCATCTCGTGATATCCTTCGCATTTTTGGGGGATTTTGGGAAGGTGTTTGAGTTTCTGGTCGCTTTTATCTTGTTTACGCATTGGTTCTCGGGGAGGACTAGGCGTTATATGGACTCGGTGTTGGTGTGTCTGTTTTGGCTGAGTTCCTAGAAGGACGTAATAGGGTACCTATCAAAGGTATAATTTTGAATGAACATATTCAGCTTCTGAAGTCTTATGGCTTTGGTAAAAGTGTAGAATGCCTAGATGTGGTCAGAGGCAATTTTTAGAAATGACCTTGATATATCAGTTCTTGGACAAACGAATGAGATTTAGCCTACACTGTAGAAACAGCAACATTGGCCTCACTGTCTCGAGAGATATTCGTATGGTTAATAAGATTCGTATGGTTGATAAGAGAGAATGCGAGAAATGAAAAAAGAATAAGAGTTGAGGCAAGTTTCAAGTTCTGGGGACTTGATACCCAATGAGCCTTTTAGGCACACGAGCTTAGGTATCGCTTGCTAGCCCAGTCACATCCCAAGGCGGAGCTATATTATGCTAGTTAGTACATACAACTCTCTACTCAGGAGGAAGGAGATTGAACCCGAGGCTGAGATGAAATTAAGCTAAACAAATCACTAGTCCCGGGCTTTCTGAGTATGCTTGGCCCTTTGAATCATTATTTGATCAAATCCACGGTTCTCCTTGGGGGTCTTTCCCACGACTCAGTTGTCATGCGAAGAAAGAGGGCAAATATATTAGAGCCTAAGCAGTATTAACTATAGACATATTATCTAAGTCTTCTCCTATGAATCGTCACTTTATACTCGTTGCGTGAAAGCTCACTGAATCAGATAGAGCAGGCAGTGTGTACGTGGTGAATGGAGAAGGCAAAGCAACTTGCATTCTTCAAATAGGCGAGAAATAGACGCCTAGTAGATCAATTTAGCTCTTCTTCTTTGCTTTAGACTGCCCGCGCAGTCCTTCTCTTCGAATATAGATCGTTTCAGCGAGGTGGGCCCATTGATGGCCTCAGGCACCAAGAAGCTGGTTCCCGAGGTGTTTGCTGTCAGGCAATGACGACCATCCCCTCCAAAACACCCGCGAGCGATTAGTGACGAGACTGCAGTTGCTCGACTTTTGACAATCACAAACCTTGACACCTACATCTGCTGCCTCTCTGTCCCGGCCTGCCATTTGAGTCACCAGTGAGGCTTGCAAATCGTCGACTACCCCCGCTCTCGATCTTGCTTGCGCCGACCCCTCGGACCCTCACATTAATTGAGACGCCATTCTCTACAGCGACAATGGAGAGTGAAAAGGCAGTCGAGTACCTGAATGGCCTGCTAGGCCGAACCCTGCGTATTCATGCTACTGATGGCCGCATGTTTGTTGGCCTCTTCAAGTGCACTGATGCGGTAAGCAACCTCCGTGTGATCGTTGATCGCAGTCGAAGAGCGAGAATACAGTTGGAAGATTACGCTTTGTGATACCTATTCTTTCGGGCAGTGCTAATGTTAATTATTCTCGTATTCTAGGAGCGCAACATTATTCTTGCCAATTCTTTCGAGTACCGCTTGCCTACTGCCTCCGCCATCCAAGAAGCCGCTGCAAAGGAGACCGAGTCGTGGGACAAGACCGAACCCAAAGCCGCCACCGTTAAAGTCAATATGAGTAGTCGACTCATTGGACTCATCGTGATCCCCGGCCGGCATATTACGAAGATTGAGCTGGAGTAATCGGTTGAACTCGGGCAGCGCCTATGATCACGAGACGTTTCAGCTTGTTGCTTTTCCCATGAGACGCACCTTGGAAACCGGGGAACCCAGGATTATGAGCGCTTCCGCGGAGCCAAGCCTGTGGGATTAAAGCCAATCCAAATCCCGAATCGGACATGTTCACCCGGTATCTGCCCCTTACACTACCTCTACAATCTCAGCACACCACCTGGGTTGCCTCTCCGCAGGCACGAGGGTTGAAGGTGGGGCTGCCAAGAACCCGTTGTCCTGGCGGATGTGATGCTTGCTACTGCTCAATCAACGTGGTCCGGGGGACACAGCAGGATTCTCGCAGAATCATGGAGGCTTGGCCAGCATGTCCGCTGCCACGAGGTCTTCGTTTTGGGGAATTCCTTTTGCTGGTCTGGCTGGGGAGTGGACGATGTGATGGAGGGGGGAGAAATGGCGGTGTCTCCGCCACTGGGATACCTTGGCACTCATGCAGTGGCTGTTGTGCAGGACTAAGACGCCCTGCGGCTCTCGATCCACTCAAGTCGCAATCTTTTGCCAGGTCAAGCCACCCCTCGAATGGAGCTGAAGTTTACCTATTGTTTCTCGGAAACCGTGGTGCTGGCTAGTGGTTCATGGCACCGAGATCTCGAACCTTCTTACCGCTGCAGACACCACGTGAGGACTCTAAAGCCCCCTTCAACTGTATTTCTCGATGTAATTTGTGGATGATCGATTATGGTCTGGTAGAGGGGTACATCAGGCCGTCTCCCCCGCTGTTCGTGATAGGAGAGTTGGGCGGAGGCCTAAGCTCCATGATCACTTAGCTGTTACTGGCTAAGAGGCTCGGAAAAGTCAGTCGGAACAGACTATATCTGCAATATTGTTTCGCACTGTCCTTTTCTATCAGACCGAATTCAAATCGAGGGAGCATCTTCACGAGATCAGATAGATTTCGCTTATCAAAGAGAAATAGCCAGGGCCTAGAAGGATGCAGTAGCGGACAGACCCGCATTTTCTTGTTATCATGATGATGCTACAATGTAGATGGATTCTTTTTTTCTCCTACATTTCTATTTTGGGGCCTAGAGGTTCTGTTTTGCTTAAATACATCAGTAGACTTTGGTTTGTAGAAGCTAGTTATCAAAGTCATGAACGCATCAAAGACCCAAGGACTATAAATACTTACAGCGGGCCCAGACTCTCCACGGGCCGGCGATGATCCGGCGGCAACGCTTACGTAAGTTGAGTGGCCAGAACCGGACTTCAGCTGATCCTCCAAAAGTACGGCAAAAGTAGTCCAAGTCCGCCTTCTCCGGTAACTGCGAGGTACCTTCTCATAGCATAGCGGTGGCGGAGTACCTCCTCCCTACATCTAGCCCTTCCCTTCCCCTCCTTCCTTTCCACTTCCCTTTTACGATAATCAATTCAATCTCCAATCTTCAAGACACATACCCACCCCCCTCCCTACCCATCGTGAGTTTCTCTTGTCTCTTTTCTGTTCCCCTCCTCCGACTCTCCACTTCAGGTGGGATACCATCACCCTGGCCCACGATCCCCATACATAATGACGCATTCCTCTCTACCCGCTCATCCTCCACAACCCACACCACTTCCAACTTCCTTCAACCCTCCCTTGCTTTTTCTCTCCAACCTCCACATACCCCGTTGAAGCTCCAGCTTTGGTGGAGTTCAGCCCTGTCGATTCAACTCCCTTCGGCGCCTGACTGGATCACCCCCGTTAGGCAGAGACTAATCCCGCGTGCAGGAGCTTCCTGTCCGTGCAGCCTCGGAGCTACGCCTCTCATCTCTTCCTTCCTCTCGGACCGAGCTACATCCAGCTTTTTCGTCCAGCTTACTCCGGACTTCCCCTTCGGACCATCGTAGTCTCTCGCTTCGACTGAACACCCGCCCTACTCATCTCTCTGCTTGACACTGCCAGGTCGCTTCATCGCCTTGCCTACCGTTGCCCCCAGCTCATCCTTTTAACTTTTTTTCCCTCACCTGCGTGGCTGTTCTTGGCTAGATTTCACGTTCCAAAACACCGCATCCTGTGGTGAACAATCGCAGAAAACCCTCGCATTCGCATTGCCCACGCCGTGTCGGGTATCTGCAAGGTTAATATACTGGTGATTGGAAACATTGCACCCTCCCCGGCGCAAGGAAGCCAAGACATTCCAACGCCCAGGGGAACCTTTCTCGGCGTCGCTCTTGGAACCTTCGTTGTTCGTGCGATCACTCTGCGCGCCCCTCGTTCCTAGCTTGGCAGTTATCCTAGCCTTGCAGTGATGGGTCAATCGCATTCCAAGGGCAACGCCAGCTCGGGCGACCCGTTGCAGTCGTACCCGTCCTTTTCGAAATCCGACACCAAAGAATCCATCCGCTCGTTCCGCGGCTCTATTCGCTCAAAAATCCGCAGCACCGACAGCCCTCGTGCCTCGACAACCGCCCTCTCCCAGACCGAAAGCCAGGGTGACAAGTCCGATGCAGGCTCAGTCAGATCCAGTCGCCCGGGCTCCGTCGCCGGCCTCTCAGCCCCAGGATCTGAGAATGTCTCACGCACAGGCACACCGGAGCCCCCACCATCGCCCTCGCTGTCCTCCAGTCTCAAGCGCGGCCATAAGGATGTGAATGCGATGCAGCAGAGTGGCGAGGTGGACCTTGTGTCCGATGGCCCTCCATCTGGCGGTCCACCTGCCGGAACTGCTTTGAAGGCTGGCGAATCGATCTTGATCAAGCGTGAAAATCAGCTGAACCCTATCTTGGATTTCATTCTCAACGCCCCGCTCGAAACCTCCGGGTCTCCCGGAATGGGTATGGGTGCTCTGAAGTCGATCGACTTGGACGACATGATCTCGAGACTGTTGGATGCTGGTTATTCCACCAAGGTCACCAAGACCGTTTGTCTCAAGAATGCCGAGATCACCGCTATCTGTTCGGCCGCTCGGGAGCTCTTCCTTTCCCAGCCAGCCCTCTTGGAGCTGTCTGCTCCGGTCAAGATCGTTGGTGACGTCCACGGTCAGTATACCGATCTGATTCGCCTCTTCGAGATGTGCGGTTTCCCGCCCGCATCGAACTACCTCTTCCTGGGTGATTACGTCGATCGAGGCAAGCAGAGCCTGGAGACGATTCTCCTGCTGATGTGCTATAAGCTCAAATATCCGGAGAACTTCTTCCTGCTCCGTGGTAATCACGAGTGTGCTAACGTCACACGGGTATATGGTTTCTATGACGAGTGTAAGCGACGTTGCAACATCAAGATCTGGAAGGGCTTCATCGATACCTTCAACTGCCTTCCTATTGCCTCCATCGTGGCCGGCAAGATTTTCTGTGTGCACGGTGGATTGTCGCCCAGTCTGTCGCATATGGACGATATTAGGGGTATCGCCCGCCCAACCGACGTTCCCGACTATGGTCTACTGAATGATCTCTTGTGGAGTGATCCGGCAGACATGGAGGAGGATTGGGAGCCGAATGAACGTGGTGTTAGTTATTGCTTCGGCAAGAAGGTGATCATGAACTTTTTGCAACGTCATGACTTTGATTTGGTGTGCCGTGCGCACATGGTAGTCGAGGATGGATATGAGTTCTACCAGGACCGGATTCTGGTGACCGTCTTCTCAGCACCTAACGTAAGTTTTGTTGACCTTTTTCTTGGAGTTTGTAAGAGTATTTCTGGAATGATTGCTGATGTTTTTGTTTCCAGTACTGTGGCGAGTTCGACAACTGGGGTGCTATCATGTCAGTCTCTGGGGAGCTCCTCTGTAGCTTCGAGCTCTTGAAGCCTCTGGATTCGACCGCCCTTAAGAATCACATCAAGAAGGGCCGTAACAAGAGGAACAGCATGCTGAGCAGTCCTGTAAGACGCCCAAACCCAAAGCCCCCTTGCTTTTTCTCGCTTTTCCGTGCCAAGCGAGTCCCATGGAGTCGAAGAAGGATGCCAAGGATCCCATTTTCGTTTGCGATGGTGCTACGTTCAATAACTAACGCGTTACGCTCCTTATTTTAGCCGGCACTGCCCTCCGCTCAGAGTTTCTAGTTTGCATGATCGACAATCTACGAGTCCCGATTTCGGGATCCGGTATACGCTTCCCTCGCCCTTGGCGCAGATCCTTCTGCAGAACCCGACAGAAATTGAAATCCGATCTTCACCTCCCCCTCACCAGCCGTATGGTTGCAGCTTCGTTGCTGCAGTGTGGTTGAAGAATGAAATTAACTCCCCTGGGATCTGCCACAACTCAGTCCACCGAGGGTCTTTTCAGACTCTTATGTTTTTTCTGACCGACCAGATTAGTCGCGTCAATGCCCGTGGTGCCAAGCCAAACCATTCAATCTGGTTCGATTCAAGCCGAAAGCTCCAGACTCTATTCCACGCGCGGGCGGATCCCACTTATGACCAGAAACACAGAGGAAGGTAGGCTTGGGGTCGCCATTCGTGGATAATCCCTTGCCCGCGCCCCGGCTTTTAGGCTCGTGCCTTTGGGCATGCATGCTGATCATATCCAGACAGGCCCGGGCCCCCGATGCCGCCGGACAGCTCTCTTCTCTTGCCTTTGGCTCATTTTCTCTGCCCTCTGTGTATCTATCTACTCTCTTCTCTCTATCTCTAGAAATTGGCGTTTGGAGGGGTCGTTCATCCTTATCCAATTCAAGTTACTACCCGGTGATGGTAGTTTTACACTGATCATTGATCTTCTTTCCTTGTACGTTTAGAGTGTTTTAAGACACTCTCTATGTAGACAGTAGACCGCTAGGGTAGATTGGTTGATAGGCTGAACCTATTGACTAACTAGCATCATTTACTTGGCATGGTGCCAAGTACCACAACTCTTGCTAGACTCGAGATAACCTACTCAATCTGATCAATAAACCGTCTAACAGCTATCTATACACACTCAGAACATCCCGCTAGTAATCAAATCAACCAGGAATTCACTCTCCATCATCGCTGCATCAATAACCCCCGATTCTCCTCCCAAAACACCTTACACCCAGTATGCCCCCAATGCTCCGTCCACCACTCCCCAAAACTATCCTGCACATCATCCTCATCAACCCTAACAACCCTCTCATCCCTCCTCAACGCACAAAGCGCACAAGCATGACCAGCCTTAATCCCCCCTGCTCCGCCTTAACAGTAACAACCCTCAACGCCGCCGGGCCGGCCACAACAGGAATAGGTTTCTTCCCCACAGCCTGAACGATAGAGTTAAACAGCGACGCGCGCTCGCGCCATAGCGCTAGCACGTCGACGGCGTCTTGCGCTTCTTTCACGTCTTCGTGTTTATTCACCGCGCTGAGTTTCATGCCGCCCGTTTTGCCGGCGCGGGCGGGTCCTATGCGCATGCTTTGGGCGAGGAGGGTGTCGCGTTTCCAGCGGTGGGTGCGGCCGGCGATTATGCGGGCTGTTGTGTGTAGGGTGTTTTGGATTTTTGTGGCTGTTGGGAGCTTTTGATCGGTGGGTAGGGGTTGGGCTGTTTGGGCGGTTTTTTGGAGGGTTGTTAGTTGGGTTAGGAGGTGTTCGAGGAGGATGGAGGGGGGTGGGATGTTGGTTGGTCGGACTGTTGGAGGTGTGGTTGGTGTGTTTGTGGTGAAACTTTGTGGGGAGGGGGTTGTTTTTGTTGTGGATGGTGATGGGGTTGGTCGTGTTGATAAGGTTGGCTGGGGGTTTGAAGGTGCTGGGCCATCGTCGAAGTCGCCCCAGTTTTCGAAGGTGTCGTCTTCCCAGGTTGGTTGTTGAGGTTTGGATTTGGCGAGAGGCTTGGTTTGAGTAGGGGCTTTTGGTTTTATAGTGGATGTAGCCTTGGTTGATATACTGGCCTTGGCGGGGACGGCGGATGTCTGCTTCTTGGCAGAGGAGGCCTTTGGTGGTAGGTTGGTGGATGGCCCATCTGTAAAGTCGCCCCAGTCTCCAAAGGAATCATCCTCGAGCAATGAGTTTCCTGGTGTGTTTCTTTGGATTGGCTGCCGGAGAGGCTTTGGTGGAAGTGGTTTTGCGGATTGAGCTTCAGTGAACTCACCCCAGTCTCCGAACGAGTCGTCATCCCATCCTGGTTGAGACGGAGGATTCCCAGTTGGATGTTGAGATTGTTGGTGGGGAACTGAGGTATTTTCATCCATTGAAAGTCCTCCAAGCAAGTCGACCGTTTGATTGAGTCCGATATCTCGGGAAGCTTGGGCCGGTGGTGCTGGCGCCGATGTGCGCGCATATGATGCCATGGCCGTTGATTGCTGGGACTGACTCTGTTGAGAGGCTTCCGGTCCTTCAAATTCACCCCAGTCATCATCATCACCCTCGCTGGTTGGCGTGTCCTCTGTGGCGTCGAAGAGCACATCACTGTGATGCGGCCGGGGTAGATCAAATGCCTGATAGGCAGCAGGTTGGCGGGGAGCTGCGGCCGTAGGCGCATATTGACTTTGTTGTGAGTTTATCTGAGGACCTTGCTGATACCTTTGCGAGGTCTTGGAGGCATCGCCAAAGAATATATCATCTGATTGGTTGAATCCGTCGATCAGGGAGTTTGTAGGTGGTTGTGCTGTCCGAATTGGGTGTTCGGAGCTTTGGGCAGAACCAGAACCCTGGCCGAACTCTGCTAATAAGTCTGCGGACATTGGGAATCCACGGTCAAGAACCGATGTAAAAGGGCATGAGGTCGTGGCAAGGGCACTATCGTCGCACAAAATTATGTACCTCGTTCCTCGTGTATCACTGGAATCCTGGGGTCGGGGGATGTTGCAATGCTCCGGGCGAGTGACAACAGGGCGATAAGAGCTCGTGCGGCGGGATTACATTATCGCCGCCCTCACCTTACCTCCCCCTCCACCTTTTCCCTCCAACTACCAACAGGTGAAATGAGAACCATTGAGGAGACAAGGTATTTATCCATACAGGATGAGCGAGATGAAGGTGTAAAATTTGACAGAAGCTAACATGTCCCGTCTTACCTCTACAGAAAGAGATGGGAGACACTCTTCCTTGGCCATGACACCCCCTCCGACCTGCGGGCGGCATTGCGTGCGGAGCAAGGAACAAAGCTGTGCACCGACGGACTGAGATCGATCTGCTGGAAGGTCTGTGGATGCAACTAAACCAGCTTGGATATAATTTCAACACTCATCCCGCCTGCAGGTGTTCCTGCTATTTGACAGTGCCGAGCGCGAACAATGGTCTCAGAAACTTGCCGAGTCGCGAGATGCGTACAGCGCCTTGCGTGCCCATTTTCTGAAATATATCGAGCACCCCGATGACCTGGAGTCGACAGTCGATCCGCTGGCGGACGATGAGGAGGTATGCCAGTATTCCTTTTGACGTTGACACTGGGCGAGAAAGAGACTCGAGGAATGATCGGTCTGACCAAGCTTTTTACCCAATCACTAGTCTCCCTGGCAAACGCTCCGTAACGATGAAAAACTACGGGCCGAAATTGTACAAGATGTCGACCGTTGCCTACAAGAGAATTTCTTCTTCCAAGAGCCCTCAACGAAACAGAAGTTGACCGATGTCTTGTTTGTTTACTCGAAACTCAATCCGGATGTCGGCTATAGACAAGGGATGCACGAACTACTGGCCCCCATTCTATGGGTTATTGATCGGGACTCGGTCGAGCGTCCAGCTCAGGGTGCACCTGTGAAAGAGGACAGCCTTATGCTGGATCTTCTCGATACTAGATTTGTGGAGCATGACTCCTTTACCCTATTTCTGTCTGTCATGCAGACAGCTCGCATATATTATGAACATGGCGAGACCAAATCAGCAAATGGAACGGTGGATGTCATTCCGATTGTAAACAGGTGCCAATATCTTCACCAAGAGGCTCTGACAATCATCGATCACGAATTGGCAGATCACCTCCATGCGGTGGAGGTGCTACCACAGATTTTCCTGACGTGAGTTGATCCATGACATCGGCTTATCAGATAAACTTTGCTAAATGCATGCGCAGTCGTTGGATGCGCCTGCTGTTTGGACGAGAATTCCCTTTCGATGATGTCCTTGAGATGTGGGATCTACTGTTTGCACATGGGCTACGATCTGATCTTGTTGATTTCACGTGCATTGCAATGCTGCTCCGCATCCGCTGGCAATGTAGGTGTCTACACAGATGAAGGAAACAGTTGGTTTCGAACGAGCTCGGCTAATCATCTGCATATAGTACTCGAAGCAGATTACTCTGGCGCACTGTCAATGTTACTACGCTATCCGCCTTCCGAACCCCATTCACCTCAAGCTTTCGTGCATGATGCGCTATATCTCGAACAGAATCCCACAGCGGAGCGGGGCACTTGCCTCATTTCTAAGTATTCGGGCAGAGCTCCAGAATCATCCAAGCCTCGCAGCCGCTCCGGAATTCGGCCTGCCATGAAGGCCCAGCTGTGGGAGGACTTCAAGGGTCGCAGCGAAAGCAGCTCCCCAGGTTCTTCGCCCGCAAGGAATAGTTCCAAGAGTTTGGAGGCACTCTTTCAAGACGTTTCCCAAGGCATCCAACGCCGTACCGAATCTTGGGGTGTGGCTAAAGCAGTCCGAGGGGCGGTGACTGAAGCTCGCAAGAATATGCAGACCATGCATTATGAACCAGGTCTTCGATCTGCTGCCACGCGTCCAAAGCCCGTCTCTACCATGGCCTTCAGAGGTGCACCACCGCACAGGCCAACGCCCACCGAGCTTGGGTTACAGACAAAGATCGATCGGCTGGAAGAAAGGAACCAACAACTAGCGACTACCTTGAGCGAGGCTTTGAAGGATCTCCGTACGCAGCTAGACACGGTGAAGGATATGGACCCAGCTACCAACGATACGGTCAAACACGCTCTCGATCGAGTGCAGTCCGTGCAGAACTGCCTCGAGGACTCCATGCTCGCTCCTCCAGTAGGGGCTACCTTGCATTCCGCTACTGTGGATGAGGTAACATCTCAATCGGAACCATCGGTCTCCAAACCAGTCAACAATCTCGAACCCCCAGAAGTGGCTGAGAAGCCGGAGCAGCAAGGCGCACGACCGCCCTCTCCCGCGGAAACTCCCAGCCCAAGCATAAAAAGTGGGACTACAAAGGCTGCCAGCATCGCCACAACGAGTGCGACGACCACCGACGGGCACGCCGATGCTGGGCGGGGAGGCCCACGGGCAACAGTACGACCATCCCTATCTGATGCTGGGTTCTCATGGATGTTGGGAGGCAACCGGAATCTTTCGACTTTTGTCAGTCCGGCCTCGGTTCCTCCGGAGCAGACTCGACATCAGGACCAACCTCGCAGCAAAGGCAGCAGTCCTATTTTCGGCAGTCATGGAGATGACCATCCCAGGACGGATAAAGCCGAGCACGATGAACTGGCGCTACACAGTCTGTCCGGTGCTCGAGGCCCGCTGTAAGGGGGATGGAGGGGGGAAATAATAATCCTGGTCCAGATCGCATTATGCAGGCAGAGATAGGCACACTGCAAGATGCAGGATTTTGACTGATTCCCATTTGCCCTTGTTGGAACCACCATTCAGTGCTGGCCATGGTCAGTGTGATAGTGGTGGGGGTGAGCAGAAAGCGAGGTCCACCGGAGCGAACACCTTCGGATCTATCGGCGCAGAGCAGCGAGCCACCAAAGCCGCTTTGTAGGTGGCTGAACTATAGAAAAGAATGGTCTTTGTTGGACAAAGAAATTCCCGAAAGCCTTATAGTTGAAGCATTTCCCTCCGAACAGTGGCAGACCAGCAAAAGTGGACGAGGTGGGGAAGAGGAATGTGCACTGCACCAGTGCGTTGTATGGTTGCTTTAGTCCGAAGAATTAATTGAGCTGCCCAAATTGGGCCCTGACTGGTTCTCTCGCATCTAATTAGTTGGAATACTCCATAGTTCCCCCCTCTTTGAAAACCTTGGAAGGAGATGTCGATATTAGTAGTAGTATCTATCAGTGGTAGTGGTTTAGGATACTTGTCCTGCCCTATACTCCCTTAATAGGTACGGAGGAATAACTCAGGCGCAACAAGGAAAAAAACCACAAAGCATATTCCACATGGTGGCCCAACTACCGTGCCGATCGGTCGATCAGAATTCCCGTCATTCTTCTTATTCCTACCACAAAAGTCCAGAGTAGTGACCTGATAGGGAGCACGGAAGACGGGGAGAAAGGAAGTATCAAATGTGAACAGAAACTAACTTCTCACCTCCATCCTTCAACCACCAACCAACGATACCAATAGACCACGCCCATTACATCACCCGCGCCCCCCCTTTCAGACTAAGAGACTACGCTCCCTCCCCACCAAACCCCGCTGGGCCTCGTTTTTCTCTTCTCTTCCTCTTCTTCCTCTTCCTCCCTCTGACAACTTCAACATCCGCGTGCTTTGCCCGCGACGCCACATATGCCGGGCGCGTTACGAGGCAGCTGCCCTCTCCTCTCCCCGGTCGCTGCCCGCTGACTCGAGCGAATGACCGTTCCGCCTTTCATTCATTCCATGTCGCATTCGACTCGACACTCCCTTTAAGCCTCGTTCTTTTTTTTTTGCTTCCTAAACCTCCCGGTCACTAGTCCTGAGGACTAGGGAGGACAGAGAAAGAGAGTGAATTACACCCCCCGCACAGAAGAATGGGGTCAGCACACCACCCCGATGGTAAGTCATACGCACATGCTTTTTTTCCCCCAACCTCATCCGTGTTCTGGTTTCACATGCCACGGGCCACAACCTTCCAAAAAAGTGATGGTAAGTTGGCTGGAGGAGTACGAGAAAAGGGAAAATACAGATGCGCCTGGCCCTTCCCGGTGTCGGCCAGCCCCAAATCAGAATCGACAATCGGGGTTATGACGGCAGAGCAAACGTCCCCCGGGCATCCGAAGACTGGACCTCGTCGACCCATGATAGCTTCACGAGTCTACCAAGTACCCCAGCAGCGCAACGAGCAACTTAGAGCACGCTTTTTTCTGCAGCATGCGTCTGACGAAGATCAACGGCCCCTCCTCTCCCTTCCCACCATCACTTGAGGAGATCACATTTCCCAAAGGGCCCGTGGAATGGAAATCCAGACACGCGCCGATTGAATTGAAAAGAAATGAACAAACGGTGCAGACCGCTGATCTCAATCCACCTTTAGGCGAACCGAGTCCTCTGTCGTCTCCCTTGGGGCCCCTCTCCGAATCGCCCGAGTCCGAGACGTCGGGCTTTCGAAAGCTTTCCTTGCAGACCGATCAACCCTTGCGAGGTTCGGTAGACAGTCTCTCCTCGGGATATGACCCTCTTCCAAGGTCCGTAGTCACTTCTCTTTTCTTTCACTCCCCACATGGCTTAGCTTTAGTCAAGAAGCTGACGATTTCACCCCATTTCCCAGTAGATCCCCGCTATTCGAGAATGATCATGGACTCGGTCCGTCCGGGCTGGATCGCATACGCCAGCAACCATCACGCGTTCTGACCCTTCCAAACCTGTCGTCCTCCTCTCTTGCTCCCATGGCCACCACATCCACCCGTCCTACTCCGTCGAGTCGCTCGAGCTCTTCGTCCCGAGCGCATACCGGTCACATGTCGATGAGCCAGAACTTCGGTGAGCTGGAGGACTTGCATCGATTCCCGTTGGAATCACTGCACTCCTTTTCTTTCGCACAACAATCGGAGGAGCTGCTGCACAGTCGACAAAATATCTTGAAAAGATCGATCGACTTTATGCGTGACCGCATGGGGTGGGCGGCCAGCAACAACGCCATCGCGAGTGCACAGGCCAACATGAGTGGGGATGCGGATATCCAGGGTATGATGGATCTCTTGACTCGGGCCCATGTTCTGGATGAGGATAACGGTGCGCACCCGCGGGGACCCACGACGGGACCTGCAGATGTCAATGGAGACAACATCTTCGACAGGGCATTTTCAGATCGTGGTCCGTCCCCCATTAGTACCCGCGATGCATCCCAGGAATTTTCCGTCCCTCCAGGTTCCCAGGCAACCTCCGAAGGCGTCCAACTCTTGAGTCCGGTGCCTAGTGAACGTATCCCTCAATCCCGGAAGGATCTCTATTCGGCACCGACATCCCGGCGCGTAAGCTTAAAACGTACATACACGGACCTCACCTATGCATCACTCAAAAGCAAGCTGATGGACACTCTAGCGCAACCATACGCCTCTACGGATCCCTTCGCCTCCATGGCGTCCTCTACAGCTGGATTGGGATTCCCCTTCCCTTCGGCCTTGCACACCCATAGCAGCAAATGGACCCCCGTCTCGCAGGCCGTCTTCCGAACTGAAGCCAAAGCACCATGGACAATCCTCGCGGCCAACGATCTCTCATGTCTTATTTTTGGAGTCACCCAAGCCGAGGTCCGGCGGCTCAGTATTCTAGAGGTCGTACAAACGGAGCATAGGCAGTGGCTGGAGGCCAAGCTTCGGGACCCTAGTACCGATGCCGCCGCCCGCACGCCACTTCAGCCGGAGAGGCCCAATATCCGTGCAGTGAACCCCAAGTTCCGCGGACTGGGGAATGGGGTGACGGCCCAGCTGCTCAGTAAACCATCCTCGCGCGAAAAGTCGCGGAGGGCACAGACCGATGATGGGTACGGCTCGAGCACGCGAAACAATCGCAACCCTAACCATCCGGCAAACAAGTCTCGGGGCGTTCTCCTGTGTGGTGATGTTGTGCCAATTCAGAAGCGGAATGGTGCCAAAGGTTCTGCAAGCATCTGGGTGATGGAGAAGCGCGGTGGTCTGATCTGGGTGTTAGAAGAAATCACGGAGAATATCGCCTCTGTTCGCTGTGATGACGCTTGGAACGTGGTTGAGGCAAAGGGTGACCTTGACAAGATCTGGGGTTCACATGTAGTTCGCACGGGTCAGCCGATAACCGAACTTTTACCTCGTTTGCCGTCCGAGTCGCTCGAGACTTCCCCCGAGAAGGGACTAGACAGGATTGTCGCGTTGAAGCATTTTGCGGCCCGCACCGCAGCTGGGGTGTGCATTCCGGTGACTATCGGAAGGGTGGACGAAGGTCGAACCTTGCAAGTGTCAAGTTTCCCCCACGTTGCAGGCATGATGGTGCTGTCTTCCTCTACGCTGAAGGTGATCAGCTCAAACTCTGTATTTTCTTCAGCCCTGTTCGGCCAAGAACGGCCTGAAGGCTGCCACATCACGAAACTGGTGCCTGGATTCGACGAGATCTTGGATGTGTTGACCGAGGAGGACAATGTACCGCTGGTGGATGGTATTGTAATTCCTGAACACAGTTTCCGCCGCGCTCGAACACTCTCCATTCTTCGTGACGGCAAAGCAAACGCAGCATCTGTTTTCACCGAACCCAGTGGTTTGCTTGCCAAACATCGGGACGGCTCCACTATTGTTGTTGACGTGCAGTTGCGCGTGGTGAAGAGTGGCACCTTTTTCTCCAAAGAACAAGTGGAGAGGCTTGAGGAGCGCTCAAGTGACTCGGAAGATAGCGAAGACACAATCGCTGTGACTGAACTTGTTTACGCGTTGTGGATCACCTACTCGCGACAAATCCACGCTGCCGGACCTGCAGCCCATCTCTCACCTTCAATGTTGCCCACCTCCAACCCCACCTCCCCCTCATCCGGAGCAACTCCCAGCTCCGAAAATCCCTCTACCGCTGCCACCAGCAGGGAAACTCCCGATGTCAGCAAGAGTTCCGTGGAAATTCAAAAGCCGAGCTCCACACTGAGCCAACAGCTCAGTGAGGCCGCCTCAGAGCCCTTGACCGATCGACCTGTGCAGCCGGTTGCCGAAGTGAAGGCGGCTGGCACCAAGGAAATGCCACAGAAACGGACGATTAACGACTACGTGATCCTAGAAGAGATGGGACAGGGTGCTTACGGACAGGTCAAGCTGGCACGGCTGAAGAAGCAGCCGACCAAGAAGATGGTTCTGAAGTACGTCACCAAGAAGCGAATCCTAGTGGATACGTGGACTCGCGATCGACGACTTGGCACTGTGCCCCTGGAGATTCACGTTTTGGACTTCCTGCGCCGCGATGGATACAAGCATCCCAACATTGTTGAGATGGAAGGTTTCTTTGAAGATGACATCAACTACTACATCGAGATGATCCCTCACGGGCTTCCTGGCATGGACCTGTTCGACTACATCGAACTCAAGGCCAACATGGACGAGTCGGAGTGTCGGAATATCTTCAAGCAGGTTGTCAGTGCTATCCATCATCTGCACACCAAGGCACTGGTCGTGCATCGTGATATCAAGGACGAGAATGTAGTGCTGGACGGGGAAGGCCGGATCAAGCTGATCGACTTTGGTAGTGCGGCCTACATCAAGAATGGGCCGTTTGATGTCTTTGTTGGAACTATTGGTAAGACTTTCTCAGGATTCTTGGGGATGGTTTGGATGCTGACCGCGATCGTGCTATCTCTAGATTACGCTGCCCCCGAAGTCCTCCAGGGCAAGTCCTACCGCGGCAAGGAGCAGGACATCTGGGCCCTGGGCATCCTCCTTTACACCATTGTCTACAAGGAGAACCCGTTCTACAACGTCGACGAAATCCTCGACCACCCCCTTCGCATCCCCTTCCTTCCCTTCTCGGAAGCCTGTATCGATCTGGTCCGCAAGATGCTGGATCGTGATGTCGACAACCGTTTGACTATCACTGAAGTCCTCGAACACCCCTGGATGACCGAGAGTGACTGAGACACATAGAAACTACACCGCCATCTCCCCGAAATGAAACCTCTTCCTACATGCCCGTGACATCCCACATCATACACGTTCCCCCCTCTACGCCCCCTTCTTGATGACCGAAAAAAGAAAAACACGATACCCCACGACGTTTTGATTGTCTTTGCTTGATGACGATGATGTGCTGCAGAATTTGGGAAGGTTTCTTCCGGGGATCATGGTTTTTGCTTTCCGTTTCCTTTCTTTTTTGTTATTAACTTAGTATTTTTCAGACCCTTCAGAGAGGGTGAGAAATGACAATGGGGTCTGTTTTTTTTTAATTTCTTTTGGTACAAAAATCATCATTCATATCATAGGTGTCATACTCATATTGTGTTTTTCTTTACGCATATCCATGGACTCGTTTATCTATTATGGCTATCAATTTGCTCTTTGTTCATGGCTGTCGTTTTTTTATTGCAATTCGCTCGGGGATACCTCTCTGCATCACACATATATCTGCTTCTCCTAACTTTTTGTGTCCTTGCTGCCCTCGGTGGATGATGACGATGTACTTAGAAACAAGATATGTATGACATATGGAGATCTACACATGCTCTTGTGACTATACTATACTTGCCCTATAACCTAGAACAGTCTTGACCCATTACGATGTTGTATCTACGTCGTACTAATACCTGGTATTATATGTAGTATGAATACAAGGCCTTAAAGCCAGAACGCACTGTTTTATGTAAGTTTAACCCCTTCTATGAATATCTTATTAGTAGTCAGAAAATCCTACCTCCTCCAAAGACCACAATAAATGGTCATTTTCATCCGGATTTTCAATATGGTAACCATTCGGAATAATCTCATTTACCCCCTTGATCTCCTTCAACCGTAAAGAACCCGAGTCAAATTGGGCCATTAACGCAGCCACTTCCTTATCGTGTGCTTCGTTTGCTCCCCTTTTATAGCCTCGAATAGACAGATACTCCAGGCTATCTGGCAGAGAGTCCACTAGTCTGACACTTCCTCTTTTCGCATCATCGATCTCAACGCCCTGGGCGAAGTAAATCAAAAATCCAATGCCAATGCGCAGTTCTTCCAGTGCCACAAAGTCTTTCAATGACGCATCGCGGTCCCAAATCGATGTCAAGTATCGGTGCATCTTGAGATCGGGGTCATCTTCACCGAGTTCATCGGGGTCGTATGCGTCAAACTCGAATTCACCGGGGCCTCCATATTTTTCCCAGTCCGTGGAATAGGAGTGTTGCGACGTCACTGCATCAGGGTATTTCCAAGGGAAGTCTTCGGTATCGATGTCGAGAACTTGTAGCGTTTTTTTGTGTGCTGATAGCCCTTTGATAAAGGCTTTGGGATTGAACATATGATATCCCCCATCAAGACTTGCCCTTCCTCCGAGGGTATATTGGAGTTCGGTTAGGGTTTTGCTTGAAGCCATCACGCACAAGAGATAGCTCGAGGGTAGAGAGGAGTGGTTGATTTTGATTTTGCTGATATTCGAGCTTGCCTGCTCGCATGTCTGTTTTCCGTTGTTCTCGTCTGGCTCAAACACATCGATACCGAATGACTCGATGGATGGGAGTTTGTTGAAGAGCTCGAGGCAAGCAATCAGATCTGCCTGCATATAGAATCGGCTATCACTAGTATAACAGTCTCCTCGATTGATCAAGTAGACCTCGCGTAGTTTCTGAAGAAAGCGAGTTCCCTCTGGGCGGGAATTGGCAGATCGGAAAACTTGAACGAGCGGCAATTCTCTAGCCCACTCTCCCTCTTCCTCGAGTTCGCTGTAGTGATAGAAAGGCTGTGTCATTGCCATAGTCTCAATATTTGGTGACATGGACACGATAAGGGCGACAATAGCTTGTGTGATGTAGGTGGGTGTAATGCCAAATCTCCTAGATGCTGGAGGTCAGATTTCTGTGCTGAAAATCACCCGATGGCAATGCCCAAGAAAGGCCTCTCTCTTACCAGACTCTACAACCATCAGGGTTATTGTAGCCCAAGTCATGGTCTAATTTGGTTTGCATAAGCATATTGATGATTCTCTCTTCCTTGTTACCCAGAAAGCCCGCATTTTGCACCGCACGTCTGAGAAGGTGCATATCGTCCGCGCTTAGATTGCGTTGATATGGTAATTCAGGGTAGTCACCACCATCGCTAGGCGTGAGCACATACTCAATCCGCTCCACGAAGTGGCCAAGGCAGGGTCGCTTAACAATATCCATGAGTAGCTGAAATGTATGCTCGAGATTGTGTTGATCGTCATTGATAAAGATTTTCCGGTATGCTTCACGATCGGCCTTTTCACACGAGCGGCCAAAACTAGGACCGGATAGTTCGGACGCATGGCAATCGGACAAGGAGCGTAACACAGAATTGGATAGTAGATTGGGAAACCTTTGATAGAGCCCGGGTGTTCGACAGCGTACGGATTTCATGACAGAACCTAGTGGTGGGGGGCGAAAGGTGAACAGCATGGCGACAACGGCAACAAGCACGGAGAGTATGAATTTTATGTGACGAGACATTGATGTTTTCCATATAGAAAGGTTGTCAAAGTTCGCATGTTCAAGAAGATCCTCCCCCTTTAAGGCCTCTCTCATATTGATCTAGCCGGAGAGGGACTAGAACAAGATCAATATTTAGGCGGAAAAATTGGCCCGAGGTAGCACTAAACCTGAAAGGGGTAGGGTGGGAAGCGGCCCAAGTTTAATACTAGATAACGATAGTAGTATATTCAACTAATCCTCTAGGAAGATAGATATCTCTTCGATATATAGGGTAGGATGTTCGCGGAGGTAGTTATGGAGGGCGTCGAGTATAATAGGGGCGATATTTGGTTATCGACTGACCGAGACGGAGGAGATCTAACGCTACCGAGTAATCGCAAGTTCTTTCGTATATTAGTGATCGAGCGCTCACTATACTACGTTACCTTCGGTATTTACGTTAGAGTAAGTCTGTTCTTGCTATATATATATATATAAAGAATCATCTTACGCTACTTTTTGTAAGTTGCTTAGGTAACTTTAGCGTATCCCGTGACTGGATCTCTATGTTTCTGGATATAGAAGGCAATTACGGTCGGCACTGTATTACTTCCCGAGGATGGTAATCATACCTTGAGATCTCAAATCTACAAATCACTTTATTTCTCCGCATTCTCTGTCAAATTAACCGAATTAAGTGGGCGGAACACTAGACACTAGACACTAAACACTAGACTAGCGGCTCCGTCCTTGGCGAAACCGGTCTAGCCTCAACGGGCGTTGGATTTTAGATCTTGCGGTAGTCCTCCCGGACCGACGGGAAGGACGAATTAGAATCTGCGGTGAATACTGGGGTTTAGGATTACTCCCGGAGTAGTGCCGCTTTGGAAGAGTTAGCGGGTTCTGGGGTTTAGTGGTGATGGCCGATAGAGGGTTACATACTTGAGGGTTTGGCGGTGGGGTAATGGAGAAGAGAGAGGATGGAAACCCGGGTACATACTGTTTGTACAGTATGTACAGTAGGTTTATGTGGTTGTGTGTGTGTGGATTAGAGTTTCTCGTGGTGGCGAGGAATAGAGGCTGTTACCTTGAAAAGGACTCGTGTCTGTTAGGGTCTAGGTAAGTATTGTACACACTAATTAAGTATTATAGGTGATTATATTCTATGATTCTATGATTCTATGATTCTAGTACTCTTTCCAACTCCATTAAAGTCCGATTACGAAGATATTCGATGTACATTTTCACGAGTGCGCGGGGTTAAACCCACGGATCCACTAGCCCCGCTCGGAGAGACAGAGAGCCCAAGTATTATCATTGGTATTGTCGAGATAGTCAGGAACCAGTTCCTGGATATAGGGATCCACCAGAGGAAGAAATTGATCGTCTATACGATGTATTCTCCTTGACTACTAGGTGGTCGTGATCGTGATAATTCGGGCGTCGTCAGCCGATGAGTCGCGTGGGGACGGGTCTGTGTGTCTGTGCCCCGGGCTGATAAGCTGAGGAAGTTCGAAAGAAGGAGTGGAACTGTAGTCAAGTAAGGTTGTCGTAACGAATAGCAAAAGAGCACAGATGCAATCCTCCAGAAATGGGCGGGGTACTTGCCAGGTACTTGACTGGAAACTATTCACGATACCGATTGCCAAGTCTCTCCAGAGTATCTCCATCACGCATTCCACTTGTCTCGCCATCCAACGCATTCCGCTCTTATCGGACGGTTCCCCTCGACCGTTCTTGTGATCTTTTGATCATTTACTCTTCCCCCTCATTCTCATCCTCATCTTCTTACTCTACTCTCCTCCCACTTCCTTCAACAACTCCATCTCATTCCCTCGGTTCCTCGCACGTCACCCAACTTTCGTCCGGTCCAACTCGGCGAGTGCCACGGTTCGCTCGCCGTGGGCCCCGAAAAATAAACGAATCCAACGGCCAACGACAAACAAGTTCTCCAGACCTCACTCCCCCACCACCGGTCTCGGGCCTCTTCTTTACACCTCACCCTCTTCCTCTTCCTGGTCGAAGTCCGAGGGCGAACACACAGTCTCACCCGCCCAATTTCAGGTCTCGTGAATCAGGCAATCCATCATGCTCTTTATGCTCTTCTAGGGTGCGCAGGATCGTCCTCCTCTCTCGTTCTTCTCTTTCTCGCCGGGTTCGACAAGATCCCGAACTTTTTTTATACACTTCCACCGATTATCCCGATTTCCCGTTCCGACCGATCGATCACCTTCATACTTCTCCCCCGCTTTCACCATGGCTACCTCTGTCCCCGACGAGATTCTCCCCTCGCCCGAGGCCTCGCCGGCGAGTCCGACGTCCTCGACGGGTCAAATTCCGCTCGAACAACCTCCTAAAATCAAGGGTCGTCAGAAGTTGTTGCAGAACCTCCAGCGCATGTCGTCTAGTCCGACGCTAACCCGCCGCGGGCGATCGGCATCGACTGGTTATCGGCGGGACCACAAGGCTTCCTTATCGTGTGTCTCGTTATCGTCCGCCGCATACTCACCGTGTCTGGGTAATGGGAGTACCTCACAACTTTATGGAGGCCTGAATCCCCGACCGGCTACCCCGGGGCCATCCGGACCGCTGGATGATTTGGAGGATAACAATGCTCGCATTCGCCTCGTGGGAACGGAGACCCCCAATGCATCGCGAACAGTTCCATTACCTTTTGACTTGAGGCCGGTCTCTCCACGAAGCGGGACTCCCTTTGAGGGCGATGTGCTGCCCGCAGAATTGATTCTGCCTGAGGCAAAACCAGCCCGCACAATTGACTTTTGGGCCGACATGCCACGGGAGTTGCAGGTGGAGATCTTCCGGTACCTGACGCCTCGCGAGATCGTGCGCTGCTCGGCAGTGTCGAAGATGTGGCATGACATGTGCTACGACGGACAATTGTGGTGCAGATTGGACGCTGCGGAATACTACTCGAAGATTCCGAGCGACGTTCTGATCAAACTCATTACATCCGGTGGACCGTTCGTTCGCGATTTGAACTTGCGAGGCTGTATCCAGCTAAAGAACAAGTGGTCCTCTGATGGAGAGCGGATTTCGGACATGTGCCGGAACTTGGTTAATCTTTCGCTGGAAGGATGCATTATCGACAAGTCTTCTATGCACTACTTCCTGATGCGCAACCCCCGGTTGGAGTATATCAACATCTCCGGTCTCAAGAGCGTGACCAACTCCGCCATGAAGACTATCGCTCAATCATGCCCACTGTTGGAGACTCTGAACGTCTCCTGGTGCAACAATGTCAACACGAATGGACTCCTTCGTGTCATCGAGTCTTGTGAGCGTCTGAAGGATCTTCGCGCTAGCGAGATTCATGGTTTCGACAACGAAGACTTTGCTCAGGCTTTGTTTGAACGTAATACTCTGGAGCGGCTGCTCATAAGTCGTACCGATCTGACCGACCGCAGCCTGAAAGTTTTGATGCACGGTGTCGACCCTACCATCGACCTCCTCACTGATCGCCCCGTTGTCCCGCCTCGATGCTTCAAACACTTGGATTTACACCATTGCTCAGACATTACCGACGCTGGTCTGAAGAGCCTGGCTTTCAATGTGCCTGATTTGGAGGGCCTGCAAGTCTCGCAATGCTCGGAATTGACTGATGATGCGGTTATCGACGTTATTCGTACCACACCCAAGCTCTCCCACTTGGAATTGGAGGACCTGGAGAATATAACGAACAACGTTCTTGTCGAGCTTGCCCGATCCCCCTGTGCTCAGTACCTCGAGCACCTAAACATCAGCTACTGCGAGAACCTTGGCGATACGGGTATGCTGCAAATCATGAAGCACTGCCCGAAGATGCGCTCCGTCGAAATGGACAATACCCGCGTCTCCGACTTGACCCTGATGGAAGCTAGCTTCCGGGTTCGCAAGCGAGGTTATGGCGAGGACATTCCTAAGATTGGTTTGCGCCTAGTTGTCTTTGACTGTGCCAACGTCACCTGGGCTGGTATCAAGGAAGTCCTATCGAGCAATGCCTACATTCCACGCGCACGCAAGCCCGGCGCCTCGGTCAATGCTATTGTGACGGTCGCCCAAACGAGCTCAGACAGCGACTCGATGACGACTACCACCTTTGTCACGCCAAATTCGTCCCCATCACCGTCGCCCACTTTCCCCGCTGAGATTATCCAGCTCAAGTGTTTCTACGGCTGGCAAATGACCGTTGATGAACACACGAAGCGCGTTCTGCGCGGTGACCTCAACGCTGCGAGTCGTCTTGATCGTAAGTGGGCGGACTATATGATGGCTACTGAAGAAGCCGGTGCCGCCGGGGCTGGTGCGCGACGTCGACGTCGTCGTGCCCGCGAGGCGGAGAGACTCTACAATGCTGATGAGGACGAGGATGATAGTTACGGCGTAGGTGGAGTCTCTGCACTCGGTGGTCGGCGTCGTCGTGCTCAAAGTGGCGGCTGCACTGTGATGTGAGGGTTCTTTGATAGAACCTCGTCAAGCGCTGCGAGCTAGGCTTCGCGCGTTTTGTTTCTTTTCCTTCTATCTTCTTCCTCATCGTGTTCTGGAAACACCCGTCAGCGCTGGATCGCTGACACGCAATCGACTTGCCTCCCAATTTTCAACTTGCTACGTGATATACACGACCACCATCTCCAGAGAAAATCAAGAGAATCCTTGACTCTGTTCAGAACAGGCCTAGGGCTTGTTGTTCACTCCTCTACGACTCACGCGCCCGCCCCCTCTCCTTTCTTCCTACCTCTCCAACCAAGCAAACGCATTCCTTCAATCTTCTTTTCCATGTTTTCGTTAAACACCCATCTTCGGCGCCAAGACCGTCAAGACCTGCATTCCAATGGATGCGATTTGACTTTCGTCTTTGCCCTTTTCTTTTCTTTTCTTCTCTTATCTGCCAACTTATCCTGCTCATCAGCCTTACCTAGCATATGTAGAACGGGGGTATTCTGGAGTTGAATCTGTCTTTGTCTTTTTTCCTTTGACAACCTTGCTCTTGCTTAACTGGCTATCTATCTCCGCATCGGCCTGAGATTTAGGCCATGGCCGATTTTGACTAGGCTGTGGCTAGGCCCTTTTGGATTTTCCTTTCCTCCTCACTTCTTCTGGTTTCCTATCACCTATTTCCTTACACAGGTTGAGTTTATCTCTTTGTTAGGTTGAATCAGAATCAGAACCAAGGAATGCGAACTAAATCAAACATCATATTTTTTGGAGTATTTTTTTCGAATATCTGATTAAAGATAGCATAAAAGATCAAAAACGCCACTGCAAGGTCAAAACACTCAGGTATGTAAATGCCCATGACAGCCCGACAAGACTTTGGAACTTGACACGAGTTGATAGGGCCATCAAAAGACATCCACAAGCAAATAAAGATACATGTGCACGGGGGGAAATACAAACAGAGGCAGGTGCTAGGAATGTGCAGATAGAACGAGGAAAATAAAAATAGAAAGCAAACTGCAAAAGGACACGAGGAAGACCAGATGCACCGACCACCCGGCGTACCGTATCCGCGCCAGCATCCTATCAACCGTTCAGTCTTCCAGTATGTCCGTGTCCGCGTGCTGGGGGACTTCCCTGAGAGATGGGTCGATGTTGGAATCGTCGGTCTGGGTGTTGTAAGCGCTGAGGAGTGGGTCTCGGTTCTCTTTGTCCTCGTCCTCGTCGAAGGTATTGATGCGGTGGAGAACATTTTCGGTGTGGTGGGTTGCGCGCTCGTTGACATTGGTGAGGTCCCCGTTGCCATGGACAGTGTCGCGGACTAGAGTGATGTTGATATCGCCCGTGCTGCTGAAATGCTCGATGACAGTGCCTGGCACGATGGGCGTGGTCTGGATGGCTTGGTCTCTGTAGGCAGGGCCGGCGGTTACGCTTTCAGGGCTGCTGTTGGTATCGGTGGCGGAGCGAGGATTGATGATCGTTGTAGCTTCGCTGTGGCACTCGACGGCGAGGGAGTCACCTTGAGACTCGGAATGCTGGTAGCTCTCATCACTAATGGAAGCCATGAGCGCATCGAGATTCTGCACGGCTCCGGCAGCACTGAAGTCATTGGAGGAGTGCGCGGTCTGCTCGTATGCCGGGGGCTGCATCTCAGTCTGGGTAGAGGCAGTGACATCCTTCTTGAGCTTCTTCTTTGGAGGCTCCTCGACGATATCGCCAGCCTCGGAACTCTCCTCTGAAGAGAGGACAAACGAGGCATTGTCACGACCGTCTTCACCATCGCCCTCTTCCATGCCGCTCATCGCCTCTGTATCGTCCGAGTCTTCCTCTTCCTCGGTGTCATCACTGGTATCCGAGTGCATAGCCGCGGGGTTCTCCTCGTTGACATAGGGTTTCTTCAGCGAGGCATCGTAGTCGAAATCCTTCACTCCGTGATTCGACAAAGTACGCCGTCCAATTTCCAGACCTTTCCCACCGTGAATACTCTTCGGTCCACAGCGCACATGGTACCCATCAACATGATAGATAGGAGCGAGAATGAATCCCTTCGACGGAGTCTTGGGCACGACAGACAACATATGATGAGCCGTCGAGACAACGTCACGGGCAGTATCAATCTTCTCCCACTTCTTCTCCACCTCCTTCGCACTCTTGGGCACATGCAGCTGCATCTGGCGGTTCACAGTGCGAGGCAGATTCACAGCCGAACCAGGCGCCACGACTGGCCCAATCGTCCACATGGGGTACACAACCGTAGTCCGGTGCTCCTTCTTATTCAGAAGCCATCCGATCCAGCGTGCATTCTCACGTCCACAGAGAATGTAATAGCCCTTGAAAACAGGGAAGAAGGGCAACCCGTGAGCCCATGCAATCGGCGAGACACCGGAAGGAACACGCTCCTCGCGGATATCACCGCGTTCATTGAAATCATACGGATAGTTGGCTGCTCGCTCGCTGACCTTCAAGAACTTGGTTGCCAGGTAGACGAGTTCGTCACCCAGGCGCGTGAATTTCGGGGGCCAGACGAGTTTGCCGTTCTCGTAGGTCACGGTCATGACGAGCTTGAATTTGGCCTTGTCTCCCGCAGAGAAGGGCTCGTGACCTTCTCCGTCTTTGGGCTCCCAGATCACGTCTGGAGTTCGCTGGTTGTGTTCGGTGAGGAGGTTGGCACATGCGTTCTTGCGCTGGATGAGCTCGGCTTTGAATCTGCCCTCGTTTGCTCTGGCGCAGGCCATTGGTCCTTCTTTGAGGATGGCCATGTTGATTGGGTTTGGTTTGTGTCGGTGAAGATATGTATGTGACTGTGATGGAAATGGAGGAAATGGGCAAGAGAGGTTATGTGTGAGGTTGATATGCGGGAAGTCAGAGAAGGGAGGTGCCAGAGGTATGATGAGAAGGTTATGAATGGGTGGAAGGTGGGTGATATTGAGTGACGAGGGAGAGAGAAGAGGGTGGGAGAGGGAGAGATGTGAGAAATAAGCAGATATCCCGTGGGTTCGCAGATATTGACGACTGCAAACCCAAGAGTAAATGTTGGGGATCGAGGGAAGAGTGTCAGTCAGCATGAACTTGAGGCAGTTCTCGGGCGTAGAAATATCTTTGAGGGCCTTGGAGAGACTGTGAGATATGAGTTAGTTGATGAAAAATAGGAGACACGTGAAGCTGGAGGATGATGTTGATAGAAATGGGGGAAGGGACGTGGATGGGAAGGGCAAAGGACACGCACGAGGCGTGTCAAAACACGCACCTTGGGATATCGAAGCTAGAACCGCGAGTGTGAGTAACGTGGAAAAGCGAAGAGAGTGAGAGAAGAATAAATTCTTCGAAAGGAAAACAGAGGGAGGATTGAGGAACTTACGCCAAAGGTGTTGTCAGATGTTGGACGGTGTGTATCCTCGAGGAAGAGATGCAGAAGAGTGATGGGAAGGAAAATGAGAAAATAGCACCCAAAGATCTTCCACTGTTGTAGATTCTTGAGAAAAAGTTTGGCCTTCAAATCTTAGTATACAGCGATGTGCATCGTAGAACCTTGCAACAGCACGAGGGCATCATACCTCCTATCAATCCTAGATAGCATTGATATCAACATTAGCTAAGTGCTAACATTTCCATATTGTCTGTTCATCGGGGAGACAGCAGGTCTCCATTGATATTGAACTCTCGATGTTAGCGCTCTGTCTAAGCATGTTCATCGCACTGTTTCCCCATCAACATTTCTGTGTATATGCTTTCTTTCCTCACTACCATCTCGGTCTAAATAACATCAAGCCCTCAGCCTATGACTAACATACTGCACAATCAAGGCCCAAAATCACGCCCTCTATAATTTTCAGTATCGGTGAATACCATCTGAATCTCTCGAAGTGGATATCAAGCATAATGTTGGATCTACGGTAGTTGGTCTATATGCAGCTGATACCTAACGAGACTATGCAATGATTTCAAGTCCCTATTGATAGATGATCATGTATTAGTATTACGAGGTGTCTACAAAAGGCATGCAAATGTACCTCGGTAACTTATTCGAAACGCCATGTGTACATAATATTCGAATCACTGGACTGGAGGTTTAGGTTGATAGATTGCCCTTATTTGCTTGGGAGATGCCCCCGAGGCAAACGTTATACAGACAAAATTACCATTCTGCAACCTAATATTGCCTCACCTGCGTGTATGTTGAGAGATGCATGGCATTTGCAGCATATAATCATCTTTGATGGCAAAAGTTGTCACATAATGCATATTGGATATCAGCTAGAGATACAAGAAGAGAAAAAGAAGACACCAAACACCAGGTTTTCCATGCCCTTGTATGCATATGTTTACATTTCAAAGAATCCACCATCGCTGTCACCTTCAGCAGCCTGTTGGGCAGCCAATTCGCGGGCCTTTTGCTGCTCCTTGCGGCGCTCTCTCCGGTTGAGCCGGTCCAAAGCACTTTCTTGGGCAAGCTTTTCCTTCTTTGCAGCTTCCTTGGACTCCTTGTGTGTCTTTTCCTTGGCCTTCTTCTCGCTTTCACGGGCAATAGGCTTCTTAGTAGGTGCTGAGGTCTGCTGTCCATCAGGGCCAATGTTCAACTTGCCCTCTCGTAGATCATCAAGAGTGCCTTCTTCCATGGATTTCTCAATGAAGGACCACATAGGCGGCTTGGATGCTTCAGCCGTCTTATTGTTCTCTTTGGACTCAGCCCCGGGTCCAGATTTCTCATCGGGGTTGCTGTCAGACTTGGGGTAGAGAGAGATGTACTTTTCGGTGAGAGGGTAGTAGATTGTATAGTTGAGGTTGACACGGGCATCGTGAATCTTCTGGGAGAGCTCAGACTTCTGCTCAGTCGTGAGGTCTTTCTCCTTTTCACGGCGTTGGAGGCGGTTCAGTTGCTTAGTAGCCGTCTTGCGGTCTAATTGAGACGTGGATTAGCCTTTGATAGAACCCAGTCGTGGAATTTGCCCATCTCTTACCCAAAAACCGAACGAAGTGATACTTCTTGATCATATTTGAACGCTCTCGGCGGGCTGTTTCCTCCACAAGGTCCTGCTCGTAGCCTGCGAGCGCACGCTCTTGCACGATTCGCGCATCTGCGGGCAAATCTTTGTTGAGGAGGCGCTTTACACCACGAATGCGACTCTTCAGCTCATTGATTGACGGGTATTCCTTCTCATTCCGGGGCGCCGACTTGTTCTTCGAGCCTCTCACTGCCTTCGACGAGACCTGGTCCCCATCGCTGCCATTATCTTCGGATTCACTGTTGTTCTGGCGGGCCACAACCTGTCGGTGCTGTTTTTTCCGAGGAAGCACATCCTCCGAGCCATCTCGGGCTCTTCGCTTTGAGCTGCGTTCACGAGTGTCTGCCATTGTGGTGCTGAAGACAAAATGTTGGAGGTTGCGCGCAAGAAAAAAGAAAAGTGGTCGGGGCATCATCGGGCCGACCCCAGATCGGCGGAGCCAATAAGCGGCCAGCCGATCGCATTGTCGATACCGCGTTCCTCCTCGTGCCCACCGTCCCTCCTAAACCAGCAGCTTAATTATCTGTCCATATCTCCTGATAAGAGGCTGCGGCCTCGAAAACAGCTCAGACCCCTCCTCGAGGAGGGAATCAGCAACATGGAGTCCGCCATTCGTTGGTCTCCAAGCTCCACTACTACCGAGCAGCGCTTCCTCTCCGTCGACGTCACAGGCAAGGCATTTCGTCTATGCAAGGTGACAGGGTATAACGCTTCCGATAAGACCCTCCGACACGAAGTACTGTCTACCCTTGTCGATGTCCCCTCCTTTCGCGCATTTGACTGGTCTACATCCAACGAGAATCTCATCGCCGTGGGGCAGTCATCCGGCGAAGCCACGATCCTGCGACTCGATGCCAGTGTGAAGGAGTCGCTCTCCTTCCCCGTTCGAAACCAGCGATACTGTAATGCAGTAGCGTTCAGCACACACGGGCTCGTGGCTTCAGGTCTTGATCGCGTGCGAAACGACTTTTGCTTGAATATCTGGGATGTCAACCAGCGACTCAGCCCCGCAGGTGGGAGCAAAGGGTTTCCAGAACCCTTGCGAAAGCTAGCGAGTTCGGAGCCGATCACGAGTATCAAGTTCTTTAGGGATCAGCCAGATACCTTGGTAACGGGTGTCAAGGGCCAATTCGTCCGCATTTACGATCTTCGAGGTATGTTTCTCCCGCTTATCTCTGCAATTTACGTTTCACTAATGGTCATATTTCACTGCAGAGGGCCCAGGCAATCCTTCCTTGCAATTCCAAACCCGTTGTGTCCACAACCTAGCCATCGACTGGCTCGACGAGAATTACATCGCGTCTTGTCAGCCCACTAACGAAAGCACCGTTTGCGTCTGGGATCGTCGCGTAGGCGCTCGACTCGTATCGCCATCGGTTGGTTCTTCAGCAAGCAGTCCAGACTCTAATCAATCCATCGCCGCACTTCAGTTCAAGAGTGTGTTCGACTCCAAGTCCTCGATCTGGAGCTTGCGCTTCTCCAAGACCACCCGAGGTTATCTGGGAGCACTTTCCAGCACTGGCCATTTCAAAGCCTTTGAGATCGCTAAAGACTACCAGTCTGAGGAATATCGAGCTTCAATCGACGAAACCTTTGGACAAGGCTCTTTCAAGAATTATCCAGAGCCGGTCTACGCGAGACATATCCGGGATGTGTGTCTTCCTTTCGACCATCCAACTCGTGGGTGTGAGGAGAAAGACCGTGTGGTGACATTCGACTTCTTGAACTTGAATATGTCACCCCAGCCTAGTGCTATCGCTCTCGATGGCCACGGACAACCGCGGATCGTTACCGCGCGGCCACCTTGTGCGCCCGTTAGCCTGTCGTCGCGAGGAGGGCTGGCGTTTGGCATCGCGTCCGGTGACTCGGACATCAGGACTATCCATCCTCTATCCGAACTAATCTCCCCGATTTCCGGGCTGGTCGAGAATATCAGAGCACGTGTGCTGTCAAGCTCAAAGTATCCGTCACCGGATGCAGACAAAAAGTCGGCCGAGTCCGGAGGACTGAATACAGACCCCATTTCAAGCCGAGAAATGCGGGAACGTGCGATGTCACTCGGAACTTTGGGTGTACTTCTCACTGCTAAAGAGGCGTTGACCCTGTCTACTCTTGCCCAGTCACGGTGCAGAGAGGGCTACCTCTTCAATGAGGCTCGAAACCGGTCAATTGTCAAGGACGATCCTGCTCTCCAGGACTTATGGACCTGGATTCAACGTAAGTCTGAAGGCTATGAATTCCTGGATTCAATCAGCGCTAATAACTCTTCAGGTGCCCGATCCGATTCTTCGGGAACGACAATGGTTGTGAACGGCCTGGATATGAATTACATTGGCGTTAGCAATGTCTGGACTAACGATATGGGTTTGTTCTCCCTGGCATATACTTTGAAACAATTTCGACTGACTGTCATCATAGGTCATGACTTTGAACAACGCCGCATCAGCACGAAGGCTGACGACCCGAAGAGCGTTGCTGAAGCGATCGCCCACCTCGTTGAGCAGTTGAACCTGCCCGAAACCAAAGGCTGTGAAACAGCTTACCCCGAGCATCGACGTCTCTGTCTTCACATATGTGGGGCGACATCATCATACAAAGAGCTTGTGGAGACAGTGAAGACCCTCTCTTCTGAGAACCAGCATACCAAGGCGGCCGCATTGGCGGTCTTCCAGGACGAGGCCAAATTGGCATATCTCGCACTTCGGAGTAACGAACCTGCTCAAGCACATAAACTACTTGCGATGGCCATCGCTGGCGCCGCAAAGGGCGATAACAACTCTGACTGGGAAGAGACCTGCGCCGAGATCTCCAAAGAACTGACAGACCCCTATGCACGAGCAATCCTAGCCCTCGTGAGCAAAGGTGACTGGCACGCTGTCATTCAAGAGACCACACTCCCGTTGAAGTATCGCGTGGAGGTCGCACTACGATGGCTCCCCGATGACGAGTTAACTGACTATTTGGAAGACGCCACTTCCGAGGCCATACGTGAAGGAGACATCGAGGGTGTGGTACTCACAGGCTTAGGCCATCTCGCCATGGGCCTGTTCCGCTCATACATCGAGAAGTTCAACGACGTCCAGACCCCGGTTCTGGCCATGAGCCACACTGTCCCGCGCATTATCAGCCATCCACCCTTCGTCACCCAATTCAATGCCTGGCGTGAGACTTATCGCCAGCAGATGAATTCCTGGAAGATGCAGCTTGACCGTGCTCGGTTTGATGTCGAGTCTCGTCGCTTCGCTGTGACCGTGGATGGACGCAAGCTTATTCCTCCACCACCACAACAAGTCAGCCTGACTTGCAACTATTGTACGCGCCCGCTTACCCAGCACGACGCCTCTTCTCAAGTCTCTCCCTCTGCCACCGTCGAAACAGTGCACCCGACAATGGGTAATCCGCTGGGATCTGCGACCATGTCGGGGACCGTGTGCCCGCGATGCGGTCGCCATATGCCTCGCTGTGGCGTCTGCACCATGTGGCTAGGAACCCCTGATCCAATGTCGAAGGGAATGACGGCCGCCGATGCGGAAGCCGATCCACGCAAGGCCACCGAAGACGAAGTCATGAAGCGATTCGTGGTCTTCTGTATCAATTGCAACCATGGACATCATGCGCACCATGCTCGAGATTGGTTTGCGCGACACAAAGTCTGCCCAGTCGCCGAGTGTAATTGCATCTGCGATCGGTGAAAGAAAATACTTTCCGGTCGTTTCTTGGTAGTTCTGTTACTGCCTACATAGCATAGCCCAGGTACATTCTAGGGGGCGACCTTTTCTGTTTTATTGTTGATTGTTGTTTTGTACTCTATACCCATCGGTCCATAGGTCATGAAATGTATTTGTTTCGGAGAACTGAAAGAGTTCTAAGTACTTTCATAAGCGATGATGTCAACTCTTTCAACTAACTAGCTAAATAAATCCCCCACTTCTTATCGTGGTTATCGCTGAATTTCTGCAAACCTCAATTTTCCCCTTCGTACTGCTCCTTTCTTCCTCTAGCAAGAAGTGTTATCAATTAGTGTCCTCGTACTCCTGTCTCGCTTTCTGTGAGTCACTCTGACTCGCTCACTAGGCCACTTTCTCAATACGGACCCCGATTCTGACGCACAACTGCCCCGCCCGAACATTTTAAAGTTCCGCGGACTTTTTGACGATCCCCCACTTTACGCGCCGCAAAGTGCAGCTCCTCTACAGCACATCAACTACACTTCCACGAATTTCTACCATGGGGCAACAGGGAAAAGAGGGAAAGGATAGACGTGGCGGTGGACGCGGCGGTGGTGGTCGCGGCCAAGGACAGTCTCGAGATGTGCAAGTCTCTAAAGCTCTGAGCTTGCTTTTGCGCCACGCTGCCGAAAAGGAAGGGGTGAAGATGAACGCCCAAGGTTACGCGAATGTTGCAGACGTGGTATGCCTCTACTAGCTCCAGGACCTCCATAAGGAGACTCTGAAGTGATGACCACTGACAATTGATCGACCCGCAGCTGGCCTGGCGAAAGCTCAAGTCCATCAAAGCCACCTTTGATGAAATCAAGCACGCCGTCGAGTCTTCCGACAAGAAGCGCTTCGCTCTCCTCCACATTCCCTCCGCACAGCCGACCGAATCTACAACAAGGGCTACTCTGACACCCACAACCGTTCCCGGGTCTGAGGAACATCCAGACGGAGAGGTCGCAGCGGGCGGCGACCAGCCAGCTACGTCGGTGGTCGAGGCGCCGTCCAGCAATGAAGAACAAGCAAATGCGACACAGACAGCTCTGGCTTCAAAAGATTCCGAGCCGTCAAATTACATGATTCGAGCTACACAGGGCCATACCATTCAAAGTGTGGATGCGGCATCCTTCCTTGAACCACTCACACTAGAAGACGAATCAAAGCTCCCCAAGACCGTTGTCCACGGCACGTTCCACGGCGCATGGCCTCTGATTCTACAGTCCGGTGGACTGCGGGCGATGGGTCGACACCACGTCCACTTTGCGACGGGCCCTTCTCGCGAAGCTACACTAGCCGCCGGAAGCACGACATCTCAAGACAAAGGAAAAGAATCCAAGCAGGAAAACCAGGTCATCTCCGGTATGCGGCGGGATGCTCAGATTCTGATTTATCTGGATATCAAAAAGGCACTGGCGGCTGGGTGTCCATTCTGGCGCAGCGAGAATGGGGTTATTCTCAGCGAGGGATTGCCTGTGCCCAATGGCAAGACTGATGCAGAGGGGAATCCGGAGAAGGTTGTTTCGATAGACTTTTTTGAGTTTGTGTTTGAGCGCAAGCTTGGTCTTGGTCAGCTTTGGCCGAAGGGTGAAGGGGTGAAGGAGCTTCCGGAGAGTGCGACCAAAAAGGGAACGCCTAAGAATCGGCGGTGATGGACCATGAGCTCTCTATGTAAATGAGGATATCAAATGTTACCGGCAGTGAATCAATAAATGAGGCCAGTCAAACCTGATATGCAACCGAAATTCTTTTAGAAAGCATAGGGGCTATAGTATCTAGAGGTTCCTTAATAGCAGATTGACGATGCTATCCGATGGACCAGAACAAGAAGCCCGACTCTGGCCGCCCCAGGTATAGTTCAATGCATAGAACAAGGATCGAATCAACTAAAGCCTTAGTAATAAATCCCACCGACATCCGAACCAGTTGCGGGGAAATCGGAAGCGACCCCAACCAACCGATCCGACTCGAGCCAAAAGGTGCACTTCCGACAAGCTGCACCCGAACCCAATCAGCCCACCAAACGGCACGCCTTTTTGCGGGGTTGTCCTCGAATAAGCATCGACGCGTTGGTCAACTCGCTGGCTCAATGAATAACGTGGCAAGGATCCGCTGATTGCCGCTCGAGCAATAAAAAAAGTCCCGTCGGAACTGAGTAAGATATATAACCATTGGGGGAGCTATCTTGGTCTTGTCGCATAGTTCCAGTTCTTCCCCGCGTCTTGACCTTGTCATACTCGATTCTCCTTTACTCTTTAAATTTCCTCTCTACCATCCTCCAAAGCTTGTCATCCACCCTCGCATATACTTCAAAATGGCAACTCACAGATTCGACCCCAAATTCACCGACAATGTCATCAACGCGATGGGCCCCAAGACCTCGCCGCGCATGCGCCAGCTCATGGCCGGTCTGATTCGCCATGTGCACGACTTTGCGCGCGAGAACGAGCTCACGGTCGACGAGTGGATGGCCGGAGTGAAGATGCTCAACTGGGCCGGCCAGATGAGCGACGATAAGCGGAACGAGGGCCAACTGGTGTGCGATGTGATTGGCCTGGAGTCGTAAGTAATAACTATACATCACGAATCAATGAACTAACTCACAATCCACAGCCTGGTCGACGAAATCACCTTCACTCTCGCCGAAGAAGCCAAGGACGCACCCACCGCCACCGCCATCCTGGGCCCATTCTTCCGCGCCGACACACCCTACCGTGAGAACGGCGCCGACATCGTCGTTACTAAGCCCAAGGAGGGTGGTGAAATGGCCTTTATGCACGGCCGGGTTGTTGACTTTGAGACCAAGAAGCCCCTCGTCGGCGCAGATGTTGAGGTCTGGCAGGCTTCTACGAATGGCCTGTATGAGCAGCAGGATCCGGAGCAGGTTGAGTTTAATCTGCGTGGAAAGTTTAAGACGGATGATGAGGGACGTTATTACTTTTACTGCCTGCGGCCGACGCCGTATCCCGTTCCGGATGATGGTAAGAACGAACCTTTCGACTATGTGATGATATTCGTTGAAGAAGGATACTAATTCTTGGATTTGGTATAGGTCCCGCTGGCATGTTGCTGAACCTTATGGATCGCCACCCCTTCCGTCCTGCTCACATTCACATTATTGTAAGCTCTCATCTCTGGTTGTCTTGAATCGTTTCTCAAGCTAACAAATTCACACAGGCTACCAAGGAAGGCTACCGCCCTCTGACTACCCAGATCTTCGACCGCGAGGACAAGTACCTGGACAACGACTCCGTCTTCGCCGTCAAGGACTCCCTGGTTGTGGACTTTGTTCCCCGAAAGGACGACCCCCAGGCTGCTCTTGAGTTGGAGTACGACGTTAAGCTGGTTGCTGACACCAAGGCGAGCGCATAGAGCGCCGTCGAAGCGGTAGCATGCCATTCTTTGCATATAGTTCTGGGCTCGGATATGTTTCTTGTCACGATAGCGTTTTTTTCTTTTCATATGTTTATAACCAACTTGGGACTGCGGAATATCCAAATTCATTTCTTCAAAATACTTCTTCAAACCAGTCATCCATCCATACAACTCTACACTCCAGAGATTAACCTTAATCATATCATAATGCAAGTATTTTATTCCATTCCGCAAACTAAACCAATGGAGCTAAGCGCTAATCCCCTCAGCAAACCGCGCAATCAACCTCCCAACCTCATCAGGAGCCTCAATACAATGCCAATGCCCAACCCCCTCCAAAACTTCCATAGCCTTGCTCTGACTCGACACATGCTCAAAAATAAACTTACACCCCTCCATAGACGCGGACTTATCCTCTTCACCCGCAATAAGCAAGAATGGCGCACGAACCGCAGCGTAATCCGGAGCCTGCGCACTCGCAATAGCACGACAGAGAGCCGCATAGCCCTTGGGGTTCTGGCCCAGAAGCAATTCGCGGATAAAGGCGCGCTGTAGAGGGGTACTCCGGGAGCCGACGGCGGCGGAGGGGATGGTGTTGGCCATCGGTTCCATTCCAGCTATAGCAGAGGATGGATGGTTAGCATTTTGTTTACACAATTAACACACCCTCCTTGAAGAAAGTGTTTTGAATACAGTTCTGTAGAAAATGGTAAGCATACCTTCCAGCACCGTCTCGGCCCTCTTCCCCATAACCGACACCAACATTTCCGACGGATGGGTCGGCCCAATGGGTACAACGCCCAGCACGCGGTCCGGATACCTGGCGCCCAGCTCGATAACGACTAACCCGCCCATCGAGTGGCCGACTGCCACGGCCTTGGCTACGTTCAGCGCGTCCAACACGCCAACGACATCGTCTGCGATACTAGGGATCGTGACCGTGTCGCCGGTGTACGGGGAGCGCGCGGCGCCGTAGGTATCGATGGTGATGCAGCGGTGATTCGGGGTGAGGTGTGGGATGACGGGGAAATAGTAGTTTTGCGAGGAGCCTAGGCCATGGACGAAAATGAATGTTAGGCCGGAAGGTGTTGGTGCACCGGTTGGGTGGGAGTCTGTGTAGTGTAGGCTATGGGAGCCTGCTTGTACGAATGGCATAACGAGAATGTGCTGAGAATGACAATGACACGGGGAAAAGAGGGTATGTCAAGAATTGAATTGGATATGGGGTCCTAGCAGTGAAAGGATCTATGTAAAGTGTGCCGTCGGCCGAGTTGGAACTATATGTCCAGGTGTGACCCGCCCGCGCGTGTCGTCATTCCCGATAAGAAATCAGCGCCAGTCAATTTGTGCTTCATGCTTGTGCCCCCTGCAGAAAGAAGAGGATCCCCCGCTATTTCATCCGTCGGAATTAACGAATTCTGCTAAGTGCGTTGACCCCGATGGATCTGCCCAGAATCCGAATGAGGGGCATAGGCCCTGCGGCATCCGAAGCCTGCGCGGATGTGCCCTTGCCGACCGTCGGACCGCAGCCGATCAGTCTGAAGTGCCAAGCCTTGCATACTGGATCTCCAATTTCATCCAATAAAGTGTGGGTTCATGTCCAGTACTCGTTCAATTATGCTCGTTGCTTTCGTTCAATCGTGGATTATGTAAAATGAGCTGAATAACTTCAGTCTATTCGTGTGCCCGAGCCCAGCTGGACTAACTCGCCAAATGAGTCGCCACAACCGCGCGAAAAGACGTCTTCAAGATAGTCGGCCGTTTCGTCGCGAAAAGAGTCTCCAAGTGAGGGTATCGAAGTGGTCATGGATTTGGGGTGCCCACTCGATGGCGGTGGGCCCATTGTAGATGCTAGAGGAGCGTGAGATGGGGTAGGAAGAGGAATTGGGTTATGTGGTTGAGATGGTCGCGACGCTGCAATAGCATCTGCTTCTTTCAGAATTTCGGCGTCGTCAAATACTGAACAATCAGAGAACTCGTCATCGTCGTTGTCATCTTTCAGAGAGCATAGTGACTCCGCGCTGATATCGTTGCCAACACCGGGATTCTCGGGGAAATCAGGGGCATCAGGGATCTCAGAGTCCTCTGGGATGCCTCTGTCTTGAAGACGTGAAAACTCTTGCTCGATTATCTCCTCGTCCAAGTCGTCAAATATATCCGAGTCTGCCTCGGTGTCTCCCCCCGCACTATCCACTTCCGTATCCCCTCCTTCATCATTATCCGTAGTTGTAGGATCGATGGTTGTATCGACAGGCTGCTCTTCGACTGGTTGCTTGTGCTTCGCACCCATAAACACGGAGAGCAACTGTTGACTGGCGGGGATCTTGGGCGCATTGGGATCCGGCAATCCGAGCCTCTTTCGCTCCTCACGGTCCTTCGCCTCCTTCTCAGCCTTTTTCTTCTTGTTGGCTCGTCTCTTCTCCTCCTTTTCTTTGATAGCTTTCGCCCGACGCTCGAGCTCTTCCTCGCGTTCAATCCGTCGTAACTGCGAGGCGGTGAATTTGAATCGCTTGTTGCTACGCTGGTACCGGCGTCGGACCGTGCTGGATTTTTCGATGATGATGCGCCGCGGCTCGTCTGGCATGGTGTAGGCCGTCACGGCGACTGCCTGCCGAACGGGAGCTCATGGATCAAGGGACCTTGTGGAGGGTCATGGGGGGTTTGAGATGACCGGGGTCGAGATGGAGTCTTTGGGTTGATGTTACTCCCGGCTCTCGTTGACGGCGATACGTTGTGCCGACCGTCAACAAACTGCCTGATTGGGTGGCGAAGGGACTTCCTCCTCCTTCAACAATAATCCCTTATTCCTGCTTGTTCTTTCTCTGTTACATGCATTCCATTTTGTAACTGCTTAATTTTACATCCTCTGCTCTTTCCTACTTTCTTCAAAGCCCCTCATCTACTTAGATCTTGCAGTCCCGAACCGGGTCCCAGCACACGGGCGCATACTCATTCAGCTTCAGTGTGGCCATATCCTCCTCCGACAAGCTAAAGTCGAAGACCTGGGAGTTATCCAGGATACGCGATTCGGTCACTGACTTGGGCAGGGGCACATAACCCTGCGAAAATAATAATAAGCGTCATTCGATCAAAACCACAACCGAGAAAACCACATACCTTCTGCAAGCTCCAGCGGATCAGGATCTGAGCGGGGGTCTTGCCGTGCTTCTGAGCCAGCTTCTCCAGAACGGGCTCCTTCATGCGAGTGGCCTGCACGAGGGGCGAGTACGCTTCAACAATGACATTGTGCTTCTTGAGCCACTCGGCGATATCCTCGCGCGGGCACCAGGGGTGAATCTCGTACTGGCCAACGGTGATCTGACCGCCGGCTCCGCTCTTGATGTACTCGTCCAGCTCCTCCAAGTGCTGAATACCAAAGTTGGACACACCCAGGGAGCGGACCTTGCCCTCTTTTTGCGCCTCCACCAGGGCGCGCCAGGTGCCCAGGCGGGCCTCCTTGCCGCCGTAGGGGGCGTGAATTAGCATACTGGTAGAAGTGTGAGTGCTATGCAATTTCGACCCTGATCAAGAGGAGATTGCGTACAGGTCAATGTATCCAATGTTGGCAGCAGCAATACTCTCCTCGATGGCCTGCTTGGCCTTCTCGTAGCCCATGCATGACCGTGGGACCTTGCTGGTGTAGAAAATCTGCGACCGATCAAGGCCAGAGTTGCGGATCGCCGTGGCGCTCTCCTTCTCATTCTGGTAGACTTTGGCACAGTCAACCTGGAGGAGTATGGTTAATATTTGGCCATGAGTATCTTGGTTCTCTGGCCGTGGCTTACATGGCGGTATCCTAGTTCCAGAGCCTTCAAAGTGACTTTTTCAGTGACATCGGCAGGTCTAAAGGGCAATGGTCAATTTATTCCTGCGGAAAGCATGACGATTCCAACTCACGTCTGGTAAACCTAAAGGGACAAGGGAATGTTAGCTCGTGAAATGCCGTTCTCACATTTCAAGTGCTAGACTTACACCAAAACCAACAACTGGAATCTCAAACCCAGACACCAACTTATAAGTTGACTGGAGCGTGAGTCCGGCCATTTCTGCGATTGTGGCAAGTGCGGTTTCGAAATCCGAAGGTTAAAAGCGGGGAGTTGAAGCGAAGAACAGACGGAAGATGTTGGGGAATTGGAGAAATCCCTCTGTCCATGTAGTCATCTCCCAGTAGAAAAACCGGGCCCACTTCCCTTCAGAGCTTGATTGATAATAAATTCACAGACCACCCCGGGCCCGTGGTTTCCTTTCTTTCCCTCGCCGTCGGAGTCCTCGTTTGGTCAAATTGACGCCATTCAGTGGGGTATCAGAGCGGCCTGGGCCGGGTTGACTGGTTGATCAATTGATACGACGTGGGGCGTGTTCCCCTTATACGGAAGGTCGAATCCATAGCTTGTAATGGGACTTTCAAAGCTAGGAGTCTTCATGGAAGCTGTGATATCTTATTGAACAGACTGGAGAAGACTGTTTAAAATTTCCTCTGGGAGCTCAAGCTCTCCTTTATCGATAAGGGCGGGGTAGCAGGGTGCTACGTACCGGGTGCATTTGAAGGACATCTTTGATGATTGTAATTTTTTTTTTCGCTTGGTTACAATTTCTGCTAGGGGAATTGAAGCAGAAGTAAGGAATATATGAGCTCGAAAGCCCCATATCTCTCTTTCTAACAAAATCGTGTCCCATTCGGAAAGACCCTCTATGAAGACCTTCAATCCATAGATCCATATAATTCGAAAGCGAAGAATTAGAACAATAGCAGTGCTCAAGATACACGGAACAGTCAATTTAATTGCTATCACACTATAATAGAAGGGTGCTATAAAGCTGCAAGGTACTTTGTACCACTCTGCAGACAAAGGCGGTCCCTGGTGGCAGTATAGTGCGGGGCGTCAGGACGCGGCGGGCAGGGCAGGACTCGATCAAGTCACTTTTTACTCCTATCAGTCAGTATCAGAGACTGCCGTGGCCGTGGTCTCGTCCTGATCACATACGAAGTCTGACGGAGCTGTAACCTTATTTTCGAAACCTACCTTACCCTCACTCCCAGCGTCTTGGTCTCGACGAACTCACAGCTCCCACAATGCGCCTGATCAAGAACAAGATTGAGCACAATGGCTCGGGGACAGTCACTCTATGTCCCGAGGAGCCTGAGGATATGGTATCAACCGCATTTCTCACCTTGCCATACAACATTCCTCTCCAATCTAACACAATGTCTTCATCCAGTGGCACGCATACAACCTGATCCGTCCAGGCGATCTCCTCCGCGCCAGCGCAATCCGACGCGTAACAACAGTCCAAGATACAGGCTCCACATCCTCCGCCCGAGTCCATCTGACTCTGTTGATTAAAGTGAAGAGTCTCGACTTCGACCCGCAAAGCTCGCAGCTGCACGTATCCGGTCAGATTATGAACGAGACGGCGCACACCAAAATTGGACAATTCCATACGCTCGATCTGGAGTTGAACCGGAACTTTACTCTAGAGAAGGAGGTGGGCGCTGATGGGGAGGGTGTTGGATGGGATAGTGTCGCGGTGGAACAGTTGAAGGATGCAGTGGATGAGGGTGGCAACCGGCGTGCGGAGGCTGTGGCTGTTGTGATGCAAGAGGGACTGGCACATATCTGCTTTATCGGCCAGTTCCAGACGATATTGAAGCAAAAGGTAGAGATGTCGGTGCCGAGGAAGAGGCAAGGTGGCGGAGATCATGATAAGGTGAGTTACCCCGAGTTGATACGAGACATGGGATGAAAACTAATTAATTGATGAAGGGTATGGGCAAGTTCTTCCGTGTGACGCTGGAGACACTTCTGCGTCAAATGGACTTCAACACCAGCCTTACGTCCGGAGCCAATAACGAAGCTGTGCGCCCTGTTCTACTCGCCTCCCCGGGTTTCGTTGCAGCGGGTTTCCACAAGTTCATTCAGTCCGAAGCATCTACGACAACACCTGGTCTAAAGCGATTACTCCCCAGCATCATGGTCGTGCACTCAGCCTCCGGCTATCTCAACTCATTATCAGAGGTCCTCCAATCGCCTGCCGTCAAAACTCTCCTAGCCGATACCAAGTACGCCCGGGAGACGAAACTGATGGACGACTTCCTGGACCAGCTACGCAAAGAGACGAATAAGGCTACATACGGTCCTCGCGAGGTAGAATCGGCAGTCGACCAAGGAGCCGTCGGCCGCGGTGGTGGTGTATTGATCATGTCGAACAGACTGTTCCGGTCGCAAGACGTCGCCGAGCGTAAGCGGTGGGTTTCTTTGGTAGACCGCGTTCGGGACGTCGAAGGCGGCGAGGTACGAGTTCTCAGCTCGGACCATGAAAGTGGAAAGCGTCTGGAGGGGCTTGGAGGCATCGCGGCGCTTCTGACATTCCCCGTTGTTGAGGAAGACCTGGATTCGGAAGATGACGCCGCCGATACTCATTGAATAGATATTGGCGCTTCATAATGAGACATACGATGCATGAATAGAAGTGAATTGTTTAAAGAGACTTTGTATTTCATTCTATTTTCTCTCATCAGGACTACTTCAGCTGCTTGCGTACTTACACCTTCATGTACAAGATACATAGCAGGGAGCCCTACCCATCATGGAACCGGTGTTTCCGATTCCTTGAAGTAGATAATACAATCTACGATCTATGATCGTTCATCCCATTCACCTACCTACCCAGATCGGATAGTCCTAACTCCGAGTCCAATTTAGCAACATTGAATATCAGCGTGATATCCAAGGCGACCTGCGCTATAAACCTACCTCCTCAAAATCAGCCCTGCCGGACGTTTCATAAAGTCCCCAATTTAGATTCCTACAACGAACAACCTCGCTCAACCCATCTAGATCTGCATGACGGGATCCACTCATACATTTTTAGCGTTGATTCTAGTCAAAACATGACCACTACGAAAACACCTCGATGAAACAAATCTTGGATCGGGGGCCGAATGTAGGCGAACCTGCGGGTGGCGCAGAACTGCTTAAATTAAACAATGGCCTTTGGAGTCCATGTGGGGAGGAGATGTTGCACGGGTAGGGCCCGAAGTTCCCGAGGCTGCGGACTCTGTCAATGGGGCTGTGGTCGGCGTGCGATGCAGGTCGTTGTGGCGCTTTGGGGGCAGGATTACATTTGGCCCGCAGATGCTATTTTCGGGTTTCCTTAGATTAGTTACTGATCGGGGCTGTGTGTTTGACAGATGCTAGAGAGCTAGAGTATAGCGTAATGTTTATTTCGAGTACGTTTGTGCTTGGTGTTTTACCTTGTTTGTGGTAGACTTGTCGCGGATTATATGCAGGTCCTTCTTAGCTTGTATTGGAGACTATTTGGGGGTCGTGTGACAGTCTTAGATTCTACATGCTTACTGTTCCTACTACATGCAATCTTATCTACAATTTCAATACGTTTCGCGCTTGAGTTGTTTACTTGATGTCTCTGCGAATGTAGTGCGATGCTAGTTTTGTGATTCTATGTCTCATTTAAATTTTGAAGCTATGATTTCAAACGCGGTCCTAAGAAGAAAACAATGCAAATAGTCAAGAAACAAAAAAAACTCCATCCAACGCCAAAGCTATTCATGAAGGATCGTAAAATGTGCAAATGCAAGTATTTGCCATGGAAAGCGCCCGCCAAAGAAGAAGTGTAGATGCAAACAATACAGTCGAAATTCTCCACTTCGGGTTGGATTCAATCTTCCAATTCCTGACGGGCTCGCTTTCGTGATGTTGGTGGGTGATTAATGGGTGATTCCTCTGCGTCGGATATTACTGAAGGAGATATGCTACCGGGGTGTGCTTGACGTTGTTTGATTTCGAGATATCGTAGTTGAGCCCTGCATTGATCGGGCGTATACTCTTTCGTGGAGCCCAATTCTTTCATCTATAGAGAGTCAATCATTGTAAATTCATATAAACGGGTTAATCTCCACGAGATCGCTGAGCTCACCTTATTAGCGATGAATTGGTACCTCTCGATCTCCCACATATCGGAAGCGGAGAGGAGCAGCTGAACCTGAAGCAAATCAATGATCCGTTAGCCTCTAAATTTCGAAGCAATCCAATTACTCAACCTCACAACAAATAACGAGGCCACATACTCACATCATGCTCTTCCCAGCGCGCAACTCGTTCCTTGCGCCGACGAGTCAACCGCATTTGCAATCGAGCCTCGGTGACATCCTTGTTGAATCGCTCACAGAACATTTCACGTACTCTCTTCCACGCCAGATTCTGCTCACGCAAGTCTTCAACAAAAGCATCTTCCTCCTCTGCTTTGGGGTCTCGGCGACCACGGCCTGGTGCACGAGGCTTTGGCAGCATTGGTGTTGGAGCTGGCGTACTTTGGCTACGCTCGCGCTCCAGACGTTCGACGCCTTCCGGGTCGGGCAGAATGCTGAGAGGAGTGCGGGTGTCGCGGGATGGAGTCCTCATATCCGAGGAAGTTCGCTTCATCCGCTTAGGTGCCGGAGCTGCAGGCGACATGTTAGGCGTATAGCCCATAGCATATGGGGGTTCATTTGGAGCGTAGGCATAGCTAGCGAGTGGGGCTGACGTCCGTGGATATTCACTGGGGAATTGTGCGGTGATACCCAGACCCTGTGCTTGGACTGGGTTTATGTTGTAACTATAATCTTGAGCTGGATACTCTTGGGAGTGGCGGCTGAGTGCTGGGCTCGGATGGAATGAACTATCTGGCAGGGAGATGGGCGTAAGGATGGCAGGATGCGGGACCATAGGCTCTGTGCAATAAGGAGATGGTGTTACCCCCATGAAAGAGGCTTGGAATGCAGGCTGTAGAACATTAAAAAAAAATAGCAACTATAATTAGCCCATCTGAAAATTGACGTTGTTCGTCGGCACCCTCGGGGGCCAACGAGGCTAGGGCTGGATAGCGGGCCTTACTGTTTCCACACCCGTCCAGTTGGGGTCAACGGACTCATAGTAGCCCTGCAATTCTTCTCTCGAGTGAGAGTTCCCTGGACAGCGCGACATGATCTTCACTAGGTATGTAGATAAAAATATCTAGCACGTAGTAGCGATCGTGGTCCAGCGAGCACTTGATTGGAACAAGCGCTAAAGGTGGCAGAAGATGAAACACGGTCAGACAGTTCCGTGCAGGAGCAGGAGTAAGAGGCGGCGGTTGGGAGAGGAAAATGGTTTGCCGAGCACGGCGTTAAACAAGTACAGCGAGTAATGTATCGTTCAAGAATTATGAAAAAGGCCAAACCGTCAAGAAGAATAATAATTAGGGTCAAGGAGCTTTTGATCGTGTAGAAAGAAGCACGGAATCCGGCAAGGTGAACATCCAGATTCTTATAGATGAACCCAGCCCCAGAGGAGAGAGGGGTCAAAAGCAACAAGATATAGCAGACAATGCCCGCAGCACATTCTCTAGACTCAATTTGAGAGATATCACAGCCCACGGCCGGAATGCCTCGCGAGGCAGGGACGAACAAGCAGCGTCGGTTCGTCAACTATAGGCTCAGAGTGCACTAGAATCGAAGGATAGTACCGCCGATGACCGCCGTGCTGCATTGGAGCGCTCAAAGACAGAAGTGTAGACTCGATGAGAGCCTATATTTAAGCGCCAGCAGATTCAATAGTGCGGATTGTGGTCTTGATATCCTAGCGGTTCCCGGCCCCCATGTTCTACCCCCAACAAGGTTATGGGGGGTGTGGATAGTGTCGGCGGGCACAGACTTTCTTTGCATCTCAATAAGAAAAAAAAATGCAAGGAAACCGAATATGGGTGAGAAAAATTTAAGGAGGGCCTTTTGATTTTTGGATTTGAAATTAAATTATTCGGTGGGGGACAACTAATGTTATTTTTTTTTTTAATTTTTTCTTCTGTCGCTCTTCTCGGGCATGGCCATTCCCGTTCTAGAAAACCGGGTCTCGAACTGGATGGCAGTGTGGGGTGGGAGAAAGTGGTACTGGATTGAATTATGATTTAAGAAATAGAGGGGTTGTAAATGGGTCAAGAGGGCCAAAATGACCAGAATGACAGCTTCTGATTAGCGCTGATGGGGAATAAATGGTGTGGCATCCATGCTAGTTGCTAGCCAAGCAGGCAGTGCACAGTCATAATCGGATCGTCCAACGGGATGATCTAGTTCTCCTATCGTCATTTTGCATCGATTGTAAGTCTTGCATAGATATCCTGCGGATTGTCGAGAACGATCCTCTATCTAGATAATAAATTGATGAGATGATAGACTGGATTCCGTACGATTCCTACTTGTCACATATAGCTCATGTGCCGAACTATCCAATCTCTGTGCTCCCTTGGTCTACGTTAGCTATGGGGGCGGCCTCTATGCCAAAACCAAAAACAAACCAAATCAGATGAAAAAGAATGAGGGTGGGCTAGCCGGGGGGTAAGCCTGTCCTACCTTCCGACCTTCCCACCTGCAGGAAAAATTGACGGGCGGCGGCTCTTGACTGGACCAGAGGCCCCCAGCGAGGCCGGCAAGGGACCGGTGGGGGCTGCTGAGGCTGCTGAGGCTGAAAGGCTACCCGCGCGCCGCTCGTGGCTTTTTTGCTCCGGAGAATTCACAGCCGGTAGTTAAGCGCCGAGGGTGAACGGGGCCCCCGCCCAGGCCCCCTAGGATCATTCCTGGCACTTTTGGGAACAAAGGAAAGAAAAAGCAGATAGATTCGATCATTCTCGATGCTTGTGTTCTTCTTCTGCTGCTTCCATATAGGTATCGACTCTCTGCCCTGCCATTAACCAGCGAAGCATGAGGGAAGCCGTGGGGTGCCTCGCCCAGGAATGGAAGGTGGAAAGTAGTCTTGATATGTAGGTAGACGGGGGGCCAAGGCCACCTCATCTGGCAGACACTTTGTCTGGCCCGTTTTCCATAAAGTCGAAGTCTCCTCTTCGTATACCCCCCCACCTTCGACCGACTACATATGATCCCACTCTCTGACTACGTGGAAGCCTCCCATAGACTACTCACAAGTCTGCATTTTAAGCGCCCCCTAAATCCCCTAAACCGGTCGTAGTGCACACATCCCGGATACCACCTGCCTATCCCTCGTGAGCCTTACTGAATACGTACAACGGCATATCTTATCCGTAGTCCAGACTGGTCACATACTGCAGCCGCTAGTTCCCGCTATATTGTGAGCAGTCGTTTATGTTCATTTAGTCTCAGTATGTGGTCATGCATCCGAGAAATTTAAGAATGGGAGTGAACCATGGGAGCGGTGTACCCAGTACCTCGGTCACTCTCCGTACCATATTCCTTCTGCTGGGTATCAGCACAATCACGTGACAAATGCTCACCGTCACACAGAGGCCTGGTCACCCCTTGTCTTTCCTCCATCTCCCTCCCTCGAACGCATCACTCATGACACAGTTCTTCATGATACTGTACTACGTACAATGGATCCCTCAAATATCAGAGTTATTTGCTCAGCAGTAACTGAAATATACGGATTGAATTTGGTACCGAGTCATGCTCATCAACCGAATTTCTACAGAATTGCAGCCAAAAGGTTATCTCATTTCGTTCGTGTCGTTCATGTCAAGATTAGTCCCTTAATTTCCATCCAGTCCAATGACATCATCTTTCTGTTCCAAAGTTCTTTCCTTTTCCTCCAATCCTCTCCAGACGTCAATCTGAAGGAAACGCTTCTATAAATCACTGGGAACAGCCTTAGAAATACCAGCAATGCGACCTGCGGGAGCTTGAATACTGCCACCACCCAAAACATCAAACAGACCTAGTTCTGCTTGCAAATTCACCAAGATCCATGTACGAATCTCCACAGCGAGCAAGGAGTCAATACCGTAGCTGTGCAAGGGCTGGCTGGCATCAATGTTCTCAACTGGAGTCTGCAACTCCCGAGCAAGTCGCTGTTTCAAGCATTCAACAATGAGATCAGCGGCCTCGCGTTTTGATTGCACTTTATCCAGCTGTGACACCAATGCCACTATGGTACTACCTTTTTGTCCACCGGTCACCGTCATTGCTCTTGTCTGGTCGAGGTCTTTCTTCTTCAAGTACGCAAATCGCGGGTCGTCGAAATAGAACGGCCGTTCCAGACCCTCGGATTCGAGAATACCTCCCGTGGGGAGACCTGAAATGACCTGCGTAGGCACCGTTGAGCCACTCCATGTCCCCGTCATCGCCGCTGTCAGCAGAGCGTGAAACTCCGCCTCGCGAATTCCCACTGCCTCCCATTTCTTCAAGTTCGTTGCGCCACCGCGTTCAGCGATGAGACCGATACCCAACATCAAGCCGAGGTCGATACTAACGGCCGGAAGACCCTGGCTGCGTCGGTAGTGAGCGAGTGCATCCTGGAAAGTATTGCCCGCTGCATAATTGGCTTGGCTCCGGTTACCAACCACACCAGCGATCGAGCTGAGCATGACGAAGAATTGCAGCTCGCACTGCAGCAACAGCCGATGCAGAATCATCGAGCCGTGCATCTTAGGCCGAGTGGCAGTCCGCCATTGCGCATGTGTCATGTTATGGTAGATCGAGTCTTCGAGGACGGCGGCACATTGCAGAACGCCGCGGATGGGTGGCATTTCGCTGGCACATTGTCCTAACACATGTTGCATGGCTGCCTCGTCCGATATATCTGCTGCGTAGAATCGGACCTGCACGCCCATCGACGTCAAATCACGAGTGACTGAGATGGCACTTGCGGCGGATGAGCCAGATCGAGATACGATGGCAAGATTTTTGGCACCCTTGCGGGCGAGGAATTTCGCTAAGTTCGCCCCTAGCCCTCCTGTGCCACCTGCCAGGAGGTACGTAGCATCTCCGTTGAGGATCAGTGGGTTTGCAAGTTCTGGTGTGACGGGGATGTGGCCATCCAAGTCAAACGTGATAATTGCGCTGCCTTCACGGGCAGGTGTTTGTGCACATTGAATGGCTTCGATGGACTTTGATGAAGGCCACACACGTCTGGACGGTGGTAGCCGGAAGCTTAGATTGTGCTGAACCCTAGACACCTGCTTCAGGATTTCCAAAGCACGAGCTGGATCATCGCGAAGCAGCTTTCCAGCGTTGTAGGAAGTGTATGTAGCTCCTCGACGGAACGGGGCAATAGATAGCATTGGTCCATTGTCCGCGTGGCCATTCACAGTCACGCTCTCGGCATCAAGGTCCACGAGGACACCTCCAGCGGCCATACAGCGCCAAATGAGCGGAAGTAATGTACGCTCTGCGGCCTGGTGTAATACCATGTTCAACCCGGTTCCGTTGCACAGGTGAGAAATGGCTAGCTCAAGATCTGGATCGCTTTCCTCAACAATATGCTTCGAGTCGATCCCCAGAGCTTCCATCTGAAGGCGCTCCTCCTCGCTGCGGACAGTCACGATGAAGATTTCCGGTGTCAGACGCTGGGCGATTTGAATCGCGAATTGACCCACAGAACTTGCTCCGGCTTGAATGAGAATTGCTTTACCGGCTTGCAGCTGCGCGATTTCAATCAAGGCCGTATACGCAGTACCAAATGAGATCGCCCAGACGGCTGCTTCTTCAAAGGATGTACTTTCAGGAATGACTTGACACCAGGACTCTTGAACCCGGATTTGTGTCTGTGGAGATGTTAGAGGGACATAGGTCCAGACATGGTCACCGGGTTTCCGGCGTGAGCAGCTGTTGCCAACTTCAGTGACCACACCACTAAATCCGATTGCGGCTACTCCAGCATGACTACCGAGCGTTAGTTCTCAGAGGCATGGAAAGAATCGGAGATAACGTACTGTATATCCATGGCCATCACCTGGACATTGACTTCGTCGTCAGCTAAACAATCTCCAATGCGATCCTTAACGGCTGAGTAGATAGAACCCTCGAGCCGCAGCGGGACCCTCGCATCGCCCACGCGTATCAAGTCTGACATAGAAGAGGTGCCATCTGCCGCCATGATGCTAGAAAGATCATCTTCATCTACCCATCGGTTGATTTGGATACATCCCTCGAGCTCCATATACTCTCGGTCAGTCGTTGGCGAGCTGGCCATTGCTGCCACAGTCTGCGCAATATTTTCTGGAGAACGAGCCGCGTCTCCTTCATTGTTCAGCAATAGGTATCTTAGATCGAGATCCACGTTTTCGTTCTGGAGGACCCTTAGGTAGCCCACTGCTGCTTGCATTGCTGGATCCTTTCCCATAGCCACCCAAAGCACGCGCTTGCTATGAAGCATGAGTGTTTGAAGAGCTGCAAAGTCATCAGCACAGAGGTCTTGCAGGAATGGAGAATCTAGTTCCATCAAGGATATCAGCATCGCTCCTCGGAGGTCAGCGAGATCCGTAGACCAGCGGGCGGTTTCTGGGCGTAGTCCATGGGCAGTGAGTTGAAGCGAAAGTTGAGCAGATATCTCCATCAATCGTGATGAAGCATGTGCCGGCTCGATCAGAACGACTGTCTGATTTTCCCAAGAGACTGAAGTTGGTGCTTTTCCATCGATATACCAGGCCGAATTTGGCGAGATATTGAACCCAGTGTTCAATATGGAGTCTCCCTGGTCATTGAGTCTGATATTTAGGTCAGTCTTTAATTCACAAGGTAATCGGCAGGGGTACTTGCTCTGGATCGATCTGCAAGATTGAATGCCCTCCAGGGCGGACACAATCCTGTACGCGTTGGACTTGCTCGCTGGTGATTGCATCACTGCACACAATGGCCACATCTACGGATTTCTCCGTCCAATCTGCAGTATCCCAATCGAGGCTGCCGAATGAGACGGTATCTGCCCATTTTTGGAACAGATCTTTGCCCATCATGACTTTCTCGGGATCTACGTCGAGAACTGTATAGCTGGAGCAGCGTGTTGTTTTGCCAGGACTGGTTCCCAACGCAGAGAGCAACGACTCGATGAGCGTGTCTGAATAACCGACTTGCATGATAGTGAGATCCGGATTCTTGTGAGCTGCAAGATCGACAATCTACTTCAGTCAGTGAGAGGTACATAGAAGGACTGCCTAACTACTCACTTTCCCGATTTCAGTTCCATTTTTGCTGTGGCCGGCCACATATCTCTGCATCTGTGTTTCATCCAGCCACGCAAGATCAGGCTTCCACAACAGTGTTCCTATAGGTGCCTTGACTGGTGCGGACGAGGAGCTTGCGGCTCCATTGATACCCGTAAGCTCTCGACACCGCAAGTTATTGATGATAACCTTGGGCTCATCATGCTCGTCTGTGACCCAAATATCTGCCACAAGGTCTCGCTCTCCCTCGCGCCGGGCACGACAACGTGTTTTGACAGTCGAACCCGCCGCAGAAGACAGATTCGGATAGATGATGAGACCGTCAAGTGCAATGGGTACAGCCGCGCTCGACATGTCTAGATGGTTACCACCCAAGGCCGCGAACATGGAATGGAATATCACGTCTAACGTGGTAGGATGAACCAGGTGCGGACTCTGGGCACCAGCAGGCATTGACGCCTGTGTGTCGGGAACTTGAACCACACTGGTGCAGCAGTCTACCCCGGCTGTGATCTCTTTGAGCCCCTGGAACAGAGGACCATATTGGAGACCAGCTGTGTGAGTGGCTTTGTAGAATGTGACTGGCTCTATAGTTCTCGTGCATTGCTCGGCAATGTCAGCAGAGTCCTCTCGGACAGTCTGCCATAGCAGCTGCTTTCCAGTTGTTCTATTGGTAAAACCGTCTCTTGTCTCTGTATTATATCGCACTCGCACACGACCTGAGCTGTTCTGCTCTAATGAAAGGCCATCCGAACAGCTCATCACGTCGAATTGCCAACAATCTTCTTGAAGCTGGGAACCAGAGGTTTCCATTTGACTATTGCGAATAAGTTGAAGCACTACTTCAATTCCAGTTGCATCGTCTGGAACAACGATAGCTTTGGTAATCCGCGTTTGCTCGATATGTATACTTGCCACATCCTGATCTGCGGTCATAAGCTGAAGAATAGCCTCGATAACCATTGCAAAGATACCCGCAGCGGGATATAGGATTAGCCCATCTACAACGTGATCTCGTAGCCAAGGTTGCTCTTGAACACGCAGAATATTCCGCCAGCGTGGCTGTGTCGAGCTGGCATCCGCAGCTGGTGCTCCGAGCAGATCATGGCGGCCAAATTGCCGCAGTCTGTAGTTGCGACTTAGACGAGACTCGGCCCAGTACCGACGTGAATGATCCCATGGATACGAGGGCCAGTTGATCAGCGGTGTTAAGGAGGATGCCTGCCGGTTCACAGCGTGAACGCAAACGGCCACTCCGTGAATGTACAACTCGCCAGCGGCTAAGATAGCAGACCGGATTGCATCCTCGCCCCGTTTCAAGACAGAGGCATAGGAAACCCGAGAGAGATCGTGGTGCTGCAAGATTTGACGCAGCGGACCCCGCAGAGCAGCGTGTGGTCCAATTTCGAGCATCATATCCACCGCTGACTCGCCATGACGAGGGCGCCGGCGCCGTCGAGATGGATCATTTTGTAATAGTGTCGATACGGCATCGAGGAAGAGTACTGGTGACACCAAATTCTGGATCCAGTAGGCCGGGCCAAGCTGATCTGAACTGATCTGCTTTCCAGCCACACTTGAGAACATTTGGACAGAACTGGTGGTAGCAACGGGGCTTATGTCTGCAATGTGCTTCACATAGAGCTCAGCCACGCGCTGCATATGATGCGAGTGGTAGGCCAAATCCACTTTCAGCCGGCGACAAAATACCCCGGTAGAACTCAAGATGTGCTGCAGCTCATCGATGCCGGCAGCATCACCAGATATGGTGACCGAGGCCGGTGAGTTAATGCAGGCAACAACGATGGTGCCGTTCTGGACACTGCGTATATGCTCCTGCACAGTCTCTACAGAGAGACCAACGGCCATCATAGCTCCTGCACCTGGGCCCAAATCACACATCAATGAGGCACAGACCTGTCCGCGATAGTAAGCAACTCTCCAAGCGTCTTCTCGAGTGAGAGCGCCGTAGCAATACGCAGCCGCGATCTCGCCACTGGAATGGCCCACCACCGAATCGGGAGTTACCTCCCATGAGCGCAGGAGGTCGATCAAAGCAATCTGGAGCACGGTGCAGAGCGGCTGGCTGAGATGGGCTTGGTTGATCTGCGAAGCTGTTTCATTCGCCGTCAACTCTGCCACTACAGACCACCCACTTCCCAGTTCGGTCCCAAGATACAGGTCTGCTGCCTCAATACTCGCGCGGAAGACCGGGTATTTCCAAAGTTCAATGCCCATTTGAGCGTACTGAGCACCCTGTCCCGTAAAGACGAACGTTAGGCGAGCGCGCTGTGGCGCGTGGACAGGTTGCTGCTGCTGCTTCTGCTGAACAGCTGGAGACAGACTTTCTGCGAGCTCATTGGTGCTACTAGCAACTGAAAAGGCTTTCCACTGAAATTTGGACCGGCGATCACTTAATGTGAATGCTAGCTGGTCGAAGGGGATCGGCATATTCTGAGCAAGCTTTGTCCGAATGAAGTTCCCGCTACGGTCCATCATCCGGTACAACGCCGATTCAGCTGGGGCACTGAGGACAAAAAGCTTAGGGTTCACATCCTGGCCTTCGTTGACTTTCAGTGGACCTAGCCCTCTGGCAGCCATCCACTCTTCGGGATGATCGAGGATGACATGGGCGTTAGTCCCACCATAGCCAAATGAGTTGATGCTCACCCGCTTAGGCTGATGACGTGGCCAAGGTGTGAGTTCAGTTGGCACAGCAATATGCCAGTCAGCGAATGGGATGCGCTTGTTTGGCTCCTCAAAATGGATGTTAGGGGCGATAGCACCATGTTCCATCATCAGGATGCACTTGATCATCCCTGCAAGTCCGGCGGCGCCCTCTAGGTGGCCGATCTACATAATCAGCCGGTCTGTTCGGTTTTGGTTCAGACATGATTAACTCACATTGGACTTCACCGACCCAACATATAGTGGGCTTCCCGCGGTCCGTTTGATACTTATAGCCTGTGCCACAGCTCCCAACTCGAGTGGGTCGCCTACTGCTGTACCTGTACCCTGTTCGGTTGTTAGTCATTCTGCTTCCATACTGAAAGTATAGAACCAAAGGGACTGATCTCTTACATGTGCCTCAAAGTATGCAGTCTGGCCAACATCCAGGCCCGCAGAAAGGTAGGTAGAGCGAATCAGGTCAGCCTGGGCCTCACGACTTGGAACAGTAATTCCCGTGGTATGACCATCCTGGTTTGCACCTGTGCCACGGATGATGGCTCTGATCGGATCCCCGTCTCGGAGGGCATCTCTTGCCGGCTTCAGTATAAGTGTTGCAATGCCCTCCCCGCGGCCATAGCCCGTGACCCCCTCGGCAAAGGAACGTGAGAGGCCATCGGTTGATGTCATACGCAGATTCGCCAGCCACATGGCTAGATCCGGGCTGAGAATCAAGTTGGAGCCGCACACTATGGCCGTGGTAGCTTCACCGTTTCGTAAGCCTTGACAGGCAAAATGCAAACCAACCAAGCTAGATGAGCAAGCTGTATCGAGTGTCATACTCGCGCCGCGCAAGTCATAAAACCAAGAAATACGGTTTGCCAGCAACGAAAACCCCGTTCCCGTGCCAGCATACATCGGGGCTGTCTCCGCATCACGCATCAACATTTCATGATAGTCACGTGTAAAACAACCTACATGGCAGCTGGTCTGACTTCCTACAAGGCTCTCCATAGGAAGCCCAGCAGCTTCCATCGCCTCGTAAGTCACCTCTAGAAGGAGGCGAGCGGTAGGATCCATCGCGGTGGCTTCTTGCGCTGTGATACTGAAAAACGGCGCATCAAACGCCGCGACATCTTCGTCGAGGAAATGTCCATTGCGCGTGCTGAGTGTGTTGAGCTTCTCGCTTGCTGGATGATGGAACGCGTCTACGTTGTAGCGATCTTGGGGGACAGTCCTCGCAGCCGCTATGAGGAATTAGCAATGACCACACCTTCTAAGGAAACTGAGGCTCATCCTATATCGTTTGTTTGATAGTAGCTCCCAAAACCTTTGTGGGTCTGAGGCACCACCAGGAAATCGACAGGCCAAACCAATGATGGCGACATCGCCAACCCCGTCCACAGGGTCATAGTTAAAGTCGCCCATCTTCGAGTGTAGAGAGCAATTAGTGATTCTTTTTTTTCAGTCCATAGTCAGATGGTATATTTTCTTTTCTTTTGAGACTGACAAACTTTGCCAGCAATCGACTGTTTCGGGCAGTCCGATGCTAACCCGCACTGCGTCCATGTTGTCTGGGGACAACGCAGACTCAATTCTTCCACAGAACCCATCTGCTAGTCACGATTGGTACATATCTCTAGCGCAGTTTGTGGCAGACTAAGTGAAGAGAGGGGTGGTAGCGAATATCAAGTTACAGAGGGTATTTGCTCCAGCCAGCCACCATACTTAAAAAGTGGCACTGGACCATTCAGAAAAGTGCTGCAGACAGTTATTCTCCCAATCACCCACGATCATTCGCCCGATTTAGCGCCGAGTGGTTCGTACAAATGGCATGGCAGTGGAGAGTTGGCATCGTTCCCTGTCAGATTTTAGGCCATCCGTAGCGACGGATACTGACAGTGCTAAATGCGGGGGCGACTAGTAATGTCAATACGGAGCTCCTTCTAAAGAAACCGCTTAAAATCGCAGGATTACGTATTGAGCATGCTTTTAGTTTGCATGTATCTGCGCCTGTCCAATTCAGCTTCAAGTGTGGCCCACCGTTCATCGGAACGATGTACTATAAAGAACTAATTTAATTTATCAACGGCCGGGAACCACCGTTGGGCGCACCAACTACCGACGATAAGCCACACTTAAAGGGCAAGAAGAGCTGAACGAGCGCTCAGATCAGAAAACTTTTCGTTCCCACTATGCGATTCTTATGTTTACACGGACGAGGGACCAACTCGGATATACTCGAGGCTCAACTCGGTATGAGAGACTTACACTCTCAGAGCATCCATCCTCTTTTAGACAGAACAGCTAACTCTTTAGCACCACTACGTCGTCGCCTGGCACAGCATACGCTGGAATTTTTTGACGCCCAAAGTGCATGTGCCCCGGCCCCGGAGATATCGGATCTATATCCGCCGCCATATCTGTGCTGGTACGAACACGGCCGCCCCGACGAGGTCTCGATCGCACTAGACGAGCTGTGTGCTGTGCTCGATGAAGATGGACCATACGATGGCCTGATTGGGTTCTCAGAGGGCGCGGCGCTGATAGCCAGTCTTTTGTTATTCGATGAACTGGCCGGGCGCCGTCCTCGTATCCAATTGGCTGTACTATTCAACAGCGTAGTGCCGCTCACTGCCCACCCCGCAGGCGTGCAGCACACATCCTCCTTACTTAGCGAGCTCGTGCATGGGCATCACGATCACTATCTGGCTCTTCTCAAGACAGATGAACAGGTGGATGATCCTTTGGCTCAAGCATGGGGTTTCAGCCCAGCCGGGCCTCTCCGCATTGCCGTCTCAACCGTCCATATCATTGGTGATCAGGATCCGTTTGCCCCCTCGTCACAGCTGGTAGTCAAGATGTGCCAACCTGAACGGGCACAGGTGCTTCGACATGGGGGTAGTCATGCATTACCGCAAGCTGGAGACGTGCTTGACCAATGTGCAGAGCTTATTGAGACCAGTATTATGCTTTCTTCATTGAAAATCTAAGTCTGAAGTATGTCTACAAAGACCTTATCCTGTGATACAGTATCCGTTCCACTAGAGGAGTTTTGAAGGAGCAACAGTTGTTGTCTGAATAACATTTGCAAACAATAAAGATTTATCGGGTTATCAGCAGCAATTGAAGTGTATATAGCGTCCCACATGGAGCCTCTCCACAAGACTTCCGTTCATAACTCCACCCATCCAGCCAAGGGGAGAAAGTTCAGGTCAGCAACTTAGTGGGTTCGCGATAACTGCCCCAATACCTAGAATGCTAGGTTTAAAATACGTGTGCATGACATGACTCGGGTAGCTCGAGTCAGCCAGCCACAGACTAAAACAAAGCAGGTCAACGGCTGACGAATTCAATCATCTCCCGAGAAAGAAGTCCGCAACCAGCTGCAGATGGTTCTCGCAATTCAATTACTCTAACCCATACCTAGACCAGTATTTTCCACCGCATACTTTGTTCCTAGACATGCCTTTTTCGGGTACGAGTCTTTCTGTATATGAACTTTTTATTTCCTTCGCAATAGTTCTGCACCACAATCGTCCATATTTACCACTATCTCAACAATACTGCGCGAGCTCCAAGTATATTTCTACTACTCTTGTTATTTCTCAGCTAGTACTTCAAAATGTCTGAGCTACTTCCAATACCCACAATGCTTGACTGCCGAGCAGAAGCCGGCCCAAACCGCGTATGGGCCAAATATCCAGTCTCGGCCACTTCATATACGGAAGGCTTCCAAGCGGCGACTTACAGCGAGATGCGTACTGCTGTTAATCGCGCTGCCCACCTTTTGTGCGATGCGCTTGGTGAGAGCGAGACATTCGAAACCTTGGCCTATCTCGGCCCCAATGATCTGCGCTACCACATTTTTCTCGTGGCTGCTATCAAAACGGGATATAAGGTCCGGAAATGCATGCTTGGAGTTTTACAATCCAACTAATCTCTGTGGTAGATGTTCTTTCCTTCACCTCGTAATAGTATTGTAGCTCAAAAGGAGCTTCTAGCACGCACCGAATGCAAAACTCTCTTAACGCCCGACCCGGAACCACCGATGGTGACCAGTCTCTTACGTGAGAGTCCCATGAATACGATACGAATTCCGTCACTCGAAGAGTTATTCATGAATGATGCCTCACTCGTCCCCTATCCCTATATTCACGGGCAGAAATCCCTCGACGTGGTTCGAGATCAGCCCGTCCTCGTCCTGCATACTTCAGGGTCCACAGGTCAGCGAGTTAGGTTGGGTTCATAAATTGGTATATTCTAACACTCAAAGCAGGAATTCCAAAGCCAATCATCTATACACATGACTTCTTTTGGCGCATCGTCAGAGCCAATACTCTACCCACTCCTGAAGGAATAGCTCGAATTGATGATCTCTTCTTGCACGGAGAGTTTTTTCTTTCCTCCCAGCGTTCCATGTTAGTCAACCAAGCTATAATCCGCTTTCTTGTTTCAACTATTAATTTGCGCAATAGATTGCCGGCATCGGATGGGGCTTTGTTCTCCCCTTGTTCAAAGACAGCATCCCGGTACTCCCTCTGCCTGGTCGACCACCATCGACTGATGGTTTCTTGGAAGCTGTACGATACGGCCACTTTGCATGGGCTTTCGTCTTACCCATCATCATTGATGAGCTCACCAGTAGTCCGGAGGCGCGGGTTCTGGTCTCAGAAAAATTGAAGTACCTCTTCTACACTGGTGGTGCTCTGCCCCCAAGCGCCGGAGAGCGTGCTGTCGCTGCAGGAATCCAAGTCTATTCAGGCTTGGGGTCAAGTGAGTGTGGAGCTTTGCCTCAAGTCCGGAGCGTTGACGACCATCTCCATCCGCCATCCGAAACATGGCGGTATCTGCATTTCAATCCAGCGATGCTAGCAGAATTTCGGCATCGTATGGATGACTTGCATGAGCTGGTAGTACGTCGATCCTCCACGCATGCTGATGCCCAACCGGTGTTTGCCCTCTTTCCAGATCTTGAAGAATTTGAGACGCACGACTTGTTCAGTCCACATCCAGACTTACCAGACCTGTGGATGCATCGTGGTCGTCGAGACGACCTTATTGTCCTGCTCAATGGCGAGAAGACGAACCCCATTTCCTTCGAGGCTGAGATCACTGCCCATCCCGACGTGCGTGGTGCGCTAGTAGCTGGCAATAAGCGTATTGAGGCTTGTCTCATCGTGGAGCCGGTTCCAGAAGCACTGCAACAGGCGACAGATGATACTCCAGCCAAGGACTATTTTATTAATAAGATCTGGCCTACCGTTGAGGAATCGAATCACCATTGCCCAGCGCATGCTCGGATCGCCCGATCCATGATCCTTATACTTGATCCAGACATGCCCATGTTGCGAGCTGGAAAAGGCACTATACAACGCGCCGGGACTCTACAATTATACGCAGAGCATATTGAGGCGCTCTATATAGAGAAGGAATTACCAACTCCGCCTGCTATACCACTTAGTCGTGAATCCGTTACTTCCACCCTGCGATCAATAGTGGCCGACATCACAGGATGGTCTGAACTCCAGGACGACGTCGACTTTTTCGATCAAGGTATGGACTCGCTTCAGCTGTTGCGACTAAGTCCCGCTATTCGCTCACGTCTCGGTGTTTCCATCTCTCCTTCCGTCATTTATAGCAACCCTTCAGTTGCTCTCTTGATCACGAAGATCTGCCAGGATACTATGGCAGATACCGAACAAGATCAAACAATCCTAATCCAAGAGATACTGCAGCAATATAAGCAGCAGATTGATCATCTTGCGTCAGAGCCTACAAAGGCATCACCTGAGCCTAATCGTCCAGCCACAAAGACTGTCATTCTCACTGGCTCTACCGGCACAGTGGGGTCCTTTGTGCTAGGGCAGCTGTTGAATGATCCTGAAGTCGCGCATATATACTGCCTCAACCGATCAACCGATTCCGAATCATTGCAGATAACCAGAAATCTCAAGCGAGGAATTCATACCCCTCTCGACGCAGACCGGGTGACTTTCCTCACAGTCGATCTTACAGGTTCATCCTATGGTCTGGACACCTCCGCACTCGAAACCTTGGTGGGCGAAACAACACAAATTATCCACAGCGCCTGGCCAGTCGACTTCAACCAACCACTATCCTTCTTCCAGCCTAGTCTTCAAGCCCTAGTAAACCTCATCACATTCGCCAGCCAGGCAAAACACAACCCACCGCTCCTCTTTCTCTCATCAATCAGCGCCGTCAGCTCTGCTACCGGTCTGATCCCAGAAGAGACTCTTCCAGATCTGACCTCTCCCGCTCCAATGGGCTATGGCCAAAGCAAGTACCTCGCAGAACGGATTCTTGCCCACGCAGCAACAGCCTTGCCACACCTACGTCTAGGTGTAGCGCGCATCGGCCAAGTCTCAGGTCGAGCTCGCGGCCCAGAAGGAGCCTGGGCACGAACTGACTGGTTGCCCAGTTTGGTCGTTAGCTCACGATATCTGGGCGCTCTGCCGGATTCACTGGGTGGTGGCCGGATGGAAGCAATTGACTGGGTTCCTGTTGATGACCTTGCTGTGATTCTGGTCGAGCTCTCCGAAGCTTTGAGCACAGGATCGGGTGCGTTGTCCGTCTTTCATTGTGTCAACCCGGAGGCCATTACCTGGCAAGATTTAGTCCCGGCTACTGTTGAGGAATTATCGACCCCGGAGAAGAACCTGGTGACTGTCACCTTTGAGGAGTGGTTGGAGCGACTGCAAAATAGCGCCGCTGAGCTTGATCGGGACGAAGTGAAGTTAGACGAGTTCTTTGCTCATAATCCTGCGGTGAAGTTACTAGATTTTTATCAGCAGCTTCTTGTCGACAGTGGGGATAAAGGAAATGGTGGCAGATTGGCACTTGATAAATCTGTGTGCGTGAGCCAAGCTCTGTCTGGTCTGCGTCCTGTCCAGCCGGAGTGGATGCACAGGTGGATTGGCGAATGGGTCGACAATTGAGATAACTCGGAGATTGATATAGCCACTGCATCAGACGATATACTCCTGCCTGTTCCATTAGGCACCTCTCTATACAAAGTCTACTTTAAACTCTAGAAGCATGAACACTCGATTCATAAACATCCATTGCTTGCTCCATAAATGCAACCACGATGGTATCAACACCAGGTACATTGTACCCGGAAGAAAAGGAAAGGTGATGCCCGAATCAAACAGCTAAATATATCGAAAAACTAGCCCGACTCCACCCTCCAAGCAGCCCCACTCCGCTCCGCTCCGCCGCCACTCCAGCCATAATCCCATCATTGGTCCAGCCGACAGATCAACCAGTCGTGCGAGTGCGCGGTGCGTGTTCACGATCATCCAGATAATCATCGGCCAACACACCCTCGGTACCATCCTCATCGTCATCATGATCACCATGGCGACCCTGATTCTCCAACGTATCATCCGCCGCAATCGAGATCCCCCGCGCACCCCACCGGTTGTTGCTAACCCGACCATCGCCACGCTCCTCGTCCTCACGCAGATGCTGCTCCTCATCCGTCGATGCACGGCCCGCGCGGAAATTCACCACACGGTTAACCAACCAGCTCTTGTTGAAGTCGTCCGAGTCCACGACGCCGCCGTTGCGCAGCTTCACCCGCTGTCGCGAGTAGTACACCCATGCGAAATCGACGTAGAAGGCTGTTTGCACGATGCCGAAGACGAAGGCGATCGGGTCCCAGTAGTGCTCCTTTCCAAAGCCGCGCACAAGCCAGTTGATGATGTAGAAGGCACGGTATGAGCCCAGTGCGGCGAGGTAGTAGGAGTCAATTACGGTGGGGACGGTGGTTTGTCGGAGGAGTAGGAGCTGCGGGAGGACGCAGACGGACTCGAGAACGATGGAGAAGGCCCAGAAGAGCTAGTGATCAAAGGTCTCTTGTTAGCAATCTCCTTTTCCGTAAAAACCAGAGCAGTTCGTAGTGAACAGCAGTAGGGAACTGCCTATTACTTACCTCCAGGAACCAGTGAGATGGGAATCCCTTTTCCAAAATGACGATGGACAGCGGCGACAACACGATGGAGGCAAGCACGGAGTAAATCCCGAGTTTCCAAGCGCGCTCACGCTCCCTCGTGCGCGGGAAGACCTTCATCATGATGAAGATGGTATAAAAGGCCGAGGAAATGAAGAACAGCTTGAACGAGATATTCCAGATGACCGCTCCGCCGTACGTTCGTACCGACCACGTATCCGGATTCAATAGATCGAGATATCGCGTCACAAATACTACTGCATAGAGAAGCTGTGTGAGGAGCGAGACGCCTGTACCGTAAAGAAGAGTATTGGTTTCAGTCTGGATCTCCATTTGCTATGTTTGGTCCAATCTCTGTGGATCCATCGCGGAAAGACAGCTTACCCTCGGCGCTCTTGTTCTTATGAATCGCCCAGATCAGTAGACAGATCGAGGCAAGATGGGATAAATCCGCCAATACTCGAAACACGTTCCACCCCATCGTGGGCAGTGGGAATGGGGGGTTGGGAGGGTGTGTTGTGTTGGCTTTGTTACGGGGTGAGTGAATGGCGAGATAGCTATTTAGTTGGATGTAGGTGTGGTCTGGTCAATCAATAGAAAACCCCAGTTATATGTCGTTCCAATCTTTTCAGCAAGTTGAGTTCGTAAGTCGTGGTGAGTGAGGGCGTTGGTCTTGAATCGTGTCCGTTGCCTGGCGTTAGAGCCTCGAAGGGGAGCTCTCCCCGGCCTCTCGTTATCTGCAATCTGAGCTTGGACCACTCCTCACGTGAGCGATGACGTTAGCCTTTGGAATCCACACGTACTTCCGGTCGCATTACGATCATTGTCTCTTTTGTGTGCCTCGTTTGGGGGTAGATAGCTTCTCTATGGAGCCCTTACTTCCTTAAAATGGGCTGTTTCAAATTTGATACTCTGTTTCGAGTCCTGGTTTCAAGCTTACGGTCATAATGTATCTTGTGGGGCTATGATGTGAACGGAATGATTCATGCCCTGGGCCATTGTACGTAGATGAGAGATACCTCACTAAAGCTAGAGGCTTCTTCTGAGCAAGAAGTTCTGACTTAAAACTGACGGTCTAAGGCTATCCTTCAAAGTTGAGCCTAAAGTATCTATAAAAAACGATCTGGCTCTTAGTATATTTCTAATATGGTTGAGCCGAGTGGAGCTGTCGAGTATCTCCTCACGATTTTCATCCTAAATAGACTTTCATTCGTTGTTGAACCGGGTTCCCGTCGATACCTATGTATCCTACTTGATACGGCTACCGGACATGAGGATAATGAAAGTTGTTTCTGGTGACATCGAGGGACCAAAAGATAAAGTGCGGAAACTCACACTGGAAACGAATATATATGGCATTTCTTTGCTTACCCATCTCAGATTTAGCATCCCGTCTGTCAAAGACACAGACTGATTGGCTGATAAATAAGACAAGCTCATTCTGCTCAGGTTCCATTGTACTTTGCTGAACAGCACCAAGAATGAGTTCCTTACTTAAAGTCCTGTTCTTACCCCGGGCAGAGGCTCAAGACATCCATGTCCTTCAAGATCAATGGCCCAAGGCTCACACATAGCTAACGCAGATATTTTCTAAACGCTATGTTCGCTTCTGCTCCCAGTTAAACTGGTATGAAGACAGACATTGCAAAACGGTCCTGATCCCACGGACCGATCTGAATCATTCGAGAGAGAGAGATACCACCAAAACGCTATTTCTCTCCTAATTACAAAACAGGCCTCGGCCATATGAGAATCCATTCCCATTGCGTTGCCAACCCTGACAACCTGCAAGAAATCCTCGAAAATATGCCCCACGGCGTCGATAACTGTTCAAAAATACACACGGACCCTGGACCCCCTCAATGGAGCTGCAGATGGCAGCCACATTGTTTCGAGAGGATGCAATGCACGATCCCTGCGGGTGCCATCCCCAATGAATGCAGGATGGCGCTGGCCATGCGCGGTTCTCATTGGGGCGTTGATGATGAATCGCTGGCTTGAGCCCCGCGTCTTCTTTCCTTGATTAGGGCTCTCTGGGCTGACCTGAGTGCTTTGCAGGAGACAAGACTTGATTCGGGGATGGGTAGAGAATTAGAAAGGAACGGGGTATTGTTGCCTGTTTCCCCATGAATTATATTAGCCCACGAATCCTAGAATTCGAAGGGGAATGTCTGACTACGGCTGGTCTTAGGTTTTGGTCCCGTTTCTTAGAAGATCATACCCTATTGGTATGGCCGATAGAGAGAAGAGGAGGGGTATCGTGGCTGGATGCGCAACTGTCGTGTGGCTTGACCTAGCCAAGCCCAGTCGTGGTATTAACAGGAGCAGCGTGCTGCTACTACTACCACTAATACCGAGGACGACTGCTCCAGAAGCGTATCTCTCCAGCTGAGGAGTCCATTAGAACAAAGTATGGACATAATAGGCGCAGGACATACGGGACGATATGTACGCAATGCGGCTCGAGCAGATAGGCCGACCGGCAGGGGGGTTTTACTGCTGGACCGGTAACCATAAAAGGCCTGGGGGAAGACAAGAGTGCTTCATGGGTAGCTCTGGACTGGGTCAACGTCCCTTCCCTCGTTGCTGTTCGTCGTTGTTATCCTCGCACTGTGAGAGCTCGCCGGGTCACCGAATTATAGAGCAGTCCACTCGCGGGCGGTTTTTGGTCCAAATATTTCATGGAAAAGGTCGGACGTGGCCCATCCTGCTTCTGCAGCGACATTGCGGTCGGTCGAATTGGAGTGCAGCACGAGCCATTTGTGACAGGGCCCCCGGCCATCGGGTTCCTAGGACGAACGGTGGGGAGTGGAATGCACCGGAGAGGACGAGAGAGGGAAGTCTTAGGAACAAGGAGGTGCGAAAATAGTAATTGGGATAGGAGGATTGGGGGACATTGGAAGATCAGGCCATTGGGGCGTTAGAATAGTCAAGCTTGAGAAAAGGTGGCAAGGGAAGGTTTAGAGCTAGGATCATAATCATGGCGGGTTGTATTATTTTGTGTTTTTGTGTATAGCTTCGGTGGAGACTTGCCGTCGCAAAGGGCCTAGAACCCGCCTTTAACCCCTCCACGCGCTCTCTTAGCATTTTCGAGGGAAATGTCCAAGTAAATAATCATCATCGTGAATGGAAATCTAGACTCCATAGAAGAATATCTATCGCATCTTAAGTTGAATCGCGCGACTCTACTGGGACGCCCGACGCTCCTTATTACCAGCGTGATATGAGGTGACTCCCCGCTTCTCCCGCCTCTCCTCCTTCTCCTCTTCCCTTCTCCCCTTCTTCCGTCCGCGATCCTCTTGACTCGATTCCCTGTTCCTTCTCTTGAATCCCTCCTCATCCGTTTCATCCCTTCTCACTCTTTGTTCCTATCCTCTCTCTTCAACTCTTCAACTTTCCCCCCTTCTCCCCTCCTCCTTCCCTTTTAACCCCCCCCCCCCCTCTCTTACTACCTTAACACCTCCTAACCAACCACTATCTCCTCTTCCAGCCTCATGTTCTCCCCGTACTCGGAAGAATTTGAGGTGCCCGATTCGACTCTCCGACCATGCGATTTTGATCTGTGAGCTAAATTCCTTCTCTTCCTCTATTATCTCTCCTCCTTGGCCCCGCCGCCAGCTCTCTTTTTGGCCGAAAACAAACGGAGAAAGCTGAGCGCGCATCCACCCCGGTCGGGTTCACTGGACTGCCCCCAACCCCTGCGACTCCTCTGGACTCTCAATTCCCGACCATCTGCTATCTTGCTATCGTTCTATTATTGTACAATTCTGCCACCTCGCCCTTTTGTTATCGCGTTGGCTTCCCCCTCTCCGATCGGGTTCTGCCTGGGATGCGCCTGTGTCATCGTCGTTAGTGTAACGAAGCCCACTTTCCTAGAAGTTGACTCAAGGCGCCCCTGTAGCAGTTCTGCTAACCCCCTACGCGCGTTATCGCGTGTACAGATGAATCGACGTGTGATTGAAATCTTTCACCATGTCGTAAGTCCCTCGTCTATGATCTCCGTTCGGCTCCTGTGCTGCGGGAGGGAGACTACTTGCGAAGACAAGCTGCCAGATCAGGCATCCTATACTTGAGAGAGAACATGAGATAGCCCGTGATTCGCGTTCCACCTTTTCGTCCGATGTTTACTTCACCATTTATATTGCGCATTTACTACTATTCGTCTGGCCTCGGAGCTACTTTGCTAACGCGACACGAATCAGGTCACCTCCGAATTCCAAGCGGATCAAGACTTCGGCCACAACTAGCGCCCCGCCGCATCTTCTCGCTCAACAGCAGATCCATCCTTTCCATCGGGTCCCGACCTTCGACGGCATTCCTATTCCTACGGCCCCAATCCCCCATCCACAACAGCAGCAACCGCCGCAGCAACACCAGCAGCAGGTGCAGCAACAACATCAACAATCCCAACAGCAAGCCCAGTCTCGCAAGCGTCCCCAATCTCCCACAGTGGGATCCTCCACGATGATGGCTGCACAGATGAGCTCGACGGGTGGGCCAGTCGAGGGTGACCCAACCGCTCTGCCACCTGCCCCGGAGCCTGCTCCCAAGAAGAAGGGTCGCACCAACACCCCGTGGACCGCCGAGGAGGAACAACGGCTCAAGACTATGCGCGACGCCGGACGTAGTTGGAGCGAAATCGCAAAGGTGCGCCCTTCAAAATCAGGCCTTCCAATTGACTTCATAATGCTTGATAATCTAATGCGACGTAGACATTCCCTACACGAACTGAGGGCAGTGTGAAGAAGCACTGGTATAAGGTATGGAATAGACGATGTTCCCCAAGATCGGATTTCCGCTATAGTATGGTCACCTGATATGTTTTGTCTAGGATATGCATTACGCTGAATTCGCCGAAGATGAGGTATGATTTTCTGATGGTCAAATCGAAGAGGTTTCGCGCCTCCCTCGAGTTCCTCTCCTAACTTTTTACAGTCTATAAAACTCCGTGACGCAATCAAGGAGTACGAGGCAAACAAGTGGAAGGTTATCGGACAGAAAGTCGGCAAGCCTGCTAAGGTAGGTTGTACCCGTATCCCATTTGGTCCCATCAAGGTTGGATTTTCGTCTGATGTTTTCGCGCTATCTACAGGCTTGCGAGCAATATGCCAAGGAACATTTCAAGAATCTTTGAGCTCTTATACTTGATGACCCTCTCTCCCCCGACCCCACTCATGAAGTGACGATTTAACTTGTTTTATTTCTTTTTCTGGATTTTCTTTATGCATCTAACGAATTTGGCATTTCCCATCCCCCCGGATTCTGCAATTCCATAGCGATGCAATTGTCATAATGGCTGACGGGGGCCACTGATAATACAAGGCTGATGGAGTTGGTGATCTGATCTCTTTTTCTCTTCTTATTTTTTTTCCCTTTTCGATCTTACTACCATGTGATGCTTTTATCTATGTCTCTGATGTTGCCTGGAATATCTGATATTGATCTTTATAACTGCTCTGGCGTTTGCCCTCTCTGGCGCCATACGGGCTGTCTTTTGTGATGTCTTTTTTTTTCCCCTTATATTTCCTTCTATCTATGCTTTTCTCTGATTTCTTGGCCAATACTATGTGGATGATTCCTCCAATCAATTTAGTAGCTGCACTAATTAGCTTCGGCGCAAATAAGCCCCAGAGTCGGCGGGCCTGTCCATTCGGCGTACATCTCGTACTCCCGCTGCGGAAGCGGAAAACCGCCGATAAGCGCGGGCGATCTAGATTTTTCTTCCCCGCGGCGACCTTTTCCCTTCCCCCCACACATTACTCCCTTGACTCTTGAAACTGTTGACCTCATTGTCACTTTTTCCCTTCAGTTGTGGCCTCGAGTCCCGTCTATATTGGCGAATCTTCCTGCCTGGTAAATACGCTCCAACCTGCTAAGAATGCTGAGCCTTTCCCCACCAGCCATCCTCCCACTAACCCTCGATTGCTTCATAGTGACTCATCCACATTGAAAAGTGACAAACTGCGCTCTGTTCTCCCAAAACAGTTGCAAGTCTCGAGTACAGATCCCGACTCCTACATTGGCTCTATCCTGGAGACGGCTATCATGAAGACGAGTAGTTTGGGATTGTCTAGTGATCAAGGATTCAAGGTACCCTTTCTAGAACCTGCGTGAAGACCGGTGTTCGGTTCGCGGGCAAAGGAACCTGACATTTATTTTTATCTGATCGGCCCTTTGCCCGCAACCGTTCTGAGATCATACGGTTGAACTTGATCTGGATAATTCCAGCGAAAGGACTCATGCGCTTTTCTGCTCCTCCCGGTTTCACCTGTTTGGAAAAGTGCGCGTATACTGACAAGTTGGTTTCCAGCATGGCCCCGGAACATGAAATCGCCACCGTAGCGGTGCGCAATGAACGAGACGATGATATCAAGACTGTTCGTTCGACTGAACAACCGATCGATTACGAGAATAAGAAGGATGCGACATATCCTCCCGAGAATACTAGTCGGGCTAACCCCTCTGGCTCGCGCATCGGCTCCCTGCTGAGAGCATTCGAGCAGCAGCTTGTCGAGTATAACCTGGAGGCGCGAGGAATTGAGCGAGTTGCTCCTGATGAGCGCATGAAGCGCTTGTCGTGGGTATCCTACCTGCAGACATTGCTGCTGTGGGTGTCGATCAACCTGGCTGCGAACAATATTACCCTGGGTATGCTGGGCCCGGCTGTGTATGGACTGAGCTTCAAAGACTCGGCGCTATGTGCGGTTTTCGGTGCAATCGCCGGCTCGCTGGTTTCCTCCTGGGTGGCTACTTGGGGCCCTGTGTCGGGTATCCGGACTATGGCGTTTGGCCGGTACTCGATGGGTTGGTGGCCGAGCAAAATTATTGTTCTGCTGAACTTGATCCAAATGATCGGATACTGCCTGATTGACTGTGTCGTGGGAGGGCAGATTTTGTCTGCTGTCTCGCCGGGAGGCTTGTCGGTTGCTGTGGGTATGTAATATCTGGTGTACAAGCTCATGATAGTTATTTGGACTTTGCCTAACTTCGCTTGAATTAGGTATTGTCATTATTGCAATCATCAGTTGGGTTGTTGCTACATTTGGCATTCAGGTCTTCCACTACTATGAACGGTCAGTCATCTCATCTCCTCTCCTGTCTATACTCGCCGCTGACCATTGAGGATCAGATTTGCGTTCTTGCCTCAGCTCATTGTTGTTTGCATTCTCTTCGGCGTCTCATCTGCCAAGTTCGATCTGTCTACAGTGTCTCAAGGCGATGCCCGAACGGTAGCCGGTAACAGGTCAGTTTAGAACCGATCTCGCACCATACTCCGAGTTCCCAACTAATTCCAATATCAGGCTATCATTCTTTTCCATCTGCCTCAGTGCAGCAATCACCTACGCCCCTCTAGCCGCAGACTTCTTCGTCTACTACCCCGAGCACACCTCCCGCCTCACAATCTTCTCCCTGACCCTAACCGGCCTTGTCTTCTCATTCACCATGGCACTAGTCTGCGGCATCGGTCTCGCCTCCGGAATCAGCACCTACCCTGAATACGCCGCGGCTTATGATCTCGGCCAAGGCGCCCTAATCGTAGAAGGCCTGGGACCCCTCCACGGCTTCGGCAAATTCTGCTCCGTGATCATCGCCCTAGGACTCATCGCCAACACCGTCGCCCCAACCTACTCCGCGGGCGTCGACTTCCAAATCCTCGGCCGGTACGCCGAAAAAGTGCCCCGCGTGATCTGGAACACTGTCGGTGTGATCATCTTCACCGTCTGCGCATTGGCTGGTCGCAGCAATCTCTCGGAGATTTTCACCAATTTCCTCGCTCTCATGGGTTACTGGGTTGCCATCTGGTTTGCCATTCTAATCGAGGAGTTTATCTTCCGCTGGCGCACGGGATATAACTGGGCTGCGTGGCGCGATCCGTCAAAGTTGCCCATCGGTATTGCAGCCTTTACCGCTTTCGTCATTGGCTGGGTCGGTGCTATCCTGTGCATGGCGCAGGTGTGGTATATCGGCCCCTTGGCGAAACTCGTCGGCGAGTACGGCGCCGATATGGGTAATTATGTCGGTTTCTCGTGGGCTGCGCTTGTGTACCCGCCTCTCCGGCTGCTGGAGCTACACTTTGTTGGACGCTAGGTGTTTTACGTTAATGGTAATGGCATAGCGCTTAATACTGGAGCGTGTGGAGAAGGGTCGACCCTTCTGAGATCAGTTCAACCTTGTTCGCCTTTTGGCGGTTTGCTTTGGGGTTAGTTTGGTGTGATGGTGGTACGATGTCGTTCAACACATTACCCTCGCACACAGGGATAATACGCAGATTTTTTGCTCTGGATCTGGATAGTATCGGGAGAGCGATATCAAAAGTGATTTACACGGTGTACATTTGTATGTCGTACGTTGTACGCGTACATTTTTAATAAAATGCTTCGAGCAAATTCCCCTTCTAGATCTCGAAGAAGATGATGTTTGCCCTTGTTATGAACCATATCGTACCACCTCCAGAAGTATTCCCCCAGAATGGTACTAACTAGCCCAGAAAAAAGCACTAGTCTCTCCTAGAACTCGATAGCCGAACCATGATGGTTGCCAAAGCTCAGAAGTTTCCAGGAAGGAGTAAAATAGAACCATAACGACATCTCGAAGACAGCAAAAGAGGAAAAAAATATTAATCAAAAGTACATCCCCTGGACAACTCTCATTTTCATCCACTAAGAGAACTATTCTACAAAAGAGATCGATGAACGGCAAGCCAAAGCCACGCAGACAGGAACAGATACAGGAATAGACAGACAGAATTGCATGATGGCTCTCTCCCACGGACAAAAGGAGGGGCCGCCATTCACACTGTATCAGTATCAAAGGGTTTTCAAAACGCTAGGGTACGCAGGATCGAGTCCCCGGATTTACCGGTACCAGTAGTCGGGCTTAACGTAGTCGGCAAAGGTCTTGGGCTCCTCGGGGGCGGGGTGGCCGTGGCCGTGGTCGTGGTGGGCGTGGGGGTCCTCCTCGGGTCCGATGTAGTTCAACTTGACGACGTTGCCGCACTCGTTGCAGCGCTCGATGGGGCGCTCACGGGAGACCTGCAAGGAAAGAGTTAGGTTTCATATATTCTATAGTTGGCGGATGAGTCCTTGGGTCCGACGTACGGTCAGCCAGTTGACCTGGTGGGAGTCGGCGGGGAAGCCAGTGCAACCGGCGTACTGCTCATCACCGGCACCGTTGACGATGATGGGGTTCTCAAGTGTTCCTGCTCGCGCACAGAGCTCCGGTTAGCTAGCTTTATCCTCGCGTGCTGTGCATAAACAAGCCGATTATCGCGAACGAAGTGACGCGCGATATCATGCAAGTAGCAGGGAAATTGTACACATACCCTTGCGGGAGGCATCCAGAGGACGCATGTCGAAGATGTCGATGCCCTGCATCTTACCGATGAGCTCGAGACGCTCAAGACCGGTAGCCTGGAGGTAGTCGGTAGGGATGGTACCGGGCTTGGCACCGGGGGGGATCAGGTCATCCTCAGACTTGATCTCTATAGTCGTCAAAGAAGACCGTATTAGTGCATTATTCTCATGACAAGGTTTGCGAGCAAGTTGCGTCCGATATATGACCCGGTCTCGGAGGGATCCTCGGCCCACGTTTCGGCTTCTCGCGCAGCGAAAGTAGCTCAATTGCTTCGCCAAAACAGACAACATGGCTGAATTGAACCCCTCATCGATGTCGGATGCATTGTCGGAGCAATTGGTCGCCGCATAGTCGGGTAGGGTACTAACCGTCGAAGGAAAGGATCTTGCCCTCCTTCTCAACAGCCCACTTCTTCTCGTTGCCTATCGAGAGACAATTCGCGTTAGCCGACAGTTCATCCATATTGATTTCCAATTGTCGTTTCATGCATTGGTCCTGCCGTGACCCAATTGACTTGGAGGGGGAAGGAAAACGGCGAAGGTCGGGGGAGGTCGGATCAGGCCACTGGGGGTTGAGGATCACGTACGACGGACGATCGAGGAAGAGAACGGGCGCTGAGCAAGAGTGAAAGCACGGGCGGGCGAGCGCCTGGCGATGGCGGAGGCGGTGCGTTGGAGGAACATCGCGGTCGCTGGATGGATGGGGGTGGAGGAGGGGAGTTTGGGGGATGAGCGAGAGTTTGGAGTGCTGAGGTTTGGGCGAGGTTTGAAGCCGCTTCGACCCGTCATCGCCTCTGATTGGCTGCATTCTGTGTGCCAATGGGCCGCGGGTAATGCCGATGACTCAGCGTCCGATTGGCTGATATCACGGGATGCGACAAAGACCAAAAGCGTACAGGCCGGATTTGGAAGGTTAGGGCTTAGGGCTGAGCGAAGTATACAAAGAAGTCCATCTTCATCCTGATAACAAGTGACTGTAAATGCACTGGCTTATTTGGAAAATGTGTCATGAGACGAGACCTCCATGCACGCTATATGAAACATTTTGATCGCTGGCGACGAAGAACAATCTTACCAGGAATGATTGTCGATGCAGTTCCCTCGTCGGCCTTTGTGCTCTTTGTTGACTGACTTGGTGTCTATAGCCAATCATTTGTGACGTGCTTTCAGTATATCATATGAATCTAGAGTTTCAGAGTCATGCTGATAATGAAATGCAGGTTATTAATATTCTACCAAGTTCCAAACTAGGCCTCGAGTGTACCAATGAAACTGATACATGAATCAGTCGATGACAAGCATGTGCTTGAATAAGAAAGGTATATATAGATGAAGGAGATGTATCATTCAAGAGCCATAGACATTTGCAATCTGCAGACAATATCAAAATGGCAATCTTCCGTCAGAGCAAATACAGTCTTCTGGCCTTATGCGGGCTGTTCTTGATCACCACTACAGCTGCCGTCATCGAGCCCGACCAGCCTCAATCTCGGATTGTCGGGCGTGGAGCTGTTCTTGATCATGATGAAACACCTCTAATTGGGAGAGGCACTGCTGCCTGCAAGACATACGTCACCCAGGCCCTGGATACCTGCAAGACTATCACGAAGGCTCATGATATCACCATGGCGCAGCTCCAAATGTACAACTCTTACACGTGGAGATTTGACTGCCAGAACATGCCGCAGGGTTCAATAATTTGCATTGGTCCTGGATCACCTCCAATGCCAACAGCTCGTTCTAACGCGACTTGTGGCCCTTTGGTCCCGGGAACTCCCAGACCGGCCAATTGGTCTGACCTTGCTTCCTTGAACCCGTGTCCTTCGAACGAATGCGTAAGTTTCTCTCACTTATCAAATTCCGGATTCTCTTTGTAGCTAACAAATGTCTAGTGTACCGGAGATGGCATGTGTAAAGCTTTTGGAGATTACTGGTGCTCTCCACGAGACGACACATGTATGTCAAATTGCAAGTCTACCACGACCACGGTAAAGGCTGCAACGAAGACAACCACTACCACCAAAGCGAAGACAACTTCGACAACTACAAAAGCGAAAACGACGGCAACAACCACAAGTCAAGGTCCCGCATGGACGCTCGTCGCCTATACGGGCACAACCTGCAATGAAGATTACTATCTGCTGAAAGCGCATAAAGACCAGGACTCAAAATGCATTGATTTGCCTGGGGATTATAAAGCTGGATTAGACGATCAGACAGGTGTCTACTGTAGGTATTTCACCGACGGTGGGTTCAGCTCAAGTTCTTGTGCTTCTGCTCCCGTGGAGAAATTGCTCTCATGGTCATTGACTAGGGGTGTCTGTACGGCGTATGACAAGCCTTGCAGTGACTCTGGGGGCCAGGCTATCAGTATTGATTCCGATAGTGGCTGTCAGGCTGATATTATGGGTAAACATGTTGAGAGGAAATGGCGCTCTGTTCGATGTATGGTACATTGATTTGATAAGGGTTGTTTCTGGTGGTTTTTTAGTATAGCAAGGAAGGGCAGGCTAAATTGATATCTCGTGTTTGTTGTTTCATATATCTTTCATATAGACGCATTCATATTATTGTAATATATGGATATAGTGATATCAATATCTAAAGCAAGTAAGAAAGCTTACGAAAGACAATCGTCACGGGGTCTTTCATCACGAGGAAGTCACGGGTTGAGGTGAGGCTGAGGCGGGGTAAGTTTAAGTCCGCGTAAGGCCCGATGGTTTAATATCCACATCCTTGGAAATGAACGATCGGTCCTGCATCTGTAGTTCATTCTAGACTCGTTTCATATTAGCCCGCAACATCACTTGTTTGGTTACACAACAAATCCTTGCCACCTCATTCCCCGATCATCTGCACTCCCCGTGCGCGGACCCGACGCAGGTACCGTGATTGGCCCCGCTGGATCGGGTTTGAAAACCAGTTCGAGTTGCACATCATGCCGCCCCAGGGGAAACGCCTCGTGGTATGTCTCGATGGCACATGGGTCAACAGCGATCAGGGTTATAATCGCCCCACCGTTCATGACCCAAATTACACTCTCCAAGTACCTTCCAACGTGACTCGGCTCTATCGCGCACTGCGAAAGAAGGGTCTAGATGGAATGAGCCAAGTTGTATACTATCACCCCGGCGTCGGTTCCTCTGGGTCTCTCTCGGATGAAATTGCGGGAGGAGTCTTTGGTGCTGGGGTTGGCGAGGTGGGTGCAAGACTTGCTTTCACATCTATTTAGAGTATTATCTGATGATCAGTGGCAGAATATTAGAGAAGCTTACAGCTTCATCGCAACAAATTATGAGCCTGGCGATGAGATCATGCTCATCGGATTCTCCCGGGGTGCATTTACTGCTCGTAGCGTGGCTGTAAGCTTACTTTAGGAATCAGATCCGAGGACTGTTGTGCCGTCGCTGATGATCAATCTAGGGACTAATCACTGAGATCGGTCTACTCACATCCAGAGGAATGGAATATCTTTATCCTATATTCAAGGATACAGAAAACTTCAGGAACCTTGACTACAAGGACAAGTTTCCCACAATACCATTCCCTAACAAGCCCCTTGACCAAAGAGAATACAAGTTGCGCCTTGAGGATGTTTGTGTCCCTCTGTCTATACTCATCCCTCTGTCTAGATTTATTGCTCCGTATTCGCTAACATGGTGATAGGAGGGACTCACCCGCCTTTATGATCCTGATGGTCACCGCATCAAGGTCCGCTGCGTCGCAGTCTTTGAAACAGTTGGAAGTCTGGGCATTCCAGATACAAATCTATCCAATTCGCTCAAAATTCCTCGCTCCACCAAAGAATAAGTGTACCTCTTGGCCAACTCATCCGCAAACAAAAAGCTGACTATTCAATACATGCAAGTGGTACGACACGGCTCTTTCCAACACGATCGAGCACGCCTTCCAAGCACTTGCTCTAGATGAAGTTCGCACATCATTCGCCCCGGCCGTTTGGGAACGACCGCGCGGTGTCCATACCGATCTTCGACAAGTCTGGTTTTGCGGCGCCCACTCCAATGTCGGTGGTGGTCTGCCAGATCAAGAGCTCGCCAACGTCTCCATGGCCTGGATGATGGACCAACTGGCTGACCTTGGCGTATCCTTTGAGGAGGATACAATCGATAGGATTTTCCGAGAGAGCGTCTTATACTATTACGACCAAGATCAAGACGGAAGACAGACCAATGACAGTCCCAAACACGATCGGTGGAAACAATGGGCAGTTGATTCCATCTACGAGGAGCATAGACCCGTACGGCCGTGGGGTCTGGGTGAGATGATTCAACCTGATATCGGATTCTACAAGCTGGCCGGCAAAACAACGCGCACGCCAGGCATGTATCGTCGTACAGATCCGGATACTGCACTTCCAACGAGAGAATATTTGGAACATACGAATGAGCGCATCCATCGATCTGTACGGATTCGACTCGCCCTCGAGGGATTAAACTACGATGACGTCGGGTTGTACAAATGCCGTGCCCTCCTGAGGAAAGGACCGTGGCTACTTCAGAAAGCGCGGGTTCGGACTCGCAGAGAGATACGTGATCGAGACTCTTATGGGGACGAAGAGGACGATATTCAATTTAAGGAGGAATATCGGTGGGAATGGGTGTATGATGGACCTCCAGAGGAGACGCCTGCAAGTGTGATCATGCCGGAAGAGGCATTGGGTCCATATGAGAAGAAGCTTCTTGGCATGAACAAGGGTACGTCTTCGCTTTTTGCGTGTTGAATTCCGAAAAGATTGAACTAATTATAGATCGCTGTCTGTAGGTCGGCCATTCTACAGAGCAATCTTGAGAGAAAACAGACGGTGAATGTGAACGAGAACGACGCATGCAGTTATACCGGAGCTAATCATATTCAATACTCTCCAACCCGATGAAATCGTCGTTGGTTTATCCCCTGACACGTACTCGTTTATTTCATGTCAAGACTAGATAAAGTAGATTCACTGTACTCCTGTCCAACTCTGCCCGCTACCCAAGGCGTATTGACGATATAGGCAAAGGGAAAAAAAAACTATACATCACATCTTATTCCAAACCGTAGTCATAGAGCATCTCCACTAGTAATCGAACCCGGGGCGTCAACATCCTGAGAATCCTGTACCCTTTGAAGTTCTTGACCCTGTTGCAATCCCTCGACAGTCTCATACGGCTGAAAATGAGCAGCTCGCTCACGACACGCGGCTGGCGTAAACCCATTCCCGACTTTCCCAGCAATGATTCGCCACTTGTCATGCTCATAGTCACTCAGTGCGCGTTGAAGTCTCGATAGCTGGCGGAATTAGCTGATTTAACTCCCTTTGAGTCTCTAGTGAAAATGGGGATGCGCTTACCATCTCATCTGTCCAGACCACGTCCTTTGCCTTCAATTTCGTGCAGTACCTCACCTGCAACGTCCCACTAGTTCGACCAGGAAAGAAGTCCGCGATTTGCTTCCATGTCAGATTCTTTTCCTCTTTCAAGTCCACCAGTAGCGCATCCTCCTCGGGCGTAAACTTGAGCTTGGGGCCTCGGGGTCGAGGTGCTGGGTCTGGCATCCCCGGCTGGCCCACCACGCTCGGAGGGCCACCGGAGGTTGTTGGCGACGTTTCATGAGCACCTAGGAGCTGAGCGGGAAGACGGTGGTGATGGTGCTGTTGTGGAACTGGGAGTGAAATTGGAGATGGGTACGCATTTACCGAGGGCGGGAGCGTCGTAGAATGGTCAGTGTGGCTAGCAAACAACGTGCTATCTGACTGTTCAGTAACAGTCGTGCTATCGATTGACAGCGCTGGTAAAGGCTCTCGAGGTCCGAAGGTGTGGGCCATATGACGATCATCCTCTCCTTCGCCGTCGGATCCAGAGCGTTTCCGCTTCCCAGTATCATGGGGCGGCGTGAGCTCGTAGCCATAGTGCGGTAGAGGTGGGAGCATTTGGTGCGTGGGGAGATAGGTCGACTGCGGGTCATGATAGCCGTTGGTCTGAGGCGCGGGATGAGGCAGCAGGGGTGCTGCCGCATGATGGTGTGGGTCATACGGAGGATGGGAGCTGTCGGATTGGAAGGGAAGCCCGCTCAACTTATTCCTAGCATCGTAGGCAATCAAATCATTATCATCTGGCTTGTCTGCGTGCGAAAAGTTGATCGCGAAGCCTCGATACGGGTCCGCTAGTGATACGGACATGCATCGACCTTGCCAGGGGAAACCCCGGCTGGTGGCTCTTCTTGTTCGAGGTAATAGCCCAGAACCAACAAATTGTCGCTCCCGAAGAGGGACGAGGGACGGCTAAGCGTCCCAGGTTTTCACATAAGAAGCGAGTTATAGATAAGATAGGGGGGAGAAGAGAAGAGCAGTATAATCAGTTCTCAGCGTCCAGATAGGAAAAGATCCTATTGAAAAGGGGGCGTGGGCTAGGTAATATCCAATTTCAACGGAAAAGAGGGACTCGACGCCCAATGGACTGAATAAGCATAGTTGGGGTATACGAAGAGGCAAGCTGGCGACATCTGGAGCAGGGGAGGAATGGGAGATGCAACCTGCGGATGAAGTCGCATATATAATGTCTTCACCGAGGACGCGTCTGGCTTCGGAGAAGTTTGCATGGCGGGCTGGGTGAGAATATCCAGCTCAAGCAAAGTTCATCAGCAGGGTCGTGCGTGACCAGGGTTGAATTGGCCGGTCTTCCAATTGAAAGGAATGTAAAAGAAGGTGTATGTCGCCAAAAGGGACGACTTGATTCGAATCAATATCAAAAATGGTTCAAAGCGCGCGGCTTTTTTGCTTCTACCAATAATTGTAATCCCTTCTTATCCAGGACCCCCCTCAAAACCGTTATATTATCGAGAAGGATCTTCCTAGCTTGTCACGACCACTGAACCCCCACGACAACCCGCAAGACGAGAACTGGACGGGTTGTCGGCCTGGCGGGAAAGCGGAGGGACTGATGGGGACCTCTGCACCAGGATGAAAATTGTCATGGTAAGTCTCAGAATCGAGGTCTCTCACGGATTACCAAGAGTCCGACAAGAGCCGAAAGTTGAGAGGAAACGCCCGTCAGATTGACTTCGGGGGGCAAGCGGACCGTCCCCGACAGGGGTCCCATTCGCCGGGTGATACACCCCTGCTAGTTCTCCGTGTTGAGGAGGGTGTAGCAGGAGTAGGATTTGACAAGGCTCGGCCAATAGCTACCGCCTGGGATTAGCCAAAGAAGCAAGCTGGCGGGCTTTACGCCCTTGAGCGGGCCTGTCCAGGAGCGCCAAGGGGGATGCGAGGGTCAATCACAACCGACCCATAGGAAGCCGAAAAGGGCCGGACAGGGGATGAAACAATGAATTTGGGCGACCCTTCAGATAGGGGGACAGTCTTGTCTTTGTGTTGATTTCTTGTCGCGAGTTTGGACAGCAATGTTCGTTAGGAGCGGGGCAGAGACCTGAAGAGTCCTTATCCGAAACACGAAACACCCAACAGCAATAATGGTGGTAATGCCGGGCCGTCAGTTGTCATGTCGATTCAGGGACAATGGCGGCCTGAGTCATGGCCATGCTTGATTGGCAATGACTGTCGTCATGGATTGGTTATCGAATAGCATTTTCGCCTGAAATCGGTGGAGAGGCCCACTAGAAGAGGAAAGATCCGGGTGGGTGGCCGATTTGCGCTGGGAAGTGCAACTGGTATGCGACCCATATCTCATCCCTCGTCTCTTGTTCCTCGTAGTGTAAGAGCTTGGGGCATGGCGTTGGCTTGCCTGTGCCATGCACCTCCACGGGCCACTCGGGCAGATCCCTGTTCAATAGTCTCGTTGGCCCCGTTAGCCTCGCGGAGCATGGGGGTGACAATGCATTGACGTGCTGTGGATTTCCTTCTTGCATGAGGAGGAACGCCCTCCTGGGTCTGCCGGGATATCACCTTTTTCTGTGATTGTCGACGCCAGCTCACGCATGAAGGACAGGGTTGGGCAGCTGGCCGAGGATGCTGGGTGGCGTAAGACCCGATGACCCGCTTTCTTTGCGGTCTTAAGCGCGCAATCACTTCACAGTCTGGTCTTCGGAGGTCATGGAACCTTCCTTCTCTTTGGCGTTGAGTGGTGGTGCGATGGAAGGGAGAGGATCCGCGCTGTCGGGTACTCTCTGATCAAATCTCGCATTGCAATTTCAATTTCAACTGTCTTTGCCCAGCCTCATACCCACCCCTCGTATAAGTCGTCCATCAATCACCTAATTTTTATTATCAAAATGAAAGAATGCCTAGAAATTGCAACTAATACGGTCTAAAGCGCTTCTCTTGCCGGAATGAGTTGGACTCGTCACGCCGTATGCGGTCCTGTATGCAAAGGGAAAATGCAACCGGAACGTCGTGCTTGGACGCCTTATTATCAAGCTCATGTTTGCGAGGAACCATATTTGCAAGCCTTTTCTTAATTCTATAGGTTCTTGAGCTCTTGTTCTTCAAGTGGCCCTGTCTAAGCCTAGCACACGCACATAGTTTATGAGCTGCAGCAACGGTTCCAAAGACTCCCAAAACCCGAGACACCATCCAATCAGATATGCATTAAGCTCAACTCCTTTTGGAAAGTCTTTCAAAATGTATTTTAAAATCACCTTTTCTTGTTCATGACACATGCATCGTCGCTTGGTCTATCATTCAACTCGTGATAAATATGATAATTTTGAACCTTTGTCAGGGTTTCGCATGGAATGTGACCAATTTGAACAACGTGTAAATTGTCTGCCATGGAAAGCATGATTATTACTCGGGCCTCCTATATCAAACTAACTAAGGCAAGGGCTACTCATGTGTAGGGCGTGTGGAAGATTACCTTCCAGCTCAGTACCTATACGGAAGGCTGTCGAGTGATCAATGTATACAAGATGGACATATGCCTGGAAAGGATCCACCATAGCTCGATACCTAGAGTAATATTGGTTGCCTCCAGGGGTTTCTCCGGAAGATCTAATCCCCCATCCACGAAATGGATGTTGAAAAAGAAAAATGGAGAAACCGGCTGTGCCTTTGAGACCCCCCGGACGTACCACTTGGGAGTATCCATGTCCAACCCTCTTTCCAGTCCTTGATCCTACGATTTGGCAAACCAGGATTTCAAGCCTATTCTCCACATGTTTAAACGCTCCGTCAGGGATCTATGGGATCTATGTTTACCGGGGCAGCTCCCATACTTGCAATACGCATATCAAACAATCCATGTCCTTACCCAAGTCTCTACCGACCCTTCAGAACGAATCGATTTTAATACAGAGGTATTCATTGCTTGTTGAGCTAAAAATTCGCTTAATACATAAATTATGATTGTCATCATACACAAAAAGGGTGCGCAAGATACATAAATAATACAAAGAGACGGACGCCCCGGAAACTTGAAAGTAAAGCATGGCTTTTTAAACGCCCACCGAGACCCATGAAAACCATGATGGATGAGAACATCTCTTACTCAAAGTTGTCCGTCCGATCAACCCAGATATCCTCCAACTCAGCGAAGTTCTGGAAGTGCAGAGGGCGGTGCTGGTCATCGTAGAAGCGCAGCGGGGTGTCGATCTTGACATAGATAGGTCGCTTCTCGACGCTACCGAAGGAACTTCCCATGAAGCTGTAATTCCACAAGTTGTCCTCGGGAACCAGGAAGTAACCACGGATACGGTCACTGAGCAACAGCTGGCACTTTTCACCCATGCTGGTGGAGAAGCCCTGCGGCTGGTCGGAACTCATATCCTTGTTCTCAGCACCCCACTTGTAGCCATCGGGAGTCAGACCCCAGGCAGCAAGTGACACGGAGCCGGGCGTGAAAGACACGGTCATAGTCACAGTCTTCTTGTCCCACGAGGGGTGAGCGTTCATCAGACGAGCATGCTGCGTCACATCCGCCGCCGACATGTAGGATGGCTCATTGCCGGAGACAGTGTGAATGACACCCAACGGCTCCAGACCATTCAGGTAGTCATGCTGAGGCAACTCGTGTGGCAGTTGAACATCCCGGGTGTTACCGACCTGAGGAACCATGACAATCGTACGGACCTCCTTGACTTGATCGTTGTCGGGGGGTGAGCTACCGTAGATGTAGCCGGTGACCTGGACACGAAGATCAGCGATGGTGATGAATCGCTTGAGAATGTTCTTCGGCATGATGTAGGTGTAGCCATCATCGCGGATGTCATCCGAAGAAACATAGATGTTGTTTGACCTGGTCCGCAAGTTCGAAGTCGCGATGGCACGAGTGCGCCATTCGGTCTTGGAGGCAAAGGACTGCTGTTCGTACTGCGAAGTTGTCGTGACGATGATATCCTCGCCGCGCACATTCTGAGTCTTGGTCGTGACGGCAGTCAATTGCTTGGCCTCTTCCTGCTGCTTCTCAATCTCGGCTGCCTGCTGGCGCTGCAGCGAAGGTGCACTGATCTCCATACCCAGGATAATATCCCGAACTTCAGAGCTAGTGAGACTCTGCACGTTGACGTTGTTCTTCTTGCCATAGTCGTTCAAGATAAGATCACGAAGCTGGACTTCGACCTTGATCCAGTCCTCGTCAGAGAGCGAGGGCCAGATGTGGTGTTCTTGAGTGATCACACTCTTGTCGGGGCGAAGAATGATCTTGGCCTTGTCGATGTTGACATGGAGGGCACGAAGGATCAGGATCAAACGAGAGAAGGCAGTGTAAGGAGAGATGGACTTGAGCCATTCATCGTAGAGGTTGAACAGAACCATCTGAGGCTCAGTAGCCCGAAGAATCATATCGGCAAGCTTCTCAACCTTCATAGCAGCCTGGAAGGGCAGCTGAAGCTCAGAGGCACGGATAGAGATGTTGGGGAAGTCGAGCAGATGAACCTCGAGGGGATCCAAGAGACCCTTGCGAGTGACGATAAGCTGCTTCGGTTGTTCTTCCACGGGGAGAGATCGGATGAGGGCGGCAACTTCTTCGGCTGTCTTCCACTTCGCGAGCTGACCCAAACGCTTCTGGCCAGCCCAGACACTGGTGTGGATGATCTTCAAGAACAGTTGCCCAGTGCGAGGATTGAAAATAAAGATGGCACCGTTGATGGGCTTGGTGGTCAAGTTACCCTCAAAGGTCTTGTGAATGGTGACACGGTAGACATTAGTGTCATCAATGAACAGCTGAATCTGGGGACTGAAAAGCTCGGAATAGTTCTGGGAGTTGAGGAACTCCTGGTTGCTCTCCGAGGCGTACAGCTGGAGACCCTTGCGGATACGCTCACGGAGAACGTATAGGGCAGGATTGGCCTTCATGATCTTGGCCATAGCTTGCTGGATCAGAGTCTTCAGACCAGGGAAGTACTGACCGTAAGCAGAGTACAGGTTGTAGGCAAGGTCAATGCCGATCATCAGACCAGTAGCCGACGGGTAGATACTCATACTGTCGGTGGTGTAGTCGAGATACTTGGCACGAACATAACGCTCAATGTCGTGGGAGTCATAGTCACCGTATCTCAATTGCACATCGAGCCAGAACTTGTTCGTCGTTGTGGGCTCATAGACATCCTTGGTGTCGAAGCACAGAGAAGGTCTAGTGACGTTCCACTTGTTTGTCGCGAAGAGCAGGATATCGGCGCAGGAGCTGTTCATCTTGTAAGACTTACGAGGATGGATGGTCTCCTTCTGAACAGCCTCAATGCCAAGCTGCTCCAACTCCTGATCGAACACTTGACACAAATCCATGACCACGGACTCGTGAATCTTCTGCCACAAATGGGCACGGAAGATCTGGATCAAAGAAATCTTCAGAGTGGGAATTTTGCCGTGCAAGAAAATACCAGTCAAGTCAAGCTGAACTTGGAAACCAACGTAGACATTAGCACGATTGATAGTGGGGGACCACCACAAGGTGAAACGACGGTTAGGAATCTGGTTCAAACCAGACCTCTGGGCGTTGGTGAGTTTCTTGAATTTCATGCTCTGCGGTTAACAAAAGTTAGCATATGTGAACGAAAATGGGGAAATTGAAGTAATAATAGTAAAAAAATTGCATACTTCTTCGAATCCAGATGCCCTCTCCCAAAACAAGCCCTCCCAGGATGGGAATGCCGTTGCCTTGAAGAGTGTGTGCTCAAGAATAGTTTCGACACCACCCAGGGCTTGGATGACATCGGTTCGGTAGGCGTTCAGGTTCCAGAGTTTACCGTCATGTCGCTGACTAGTCCACCAGAAAGGATTGCTCTTCATCAACTGGTACTGCTTGAACTCGGCACGGAGACGGAAACCCTTGTCGAAGCTGAGGGTGCTGCGGTCCTTCTGGAACAGGGTGTTGATACGGGGAAGACCACGGTCCCAGCTGTCCTCAAGATCCTCAAGCGTCAAACGGCGGTTCTGCTGCTGAGCCTCCATGCGCTTCTGCGAGTACTCCATCCACACACGCTGGGAATCGATGAACTCGGCCTCCCAGGGAATGATGTATCGGAAGATGTTGGGGATCAACGTTTCCTCGTCATGTGACATACCCGCACGGAAGTGAGTAATGCCGGTGTCGGTCTGCTTGGACCAGCGCTTGTCGCTGGTGGGGATGAGGATGTGGGAACCAGAGATCATACCCAGACCTCCCAATTCCTTAGGCGTGTAGAAGACAGCCGGAGGGAAACGGGAAGGCATCTTGGAGTTCAGACCGATCTTGACACGGGTCTGAATCTTGGTCTCACACTTGACAATGGTGTCGAGGAGGTTGACAGTCGACACGGCAGCCTCACGGTAGTAAGTGAAGAGGGCAATCAGTGCCGTGTTCCACTTGTTGGCAATCTTGGTGAAGGTTGTCGATCCAGAGGACATGAGAATTTGACGAATGCGGTTATTGAACTTCTGAATGTCCTCCTCCGTAACCTGCAGGAATGCATGGGCAGTTCGTTCCTTGGTGGAGCCGTCGACCAAAGACCAGACACTGTCCTTGACCGAGAACTCTTCATTCTGGTTACGGATCTTGGGGAGAATGCGAACTTCGAATCCACTCATGGAGAACAGCAGGTTGGGGTTGTCCTTGCTGTAGACGCTCGCGAAGGTATCATCCCACTCAATGGTGGTGATGGACCGGGGAAGACGGTTCTTCATGTCCCAGAAGACAGCACGACCCAGGTTAACATCGTGACGCATCAAGCGCATACGACAATCGCGAGGCCAGCACTTCTTGTTCTTGTATCCGATGACGTTCTCGAAGTTAGGATCGGGATTTTCGGTCAAGAATCGCTGAATCAGGTCACGAGACTCATCGGCTTGGAACCGGAAGAAGACCCAAATCTTGTCGACGTAACGAGTGTAGAGACGGATAGGGTGGCGAGTCTCGGTGGCCTTGTCACGGAATTGCAAGAAGTCATTGGGGCTCTGGGGAGGGCCAGCCATCTCACTGGCTCGCTGCAAGCCGAGGAGCAAAAGGTCAATCATCAGACCATAGTACTGGAACACGAAGCCAGAGAACTGCAGACCGCGGATTAGACCATAGCTGTTGGTGTGGTTCATGTCCTTGTAGCTGAGCTGGACGTTGTTCTTAGAGGTGATATAGTCCGCCAAGTTGTGGTCCATGATGAGGCGGAGCATGCGGTTCAACAGAGTAAGATCAATCTTCTCGTAAACCTTGGAAAGCTCGGTCTCAATCATGACGTTAGTCTCGCCATCAGCGGTCTCCCAGACATTCGACAAGTTGTTGATACCCTGGGTCCACTTGTAGGTCAAAAGCGGAGGCACCTCAGAGTCGGAGGGCTTAATCCAAGCGGGGAAGAGGTGGCGTTGCTCAGCCTGGTACCATAGGTATTGATCCAGATAAGCATCGGTAATCTTCTCAATGGGCTCGATGTCGTAGACAGGGTTGATGTTGTTGTAGTTGTCATTCATGTCAATTCCGACTTCCTTAAAAGCACGCTGAGTGAGGAGGAAGCGCTTGATTCTAGCAAGGGTTGTACCAGGGGAATCATAGGCCTGCTCGATCAAGGCAAGTTCCTCACGTTGACTCTGGTTGAGACGACCCTTCACAGAGTAGGACTCACGAAGGCGCTCAAGGGCCAGAATGAGAATCTTAGTGTCATGCTTGTATGAGACACTGGGGAAGGGAATGGGCGAGAACTTGCGAGATTCGAGCCAGTGGACCATCGTGGTATAGATAGCCACAGCTTCCTCGGATGACACGTAGGGACCGTCCTTGAGATAGTTGTGCTGACGCTCTTGCTCGGACTTGAGCCAGAGTCGAGTGAGACGACCCAGGTTCTTCTTAGCCACTGTCTTATCAACGGTCGCACCGCGGCGAATTCGCTCACGGTTGTAGTGAGCGACGGAAATCCACCAGTCAGCCTTGCTCTTCACATATCGAAGAATGATATTCTCAATAGGTGCAGGCAGGCCGGGGACCTTCCAAGGAATGTTACTCTTCCAGCATCTCCAAGCTTCGGAGAGATGCTGCAACACAACATTGACCTTGTTCTGCTTGATACCCTCGGGCATCATGTCCATCAGATCAGCCATGACGGAAGCACGCAGCTCAAGATCAAAGTGAGACTCCACACGCTGCTTGGTAACAGTCTTGGCAACACCCTTGCTGTGACGGCCCTCGAACTGACGAGAGAGCAAGTTTCCAAGCCATCTCTCAAGCAGAGGAATGATACCGCGCATGAAGAACAGCCAGACACGCCAGGCGGGGGCCCAGAAACCGCAACCAGGACCCTTACCGACAGGACCAGAGTTGAAGCGGTAGTAGATCAAATGCTTCAAGTCCTTGCAGGAACGGATCTGGTGCATCAGCTTGTACTTGTAACGGTACATACCGGTGAGCTGACCGACGTGATTGAAAGCATACAAGATACCATCAGCCAGCTGAAAGGCATCAATGTTGCCGAGGCGGTACTGAACCTGAGCATCAACGATCAACTTGGTCAGGCGGAGAATTTCACGCATGAGATGGAAAGCATTTCCGAAGCGAGACTTCTTGCGCTCCTTGGTTGTCAATGTCTTGACAGGCTTCAAGTTGAAGTTGTAATCAAGGTGCAGGTAGGTCAAGTTCTTCCGGTGAATCAACAAGTTCAGCATGTTGAAGCCTTGACGGCAGACTTGCAAACCAGCCTCAACCCAGTCAATAGTAGTCTGCTGGAAGAACTTGGTTGTCTTCAAAGTCTTCAACAGATTCTGCTTGCTCTGGGCCTTCGGCTTGCTCTTGTGCAGCTCATTAAGCACGTAGGTCTTGAGCAGCTTCTGATATGAGACGCGAACCTTGACGGGCTGACCCTGAGGGCAGTGCTCCAGGTACCACTGTTTGACAAGCGGCACATCCTGAGCACGAACCATCTTTCCGGACCGCTTATCGAAGGGATGAGGGGCCCACCACAAAGCAATCGCAGAGGCAGTATCAGGTGTGTAGAGCTCCTCATCGTCAAAGAACGGCTCGACCTCTCCGGGAAGTTCGAACTCATCTTCGTCGTTGCCCGGGCCAAAGATTTCATCCTCGTGACTAACAGTGATGTTCTTCGGAGCGACGGAGCGGGAGGAAATAGGATTAATGACAGGGTCGAAATAGAATGCGGGGAGGTTGTGATCTTCGGTGCGGACATAGACCACCTGGGGGTGAGAGTACCAGGCAACCTTGACGCTGCGGGGAAGGGTATTATACAGGAAAGGGAAGGTCACGCGATATTCGGTTCGGATCGGGGCGCGGAAAATGATGCGATCGATTGCGTTGAACTCGCTGAAATCCTCGTCGTTCGGATCAATGTCCTTGTACAAGGGCTCGAATCGGGGACCACCAGGGATGGCAACGTTCAGGGCCTTTGCTGTGAAGAAGCTGTTGAGATCAAACATGTGGAAGTAATTCTCGTCCACGACGTCACTAAGCAGCTGGTGACTCAGACGATGAAGAGTAGCCATCTGCGGCAACGACAGATTCCATGTCTTGTAGCTAGGACCGTTGACGTGGGGGGTATCAAGAAGGGGTCGGTGGTCGTAGAACCATTCGTAGACAGCTCCATCTTCGTCCTCATCAAGCTCCATTTGAATGGGTTCCAAAGGCTCAACATCTTCGATATTTTCTGACCAAGAAAGGGGAGGCTCTTCGTCGTCGAACGGAGGGAAGCGCATTCGCTTGAAGTGTCGTCGATCACTCTTCTCGCGACGCATGGACATCCACATAGTGGCCCACTGAGCATGGAAGACGGGTTCGATGACGCGCGGGGTCTCGTTCACGATGGTCAAGCAACCGTTGACATGGTAGAGCACCTTGACTTCGCGAGCTGACTCCCAGGGCATCGGCATGTTCTCCAGGAGCTTCAGAACAGCATGGGGCATGAACTTCAACGCGCCGAGGTAGCTGCGCTTCTCGTTGGTGAACTTCCGTTGCGAAACATCGCCAATATCCTTGACAATCTTCCGCAAATGCTCAGGAGGCATGTCTGCCTTCTGTGTCTCGACAAATCCAGCCTTTCGTTTCTCGCCGAAGCGGCTTCGTTGCGTTCGCAACCATTCATGCTTCTTCTGCGCAAATTTTGCGACGTTCGGGTCGGCCGGCGGCTGATAGCCAGGAGGCGGCGGTGCCATCGTGATGGACGGAGGAGCTGCACCCCATCCCGGAGGAGGGGGAGGAGGCAAAGATGCCATGGTGGTGGTTGTTGATGGGGGCAGTACACCCACCCTCCCTTAGACGTGAGTTGGGCTCAGAGTCGCGTCCACGTCACGTCCAAAATCATCGACTCGGGGCGCGATTGTTGGTGAATGGGGTAAAGGACGCTTATCGCAGGCGCGTAGAATAGCTGAGATCAAGCAGATCGATGGAAAAGAGCACCAACAACCGGTGATCCCTCTGCTAGATGAAACTTGCTCCTTTCGCTCGAAGTTTGAGGTGGCGGCTGTCCGGATGGCGCTAGTCCTGATTGGGGTTAGCGTGGACTCGCCAAAAGTGCGCTAGAGCGAAACCCACACAAATCCGTCCGCTCTGGACATTTTACCGTCTACAACCCGACGAACGACAACCGCCGCTCTTGACCATAGCAGAGGTTCAAGCACGCCAAAATGCCTAACAACAGACTGCAATACGTGAGTTGCCTCGACTGCGATGAAACGAACTCAATCGAAAATACTGACCGTGATTTCCATCCTGCAGCGCCGCCGGAACCCGTACGTTCGATAAAAAAATTCCCTTCTCCCGCACAATGCCTCCTCTACGCTTGAATCGATATTCGCTACGATCAGGATCGACGAGTTGCATGACTAAATGATTTTTCGAACGACATATTGACGGATTCCCTCGTTTTCTAGGTACAACACGCGGTCCAACAAGGTTCGCATCATCAAGACTCCTGGTGGTGAGCTCCGGTACCTTCACCTGAAGAAGAAGGGTACCGCTCCCAAGTGCGGTGACTGTGGCATCAAGCTCCCCGGTGTGAGTGCTTCCTGAACGATTTTTTATCGTCGAGTGTGTGGTTTTGTGTGGGGTTGTGCGTGGAGGGCGACCATCGAGGAACCGAGTGAAGGGCACTTGAAAAATTCTCTTCCCCGATACACTGGCGGGATTCTCGATTTTGACCAAGCCACCACAACTCCTCCCAATGCCGCATTCCGCCTTCGTTCTCGCACAGAACTGTATGAATTGACCATTCTGGCCCTCTAGGTCCCCGCTCTCCGCCCCCGCGAGTATGCTCAGATCTCCCGCCCCAAGAAGAACGTCAGCCGTGCCTACGGTGGTTCCCGCTGCGCTGGCTGCGTCAAGGACCGCATCGTCCGCGCCTTCCTGATTGAGGAGCAGAAGATCGTCAAGAAGGTCCTCAAGGAGTCCCAGGAGAAGGCTGCTGGCAAGCGCTAAGCAACGTTTGTTTTCGTCGGTGTTGGTCTTTTGGGGAGCGAACGTTATGGAAAAACGGGAACGGTTCTCTTAGAATCTAAAAAAGGATGAACAGGAACCGCTAGCACGCGAGCCCACCCTTATATGGGCCGTGGCTAAGCAAATGAAACCCAACCTTATTACCTTCATGAGATTTCCACGAAATGTGTTCAACATGATTCCGTTGTCGGTGTATTCTGGCACTGCAATTGTTTCTAGTCCTACGAAGGATGTCTTCCGAGAGTACTGCTTCCCCGGTTTCTCACCCATTGACTACTCCCTTCATACCTATAGAATGTAGATGAAGCCCTCCAATCGAGGCATCTTGAGCGACCTGCATCTACACCCATTCCACACTTTCTAATTGTCAATGCCCTTGCGTCCTTTTCTTAATTACTCTGCCTATGGGTGTGCATTGAGTCCAAGTACTCAACCTCCAGGTCCCGATACGCATGCTCTCACTGCACCTCTTCGAGATTTGCATATGTCTCCTCGCACGCCGGCCTAACATTCTAGGCATGATTCTAGCGGTCTACACTATCAACCACGTCAACCAGAGGACAATTCCTCGCCTCACAAGGCACAATGGTGCCTGGTGACTATCGCCATCACACCGCAACACGTAACGTATAATTGATACCCTTGTCTACGCAGTTGGTCGACAACCAGCCAGCACAGCAGCAAGGTCAAATTCAACCCAGGCTGGAACCCTAGCCGCATGATATCTGAAAGGTACGGATAACATCATCAGGCTGGAAAAGGCGGAGCGAGCAAAGGGAGGGTATATCAAGTTCAAGTTATAGACTAGGGCCGGACTCTGGCTGTCAGGGCTATGGATTGATCCAATCTATCGAGTAGGTACTGGTTTCCGACGTCGGCCGTGATTTTGAATCCGGCCGAGTGAGTGCAGCGAGCCATTCCCGGATGGCGGACTTTGTGAAAATCTTTTCTAAGATCGATCGATCGATCATGTACCCCTGGTGACCGCTTCATCGGTCTAGTCTTACTTTTCATCGTAGATAGTCGATTCTTCAAGGGTCATCCGGGGTGATCCACTATAGTAGCGCCGGATGTAGGTACGTGCTAGGATGGACGTGTTCAAGGTGTGCCTGACGTGGTTTTGCAGCTGTCATATTGTCAGACTCAAATGTCCACTTGAATGGCATGTGAATGGATACTCGAGGCCAACATATTCTACAATCAAAGGTCCTGTCATGGCTGGAGGCAGGTAAAATTTCTTCTGCGGGCACGAGAGCGCTGGGGGCCTGAAATTCCTGCCATCCACCATCCACCATCCACCATGTGTGCCCGTATACCCTGGCAGGCACGCTTGTCATGACTCGCGAAATCAAATCTAGCAACCTTACTATGGTTCTCAACTGGTCTAGATTAGTGCCACTCGATAGTTCATGGCTAGCTTTGATCCATCCATCTCGTGCTACTAGATCTCCAGTGTACTTTTGAAAAGGACCTGTCTTTGGTGATGTAGGAAGTTGTCCGTGGATATATATTGGCAGATGGACGGGGAAAGTGGATCGAAACTCCCCGATTCAACCGCAGATCAAATTTCTATTTTCTAATTCCTATGGACTATGATTATGACCATGTTCTATGCAGTGCCATTCACACGCCTGATAGCAGCTGGTCCTATTAGCTTCCTGATCCGAATCCCCCGAGTGCTAGTTTGGGTAGGAGTTCCACCCCGAGGGTCATAGTACTCGGTACTTTTGTCTTGCGAAGGCTGCAGATAACCATTCAGTAGAGTTTGAAGGCGCTTGCAGAATACGAAGGGAAAAAGAAACAGAAGATATGGACAGATTTAACAAAGGGCAAAAAAGGGTACCTTTCGTTCACGGAGGCTGGCTGTTTAAGGATGCGATTATGTAACTATCATAGTTAAATTTCCTTTTTAAGGTTAGACGGCCGGAAGCATCAAGCACGGGATCTTCGAACTCAAAAAAACGCTTATCTATAGAGTAGAGAAAGCCATGCACAAAGATATAGGTTACAGCAGCAAAAGAGAGAAAAAAAATGAGCATTGTATATGTATGACATAAATGATTAAAGCCGACCGTTTCCCGTGTCACCCATAATATTGAATCTCCGTGCTTGTCAAGGACAAGGAAAAAATCCCTTGCACCGGGTACCAATGGACAGCGATCCCTTCACTTCCATCCTCCGCAGCTAATGCAAGTACACATTTCCCCTACGTGGCAGCCGATAACCTTCGTATCCATCTCCAAACCCCTGGACCCTCGATGACTGGCCAATTAATCAATGCGATGTAATTACCGACCTGGATCGGCAAAGCCTTCCTCGTTAACCTGGTTCTTGGCTTTCCCATTCTCCCTCCATACTCCATTTCAAGCTGTCATCTCGACGCCAACGTTGACAAATTTATGCACGACATTCAGACGAACCATACCGAGGAGCGGTCAGCCAGGTACCTTCTATTGTACTATTCCTGGGTCCCGGGGCTACGGCACATCGTTCCAGCTACCTGGCTAGACTCGGTGGCTCCAGAATGAAATTTTAGCGTCTATGCCTCTGTGGAAAGTGTGGGATGTCGAGGCTGGGACAAAAATTCCGCCAGCGACGTTATAGTCCTCTTGACAACCACAATATTGGGTCCGTTCCACCCCGCAAGCGCTTAACGGACGGGGCTCGTGCCACGCAATGGGCTAATCGAGAAACGAAACGAAGTAAATATGTCCCACTTTATCCAGAGAGAAAAGAGGGGAAGTCTCGTCTCTGATTCTGTGCAGGCATTCTCCGCACAGAAGAAGCCCAAAGTGAGTCTGGAGCTCTGCGTCTGCGAATTCTTGCATAGCATCTAGTCGCACAGTCCATCAGCCCAAAAAGTGAAATTATCGCCGCTAGCCACTTGACAGCTTAGGAGATGCTGAGAGGAACCACCTTCATCGATCCGCATAGGATTGGAGAACGGGAGATCTTGAGGTGTTCCCATTGATTCCACTTTCTATATGATTTACCTCTATCGAACGGCGTGGCATTGGATCTGTCACATCGTCCTTAATTTAGGAATGGAATTGACCCGGTTCGGGGATTGGATGCTCTTCCGCCAACTCCACTGTGATCATTTCGATCGTTAGGCTATTGATTCTGCCTTCCAGTCCTGCATATGTAAATACCCGAACGATATCGAGCTTGCATGAAAGAGAACAGAAAAAAAAGAAATGATGAAGCATGGCAGCTGAAGATGATCATGAAATAAGTACGGAGTATAGCATGCGAGTCGGTACAAAAGGAGAAATAGAAAAAAAAGCAACCTCTATTCCAACGTGCCTGTTAGCCCCAAATCTCTTGCGAGGGCATGGTCCAAAATGGGGAGGGACGATGGTCTGCCCTAGCCATGGCTGTCTTGATCCTGGTCATTTGCTCATCCTATTCCTTAATAAAGATCCATCATTGGTCCTTGATTAGACCCGGCAATTGGGAGCCGAATTTGGGGGTTGGGACGATCCCACACGCAAGGAGAAGCCATGACACTAGGTATAATTCTATTGATGATAGATTCCAAAGAAAACAAGGTCATATATCCCCGGCAAAGTTTCCCAGTCTCTAGACGCCAGAATCAACCGCGATGCACTACGGATGTACATCTGTGGAGCCGCCGCACGTCTTTGGCGATCACTCAAATGGAGCATGTGCACAATAGAGAGTCGACCCCTCAAAAGTACGACGTACCAAACCCCGAACATTATACGAAGTTGTAAGCCAATGGATAAGTTTCTGTCGGTAGCGGAGCCTCATAAGTACGAGTACCGTACACAATAGAGAGACAGACCGCCTCAGCCTTTAACAAGATGCATAATCTGCGACGAGCGATAATTGTACTAACTTGTAAGATGTCACAAGAAAAGAGGAATTAAAAAGAGGGTTTGTATTTAAGAATAACGACCTGCAAGTGCCCTTGAAGGTTCTTTGCTTGACAGGCTCTAAGCTCCAAGGAACGGCACGACCCGTCACAGGTAGAAAACGGGAATGTACCAGAATGCCGGCCTCGGGTCATTAAGGGAGCGACGTGCAGTTGTCACCGGAGTATAGATGGTGGCACAGATACTCCCCGTTCCCCCACGCCGTAAAAACAGCACATTCCTAGGTAGGTTTATGGAGGTATGAATGAATAGATGTACCTGTCAAATAGACAGACCTATAGTCCAAAAATTCAATAATGAGTGAGAAAAAACATCGACAAAATCTCTGTAAACAGCTAATTAGCCGGCAGCCAATTATAAAAGCTCCTGGGCCACCATTTCATCCAATCCCTGCACCTCCACCTCTGCTTCTTAGCACCCCGGAGCCCCTGCTAGCGACTCTTGATCTGCCTCAGGTCATGAACACCTCGTATTTTAGATATAGTAGTGAATAAATGCCATCCCCTCTAGCCGCCAGTGCCACCGCCGATCTGATCACACGAGCCATCCGTGACGCTCAACGGTAGGACGATGAGCTCGAACCTGCGTCGTTATTGGGGGTGGGGGGTGTAGATCGCCATTGACAGATCGAAAGTACTTTGACAGCGATCACCATCCGTTTCCATGGTCTTTATTCTGCTCCACTATTATACAGCGGCCGGCGTCTAGCATTATCAAGTCGTGGAATGATATGGCTTATCAAGATTTCCCACTACCCAGGTCTAGATCTAGTCCCACTAGATCTGTAAAGATCTCATCGCTGATGAGCCAGGGTATCGAGCGGGGAAATTTGCTCAGAACAGAAAGAGTCAGACGCTTGCAATTGAGCAATATCGCACTAATCATGTTATCTGGAAAACCTGGGTAGTGCTAAGACACTGTCCGCGTCACCCGATGAAGGCAAGCTGCAGGCTTGTCATTAAGACCGAGCTTAAGAACGAGGGAGAGCCGGAGAGGAGAGGAGGTGTATCTGTGGTGGTCAGTCATTGGAGGAGCGCCTTAACGGAGGTGGGGGTGGGAGGCCCCAAACGCCTCTGTCAATAGCTAAGGCACTTGCACGTACCTCTAGCGGGAAAATGTACCATTCATTGGATTGGGGGGAAAAGACGTTGAGGACTTGTAAGTTTGGAAATGGCGGCTTGACGACTTTCTTACCCTGTATTTGGTTGGTCACTATGTCCGTAAGTAGGCAATAGGTTGCAACTGCGGATAATGTAGCTGGGTCCTGACACGCTCCAGGCAAAGTACGGAAAATTAGAAAGCGAGTGAGGGAAATCAGGACTCTCGAAGGATCGAGCATGTATTAATTCACCTTGTTGCTTGTAGAGATGGTTTCAAATTGAGAATATAGAACCCATCAAGTATCAACGGATAGTCGGGGAGGATTCCGACCTCACGAAGTATACTTGTCATCTTCATCATGCTTAACGACCCCAGTGGAACTGTGGAACCGAGGCTTTGCGGCGGGCCGCCCCGTTGAAACTACTGTATGGGAACTATGGCTCGTTGTCATGTCATGTTTTTTATACCTGGAAATTCTCAGCTGAGGGAACGAATAGACAAGTCTCGGTTTTCAAGCCTAAATTTTCCACTCTGCGTATGCCACTAAGAGGGCCCCGAGACCTGACGAGCTAGTAGCTTATGGTACATTTCAACCTCCCCGATCCAATCCAATGAAAAAAAGGGGGAAAGGCAAATAAATCTCAGTAAAGTAAATCAGAAGTCTGCAACTTAATACCGCTCCTTCTGAACACCCAGAGCTTCCAAAATATCCCCAAAATCCCGACTAGCAATGCATGAGTGATGCAACGACTTCCTCTAATTGGAATCAGCGCCAAAGGGCCAGATCGGCCCCCAAAGAAGAGACCCAAAGAAAAAGAGGGGGAGAAACGCGAAAAATAATTCACAAGGAAAGAAGAGAAGGCAAATCATTAAAGAGAGAAAGAAAAAACAATTATGCAGTCAGCGGGAGGCCGGCGCGCCCACAAGTCCGCCACTAACTCGAAGTATGGCCCATTATCCCACACCATTCCAGTGACTCCACCCCTTTTTGTTATTCGATCCTGCGAGATTGGGATCTATTCCCCACCTTTTTGTAATGGGAACAACCCCCGACAGGGTACTTGCACCTCAAGCTGAAGATGATCTGATGCAATTTTGGGAGATGCCTGTCATCAGTCCATGATGATTGGACCCTGGGCCTGAGGCATTCCAACCCAGGGCCCCACGAATGCAGCGCAGTCGGGGGCCACTTCCGCTGTATCGCAGAACACCATGTTGTTGGCTGGCGGCTGGTTGGTGGTGCCAATCACGCTGCTTAGGTCGAACTGCTGCCAGTTTTCGCGAGGCACTTGAGGCAGGCCGTTTAGCCCGTGTAGTCCCGCGTACTGCGGCAATTCAACGGACGGTGTAGTCAAGTATGTGTGGTTGTAGTGTTGGAAATGGTGAATATCGGCATCAGTTGACGCCGGAGGCTGAAGTTGAGGTTGAGGTTGAGGTTGATGTTGAGGCTGAGAGTGAGAGTGAGACTGGGAATAGAATGGAGGAGATCGGTTCTGTCGGACATTTCGATAATGTAACGTTGATCCTGGGCGAGATTCCTCGTCTTCAGTAGCATGGCGCTTGAGCCCGGCACTCTTCTTTCCACCTTTGGACCCTGGTCGCTGGTGACGAGGATCGGGGGGATCCGAGCTCATGGCCTTCTTAGCGGTTAATTTGCGATAGCGGGTTGTTGATTGAACCCCGCCATTTCGAATAGCCTCTTCGGTCAAGCGCCAGTAGTTTACAGCCTTTTTGCCAGGGGCCTCGACCTTGATAGCTTCGAATCCCTGAGCAATAGAAGTTGATTAGTTAACAAAGATACTCTCAATCAGAAACCAAAGACTGTAGGTAGAGTGAGGAGCGCACGTACTGCATTCATTGAAAGATTATGCCGAATGCTGTTTTGCCAGCCCTTTGATTCCTCATTCTTTCCCTTGGTTGTGTTCTTCTCAAACCATTGGTAGATGCCTTGAAGCGGAAGCATCTTGTCATCAGTGGACATGAGGGCTTCCCAAATCAGGCGGGAGTATGGGGGTTCTCCAGTCTGCTCTTGATCACTGGAATCTGCGAGACTGACGCGTGGGGAGGGGCTATCAACCGCAGTCATAGTCAAGGCAGGACTCATACTGTCATGAAGGTGACGTGGGCCACTAGACTGGGGTCTGGAGTGATCTGAGGAGATGGAAATGGGTGGTGATGGAGGTGTTTCGCGCATCACACGTTCAAAACTTTGAGGAGTGCTCGAGTGTTGAGGAGAGTGATTCAAGTGTTCCTGACTTAAGAAAGCAGTGACTGGTGCTGTTTGCCGGTTGATTAAATCATTGTTGTCACCGCGTCTCGGCGCGTGAGTGTTTGGTTGGTGCATGTTGGTGGTAGACGAGGCGAACGTGGAAGGCACGTTGGCAGTATGAGGGGTAGCGTAAAGTGATGCGAGATAAGTGTCGTCAGGCATCTGGGCCCGAGTGAGAGAAGAAGAAGTACCAAAATCGTATGGCTCCAGCGTGGCGCCCCACGGGTTACTAAACCCAGTATGATGAAGGGACATCAGAGCTTGCGGTATCAGGTTAGATCTGAATGCCGGCCAGTTTTCGACTGGGGGACCGGGGTGGTAAGACTGGGGGCTAGTATCGCTGGTAGTCGTCACCTGGAAGAGACCATCGGCACCGGCAGGTCCCGTTTGTACCAAGACACGATGTTGCTCGTGCTCTCGCTGGTCAGTTGGCATCTGAGCCAGAGGCTGGTGATATGGGAACGAGTGGTCCATGGCGTCGGGGATTGGGGAAGGTGGCCCTGAAACTGGGGCAGGATAAGGTGCTGAGGGTGTGCTCTGGAGGGGAAGTGAGAAGCTTGAAACATGCACTTGTATAGAAAGAGAAACGAGGAGAGTTGGGGGGGGGGGGTTGGAGGTGTTCGCGAGTTCGATCTCAAGGTGGAGAATGATAGAGGAAGCGCCAGCATACAAGTAACCAGGGTGACTGTCATGCCCCCATCACCAAAGACATGCAAAAATTGGAGCTGTAAGCTTCAATGATCTTGGGTCGCCAGAATTATTTTTTTGGCCAGCACACATGGCACAAGCCTCTTCTCCCTGTACATAGCCAGATCTTCTTGCAGAGCAAACAAGAGATCGTTGAAGCCCAAGGACTTTGTTTTTTCTCTCCCCTATGGATTTTTAAGGAAGCAATTTAAGAAGTGCTAGGAGTAGGAGTGGTAACTAGGATGACGGGACTAATGACTAGAAGAAAACCAAAAAAAAGAGCGGGAACGAGAGAAGACGGCAATAGTAGAAAGGGCTACAGATGACTAGCATCAATCTACTGCATTTCCTGCATTCCAGCACTCGTTTTGCATGACGAGAAATCGCCTCCTTCCAGATGGCTAGGCTGTGGAACGGGCTTTTCATAGTACAGAGGTTGGCCAATGATCTCATAGAGGGTCAAGGCGGGTCCAGTGTGACAGCGGGATGTACAAGTAGGCATTGAATGGATGCAAGATAGCCTTGAGGGACCTCAACTGGGCTTAAGGGGCCGACGGGAAGCAGAGAGAAGAGGGGGAGATGGTCTGCTGGTGACGGAGAGCTGCAGAACTTATCGCCATTCAGAGGCCTGGTAGTCTGAGGCCCGGGCGCTGGTCTTCTGGAAGTTGAAACCCGGACTAGAGGCCATTCTGGAAGATGAAGGCTGTCCAAGTAAAAAAAAGACACAAATATAATATAGATATCTGGACAAAAGCACCGCCTCGCTGGAATTGTCGTTCCGTCCAGCATTGCGGGTGTTTCTTTCTGGTTCGCCTGCTTCTAGCCATCCGGAAGTCACCAATGGACCTGCAAGCTGCAGGCCAGTAAGGTGTCACCACAGTTTTCAACGTCCGCCGTTCCGCAAAAATAAGAACAGTGCTGATCCCTCCTCACTAGGAGTACATTGAGGGGAGGCGAAGTAGTGGTTGTATGGGGGTTCTGAATACTCCCCTGTCCTCGGGGAGAGAGAACAAAGTCCCCAAGGTTGTGGAAACGGGGGCCTCGGAATGGTAATAAGTGGTCGTATTAAGCATTTTTTTGATATAGGGATCCACACGTGGACAGTGCGGACAGATCACGAGCTTATTGAATGTGAGATCTTTTGAGAAAAGAGAGAGGAAAAGGTTAAGGTTTCCGGCCCAATCAATCGTGGAGGAACTGGATTCACAGGCAGTCGGCGCTCTGGAAAATACACCCCGAATCCTCATCCTGCATACACCACAACAACCCAATATCCACTTGCCCTCCCGATATCAATGCCCATGTGGACATGATTCATCCCACGCTACTTCCGGTAATAGATCTAAGACAATGTCAGCGATGTTCTTGCGGTAGGAGAATTCTTCCAGCCTCTGAAATGCCTTTGAGATCGACTTACCCTCTTGAACTGGAAGTGGAGTTGGAGAATACCCTGTATGACACAGACAAGTCAGGATATTGTCGAGACTAAGTAGACAGTGGAACGCAGAAGACTTACCTTGTCAAAGGTGCTCTTGAACCCTCGTTCGCGCTTCGCACTATAGTCCCATTCCTTGTCGACAATGCGGAAGGCGATATCTTCGTAAGGGGCTCCAGCCACAAATCGAATCAAGCAAGTATCCTCTTCTCCGGCTTCTGCATTAGACTGTCCTCGCTTCCGACCATCCTCTCGCTCAATGCGATACGTCGGGGCCTTGGTTTTATCAATAAGGTCCGGGTAGAAGATGTTGAACTTGTAGCCCTGCACAACCTTTGGTGGCGGGTTGTCATGGTCATAATGGGTCTGATTGTACTTGTTCCACTCGTAGCCCATTTGAACACGGTTGAAGTATCGGGGCTTTCGGGGTCGGTGCTTGCCCGCCCATTGTGATTGGGAAGCAGTAGTCACTGCCTCTTCGCTAGTAAAGATCTCCTCATTCTCACTAATACCCTTGGCCAGCTCTCTTTCGTACAAGGCCTTGGTAGCTTGCGAGAAATCGTCATTGGGGATCGCAGAGAACCGACCGGGCACCCCTGATGTGGCCGTGCTAGTGGACACCGCACTAGTGGTAACCGCACTGGGCCTCTCGGCACCTCGTTGTCGAAGAGGAACATATCCCATGCGAAGAATCTTTTGACGCTCTCGAGCCTACATACCGAGTTAATAATAGGAATCCCGCCAGTGTTACCAAAAAAGAGGGACTCACCACTTGACGAAGAAATACGGCCTCGTCCATAATCTCCAGACCTTTGTCTTCCTGGCGCACATGCAGTAACGGATCGGGATCCAAGCCCTTGAATTCGGCAGAATCCACCGATGCTTGGGACTGGTCGCCTCCAGACACAATGGGTGCAAGAGGAGCAAGCTTCTCCCGGATAGATTCCGCCTCCGCTTTCTGTTGTTTCCTTAGATCGCGAACGCGTTCGTCAATCACATCTTGATATACATTTCGCAGTCTTGCCCGGGCCTTCCACACTGTCAAGCTGCGTAGAAGCTCTTCCCAGTAGTCTGTATCGATGGGTTCGTTGGAATTCAATTTCCTCTTGACTTGGACCTCTAGCGTTTGAAGTTGTTCGTAAGTTTTCGGGCTAAGTAGTCGGTTGATATCGGCGGCCACTGAGCTGAGAGCTCGTCCTTGAGGTGCAGAGGTCTTCTGGCGATCACGGCAGATGATCTTCATTGTCTGTAGAAAGGGAATCCTTGTCAGTAGAGTGTCACATTCGGATTTTAGACTAAAGGAAGCACGTACCTGCCAAAAGTCCCGGTTCTGCGGGTTTGACTCCAACTTCAGGAAGGTATCAATATCATGCTCCAAATCTTCCAACTGTGACTGCGACAGTCCCTCGAAGACACCATCAGGGTCCACCACATCGAGCTCGGAATCCGCAATCTCATCGTCCAAGGGGTCGCGGGTGGGATCAATAACACGCAGTGTGACCGTCAGCCAGTCGATAGGCTTTGCGCGCCCTTCCTTGACTCGAATCTCTGCCTTTTTCTTGGCCTGCTTAAGCACAAAGATGTCCTCCTGCGCGACCCACTCACGAGCTTGTTCGTCCTCTTGAAGCTGGTTGAGGCGAACTTGGTCACGCATATCCCGCGATGGACCCGGGCCGCGCGAATTTCCATTATCCCACCTCCGATTTGAATCTTGTCGGTCGCGATAGTCTCGTTCATTGCGGGGGCGATTCTGGGGTTGACGCCAGGACGACGGGGATCGCGACCGGTTGCGCCGCGGACCTGAGCGGTCCGGGATTCGCGAGGACATCCTATCGGGCTTTTGAATAGCAACCGTTCAGATAATAGAAGAATTCACGGTAGCTGTAGCGTGTCGAACAAGGCGGTGGTTGGGTTGACGTCGCGTGGAAAAGTGATTCGGGAGATCGGCGGAAAGTCAAGCGTGCGGCTAACTTGCCTCTGCGGCTCCAAACCAGGCAGCTCTCCGCATCCGCAAGAGCTCCTCCTCATAACAACACGGGGTAATCTCGAAGTGAGCTCGAACAGAGGAGATAAACTCTTCAAGCCATGTCCTCAGAATGGCGTAGACTACGTCTATCGCAAGAATCTCTGCCCCCGCTGCTCTGTCAGTACACATGGACCCGCCAAGGCTATGAGCTGTACGTGACAGACCTGACCTCCATCTGGTCTGAACGACTATCTCGTAAAGAGATTTTGAAACGAGCGGATGATTGCGCCACTACGATCGATCCTAGCGAGGATTTGGACCAGCTTGATCTTCTACTCACCAAGATCGGAGAAGCTCTCCGTGGCGACGGGGGCACTACTACAACGATAAACACTAGTACTACTTCGGATTCTCTCGAACTCAACACGAGCACCAAATTGCCCGCTCCTTTAAGACCGCTCAAATGGACTCTTTATCTGTCCAAAGAGCCTGCTTCCTCTACGACGTCTCATTTGGTTCTGCCGCTGTTACGAGGGGAGGCGTCCTGGGAATCCCGTCAGCGATCCTTATTGGATCAGCTCAAGCAGAAGGACTGGGTGCTAGGGAAGCTGTTTGACAGATTCGAAGCTCTAGGAGCAGATCTTGGAACTGTTTTCCCCGGTGCAGCTGGTCTGCGCACCACTCGAAAGGGCAGCTCGAGACCCGAGGCTGCCAAGTTCATCAAAGGTGTTGCGCCGTTTAATGAGCAAAGCTGGCTCGCCGAATCTGTAGGCTCTTCCTCCAGCTCCAAGGTAGCTTTCAACCTAGTCCATGAGCTCGCAGGATCTGGCACTAGTCTCGATATTGAGAGACTCCGCCCGTCGCAAGACAAGTGGTGGAGCAGTCTGCAAAGGCACCCTGAGACCCTTTCTTTCCAAGAGGAGGAAACGAAGAAGCCTTCTACATCCCAGAGCAGAGCCAAGCCTATTGAATCACAGGGCGATGTAGATCTGGATGAGGAGACGGCATCGGAAAGTGACCTTGATGAGTTTGAGGTTCGTTGAAAACTACCCTCCCGTCTCTAGCATAGAGTGCCTATTCTCACCGAATCTCCAGCAACAAGAAGTCGTTCCTCGACATAGGGCACAAGACACTAAACCCGCGATATCTCCCCCAAAGCCAAAGGCTAAAAAGAAGAGTCTATCGCCATCGCCCCAAACAGCGCATACAAACGATGGGACGGCAACCGAATCCGAGCATGAACTTGAACCCGAGCTTTTGCCTCCACCTCGACGAAGACGTACACCTACACCGACAGCTTCACCTCCCCCAAAACCCACCGTGCCAGATACACCACCGAAAGAGCCTATCAAGAAGCCCAAAAAGGGCCTCGGCGTGATCGGAGGCAAGAAGAAAATACCAGAACCAGAGCCCCAACCAGAGCGTGTACCTTCACCACCGCCCAAAGAACCTTCCATGCAACCCGAGGATCATGCACCAGCCATCGCATCACCGCCCAAAACTAAAAAGCCCACAAGGCTGGGCATGATAGGCGGCAAGACGAAAACGAAAGCAGCGCCTCCCACGGAGACACACCCCGCTCAACAGGAGTCTCCAGCTCTGGTCCCTTCACCTGAGCGAAAGCCTCGTGGACAATCTCCAGCGCCCATGCAACCAGTCACAGACAGTGTGTCGCCGGAGATGGAATCTCGGGAGCCTTCACTGCCAGTCAAAGCCCCAAGTGCAGCACCGGCTCCGGAAGAAACTGAGGCGCAAAGAGCTGATCGTAAGCGGGAAGAGTTAAAGCGACAGTTGGAAGCGAAGAGTAAGGTGCCTGCGAAGAAGAAGCGGAGGTTTTGAGGGATCTACCTTGCAGATACCTTTTCCTGGATATATGGTTGTCTAGATAAACTATAACGAGCTACGAAATTTGACTCAGGGATGGATTTAACTTTAACATTGGGGAATCATATTTGGGTACCAAAACACCCGCTAAACAGCACATAGATGACACCGAGTGCCATTCAATAAAAATAAGAAAGAGTTGTACAAGATTGAACGAGCAAGACGTCATGCAGGCCTTCATCTACTCTGGCGCAGTACCAGACCGACTAGCCGCACCCTTTCGCCGACCCTGCTCAACAGGGGTAACAAGCCGCACTTTCTTCGGCGACACCGCCCCAGATGCTTGACCAGCGCCAGCGCCTCCACCGCCAGTCGCGGCCGCAACGCCCGCAGCGCCTAGCATTCCGCGCACCTTCTGCACGGCCTTGCTCTCGCCCTTGGTCCACGGATCGTGCTTCACGACGCCGACGCCTGCAGAGCGACTGACCGAGTCGCGGCGTTTGGTCTCGACCATGAGCATCTGCCGGTTGAGTTCGCGGCGCGGGCCGGGGCCGCAGTCGTGTGAGCAGCCTGGAGTAGCGCAGCCGCCTTCGCTCATGGACAAGTCGCCCAGCCATGTTGACATGCAGGCCACATGGCCGCCGTGACCGCAGCCTTGGCACCAGCTCCATAGCGAGGCACCTTTAGGTCTGGGTGTTGTGAAGCAGTCGAGCTCAGATGTTGGAACGGGCTCTGTTGCTGCGGATTGGTCTGAAAGGCGGGATACTGTTTCAGCGTCCAAGTCCGGGCTTGTGTGGCTAGGAGAAGAGGGCGTGTCACGCTGTGCGGCGACCCATTCTGGGGGTGGATCGAGGCTCATACATATCGAGCAGGGTGCTTGAGGTGTGTTGCAGCGGTGGCAGCGGGTGTTGTCGCGGCGAGGGTTTTCAAAGGGTCGTTGGCATGTGTAGCAAAAGACATTGATAAAGGTATCTGCTTGGGCGTAGTCGTAGACGCCGGGATAGTTCGGCACGCAAGATAGACGGAGCTCTGCAGCTTCCAAGTCCATCGAGTGTCTAATAAGTTGTTCGTTGTAGGCTTTGAGAACTAGTTCACACTCCTCGTATGGGAGGATATCCTCGCAATCCTGGAAGAGGACATGCAGTTTCTGAAGTAGGTGTGCGGCTGTTTGAATATCGACAGAGCTGCTGGTACTGTGATAGTATCGAACTGCTTCTTTCATGAGAGCCTCTATGCTCCATGGCGTGAGATCTGTTGCGTCCGGAATAAGAGGGATCTTGACCTGAGATAGGTCTTCGTAGATGCCTGCTATCCCCGGGTAGGCTGACAAACGGGCAACCTCATTGGCAGAAGAGGGGTTCAACCCATTCTCCGAGCCTGGCTGCTCAAGCGGAGTTGATTCTTTAAGCAATGGAGGTGGGGTCGAGGGTCGTTCGAGATGGACTTCTTGATCAGATTCAAGAATCGACTCTTCAAGATCCAAATCATCCTCTGGTTCCTCTAGGGAGGGTTCCAGATTGGATTCTCGCCGTGCAGCCGTAGCAAGTCGACCCGTAGTATATGAGCCAGCCTGGCCACCATCCGACATGCGAGCATCTGAAAGCCGCCTATTCGACGAGTATGACGCTGCGACTGACTTGGAAGGATGAGAACTGTCTGTGGACGCAGAGAACATGGGGAAACTTTCGGTAGAATCGTGCCGATTGTAGCGGTCAATAGGAGGACGATGAGACTCCATTGGAGACTCCAGCGTCAAGACCTTCTTCGGGGTCTGTTTGTAATTACTAATGGCAGCCCGCTTATCTTCCAGCTTTTGGTCGTAATCATCCTCAGAAGCCCCTGGAGGAAAGTCTGGGTGACTGCGAGTGCGCCAGTCAGATCGGCCAGCAATCGCCCGAGGTGCTGATCTCTGCTCATCATCGAGATCCAGCTGCAATGGATCCCGCAATCGCTGAGGCAGAGCAGCCGTGGACATATGGGTATCATTGCTCGATGCTGATTGCTCCTGGGTCAAGCGCAAGGGATGGTGAATAGAACGAACTTCGGATACATCTGACGACATACTCCAGCCATTTTGCGAGCTCAGAACCGAGGGTGGAAGGGGATCAAGATCGATCGCATTCTCGTTGACCGAGGGAATCTGCGAGTCTGTGCTACTTCCCCAAGACTCCTGCGGGGAATCAGGCAAGGGCTGCGCAAGTGGCGTGGTCATGTTCGACGTGCTCTCGGCTTCGTGGATAAGCCCTCTTGGACCCTCGGTCTCCATGACTCCCTTAAACAACCTGCTCTTCACCTTGCCCGAGCGACCCTCCTCCGCGACACGCAGTTTATCTGACAACAAGCCATCCTTGGAAGCTTTGCCTTTGGGCCCTTCCTTGCCAGTTACATTCTCCCTTGACCTTCGTTGGAGTTCTTGGAGGATGGCAAATTTCACAATCCGCCACGTCTGTGCCAGCTTTGTCAGGGACAAGTTGTCTGCACATTCAGCGTTCTGGTCGAGGGAATCCATCAATGAACCTAGAACTTCGGCGTAACTTCGCGTTTGAGCATTTTCATCCATCAACGGTGAGTAATGGCTTGCCAAGAACCGGAACACAGACGCATCGTTGGTAGCACCGGGTATAGCCCCGGTTGCTCCCAACTGACTAGAAGTAGGGAGAGCAATCTTGGCCAGGGCTTCATCCAGTGGTAAAACCGGAATGATATCAATTCCACCAGGCGGGGTGCTACCCAAGGATTTTGATGGTCGGATAGTCGTCGACTTGGTCTGTCGCGGCCGGAACGACGAAGCTAGGACCACTTCATCGAGGATATCGTCGGCTGGGCTTTGGCTAAGGGACTTATCACCAGTACTACTCCGGTCTTCGTCCACCCGGAGGAACTCTGAGGCATTTGGCCCCAAAGCACGTCGTCTGGGTCGTGGCTGGGCGAATGCTACGAATTCTCCATTGGGACTCCAGGCAACGGCGCACATGGGCCGGCGGTTAATCACAGCTGGAGCATAGCGGACATCGGTCTGAGTGAATGCCCCGGCCTCGCCAACCGTCCAGAGTAGATCCTTAGAATGCCAGAGCAGATCGCTTGCCGGCACATCGTACCGATCAAACTCACGAAAGGGGATATGGGGTCGTCTAAGATCCCAGAGATGAATCCGAGGATCCTCTTTATCATAGGTGGTGACGACCTGGGATGACTGCCACTGACCCGAACTGGGGGAGTCACCCACCCATGACGGCGGCCGCCACCGAACATTGGTGATGGCCTGGGGAGTTCGGAACACGAACGCAGGTTTCTGCCGTCGCTCTGCAGAAGGCGAAAAATCCCAGACCTTGACCAGCCGGTCTGTGCCTCCGCTCACGATGTGTTTCCCGTCCGGGTGCCAGTCAACGGCGAAACAAGGCCGCTCATGAGCCGCAAGACGTAACAGGGGGGCGTTGGTTTTACGCGAATCCCACATCTGGATGGCGCCGCTGTCCGAGGCGGTCGCAAACACGACACCGTCAGTGGGAGACCACCGGACGTCCCGGATCGCATCACTGTTGCCCTGATATACATGCTTGCTGCCGCACGTGGAAGGGCTCCGATTCGCGGAAGCGGAACGCAGATCCCACATTCGAATCGAGCCATCTTGACTGCCGGACAACAACCACGATGCGAGATGAGGGTTAAAGGCAAGTTTGTGAACCTGGCGATTGTGGCCCTGGAAGCGACATAATTGGAGGCCGGGCCGCTGCAGGTCGTAGACGACAATCCGACCATTGGCGACCGCCGTTGCGATTATCCGGTCGTAATTGCCATGTGACCACTTGACATCCCTCACGTTCAACTGGTCCTTGTGCGGCATCGATGCGCCGGACTCGTGATGAGTGGACGCATAGCTGATGACCGCATTGCGAATATTGAATTCCTCCGAGGAATGATCTGGTGAAACTCGGATGGTTTTGAGTATCTCCTTGCCTCCGATGACCGCGTGCGTTCTCTGGGGCGAGATATCTAGAGCAGTAATAGGGATGCCGGTCCGGTGGGTGACGGTCTGCGGTTCACCAGGCCTGGTGACGTTAGAAGGAGGTGTGTCATTGGGGGCCCGATCTGGGATTATCGACCGATCTGGGGTAATGGACAGGGAGGGGGATGAATTAAGGTGGAGGGGGTGAAAGGGCAGTATGTAGTAACCATGAAGAATATTCCAAATGGCCTTACTTTGCTTCCTTGATATCTTTTGACTATTTCAAAGTTGAAGCGGTGTGAGAGGATATGCAGTACATACAGTGATTTGGACCTGATCGGCCGGGGGCCATCGACCCGGCTATTTTGCGGACTGGGGGGTCTCGACCCGGAGAAGAAGGGCTGGGCGAAGCGGGCGAACGCGTTGGCAGCCCGATGTGAGTACTTGGTGGGTGGTGGGGGGGGAGGAGGGATGGGAGAGCGTGACCCAGATAGGTCCGACATGGTTTCTCACTCCATTGCGAGCACACGACCAGTTGACCGAATAGTGTAAAGGTGGTGGGGGGTGGAGAGTTTGCTCGTGTCGTGGGGGGGGGGGGCTGCTGTGGGTTGGGCTTTGTGAGGTGCTTCTCCGGAGTAAAGGTTGTTTGGGTGGTTACGCAAGCGGTGAAGACGGGTTGGGTTCCTGAGGCAGCCACTACATCTGATATACGAAGGAGTATGCATAGATGAGCAAGGAGTGGTCCAAAGTAGATAGAGTATAGGAAATATAGACATGGTGATAGTAACTGTAGCTCAGATGGCAATCAGGTACATAAAGAGAAGTTTGCTAGGTAACTGATGAGCCAGTCCAGTCCATCATGGTCTTGCGGATTCAAGTCCCTCTTCCGAGGACATATACTCCGGACAAGACAACGGACGAGGCTATCGGACATACTAAGGACTGATCGGATAACCTTATAGGGTTCGGACAAATGCAAGGCCTAACCTTAGTACTGTACGTGAATCTAGGTTCACTCTTCTTACCCCCGATCGACATCGACACCTCCACCGCCCATGTACTCCGTACTTTGTTCCGGAGGACCTGTCTCCTCCATCTTCAACTCTTCAAAGAACCCGACTTGTCCACATGTCAAGAGCGGTCTGGACGCCAACACACCATGAGAGATCAGATTTTGAAATTGCACAGTCCACTGCAGATTGGGCTTTCCGGCACTCCGAATGGGAATCATCCTATCCTCACCGGTCGCTGGGAGGTTCGAGAAAGCAAGCAACGCAAAGTAGATTTCCTGGTGAGGCATAAAAATGAAGAAAGTATAGGCCCACCCCTCCACAAGAAGAAACCAAAAAAAAGAAAGCCATGTCTCACGTTTAGCCGGAAAGACGGGAGTCCAATCGAATTGTTATGACCCTGCCCACAGTTGACTACCAAATAGAGAACTAAAACTTGACCTACAAGTCGCGAGGCCTCGAATGGGGGGAGGCGACCTGAACTTGAAAGCTCGAAAAGGTCTCGACTCGAACTCAGACGGCCCAAGCGATGCGCTGAGTCGTCCCTGAGACTCATCAGCGTCGAAGCTAAAAGACCAGGTTTTTAGGGGGGGGGGGGTTCGGGCGCAGCTAATTAGGTTATCAAGTAAGCTAATCGCAGCTCTGGGGTGGTCGCTAAAAGAAGGAGGTGGAGGGGAGGGTCGCACATCCTAGACGTCTTAGCGTGTAGAGAGGACAATCTAAAAGCAATCGAAGACAATCTAGATCGTTGACCGAGGGGGTCCGCGCCCCCATCCATGGAAAAGAAATCCATCTGATCCTCGACCGTGCGTTAGAAATATGAGATCAAAGAGAATCCGTCGGTCGGTGCACTAGACCATCGTCCGTTATACATATATATCTGGTAAAATTATGATAGTCATTAGATAATTTTCCAGAATCTGACTGTACCGTGGTTAAGTGATCGGTCTTCTCGTGTCTCGAATGGGCCGGGATGACGATGACAATCTTTATGTGATGCACTCTAGTACAAGATGGAATATGATTTACATACAATAAGTGATACCTACCCTATCACCTTCTGTAGATTGATACAACAAATTGGATTGTAATTATATTTATAGAGTAATATACCATCATTCTATTCGCAAACACTCGATATTATTCGTCTATTGCATGGGAGTTCTATATATATGATCAACTAAGTGCCCCTCCCCCCCCACACCTCTTGTGAAGATTGACGGCCATACCTGTCATTTTATTAGCTTCTGGACCATAGGTACAGTACTTTTTTTGTTTTCCCTTTTCGATCTGTCATGTAGTCATTTCTAATCGAGGTTGGCCTTGGCTGAAGCATGGCCATGCGTGTGGGACCAGCCTAACAGGGTATACATACTTTTCCTATACGGATAGGTCTGTGACTATCGATCTCTCATGTCCTTACCAACGTTTATATAACTGGAAGCTGCCCAAGAGGAAGTGAGGTCAACTGGATGCATTTCAATTCCAAACTCTCGTCCTAGGCCTGATCCCTGTTGCTTTGGCCCCTTTCCAATCTACGCACCCTGGTCGGGCACGAACCACTCTTTATTTCGGGACTTCCAGATACTCTGCACCGCCAGTTTGCCAGGCAAACATCACGATTCGATCGGCATATTAAGCTTGAGATCAGCTAGATATCCAAATATTGAGATAGCTGCCGGGCCTGGTTTGTGTCTAGGGGAGAACGAGCCTCGATATAAGACTCACCAGTTTTCCTACTCCTCCTCCATCCACCCTGCACTAATCGACTAGTCTGCTTTGAAGATCCGTACGGTTCTCGCAAACTCCGAAGCAGTGGATCCCGTTTTAGCTGCAGCACTGTGCATCCACCACACCGTCATTCTATCATCCCATTTCCAGCTTTTTCTCATCTCCGATCTCCGTTCTTACCCATTGCCTACTCCCGAGGCAGCTGAAATTCTTCGGAGTACCCGAAATCTTGTTCGTAGGTCATGCCCTATCCTCATGTCTTTTTTAGGCGCATGATTTGCCACTGGGAGGGTCAGTTGGGGCTGTGAACTTCCCCAAAAACCTTCTCCGCTGCGCGTTTTTGCCTCCCCTCCGGTCTCGATTGTCTCTATTGCCGCTCGATCGGAGCACTCCAGAAAACCCCTCCCCTCTGATCAGTGGGCAACAACAAAAAGCAATTTATTCTTGGTGTTGATTTGTCAAAGCTTAGATCTCCTATGATCCCCTAGAGCAGGATATTCTAAAGCTCCGATCCTCGTGGACAGACCGTACATCCCCCCCGCGTCCGGCCGCTTGATCATTCCTCAACGTCGATCACTACTGGGCCACACCCGTTCAACTGTCGTTTCCGCACTTCCCTCCAGTTCTCGCTCAATCTCTCTCTCCACCTCCTCTCCCTCCGCCTCTGCCACCTCTCTCACCCTCGCTTTCTTCCCTCCTCTTGCGGTTCGTCGGGGACACACCGCCGTGTCATGGAAATTGATTGATTCCTCCTCTTGGCCGGATATTCGTGGGAGGACCCTGGTTCATCATGGATCCCCACGCAGCTCGCGAGCTGCTGGAGTACCTGCGCACATGCTACCCGATCTTCCTGCTATGCCTCTTTGCCGTGGCCTTCGTAGTCAATACGATGATCACTGCGAGTAGGTCGAGCAACAATGAATCCGTTCGCATGGGTCCTGGGGGACGACCACTCCCCAAGCGATGCCGCAGTGCAGCTCCCGCTCGGAAGCCCAAGGAGTTTTCTCCCACCGTCAAACGCTTCTTCAATTGGTTTTCGGTGGCCGTACTCGTCACCTACCTGATTGATGCGACGATCTACATTCTCCATGTCATGCTGGCCCGATCCGAGCATTGGTGGCGAGGTCAGTCTGCAGTTGTACGTATTTCCTAGGAAAATGGTGGAGTTGGATCGTCAAGTGGTGGCCATTGCAAGGCTCGTAGTAGCTAATTAGCGGGGGGACTCTAGATCTATATCGTCGCTTCATTCTTCTTCTACGCCGTCTTATTGATGACACTGCTCGACACCAGCCCGTCTCCGACAGCCGCTCAATTCGTGTGTTGGCTCGCCGCCATTCCTCTCGAACTCGTTATTCTTAGCACCTCTCTCTCCCTTTACACTTCGCCTCACCATGAGCCCGTCGTTGGTGATCCCGAAGGCGGCAAGCTTCGCAAAACTATTACTCCCTGGGAATACTCTGAAGTGGCGTCGAACAGCCTCCGCGTGATGATTCTGCTGGCTCTCGTTGTTCTGTACGCCAGCAAGTCAATCACGTGGAAGAGCCAGGACTCGAAGGACGGGCACCGTGCAAACGGCGGCGTCAGCGAGTCCACTGGACTCCTGGATGCCGCAGCTGCAGAGAACGGCAACGGAAATGCCAATGGCCATGCCTATGGCGCGACCAATGGTTCGTCGGGCGAAAGGACCAAGCCACAACCAGATCCTTGGGTTCGCCCGACGACCATGCCTTCCACGAGCTGGTGGGAGTATCTGAGCGGCTACTCGCTCTTTTTCCCCTACTTGTGGCCATCCAAGTCCCGCCGCCTGCAAATTGTTGTGGTCTTTTGCTTCATTTTGCTCATTCTCCAGCGAATTGTGAACGTAATGGTGCCCAACAAGGTGGGAGACATCATCACTATTTTGGCCAACGAGGAAGGGAAGGATTTCCGTGTCCCTTGGCTCGAAATTCTGATGTATGTGATTCTCCGGTGGCTGCAGGGTGGCCAGGGCTTGCTCAGTTCGATGCGCTCTAGCCTGTGGATTCCGGTCAGTCAGTATTCTTACATGGAGCTGTCTAATGCCGCCTTTGAGCATGTGCACGGCCTCAGCTTGGATTTCCACCTCGGAAAGAAGACTGGTGAAGTGCTTTCTGCTCTAAGCAAAGGTAGCTCTATCAATACATTCCTGGAGCAGGTAACTTTCCAGGTGGTTCCGATGTTAATCGATCTGGTCATTGCATTTGGATACTTCGTTATTGCATTCGATGCATACTACGCACTCGTTGTTGGTATCTCGACTTTCGGCTATCTTTACGTTACTATTCGAATGGCTCAGTGGAGAGCTGAGATCAGAAGACAGATGGTGAATGCATCGCGCCAAGAAGACGCGGTCAAGTAAGTGGCTCAAAAAGTGATGCTGAAGGCTATGACCAATATAACTAATCGGTATTTTTTTTCTAGGAACGACTCGATGGTCTCATATGAGACGGTCAAATATTTCAATGCCGAACAATACGAGTTCCAACGCTACCGCGATGCCGTGGGCGAGTTCCAAAAGGCCGAGTACCATGTTCTCTTCTCTTTGACGCTTCTCAACACCTGTCAGAATACAGTATTTATGATGGGCCTGCTACTCACCTGTTTCATTGCCGCGTACCAAGTTTCCACCGGCCAGCGCCAAGTCGGTCAATTTGTTACTTTGTTGACTTACATGGCCCAGCTTCAGGGCCCGTTGAACTTCTTCGGCACCTTCTACCGTTCGATTCAATCTGCACTGATCAATGCCGAGCGTATGCTCGAATTGTTCCGGGAGCAGCCTACGGTGGTTGACAGCCCTTACGCCACTCCTCTGACCACGTGCAAGGGCGACATCAAGTTCCAGGGCGTGGATTTCTCGTATGATAAGCGCAAACCAGCCCTGAACGGGCTTACTTTCCGCTGTGAACCCGGTACCACGACTGCCTTGGTTGGCGAATCAGGTGGTGGCAAATCAACAGTCTTCCGGCTGCTCTTCCGATTCTATAATGCCGAGAAGGGATGTCTCACCGTTGATGGCCGTGACGTTCAAGATATCACAATTGACTCTCTGCGGAGGCACATTGGTGTGGTTCCTCAAGATACCGTACTCTTCAACGAGACATTAATGTACAACTTGAAGTACGCGAACCAGTCAGCCACGGATGAGGATGTCTACGAGGCCTGCCGGGCTGCCAGTATCCACGACAAGATTCTGGCGTTCCCTGACGGGTACAACACGAAGGTTGGTGAGCGCGGGTTACGTTTGAGTGGTGGCGAGAAACAGCGTGTCGCAATTGCACGCACCATCCTGAAGAACCCTCGAATTATACTTCTTGACGAGGCCACCGCCGCTCTGGATACTGACACGGAAGAGCACATTCAGGGGGCTCTCTCGACCCTCTCGCACGGCCGTACTATGCTCGTGATTGCCCATCGCCTCAGTACCATCACAACTGCTGACCGAATCCTGGTTTTGGCTGACGGTCAGGTGGCCGAGAGCGGCACCCACGAGGAACTACTGCTTCTCAAGGGCCGCTATGCCAGCATGTGGCGCAAGCAGATCCGAGCCCAGAAGGCTGCTGCTGAAGCTCAAGTTTTGCAAGACCGCGCCGAGCGTATCCGCAACGCCACCCACAGCGATGACAGCTCTAGTCAATCCGACGAGGACGGCAAACGCACTCGTCGTGCCGCTCACTAAACCCTCTTCAGTCTTGGACGCCCTGTACAGGCAAACTCTAATTCCCGCCAGCAAGCATGGTTCTCTCCCAATTTTTCATCTCCCGACGTGTGCATAAGCTCTCTCATATCTTTCTATTCTTCAACACCGACGCCAAAAGCAAGTGGGGGGTTTAATGTGAAATGGAGGACAGCAGGGACGGCAAGAGATGTGGATTTTTCATTTTTGCCTTTGCGTTCTTTTCTTTTTCCCTCTTGTCTCCCCTCTCGTTTATATTTTCGGGTCCCTTCTGCTTCTTCTTTTCCTCCTTACTGGGGCAGGGTCTGCTTTCTCCCCCACATTTCCTCCTTTCCAGCATTCGTTTTTCTGTCGCATTGTTTTCATTGCGTTTATAGGCGTTTGGGGCTTTACGATGCGTACGAGTGAAGTTCATTTTTGCCTTGTCCTTGTTTCATAAGGAACCCGAGGTGCACTTGGTCGCGGTTTGGGTTTTCCGGAAATAAAACACTAGATTAATCACTAGGGCCGCCGACACGGATTATATTTAATACAAAAGGACTTTTTTGAACAGAGCAGTGTGTGCATCGTCGAAGAGGTTGTTTAGGTGCTTAGACTTGTCCAGAATGGATGTGATTGAATGTGTCTTCGACATGAACTTAGTAGAATATGCTTGCTCTTGGACCAATAGTACCGAGCACATGGATCTGTTAAAGCTGTAATAGACTAAACTGTGCCTGATCTTCAGAGTCGGGCGATAATTGTACTTCGGAGAGTATGTACAATGATGTAGCTCGACATGCCAAGACCGCGGCAAGCTTATCGATTATCACCGACATCTTCACTCGAATCCTTCTTTCATCGCCTACTTGAACGCGCCAACTCACCACCCTTCACATCAGACATCCTCTCTCCCTACAATGCATTCACCATCACCTCAACTTCTCCGCGCCATGCGCTCCTCTCTCCTGAGCGCCCCGGCTCCCCGCGCTCTGCGCAGCGCCACCCGCTTCCCGCGCGCCCTCACAGCTCTCAACACCCTATCAACACAGCGCAGCTACAGCACCCCAATTCGCCCGACTCGCATGATCCCTCGCTCCCATACACACAAGCCTACCAGCCATGACCGAGGCCCCGAGTCAAAGGAAGACACCCAGACAGACTTTGGCGCACTGGACGTCCTCGGTAACACACCCGTACCGAGCACGGCCATCGACGCCTGCCTGGACTCGGGGTTCCACCTGAACAGCGGTGTTAAAATTACCGGTGGCGATGCACTATTGCTCGTCGGTGGAGAGGCGTTCTCCTGGCGGCCTTGGAAGGCCTTTGAGGGTGCAGAGGATGACCGCCCGGCCAAGGCGTCTATGATTAACGCCAAGGGCCAATTTGAGCTGGATGAGCAGGCTTGGGGATTGTTGAGCATGGTGTGGCCCCGTCCTGGTACGTAATCTGTTTCTCCTTTCCCCTCCCTCTTTTTGCTTGTTCTTGTTTTTTTTGCCCTTTCCTTTTTTGTGCCGTGGTCATGAGTCCTCGTGGAATGGGGTAATGGGTCATATGGTCGTTGCACTACACTAGAAACTACTTGTTTTGGGAGGCAAATTTTGGGGTCGGTTCAGCTTGCTAATGAATTTGTCTCGGGTAGACATGCTCATTCTCGGTCTGGGTGGCGGCATGTATCCCCTCTCACCAGCGACCAAGCGCCATATCAACTCGCTAGGCATCCGCGTGGAGATTCAGGATACTCGGAATGCGGCGGCGCAGTTTAACCTGTTGGCCACAGAGCGCGGAGTCTCCGAGATTGCGGCAGCGCTAATTCCTATCGGGTGGAAAGGTCGGTCGTAATTTCGGGCAGTGCTACTAGTTGCACAACTAGGACGATGCAAAGAAATGAAGAGTTGAGGCTCTTTTAGTGTACATTATCATATACTCTACATTCTTATTATCTCACTCAAAATGTACGATTACTACTTTTGGACATCTCAGGGTCCTGGTCATGTGAACTCCCTATCTTATCTTACCTCAGCTCAGCCCCGTCCCCTCTTCCGGTTCCGACTCCACCAACCACTCGGGGAAGCTCAGTTACGTACGTACCTGAGCTCATCTCGATTCGATTCACATCAATACAAACCATGGCGGGAAATGAGCAACTTCTGGCTCCACGCCCTTCCTCCGACCGCTCCTCTATTCGAAACGCCGAAGAAGAAGATGCCCTCCTGACCGGCGAGCGGACGACTCGCCGTGATGAACCACGCCGGGGATTGGGCTTCTGGGGACAGGTCGGGACATTTGCTTGGGCGGTTATCGCAACCATCTTGGTAATCGTCCTCGCCGTGGTGTATCAGCATGAGGCCGCCAAGAATCAACGTGTTCCTCACAAGGGTGTCTGGGGCCCTGACGGGAAGCCGACTGGCAAGCGCAATCTGATCTTCATGGTGTCTGATGGTATGGGGCCGACCAGTTTGTCGATGACGAGAAGCTTCCGGCAATTGACAGAGGGTCTACCGATCGATGATGTCTTGGTATTGGATAAGCACCACATTGGCCAGTCCCGGACACGGTCAAGCAACAGCCTGGTGACGGACTCGGCGGCCGGTGCAACGGCGTTCTCCTGCGCGCACAAGAGCTACAATGGAGCCATTTCCGTGCTCCCAGACCACTCCCCCTGCGGCACTGTTCTCGAGGCCGCTAAATTGGCTGGGTATCATACTGGACTGGTCGTCACGACTCGCATCACGGATGCAACTCCGGCGTGCTTTGCTTCGCATGCCAATCTGCGTCAGTACGAGGATAGCATTGCGGAGCAAGAGGCTGGTGAGCACCCCCTGGGTCGGGTTGTTGACCTGATCCTGGGTGGTGGACGATGCCATTTCCTGCCCAATTCTACAGAGGGTAGCTGCCGTGCCGATGACCGCGATATTGTTGAACTTGCGTCAGAGAATGGATTCAATTACTTGCAGGACCGAGCTGCCTTTGATGCCCTGAACGGCGGTACCGCGGCCAAGCTCCCTCTGATGGGTCTTTTCGCCGAAAAGGATATTCCTTTTGAGATTGACCGTCGCTCGCAGAACGACGTTTATCCTTCTTTGGAGGAGATGGCTCGTACTGCTTTGACTACCCTTAGCGAGGCTACTCGGGACAGCGAGCAGGGCTTCTTCCTCATGATCGAAGGTTCCCGCATTGACCATGCTGGTCATGGAAATGACCCTGCCGCGCAGGTTCACGAAGTCATTGCCTTTGACAAGGCCTTTGCCGCCGTTCTTGAGTTCCTTGAGAACGACGAGACGCCGGGTGTGCTTGTCAGTACATCTGACCATGAGACCGGCGGTCTGGCCGCTGCTCGCCAGCTCCATACTTCCTACCCCGAGTATCTCTGGCTGCCCCGTGTCCTGGCCAATGCCGAGCACTCTAGCGAGTATGTCGCCGCCAAGCTGAGCAATCATCTTGCGGAAGCTGGCAAGCACGATGATGACTCGAAGAAGAAGGCGTACATTCGCAAGACCCTGCTGGAGAAGGATCTTGGTATCAGTGATGCCACGGACGAGGAGGTCAATGCCTTGCTCCACCCCGAGGCCGGCGTGGCTCCTCAGTATGTCTTTGCAGACATGATCAGCCGCCGTGCACAGATTGGCTGGTCCACTCACGGACATTCCGGTTAGTCAATCCCTCTCCACCATACTGCATAATGTGAAGTCATATTAACAATGTTCATGTAGCTGCCGATGTCAACATCTACGCATCATCCAGCAAGGATGCCTGGCCCTTGGTCGGAAATAACGAGAACACAGACGTAGGTGCCTTCCTGGCCAACTACCTGGATCTCGACGTCGATGCTGTCACCAAGCGCCTGCAGTCCGCCGCCTACTGGACTGTATCCGGCGAGGAGTCCGCCATCCAGGAGAAGTACAGCTGGATGGGTGATCCTCTCGGCGCCTCCGTGCGGGTCGAGGGCCTTGACGCCTACCATGGTGATTTCAAGAAGCGATCCCTCGATGACTGCGGCTGTGGTGCAGCCCACTAATCCATTTGGGTTATCTTGCATATCCTGCATGTTCTTTATACCCTGATTTTGGGGTCATTATCTCTCGGGTTACCCTCTATGTTGTATCACATTGGCGTTGTGGCTGATTTGGCGCTATCACATACTCACTTTACATACTCATATCATATTGTTTTGATCTTGTTAAGACTGTGGCATTCTGTACTGATGGTCTATAGTCTATGGGAAACCAATCAATCTATATCTTCTGAACTCCCGAATCTCTTGGAAGTTCCATCGTCATGCTAAATAGACCAGAGTCTACCAAAAAGCCAAAGTCTGCAAAACGACCAAAGTGCGGAAAATAACTAAAGACTGCCAAAAGACCATTTTATCCTCAACCACCAAAGCACGTCCAAAACCAAAAACTTCGAAAATAAACCAAATAACACTTCAACAGCGAAACACGCGGAAAAAAAACCATTTTGTACAAAAACCGACGCATTGTAAAACAAAAGCTCATCCGCATGTAAGTTTGCATGTCCAGTCTATTTCACAAGAATAACGGCCTGGAGCGATTGGAAGAAGGGATTCGGAATGACACCGGCGAATGTAAATATCTGGCTGCTTTCGAGATTTCGAGAATGGAGAAATGGGTAGCTTCAAAGTGGTCCCGAAGCCGATTTTCAGCTCTAGCCATTCGTCATGGCTGATGATTCCATCGAGCATCCAAGTCACGACGGAATTGATGACCCATTTTTGGGCGATGTCATGTCCTTCAGTCGGCATTTTGAGACTCAATCTTTGAGCTTGAGAGTCCCAGAGTTCCCTATAAAGATCAGCCTCTAGTCTTCGAAGAGTCAAATCTGGGGTCAAAGAGGTCAACTCGCTGTACCTGGAATTCCTTGTCGAGTGCCTGAAAAAGAGCGTCTAACATTCACGACGTATGTCCGTGAATCCAGACTCGACCGCGAGGGGGGAGCATAAGATGAGGGACATTGGAAAAGGCACCGGGCTGCTTTCGAGAGCTTAAAGACTTCCCAAAGCCCAAAGCATGTTGCAAAACCGAACCCTACCCGAAACAGCAGAGCACCAGAAACCCCAATCCTCCCGGCAGCATAACAATCTATCTTCTCCCCACACGCCTCTTCAGTCCCCCCTCACGCCCTATTTCCCCAAGTTCCCATTCTCCCCCTGCTCCTCCTAGGCCCTGACGTCCTCACATCCGGGACACTGCTCCGAAAGATTGAACACCCACCACAACACATTCCCCGAACCAGGCCCGTATCTTGTCTCGGGGCGGCCGTTCTCGTCAAAGAGAGCGTACGGCTCGCACTGGGCCTGGTCGGGGTCGAAGGGCAGGGCATGTTGCTCCTGCTCTTCGGGTTCGTTGATGCGTTGTAGTTGGGTGAGCATCTGTTGGCAGAAGCAGTGTAGTTGGAAGCGGACGTGGCCGCATTCCACGTATGAGATGCCGACGTATTGGCACATTGTGGGCTGGATGGATGGGTTGATAGGTGGATGGATGAGGGAGGGCCTGTTGCTGTGGTGTGCATGGAAGGTTACTTGATAGACATGGTGAAGGTGAGGGGGATGAGGTTGATAGAGGGCAGAGAGGACAGAGGGCGTACCGTATGAGTTGCGTCTTGCGTCGAATGAATAGAGTCGATGACTCGCGATGGTGGTCTGCAGAAGATTTGAATATCTGCGAGGAAGGTGTGGATGTTGACGTTGAGGTGGAAGGAAATGTTGTGAAGAGTGAAGAGTGGTGAGATATCAGAGTGACGTGAAGCTCTGGCAAGTTCCTTTCCTGGACATTTGCCTGGAGAATTCCAGGCTATCGATACTGCCATTTCTACTCCGGAAGACTCTCACATGATCCATGATCTATGATCCTGGTGAGCTCCCTATATGCCGCCTTCTCAGACTATAGCGATCTCGGAATTATGAGGTTATACAGAAGCTATACGAGTACCCTTCACCACATACCTTTCATGAGCCTACAAACCAAGAACACAAAACTTGAATATTCCAATCTACATCTAAACAATCTTGCCCCTCTAAAAAGCACAATATCAAATCCATACCCTTGGATAGATCTATACATACCACGGCGGTGGCGTCTAGATCTAGAACACGCCCTGTCCGAGCCATCCCCCATTCCCAACATAACCTCCACCGATCTAATTCTACACCAAAGTACTTCCCACATTCTAAAGCCCCTCCCCCTATTCAATCCACGTGGAAAGAATGAAAACCCAGTGAAACTGTAAGCAATAGTGGAGACTATAAGGTAGGTAGGGTTCCTGCAGGGGGTTTTAGATTTCATGCCGAACCCGTGACGGGCCGTCCGTTGCAGAATCCACCAACCGAATGAACCAACGGAAACCCCTGCATGAATACGAGAGCTTGAGTAGACGTCTTGCCAAGAGGATTAGTATGGAATGGGAGGGGGGAAATCTAGATCTACATCTACCCGAAGTTATAGAAATATTGTTGTGTACACTTCCGAACTAAGAAACCAGGTCTTGAGAATAAGAGATAAATTATGAGAGACTATGAGCGGTGACCCATTATCACACCTAGAGTAGAGCTAGATATTTCCAAACATGTGCAGGGAAGAGCGTTGCATCGCAGTGACAAACGGGGCATACAAAGACGAACATGAAGACAGCTGGACCGCGAAAAAAATGGCGAAAGATAAGCGTAATCATCCATTAGGTGAAGAAAGAAAACGCCGAGCATGAAGTAGACGCAGGGTAGTTCGGACATGTGGACGGCGTTAAAGGGAATCGATAGATCCAAAAGGATGTAGAACATAACAGAGCAATGGAACGAGAAACAGTACACAAGATACAAAGATGTGTTTTCTTCATTGTGAGGGATCAAGGAGTCAGTCAGAGACAGTCGAGAAGCGAAAATAGGATCAAACATCCAAAATGGGGGGTTTTACTCATGAAAGAGCAGTAGAAAGTTTGGCGGGAAAAATAAGAAATCTTAAAAGATAAGATATTCTTGTATGGCAAAAGTATTCTGAAACACAAATAGACACAAAAAAACACAAAGTCCCATATGAGGGTACATTTACAGCGTCACCAGAACAACCACAGCCACAAGGACTGCGAAGAGCGAGCCACGGAGGACACGCTCACCCTGAGCAGGGGCGCCGTTGCCCTTGGTAGTGGTCTCAGTGCCCTGGCTGAAGCCAGTGCTGGAAGCAGAAGAGGAGCTGGTGCTGCCGCTGCCGCTGCTAGAGTCAGAGCCAGAGCTGGTAGTGCTGTTGCTGGCCATACCACCGGAACCACCGTGGCTGGTGGGAACGCTGTCGCTGCCGGTGGAGGTGGCACTGCTGCTGTTGGCGCCGAGGGTCATGTCCAGACCGGTAGCACCGAGGGAGCCGAGAACGGTAGAGTTATTAGTGATGGCGACGTTGGCCTCCATGGCAGCCTCGGAGGTGTAGATGTAAGAGTTGTTGCCGGTCTGCTCAGTGCCAGAGGGGGGACTGTAGCAAGTGACATCGACCTGACCAATGGTAGCGTAGTAGTAACCCTTCTCCTTGATGTCCGTGCTGTCCCAGTCAATCTCACCACCGGCCCAGTCGATGGTACCCTGGGCGTTGCTGGCCTGGCCGGCGGGCCACAGCGACATCTGCAGGCGAGAGGGGGTCTGCGGGTACTGGTAGCGGTTGGCAGTGGAGTTCCAGGTGTCGGACTTCTTCAGGGTGCGCATGACGGTGCCGTCGATGATCCACTGGGTTTGGTCGGGCTGCCAGTCAATCTCGTAGGTGTGCCAGTTGTCAAAGGTATCCTGGTCGCTGACCGAGGCGTTGGCGCTGTTGTGCCAGTCGAGAACACCCTGCCAGTAGTAGTTGGTCTGAACCGCAGTCAAGTCGGCACCGACCCACTCGTAATCGATCTCATCCTTGACGTCGGAGAGCAGGATGAAAGCAGTGACGACACCCTTGCCGCGGGAAGACTTGATCTTGCCGCTGATCTTGCCGTACCAGATGTAGTGGTTGTTGGCGAAAAGAGTACCGACGGAGTTCTTGGGCATGGTCATGAGCAGGTTGCCATCCTCGGTCTTGGGGTAACCGCTGTAGGTCCAGTCGGCGGCGCTGGCATTGCCCAGGTACTTGGTGTTCAGGGCGGTGTTGTCGAGGTTATCCCAAGTGTAGCTCTTGTTCTCACAGATGGGCATAGGGGCGCAAGAGCCGATGGAGAAGGAGGATTGGGGGTCGCAACCACCGAGACAGTATGCGCCGGTACCACACTCGCCATACTCTGTAACGCGAGACGAAAAAGGTTAGCCATTGACTCGGTCGCGTGGGTCAGAGACTCCACGAAAAGTAGAATTGAACATACGAGAGCAGCAAGGCTTGTCCTCGGGGCACTGGCTGCTGGTGCTGCAAGTAGTGGTGGTGGCCGCAAGTGCGGTGGCCGAGAGGGCCGACAGGGCCAGGAGCGGAGTCACGAAACGGACCATTGTGTGAGATTATGTACGGGGGTGGAGGGTGGGTATGTGCGAAATCAGAATATACAAGAAAAAAAGTAAAAGGATAGAGAGAAGACCACAGACAAACGAGCGAACTGTGGGAAAAGATTAGAAAAATAGAGTAGGGGGGAGGAGGAACGAGAGGCAGCAAGTGAAGGTGTAAAGAGCAACCAAGTTCACTGCTTTTGGATGTTGAGGAGAGAGAAGGAGAAAGAGGAGGAGGAGGGGGGGGGATGTATGGAGTATTTCACGGGTCTTACGAACAGAAGACCAGAGCAGCATCAGTCAATTGAACCCTCGATCAATGACAGGCCTAGGGGTATGGTATCTCAAGGGTCTCCAAGGGTGTAATGCCGCGTCATAAAGAACGGCTAGAGGTAAACAACCAGGGAATACAGTTCAATACTAACCCTTTTAGGAGTGGCCACGCTTCTGACCGGCCCAAATAGATTACAGCCCAGAGCCATGGCTCGGTATGGTGTAATACAGTGATCGTTCGGGGACTTAAGGGACCAAGGGACTTGGAGATGCTCTCCATCAAGTGGAGTCGTCCCTGGAAAAAAGGCGGAGTCGTCTGTGCACGTTTTTTTTTTCGCCGTGCAAACTGGTATTTTTGACCCTAAGGGGGTTGTTGACTGACTACACGATGCTCAATGCAAGTAACAAATTTCATGCTTAACTATTAGTTACCGTAAGTAGTTGATCAATTGCTATACATTTGAATTGTAAACGATATTCGAGGTATAGAGAAACTGGCCGGTCCAACCCGGAACACTATACAGACAGTACTGCAATCTCGTGCACTACAAATGAGACATCTACCTTGGTGCATTTCCAGGCCTCGTCATGGGGTCTCATTTGCTAGAGATTAGAAGTTCATTTGACTGGGTGAAGGGGATTAATTGGGTGGACTCTGGGGGCCAGTAACCAGTTAGCCGTTGGGCCACCTGAGACATTTTTTTCTGCCCCAGGCGTTTGTCTTTGATAAGGAGTGTAATCACAATACAATATATTATACTCCGTACTGTATTTGATTGGAGATTTATTCCTCTACACAGATTCGAACTCGATTTCATCTGCTGTTCCCCACGTCTAAACTCCCTTGTATGTCGCTTCATGCGCCTATAGTGGCATCTCTACATAATTCCCCCGTTGCTCATCTTACTCGTCCTCTCGTGCCACGTATTTGGACTGTATGTCCAACCTCGCCACCACCAATAACAGTACTTAGCTAACCCTGTCTGGATCAGGAGTGCACAACCGGTCAACCCCGACCAGGCTGCAGAAAAAAAAGAACCACCTTCCTTTAGAAAACCCGTGGGACGTACCCAAGCCCAATAGTTAGTCTCGGCGCCAAACTCAACCCCCCCCCCGATTTGCCCAGTCTACAGAAACCGGTTAAAAGTGGCCCCCAACTTGTTGCCAAAGTTGCCCAAAAACTAGGTACTCGGCACCAAGAATCCCCCAAGAATCTTCCAGGATGCCCAGCGGTGCCTGCCAAGTAACTGCCCAGAAGCACATACGTACAGTGACTACGCAAAAGTATTTGGACCCCCGCCCCACACCCCTATATTACATAATATATTGCCGGTCGCAAAACCTCCGTCAAAACTCCATGAATTGCATATTAACTACTAAATACACATAGAAGTCTACCTAGTAAGGCGTATACCATCCTTCTGATTCCATGATTGCCAGTACCCTATCAGGCATAGATTGAGCGTGTTCTCTTACTAAGCGTTTCTAGTAGGCGGTAGGAAATTAGCATGGGCGGTCAGCAAAGTGGGGCCCGGGGGGTCCAAATACTTTTGCGTAGTCACTGTACATACCGACATGACATACTGTTACCTGTACTCCGTACCTGGCATGGATAGACAGGGGGAGAATACTCGAAGTTTATACATCATACCGTCCTGCACATAATTGCATGCACATCAACGTGCTTATCTTCCCGGTCAGGAATACTGTCACGTCGCTCAGGAACGAACATCCGTCCAGTACAACCGGAAACCTTGACCAATTAACCCGCCGTACTCCGTACACTCCTAACCACTCGGCGCCCGCTGCAAGAGGGGGGGCATCCACTTTGAAGCTAAGGGGAGCTAAGGGAGCTAATGAGCGAACGAATGAGCTACCGTGGAGTAACTTTTTTTGCTGATCGCCTGAGCACGCAGTGGCAGGGCAGTCAGGGGCGTGTGTTTACTTTAGGAACATCCAGTCCAACTTCACCATTCTTCTGTATCTACGTCGATATCCAGTTTTAATGATAAACAACCAGTACTTTGGACCAGCAACCACTGCTATGCTTTCCAGAAGGAATGTCGGGGGAGTTAGGTTGAAATCGTCTATTTACCTCTTTAGGGGTGGCTTGATTCCAACTGTTCAAGCCCAGGAATGTGTCATCCCCCTCGAGGTAAGGGGTTGCAAAACATCTTGCTCCCAAGTCTCATAGCTCACTACAATTGATACGATAAGATCAAATCAATTCACACTCCCCGAACAAAACAAATGTGACCTCGCTACACAATCCATATCCTGCTCAACCCGGTATTCTAAAAAGCCTTGCTTCTCCGTATTCCTTTGCCAAATCGCGCCCAACCCCAGCGTGGCGTCCCACGCGCGCATACTGTGCCCTTGACGGCGTCGAGCCGTCGACGCCCGTATCACGTATTGTGTATGGTACACAAGTGCATAGAACATCGCATGGTTTCCCCGTCCTTTGCCCGTTTACTCCGTTGGGCTGTGCCCCGATTCCCGCTTGTAGACTAGTGCTGGGCCCGTTGACAACGAAATAAGCCCGCCACCACGCGGGTTGGCGTGTCAGTCGGGAGATTACTTTACGCGAGGGGACGAGAGTTGCCATTTTTGGGATTACAGGCAGAGAGAGAACTTGCTATTCACTACGCTACCCTTCACTAACAAAATCCTAATTTCTCCGCTTAATGCTTAGCTGGCCAGGTGACTCGTCTAGCCTCCTAGGGTTGTATGCACGGGCAGTGAGCTTGGATCTGGATTTCGTGAGCACATACGCTATTTTTACTACACAGACCAGCGTCGATGGCAAGTTATCCCTTATCTCAAGCCCCGAACTCCGTGAATGAGGCTCCGGGTGGGGTGTTTTTTTCATTTCGCGAATGCCCGATCAAGGTTGGGCGGAGGCTGGGGTTGGATTGATCCCGTTAATTATGTGATACCTCTCGGGAGAGAGCCCTTGGATCCGGCTTTGTTTGAGATCACTCCTATCGAGGGAGCCCCGAGTGACGACGGAAAAAAAGACAGGAAATCAATCTAGTGGTGTTGAGATTGGTTCAATGTAAAGATGGAACACGGATCGCGAATCATTGGGCATGCACGTGTATGTATATGTACAAATCTCTCATGCAGTAGATGCTTCAGTCTCGGTCATGACAGCCAACAGGTAATTTCAACATATGGTAGTTGACAAGACACTATAATCAATATTTGAGATCCATGGGGATGTATTCACGAACCATCCGCCAGCTATCACTGCCTTCATCGCGCTCGTTTCGCCAGAATCCCAGAAACGTCCGATCAGGACGGAGGTTCCATTTTGCCATGATTTCTTCTGTGATGTCAGGAGGAAGTCCTCTCTCTGGTTGGAAGACATCAAAATGTCCGATACGCGCTTCTTCCGGGATAGGATGTATTAACGGTGTACCTGCATCAGAGCCTGTAGACTCGGGAGACAGGCTCGAGCTGGACCCCGGGCTGTATTGATATCCGACAAGCGATTCTGTGGTCGAGAAATGCGGCGTGTCTGGATTGGTACTCATCACCTCCCCATTCATTTCTTCAAGCAGCATGATCCTTTCGCCAAATGTGACGGCAGACATACAGCTGTAGAATCCCTGTACTCGCGAAGACCGGAGCATGAGGGCAAGTGCCTCGCGTCGAATTGTAGGATCTCGACATCTCAGGCAGGTGAACCATAGTGCAACTCCCGGGTTGATATCGAATGTGAACGGTGGTTGTGTGCCATCTGATCGCATTGACGCGTCTAGGGAGATTCGAGACTGCTCCACGATTCTTTGGAAATTTGGTAGAAACGCGTCAGTGATGACCTCTGATGAAGATGCGGATACCTCTAGCATGATGAAGAGCGCTTCGTAAATTGCAGAGAAAAGGGCGATAGTGCCAATGTCCTCCGTCGTCAAGGATGTAGTATGTAATGATTCCACCAGGTTCACAAAGGCAGTGTGCCAGTCTCTCAACTGGACTGACAGATCTGCTTGTAGATCCAGCAGATCCTGGGGTATGCGAGAGTCATCGGGACTCAAGAGATGCTCTCCACAGGCGTGTTGGAAAAACTGAATCTCTGCGCCTAGGCGGGTAATTTCTTCTCGAGCAGCCCTCAAAGAAATGAATATTTGCGTCGGTCTGTGTTTGATACCCCGCAAGAGAAGCCCAATCTGTGGTCGAGAAAAGGTGAATCCAATCAGACCCAACCGAATGAATATGGGAACAATCGTGTCCTCCAACGAGGCAGCCTTGGCCGCCGGAACCAGCCCGCTGGCTATTTGAGTGCGCAAAGCAAGAATCAAATGCACACCCTGGCAATAAAGTTGGATAGCTTCGTCCACGCCGCCTTGAAGTGCCTCAATGCAGATAAAAAGCACACAACTAATCAATCCAACAAAGGTATCCACACTGCCACGCTCAATTTGCTGACGAACAGCGGAGACCGAGCGCGAGTACCAGCCTAGCGCGTCCCGGTGATTTTGAATGCGATCTGGATCTGAAATCGGCTCGGGGCTTTCAAATAAAGCACTGACGGAGATGATGGCATCCCAAACAGCAGGTTCACTCCGGCATACTTGTGGGACAATCGTGCGCCAGAAGTCAACATCCAACCCACCGCCAACAGCTGATGCGGCGTTCTGGAAGTAGTAGGCGAAAGCGCGCCGTTCTCGCCACATCGTATTTGGCGACATTGACAATGAGTTTGCGAGTATGGGTTGCGTCGAGGCTGTGACGGAGAATTTAATAGACTTTCTATCATCATAGTCGCACTTGCGGCCTGTACTGGTGCATCGCACACAGTGAGGCTTTTCTTCGCCGCATTTGACCCTTCGAATTCTAGAAGGAAATTAGTATAACTGAATTTTAGGAGATAGAGGGGTGTGACTTACTTGCATGTTTTACATCCTGACTTGGATCGCAAGAGCCCAAGTGTAGTGCCCTTGAGATTAGCTGATGAGCGGCCCGGCATTTTGGCAAGTTCTATGCTAGTGGGGCTTCAGGATGCCGTTGCGGCCATGAAGCCGTATGAAAAGATCAGTGGCCTGGAACGAGCCCCGGTGCGAGCAAATAACAGGCCGGTGTGCCAGGTAGGGGGGAAATTTGCATGTTCTATGGGAGATGCAGAGGGAAATAGTGCTGATAGGGGATGAAGTGGTTTTATCTTAGGTTGATCTTGGGGGCGACGCTAGCGATTACGCATCGAAGATCGTGTGATGATTGGCTGAAACTCGTTCCATCTAGCCCTCGCACGTGACACATGGAGTATACAAGCCATGAAATGTCGACCATAAGAGACATAAGAGATAGCAAGAGACTTCAGGATGAGTCATATCTAAAGCTGCTTTTTATTGGGGGCAGTTGACATACCTGAGAGTATATGCCTCCAAGCCCGCGCGAATGCTACTTGGGAAAGCGGTGGTGCAAAAGATGCAGGAGGAGAGGAATCAATATAAAGTCGAGATAAAACGCCATATTATTGATACTTATACATGTATACAAATGATCATTTTCTAGTAAGCCACCTGTCGATCCTTTTCGCCATATCTACACAGCGTTCGTCCACATGCCTCGTATACAGGTGTGCCGCGTATAGATTGAACACAGCCATGACCGCATACCCCACCAACCATGTAAATGCAAAAGGTATCGTGAATTGATTGGCATTCTCCGTACCAGGGTACGGCTCCCTGGTTGCAATGTACCACAAAAAGTTCCTCACGGGGTCACGGACAAGGTGATAAACAGACTGGTGTACGAGGTAGAGCGAGAATGATATCTTGCCCAGATACTGCATCGGTCTTGAAGTTAGAGGCCATTGTAGACGTGGCAATTGGCTGATGGCGTAGACCACAAGAACAGACCCTGCCGTCTTCCAGCATTTGCTGAGTACTGCCCAGTCATTCTCCCAGCGTGATGACTCGACCAGTTTGAGAAATAGGTAGCCGGGTGGCAATTCACCATCGTCGCTTAGACAGAGAAGGTAGATTCCGAAAATGAAGCAGAAATAACTCCAGATTGCTGAGAAATTGATGGACTTTATGTTTGATGTCCATCTTCCCAAAGAGTGATAAGGCAGTTTTAGCTCCTCGTCTGCTGTTGACCCCGAGAGAAGTCGCATCTCAGCCAAGTACAGACCAGCTAGGAAGCCAAAGACATCCCAAAGACCAAAGTAGAACCAATAGCTCATCAGACACCCTAGCGCTATGCGTCGAAGCTGAGGCCGCCAGAATGCCAGTCCCAATACCACAGTGTAGACGATGCATGAGCCCCGGAACTCCATAGGCATCGTCCAAAGTTGGCCATTCAAGCCAGGATTGCCCTGGAAATTGATAATATTCGTGATGTCGAGCATATAGCGAAAGACATAGGTAATGTGCAACCATGGTGCAGTCCAAGGCTTCCTGCCCCAGACAACCTCATCGCCAAAGTTCCATTGGTAAATATTACAAAAATAAAGAAGCTGTGAGATAATGGCGATAACAAAGACCGGTAAATAGATGCGGAAAATTCGCCTGCTAACTGCAGAAGACAGACGACGCACGAAATCGCCGTCGTCGCCGTTTCTTAGCCGTAGAAGGTTGATCGAAATCGCATAGCCCGAGATCACGAGGAATAACGGGACCATAGCATGTGCGGCGAAAAGGAGGCGAATCGGAGGCAGTTGGATAAGCCTCCGATTTTCTTCGGGTGGATCAGCCCAGAACGAGAGGAAGGCATTGTCCAGAACGCCGCCCATGAAATAGTGATCCGTCGCGACGATGGCCGCCGCGATGCCTCGAAGGCCGTCGAGCCAGGTGGTGCGGTCCATGGTCCTTGGTAAAAGGGATGAAGAAGGGGCATTTCAATCCATTATTTGATGGATGCATTTTAGCAGCAGATTTGAATGTAACAATATCCTCTGGTCCACAATGATTATTTTTGGGGGCCGTCAATTAATGTGTTAGCGTTGTCTTAGCGGGCCCAATTTTTCTTAAACAGGGTCCCTATTTCCGTACAAATTCAACAGGATCGACCCACTAACTACGCAGATCCTTGAGTCATGGAACCGTGGCATAGAGTAACGTAGTACAACGCGTTAGGCATCCGAACACAGTTTTTTTTTCTTCAAAGACAAGCCTCGGGAGTGGGATGGTCACCACGATTTAACCTCTAAGACATGGTGAGGGGCTCACGGGATTGTGGCTTGCGGCTGCTTATTATTTATGATGATCGTCTTATTTCTATGTACAGTACAACTCCATCTTGATTTCTTGGTCTCTTGGATTATTCTTGGCAAGTCCAGTTTTCAATCCGACGTGGCAGCCATCCGCTGACCCAAGGGAGGCTAGTCTGTCGCCTGGAGTCACCTTCCGGAATACCGTTGCCCAATAAAACCATGCTGTCCATCTTACAGCGGTCTTCGTAGAATGACCACTGCACGCAGTCAGCCCAAGATATGCAGGCCGCCTCACAGGCCTCCACCGACTTCCAGGCGCTGCGCCATGTCTCAGTAGACTTGACCTTGCTTGGTGGCTCGGCACTTGCAGCCATGCTGGATTTGATCTCATACTTGCCAGACCAATTATCCCACCACTCTGCACGAGGTCGCAGATACGGGGCGACCAGCGCCTCGTAGATGTCGCGATATCTCAGAGGGCCCTATTTAGAATTAGCTTTGTGATGAATCCACTAGGGCGCAATAGTGCTGACCTTCTCAAAGTCCCAGGACTGCTCGAGCTTGTAGAATCGGGCTACGTCTTTTCCATGTGTGTGATGCCAGCTATACACCGGCTTGCACCAGTTAGCAGGCTCATACCACGTCGACCAGTGAGATTCGGGGTTGAATCCATAACGGAATCGATTATCATCCGTGGTTTCGCCGAATTGTACACCGTATTCATGTAGTACATGGCCCAGGATGTGATCTCCGCAACCATGCTCTTCGGTAAATTCTTCAAACTTCTCCACGATACGCGGGTCTTTTCCGAAACTCTTTTCCCAAGCCCCCCGAGATAGCGCAAAGCCGGAGCCACCGTGAGCAAAGTAGTCTCCATGGATCCAGGCCAGACTGCCCAGGTACCATGGGTCTTTATGGTCGAATTTCTCCAAATGGCGGAGGAGATTAGGAAGGAAGATGTAGGAGTCGTCTTCCATGAAGATATACCATTTCGTATTGGGCTTGTTCAGGCCTGCATGCTGTATGATAGGCAAGAATTTGTATTTATCGAGCTTCCATCCTCCGGGAGGCCCAGCAGCATCGCCGGGCATGTTTGACATCTCAGCATAGTTCTGGCGCGATTCGTAGTCCTCCTGCTGGAGATATGGCTTGAAGGTCTCCGATTTGCGCACTTTATCAGTGGTGTTTGAAAGAACATCGATGATCTCCCATTGTCCTATGCTCTCGGGATAATCGGAGTAAATGATGATGTTCTCGGTACTGATGCGTTGGGGTGAGAATGTAGTCGCCATGTGGATGGGCACACGCTTCCATAGAACGGTAGCTCCGGTTTTGAACATAAGAATCACGTCGTCGGTACTTAGGCCTTTCGGCTGGTGGAGCGAATGAGTTGAAGAGCTTGGTGGTTTAGCGGAAGGAATTGGGGAGGGAATGGCATGGTGAACGGGCTGGTCAACAGCTTCATCCACAAAGTTGGTGGTAGCTTTCGGATTTGAATTTGACGATTCAACAACGGATGTATTTGGAACGACTGTCGCGGGGATCTCGCCCAATGGGCCCTGACGATCCAATTCAAAATGATAGACAAAGATAAAAAATGTCAACAACATAATCCCCAAGGGGACTATGCGGTTGTCCTTGTAGAATGGCATCGTTGTAGATGAAGAAGACGCTCCGCCATCACAGTCGCATTTACACTTGATCGGAATGTCGGCATCTCTCCTTTTTAACACCAAAAAACCACAGCAACTAAAATCCGCAAATCTTCGACAAACTCTCGAACTAAACCAGATAGTCATCCTGCCTAAGCCCCGCCGGGCTTCTCTGCAGGATCCATGTGATGGAACTCCACTACTAAGCCCACCATTTGACTCTCTGCTGTCTTGGAGTTGTTTCTCAATTAGCTTGGCTTCTAAACCTCTTTGGGGATAGCGCTGACCTATTACCGAGTATGCGGCTCAGAAGAACGGGCTTTCTATTCGTTGTCGCCAACCTATACGAGAACGGTCTCAAATACACGTCGGCATGGTCGGTGTATGACCGGAGGATGCCCCTGAGTGAGTGCGAGCAGTCATTCGAAGTTTTGCACTAGCACGCTGAGTATGACTCGAATCAGGCTCCAAGGTCATGGACACATGGAGCCTCAATATGCGGTGTTATTTTTGGACTGTGAAAAAAAAGTGGAAAGCGGGTTGTTGGACGCCTCCAAAAAAAATTAACTTATTCACACTCGTTCTTATTTATCTGATTCTCTTTCTGAAGATCTCTTCCCCAGGTCCCTCGTTATTATCCCTAATAGTTCATATTTTTCATTCGTCACTCGTTACTATTCGCCTGAGTGAGTACCATTAAAATGGACTCATTCAATGAAAAAAACCTGTATACTGGGTTCTCCATGTTCCAACAAAGGGGTCCCGATGTCTCTCGCTTGCGCCAATTTCTTAATCTCTTGGGATGCATTATTGTCATTCCTATTTACTCTTTCATCACCGGCTATACACGGCACCCGTTGACACTAGATATCTTGCTGACGATCTTCTCGGCGGAATATAATCGCTTTGCAAATGAGCGCAGACGGCGACGGCTGAACGCCCCATCGCAGGGTGGTCAAGATTTGGAGAAAGCTAGCTATCTGCTCACGGGCACGAAAAGGGCCACAGAATGCATGGCTGCCATTGTTGGATACCGTGAAGACCCGGAGCTTTTTGCTCGCGCTCTAGACAGCTACAAAACTGCGGCGGAATGCCGCTTCGTCCTGGTGGGCGTTGATGGTGATGACACTCCAGACAAGGAGATGGTTCGAGTTTTCCAAGAAGTAAGTAGCTTCAAACGGGTCTGTTAAAACTTGCCTAACGTGATATCCAGGTTTTTCCTGAAAAGTCAGCCGTTATTCATATTGATGAGCCGCTGGGTGAAGTTGCTATGAAGACCTTCGAGAAGCTCTCCAAGCTCGATGGTAACACCCAGGCTCCCCAGGTCTATATGGAAGCTACCATTGCCCACTGCTGCCAGCTCGCACGCGAGATTCTCTCTGAACATGACCTTGATCTTGGCGAGGCTGGTGGTATCACAAGACTGTGTCTCTTCCAGCCCCATCTGCACAAGAAGGGAATCATGTTTTCGGCTTTCATTTTCTCTATTGTGATCTCCGAGATGCTCGGTATTGAGTACCTGTGGTCCTCCGACTCTGATACCATCATCATGCCTGACTCATTGCGGAGTACCATTGAAACTATTGCTGGTGACCCTCATGTTGGTGGTGGTAGCTCAGGCTTGATTGTGCACAATGAAAATGACACTATCACGACCAAACTCGGCAGTGTGGTCTATTGGTCTGAGCTTTATATGACCCGGTCAACCTCAACTGCTTCTGGAACCAGTGACTGCCAATCAGGCCCCAGTACAGCATTCCGAGTCTGCTCGCTCCCAGCCGTCTTGTATCCCTGGTATACACAGACCGTGCTTGGACATCGAATGGTCGTCAACGAGGATCGCCATCTTACTACCAATCTACTCATGCGCGGGTGGACCGTCACATATGTGTCTGACACTTTGACTGCGACTGACACACCGACAACTCTGAGCCGCTGGATCATGCAACAAGTTCGCTGGAGCCGAGCTGGTCACATCGAGTCCTTCCAACAGCCTCAAATCTACGTCCTCAACAACCCGCTCTTCTTCTGGGCTGCCATCAAGCGAGAGGCCGGACCCCTGCTTGGATTTGGTTACATCCTCTACTATCTCATCACTGGTCGCTGCTTTGCTTATTTCAACTGGTACGACGTCGGCATTCGTATTGCTTACACATTGCTCTACAACTTCTTCCGAAACCCTGACAGAGGCCCAACGAACTATTGGCTCTGGATTGGACCGGGTCTTTTGTTCTACAATATTCCTCTTCCCATGATCCATCTTTGGAGCTTGATCACAGTGTTCCAGGATGGATGGGGCACGTCTATGCGATCAACTAGTGAACTATCTAAGAGAGGCCAGGCATGGAAACGCTGGAATGATTTGGGATTCTTTGTTGTGTGGATGGGTATTGTTGGCGGCACTTTGGCAAGGATGTTCGCCAACATGGCTGGTTGGAATGGTACTAGTGTGTTCCAAGCCATCGTGCTGGGAATGATTGTCCCTTCCGCGGTGTCGTTCTATGGCCTGGTGATCCGTGAATGATTTAGAAGGACGAAACTTAGACTTATACACATCCCTCTGCTAAGACTATATAATTTCAATACCTTCGTGTTCAAAGAAAACCTCGAGTACTGGTGCAAAATGGTGAATGATTACTCTGCGCTGCGTATATCGTACCCTGTTTATTTCCATTACCCACTTCACCATCCAGGGGGAATCCAATAATCCTTCCAATAACCGTAGTCCGCTTCTTGAAACCGGTCAATACCACCCTTGACACCATTCTTCCCAACTTTCCAAACGCCACTCTCCACCAATTCCCGCCACCGATCCAACAACCTCTCGAATCTCTGAGCCCGCCATTCACCCCCAAATGGGAAATAGCCATGCTGGAAGAGCTCAGACACCGAACCCCTAGGCACCAAACTTCCATCGCTCTTTTTAGCACTGTTTTCATCCCAAAGCTCCACGCGGAATTCGAATGGCAGCAACAGACGGAATCCTTCCTCTGCAAGATCGGACTCCCCTCGACGTGCAAACTCGGAGTATAGTCCCACGGGAATAAGATCACGATCATCATATGGAATTGGGTCGTGAGGGTCGAAGAATAAGTACCTTATCTCCTTATTGAAGTTGATCGTACGTTTTTGGTTTGCGAAAATTAACACTGGTGGTATAACCGTGGGTGATTCAGGGTGGCGAGTCAGACCGGTAAACTTCTGACGTGCTGCAAACGCCGCAGCATCGTGCGGTACTTCCAGACCCGGTGCGATGTATTTGAAGCGGGGAGTTTTCACTTTGGATAGAACCGAGCGAATGAAACAATTCTCCGGAACGGACGCTGCATCTAGCTCGGAATCGGTCAAAAGAGGGGATTCTCGAGAGACCGACAGATGGGATTTGGAAGGCATCCTAGCTTCAATGGCAGCCGAGAGTCGATTCATGGCATCCACGGCGCTGTCCACTTGAGCAGGACTATAAGGTTGCCATACCCACGACCCTAGCCGGGCAACGCGAGGTGGATACTCCTCCTCTTCTGGTGGACTAGCAGTCACTTTGCCAATGCGAAGCATGTGAATCCAGTTGGTCAGCATCGTCTCGAGTGGGAACCACATATCCAAATGGTCCTTGACGGGACTAATGCTGTCAAGATTCTCTATCACGAGGGGTATCGCTACACGATTCCGCTTCTGATCAAATAAGAGGCCGATATTATGAGAGCCAAGGTCAACCCAGGAGACATGAAGGTTGACGAAGCGCTCGCGGTTGCGCAGCTTGTTCTCCTGATCAAAGAAGTAAAGATCAGCAGGGAGTACGCCCATGCTGTCCACCCAGTAAAATAATCCTTCACGATCACCTGGCAGAATGATAGACTGCAGGAATGAAACCATCTCTGGATTGAGACGGTGCATAGGAACCCCCAAGTCGTAGCCCTCAAGTTCAAAAAAGGAGGGCCGGCTCAGCAATTCTTGGAGGTCGTCCACTTCTCGCTCGTGATGCGCCATCCATCCATACGCAACGAGGTAATTGTGCAGTCTTGCACAGCGTTCATAATCAAAGGTGCCATCTTCTCGTGCTGGATTGGATTCTGATACAAGGGCGTCATCGATGTCTAGAAGCGTCTGCGGAGTGCTTGTCAAGAGGAGAGAGCTTCTGTTATTGGCCAGAATGAATTCGCCGGGATTGTCATTTTCTCGACGGATAAGAATCAAGCCCAGCCAGGCTATGAGGATGGGTACCAACCACACCGTTGCCCGTGAAGGCGACATACTCGCGGTTGTCTGTCACACGTCGAGGGTTGGTGTAGGTTAGTTGAAGGTGCGATAGGAAGCTAACCACAAGTAGTTAGCCCCATTTGTATGACATGGATTGCAAGTCGTCAGCAAATATGAAGCTGAAAATCAGAGATATATTTCGATTAGATGGAGGTGTCTGTCAGAGGTGCAATCACAGAGTCAGTGGGGAGGTTATGAGAGGATGAATGTGATGTGGGAGGTTGACGCTGCGCGGCTCTCCAGGTATAACCCCGGATTCAAGCAACAGTAGTCTAAATTTCAGCGTGATCAGTTTCCTTCGGGAGAGGCTGCAGGAGGTGGCTTATGGCAAAAATGTCGAGTATGGCAGGTCTTAATTTTACCATCACACCCCAATTCTAGTTCACTTCTTCGTGTATCATCTGCCTACCAAGGTTTCAGGCTACCGACCTAAGACGAAGGAGCCTCATTTCACAATAAAATTTGGGTTCGAGAACGTAATTATGTATAACGAAAGAAAATTGACCCCTTTTTTCACACCCCGGGCCTACATATGTCATTTCACATACCATGTTATATATGTCATGGTGTTCAATTATTCCCTAAAGGAATAGCCCCTACCCTCAGATTTTGGATCCGAGTCACTCCGAAAGAGGGGGGAAGGTTCGCACGAAACTAAGGGAATGAACAGTTATTAGTTCTTCGAGGTTTGATAAAATGAAAGAGCCCTCCAAGGACAAACAAGGTTCACATACTGAGCAGGGCACTCGTATCCAGCGGGGTTCTTGTTCAGGTACAGCTGGTGGTACTCCTCGGCATCCCACCACTGACCAGCAGGCAGGACCTGGGTCGACACAGGCTGCTTGAACCACTCCTTGCTGACCTTATCCGTAACCTCCTCCGCAACCTTCTGCTGTTCCTCGCCGTGCGTGAAGATCGCGCTGCGGTACTGGGTGCCGACGTCAGGGCCCTGACGGTTCATCGTCGTCGCATCGTGCATACGATAGAAGAACTCGAGGAGCTGGCGGTACGTCACGACGGAGGGATCAAAGGAGATCTGGAGAGCTTCGGCATCTGCGGGGCCACACAAGAGAAAGTTAGCAACGTATTCGCGCGTGGCTTGGGAGCTCCTCGTCGAAGATCGGAAAGCTTCGGAATATCACTTACGGCCAGTGTCACCGCTGCACACGGCGCGGTAGGATGGCGAAGAGGTCTGGCCACCACAGTAACCGACCTTTGCATCGAGAAGACCCTTGCCGTTGCCAAAGTGCTTGCGGAACAGGTGCTCGACGCCCCAGAAGCAGCCCGCGGCGACGGTGGCCTTCTCAGTGGTGGTGGACATATTCCGCGCTTGCGACTCAGGGGTCACGGAGAGGATTGGCGAGCTGGTTGAGAAGGGACGGAAGAGGCGAGAGAAGAGGGTTGAGGCAATCGGCGCGGCAAAAGACATCTGCCAGAATAATTTCTGGGTTCGAGTGGGGACGTTGAAGTGGGGGAGAACGGGATACGCTGACGCGATCGATTCTTCTGCACGAGCGGATTGCGAGATCGAGTATTAGAATGCAATTCCAAAGAAATATCGCGAGCTTTCTGGACCGGAGATGGTGGAAGAAAGTAGGAGAATAGTCAGTCCCGATCTGGAAGCTGTCGACCTCGCAGAGTGGCGTCATCCAAGTTTCTGACAAATCGAAGCTCCCCGCATTCTCCAAGCCAAGCCCTAACGCTAACTACGGTTGAGGTAGTTCTTCAGCCCTGAAGAGTCCCTCGATCGCCGATATCTGCTTACAGAGGCACACAATTATAAAGACAACAATGCGTTGGAATGAACCAGATCAATGTCATTAATGTACAAATCAAGAAAAGAATATGTCGAGCGAAAAGAGAAGATACACAAATGAAACATCGACACAAGACCGTAGTAAGTCCCTGGACCCGAATAATGTAGACAACGACAAGAGAGAAATGATCAAGGAGACAAAAACACCGTAGAATCCCCGGAAGGCAAAACAAAAGAGAACAAAAAAAGAAAGGGTGGTATCTAGTACGCCAATGCCAACGCCAGATGCCGAGTTCCGATAGTCCATACAAAGCACAATAGTAACATTAAATCAGATGGTCATTCACCGGAGTCCACTGGATGTGAAATCGGGTGTGTGGTTAACGGTGGGTGCCGCGATAGTGCTGAGGCGCAGTGCGTCCCTGCTAGACAGGCTAGCATGCCGAGGTCGGATTTCACCTCCCAGAGTGGTTCGCCGCCCAGTGTGCTTCATCACCGGAAGAGTGTGGGGGCTGAGGACATTAGGCTTCGCCTCGCCTTCGCGCTCGCTCTTGACCATGCGTCGGGCTTGTGATGCGGTGAACATGGTACCATCGCTGGGAGAACTGCTGTATGTTGCAGAGCTTGGGCTGCGACGGCGATGGATCCGCAGCGAGTTGCTACCGGAGATGCTACCAACGTGACTGCTGGAGATGCGACGCATTGCGGAATTGATCTTCATAGCCTCGTCTTTGTCAGTCTTCCAGTTGTCCTTGCTATCGGACACCGGGCTGCTCGAGAAGTTCCCACTGGGAGAGCGGACGGCAATCCGGGACGGCTTCTCTGACGAAGCACGATTCAAGAAACTGCTTCCCTCAATATCACGTAGGGGAGATTTCTCATTGTCGGAGATAGGAAGGGTAGTAGACGGAGGTGGGCCGAGAGGAGAGCTGCCGGATTTCTTGGACAGGAACCCGGCCTTGAATCGGCTGCCGTTCTTCTGAACGTTCAGGGTTGGTTCAGCCGGCCCTGGAACAGGGGAGATTGAATAGGCTGGGCTGACTTTTCGGGGAATGTTTCGTGGAATGGGTGATACACCCCTGGGGAGAGGCGGTTCAGAGGGTTCTGTCTCAGAGCTGGTATCGTCCGAGGACTCGACAGGAGCTTTCTGAGGAGTCTTCTGGAACTCGGTGAGGGGACCATCCTCCTCGTCATCCTTCCAGCGGACGGATCGCTTGGAAGCCTTGGCCTGCGTCTTCTTGGGTGTAAAGCTGACAGTCTTACGGCCAGCAGCAACCTTGCGACGGCGAGGGGAGCTCTTTGTTGGGGAAGCAGGGGCCACCGGGGCGAGCTGAACGGAAGGAGTAATCGAAAGTCGTGGTGCCGGCATGCCGACCAAGCTGAATCTCTTTCTCGGCTTTGGTGGGCTGGCAGATTTGGCAGGACTCTGCAGATTGAAGCTTGGGACAGTAGGCAGATTGCCGTCGGGCTTGACAAGGTTGGTAACGGCGTCGGTGCAGCCTTCCAACATCTTCATTAGAATGAGACGCCCCTTCTGAATAGCTTCGGTAGCATTGAGTTGCATGATTTCCTCAATGGAGGTCATCGTTTCGAACTGGGCTTGGAGCAGCAATTGCACCGCTGCGGCCTCGCCAGCCTTGTCCTGATCAACCACCGCAGACAATGCCTCACATTCGGCATTGGAGCGCAGAAGCTCGGCTTCTCTGTCTAGGTTTGCGTAGTCGCTGGCGTCGCTGATCTCAAACTCCTGCAGCTGCTTGGTCGCGTTCTCGACTGCAGAGATCATGGCCCGATCCCATGTATTCTTCGACAAGCGTTGGTTGTAATGGTGTCGACTACCCTCGAGCTCGAGAAGAATACCTTGGGCGGTTTTCCGGACGGCATGGAGGTTGGATAAGCCCTCTTGATTCTCATGCGACTCGCAGACACTGTCAAATGCAGCAATCCATGATGAAAGGATACCGATGCGGCGGCTAATTTGTCTTAGCTTGAGCATGTTGTTCGCCTTCTCCTGTCGTTCAGGAAGACTGTGTTCATAGGCACTGCGAATTCGAGCAACACCTTCGCGGACAACAAGGTCCTTCTTTTCAGTTTGCTTCTTGAATTTAGCAAAGGCGACGTTCTCCGAATCCTTTGCTTGTGCCTTGAGCTCGTTGATCAAGTTCATCTGCTCATCGATCTTGACCAGGAAGTCCTTGACGTGGCGGTTGACATTAAACACGTTCCTGGTAACCTTAGTCTGGATGTTCTTGGCTCGGTTGGCATATCGTAGAGTGTTCTGCGTCTCGTCAAAGTGTTGGCTCGAGGGACTGACACAGACGATCATGACAGTCTTGCAGTTTCCGCCTAGGGCAAACTTCAGAAGTCGAGTGAGTTTAGAGTTTCGGTAGGGGATGTGGTTGCGCTTTCGGGGGTCGCAGAGGGCATTGATGCAGCTTCCAAGGGCCAGCAAGGACTTGTTGATGTTGGCACCCTCAAAAAGTCTTTCGCCACGGTTTTTGGTAGCACTAGCTCGCTCACTTCCAGCCAAGTCAATGATACTGAGGGTCGCCATGGTGTGAGGTTCGTTTTGTCCGGCATTTCGATCCTTTTGTGCGATGTTGATTTGGAGGACGGCGTGCGATCGAGACGAAGTGGCATTGGCTTCGGTTGGTGACATAGTGCGGCACTCATTACCTCGAACAATCATATCCATAACCTGTTCCACATTCTGGGGATGGTGACTTGACAGACCTGCCACCGAAACAGACTGGTTGACATCCTCTCGGAGCATGAGACCGCCCTTGGGGTTGCCTGGGACAAGCAAGTCGCGAATGGTTTCGTTATAGATCTCGAGGTAAGAGAGTGAGATCTCCGTTGATTTCTCCCCCGATCTCTCGTCAATCCTCTCGAAGAGCTCCTGCATTGTCATGAAAATGATGCCTGGTTGTTGCGCTGTTCCCGTGATGGTGTGTGTCTTTCCGCAGCCTGTGGCACCGTAGGCGAAAACCGTTGCGTTGTAACCGTCGAGGACACTATCGAGAAGACCACGAGTGGTGGATTCGTAAACCTCTCCCTGAGAGGCATTCTGGTCGAAGATACGATCGAAGGCGAATGTTTGGTCCTTGACGCGTTTGCCATTGGGGACGACGCTTCGGGAGAACTTCTGGACTGGGTTGTCCTCGGGAGGATCAAACACACTGGAGCTAGTTAGTATATCTTGATCTTGATGATGATCCAATGTAGCTTGTTTGTACTCACAGGCACCGGTCGTCAATAACCTTGACAATGGACCGAATTCCCTTCTGGTTCAGCTTGGGGGTTGGGACGCCAGCCAGGGACCCATCACCGAGGAACAGAGGACCATCATCGGTTCTAGAGATTTGGGCCGCCTCACGGATAGTAAAGGGCCTCACGCGGACCGTGACTGTGATCGAAGAGGCGCCTTCGGAGGAGGCCATGATGGAATTCGGGGCGTGTTTATTCCCGCCAAGTCTCGATAATGCGGGGCCGTGGTCGAGGCAGTTGGCGACACCCTGCGGTCGGCAAGGGCAGGTGCTGATGGGCGTCTTTGTCGAATATGTTGAAAGTAACGATGGAAGATGAAGAATGTGTGGAGCTAAAGGTGTATGGGGTACGGGATGCAGTATTCTCCGAGAGTCTCCTGAATGTGATTTGATTTGTTGATGGGGGTGCGTGTTGTCCACTCCTGGTTGCTCCGAGCAACGGTTACAGAGTGGCGATTAGCCTGGAGAGGCCGTGGCAGTTGTTGAGCCGCCACACCTCCACCACCAATCTGACGCCATTGAAGCATGTTTCACCTGTCTGCCACGCCCACTAGTATAATACTACGCACCACCGTGTCTCATCTGTGTGCCAGCTGTGGGGACTCTTTCAGATGATCATTCGAATGACGGCTATGGACGATATGACAGAAGGAGCTTGCCTTATGATATCATCTGGGAGACCCTAGGGCAATCTAGTTGTCTGGGGTATCACTTAATTAGTAGTAGTTTGTAGCCTCCCAGAGAGCAAGCTAGTATGATATCAAAACTCGTTAATGTCGGGTAATTTTCTCAGCAACTGCATAAGATTGCGATACAATTGTATTGTACAATGTATGATGGATGGATTGTAGAGGTCGACATTCCCTTCCTTTTGTTGTTCGTGCTTAATTCATAACCGCCAGTAAACTCCGTGAGAAAGACATGAAGCAAGAAGCCACCCTTGTCCACATGCGCCGGGACCCTCGCAATCCCCAAACGTTCTCAGTAGTATGCAATCCATCATTCGTAAAGTTCGACGCCGACGCAAGTTATTCCTCCTCATCTTCGAAGCTGGGAATAACCACATCCCAGCCAGGATCGTTCAAGTCAACATCTGCATCGACCTCGTCGCTTCCTTGAACATCACCCGGGCTGCGGAAACGGAATGCAACTAGATGGCCATTGTCGAGACCTGCAGCTAGCAAAGTGCCGGAAGAGGCTCTCTTTCCCGCAGTTGTCTTCGTTGCATCTTCTCCATCCGTCGGTAGGAGTCTCCATCCTTTCTCAAGATCACTTCGGTCCACGGGTACGCCAAACTCGATGAGTGCCGAGTCAGAAGGAACAGGCTCTCCGTTTATTTCAGTCATGTTGCGCGATCGGAAAGCTTCGAGTAGCTTCTCTTTAACGGCCGTGAGGGGTTCATGTGGTTGGAGGGAGAGGAGGACGGTGCTCTTATGCTTCTTGAAGAGGAGGGTCGTTGCCCGCGAGTCGGGCTTTGCTTGTTTGGGGGGCTGAACACCAAAAGTCAATAAGAAAGGAGGCAATCCAAACAATTCAAACGTTTTCACATACCATTTTGCAGGGTTGTGGATAGGACTTGGTGAAGTTGCTTGTCAGGGCGAAGGTCGCTCTGATAGAGGTGAGCAAGGCGGAGAGTCGGGGCGGGACCAGGCCGCGCTCCGATTTTCTGGCGCGGCGTTCACCTCCATTGACACCGGCCGATGCTCAAAGTGCTTCCACTCTGGCACACATCCCTCCAGAATGGATAACCAACAATCAAAGAATGACTCCGCCAGGGAGTCTTCGCTCCTGTTGAAGCTTCTCTATTGGCACAAGCTCTTCGAATCGGATACTCCTCCTCGGCTCGGCATCGATGTCGACCGACGCATACCCTACGCTTTCATGTCCGCATTCACAACTGGAATGGCCCTGGGATACTATCACGGAAGCAAGAAAGCTGGCCTCGTGTTCCGCGCCGAAAATGCCCATCGGTTCCCAACGACTTCGTCCGGATGGTTCCAATACCACAAGACCAAGAACTACATCTCAGTGGTGGGCGGAGTGAAGGATGGGTTTAAGATGGGATCGAAGCTAGGAGCTGGTGCACTTGCATTCTGCTTCTTTGAAGAGACGGTGGACTATGCTCGACATGACGAGCGGGACTTTTTGTCAACCGTCACGGCCGGATTGTCCTGCTCGGGAATCTACAGTCTGCTAGGTAAGGCCTGTCCCGATCCTCCGTTTCTGGACTAAATAACTAATATGATCCTCTTCTCACCAGCCCGCCACGATGTCTACACAGCTGCGCGAACTGCCAAGCTTGGCTTGAAGATGAGCTTAGTCTACGGGCTGTTGCAAGACACCTTGGAAACCATGAAGGGCAATCGCCCGGCCTATATCGGTTTCATCACGGGAAATCGACGATCCAAGCATGCCAACGAGGGCTCGATCTGATATGAACTCGTTCATGCTTGCATTCATTTGCTTCCTCCATTCGGGCTGTGACTGGTCAGCCTAGTCAATTATGAGTCCGAGGGCCTTAATGGCCTCAAGAGTCTGCCACATTTGGAGGTATCCCACCATTCCTCGGAATCGAGTTGAATTGTAGCGGCCTACAATCCAGAGCAAGCAGATATCTATCGCATGAGCGGTGTACACATGTCCACTTTCGGGGTTCCCCCCGAGGGCCCAGACTGCCGAACTGGGCCATGACATCCCCAACCAAGTTTCACCTGAGGTCTGCTGGTCAATTGGCGCCGCCGGATGGCACGGATGAACGAATTGGACATAGGAGCTCCGGAAAGTAGCCGATAAAGCTCTTGATCTCTCTGTTTCTGGCTCCTGTTCTGGGAGATGTGATGTGGGCGCCAGTTCATACACCTCAGGCTGCACACTGTACTATTTGATGTTATATCCGCATTTTTGATACCCCGCTGTACCATTATATATGAAAGCCTCTACTCGCTCCTTTCCACCACAATACCACACCATCTGGCCATCCTTCAATTGGCCATGGCTTCTCAGGCTGACCGCGCGACCTATTGTAGTCTCTTCGGGCACGTGATGATATACGCCCAGGAATCCAGCGGCCACAAAGGAAATGGCGATACTAGATGAGTAAGTACAGTAGTATTTCAAGTCCATCTACTACCAAAACTATGGCGCAGAAGATCGCGACCGTTAAATAATTGCTACGGTCTACAGGGGAGTGTGGACTGGAGAGAGTCCGTGGGTTGACACGGTCACAGCGCCCTCGCCCGCATTGGGATCGGCGTATGAGTGCGAATTCCCTGGGCTCTTGGGCCTGCTGTCCGGGCAAAAGTAGTTACATCTCATGTCAAACTCTTCAGAGCTCGTGACCAGTTACTCATTTCATAGTCATAATCATCCGTACTCTCGTAAAAAATTATTCTCTTTGAGAACCGACTCTCGGACCAATAAATCGGCTTCTGCAGCCACAAAAAAAGAAAGAAAAAAAAATGCGACGATCCGATTGATGATTGACCGCTTTGTGCCGCCCCCACCAGCAATGCGAACATCCAGACGAAGGGGATGGAGGAACAGTGGAATGTCCTGATGAGAGAAATTGAAGCTTTGGCGAAATAGCAGAAGTGGAGCTCAGGCAGAGGAGCTTTGGCGGGTTCTCTCATAGAGTTTCCGAAGGTTGCCAGAAGATCGGTGGAGCTCAACCGCATTTGACGTCGCTGAGTCGACTCCTTCCACCCCACCTTCACACCTGAAGGGACTCTCTTCCCGTGAGCTTTGACATCCTCACTTCCTTTGACCCCTCCAGCTCCTCCCCCCATCTTCGTCCCCTGCAGATGTTGCTCTGCTAGCGTCGCGAATCTACCCATTGGGTGTGGAAGAATGCCCACGGGAAGCTCGACTTTGGTGCTGCTTTCGTCGACGTCATCGTTCTATTGATGCTCCCACGCCTTTATACCTGCGATCTTGCCGACAAATCTTTCTATCCCGATCCTCCTCCGTTCTGCTTGAGATCATGCGTCGCCATGGCAGGGCCAGCGGAGGCCCGACCAAGGCCGTCTCGCCCTTGTCTGATACAGTGTCGCTCATCCATTCCTTCGATTCCGTCCTCAACCCCAACCGACCCGCACGACCCTCGCCATTAGCCTCCTCCCATATAAAAGCATTGCCGCTCGAACTCATCGACCGTCTGCGCTCATTTCCCCTGTTCCAGGCCACGCCCGAATCCTTCTTGATCGAGGTCGGCCAGCACCTGCGACCGCAGCTTCATGCCCCCAACGACTATATCCTGACAGAAGGCGACGATGCCAAGGCAATATATTGGTTGGTGCGGGGCGCCGTCTCGGTCACATCACGCGATGGCGAGAGTATATATGCTGAACTCAACCCTGGGGCGTTCTTCGGAGAAATCGGCGTGCTGATGGATCGGCCACGCACAGCGACGATCATCGCTCGTACGAGATGCATGCTGGTCGTGCTCACAAAAGAAGATTTTCGAAATATCTTGCCACGTTTCCCAGAAGTGGAGCGGGCAATCAGAGAAGAAGCGCAAGAGCGTTTAATGATCTTGGAGAAGAAGAAAAAAGAAACTTCGGCTCCTGTCGTGGATGAGCCCAGCCCCAGTCCGGTGCGAAGGGGTTCCAAGCGCTTGAGAGAGAGCTTTTCCAAAGACTTGGCTGTGGCCGAGGAGGACTTCACTGTCAACTCGATCCACAAGAAACGAAAGTCCCCGAGCCCAGGGCGTCGAGACCCTTCGAGCGCGCTGGCCAATGGTTTGGTGAATGTTCGTCTGTTGCTCAAAGAGCTTCCGCTGTTCAATGGATTGCCAGCCGACATCCTCCACTTCCTGGGACTCAACGCTCAGCCAAGCTCCTTCCCACCATTCACCGATATTATCAAGCAAGATTCTCAAGGCCGAGAACTGTATTTTATTGTACGTGGTGAGGTTGAAGTTGTCACTGAAAGAAATGGACACAGTCGTGCGCACCACGGCCAACAAAATGGCATTGATCGCGCCGAGGTCGAGATCAAGGCTCGACTGAGGCAAGGCCAATATTTCGGAGAAGTGGTTAGTCTGTCACTGGCGCCGCGTAGGACCGCTACTGTTCGATCCGTTACGTCGGTCGAGTGCCTCATGCTGAGCGGGGAGGTGCTTTCAAAATTCTGGGAAATGTGCCCCCATGATATTCGCGAGCAAGTTGAGCGTACTGCACAAGAGAGACTCCAAGCTGCCGCAGACGGCGATGTGATCATGTCGGACGCAACGGACGAACAGTCTCCCCTAGGTGACCTTGATATGGATGAACGTGTCAGCATAAGGGCTGCTCGGAGACGCTCAATGCCATTGTTGACATTGACTGAGACCGAGCTGGACGGGCCACATCAATCCTCACCCGTCAAGGACCAGGAAGAAGCTGTCCTGAGACCTTCAGACCCTGACCCCTACCTCAGCCTGGGATTGGACAAGGTTCGGCTTCGAAGCCGGCGCGGCTCGTTGGCGCCATTGACTCCGGAAGAACTTACTGGAGAGCAACAGCGTCCATCCCCCACCGAATCTCGTTCTGTAGGCTCCTCGTCTGATCTTGCTCTTCCTGAGACCGTTGGTCTCTCAAAACCCCACCAGAAACCACGTCCACTTGGTGATGCTCAACACGGTATCTTCCCTGACAGCGTACTGTTGAACATCTTCCAATTCATGGAGCTTCACGAACTTATTCGGCTCCGTGGTGTCTCCTCTCATTGGTCTGAGATCTTGAACACATCAAACGAGATTGTCCGTGACTTGGACCTCAGCATATACAATCGCTGCGTGACGGACGACGTGCTTTTGAAGGTCATCTGCCCATTCGTCGGTAATAGACCTCGGTCTGTCAACATCAACAACTGCTTCCATATCACCGATGAGGGTTTCAATGCGCTAGTAAAAACTTGCGCACCCACGTCGACCACGTGGAGAATGAAGAGTGTCTGGGATGTTACCGCATCTGCGATCCTCGAGATGTCTAGCAAAGCTGTTAGTCTCGAAGAAGTGGAGCTTAGCAATTGCCGCAAAGTGGGAGACACACTCATGGCGCGGATCCTTGGATGGGTCGTTCACGGGAATCAGAAGCCTGAGGGGAAAACATCCTCTATCAAGCCGACTCTCCAAACAGCTGACGGCACGGTATATGGCTGTCCCAAGCTGAAAAAGCTCACCCTTTCCTACTGCAAACACGTCACGGATCGGTCAATGCACCACATTGCCTCTCATGCTGCTAGCCGCATCGAAGAGATGGACTTGACACGTTGCACTACCATCACAGACCAAGGGTTCCAGTATTGGGGCAATGCACGATTCACCAATTTGCGCAGACTCTGTTTGGCGGACTGCACATACCTGACTGACAATGCTATTGTTCATCTGACAAATGCTGCCAAGCAGCTGCAAAAGTTGGATCTGGTAAGCTCATCAACTTTCAAGCTTACTATACCCATTTCCACTAATCATTACTCCATAGTCCTTCTGCTGCGCTCTCTCCGATACGGCCACCGAAGTCCTTGCTCTCCAATGTTCCCAACTACAATACCTCAACATGTCATTCTGTGGCTCGGCTATTTCTGATCCGTCTCTGCGAAGCATTGGTCTTCACCTCCTGTCCCTCAAACACCTGTCAGTGCGTGGTTGTGTCCGTGTTACTGGAGTTGGTGTCGAGGCTGTCGCAGAGGGCTGCCATCAACTACAATCCTTTGACGTGAGCCAGTGCAAAAACCTGATGCCATGGTTTGAAGATAACGGGCCCATGCGGTACCAACCACGGATCGAGTTTGAGACTGTGGCTTCCAATGGGCGGAACTTTAGGTGACCCGAGCACTTGCCGTTGCTGAGTGTCTTTGGTCTCAATCAGCGCCCATATCACGGGTCCCTATGGCCCAAGCTCTCAACCTTGATATAACACGCCTACGGCAGTGCATACTTTTCTCGTTCCTACCCTCCCCGCCGCTATTCAAACTGTTATAGCCGACTACATTCTGTATGCACTTTTTTTCGCTACTTTCAAGTTCTGTTCCCAAGTCTACCCGTATCATCATTCAGTTCATCTGTTTTTACCACCGTCGAACAAGCAACAACTGCTTCTCATACCGTGGGAGTTCGGGGGCTTTTAGGGTTACTTTCATTCTTTTGTTGTCTTTGCCCCGTATAGATTGGGCTTCTGACGCGTTTCTGGAATTGGGATTTGGGGGTCACAGATTTCTCTGGTTCTAGGGGCTGGTCGAGCATGGCAGGAGTTCTAAGACTGACAGCATCCTTTCGCGTGGTGAGGTTTGATATTGATTAATTTTTGATGGTCTGCGCCTGCAATTTCGTCTTACTCTGTTACCATCTACTTACGAGATAATGTTTTGCCCTCGTTCATCGTTTTGTTTGGTCTCTGTGGTCTTTTTTGGTTGGGTTCGTGGTGTCACTGTACTCTAATTATCTTGGTACTGTTTACTCAAATTTCCATGTCTTTAAATACTGTGCAGTCATCTTTCTGTGGTTTATTGTTGCCCGTTAGCTTTATATGAATAGCCTGTCAACTGGTTGTTCTTCCTTTGGATTTTCCATTGCATCCTTTATACAATCTTTGAACAAGGCATTCTCTAACAACGCCTGGATCGTTGAAAGGGCTGAAAGGCTTTGTATATAAGACCGTGACAAAACATCTGCCCATATAGGTATTCTCTAGGCCTCAATATCAAGGGCTTGAGCGATGTGAGAGCCTCTCTAAGCTCCGGACTCTGGATGGTATGCCCGTTAAAGATGTCCGGGGCCTATAATGCCATTGTGGCGTATTCCTACAAAAAGGCAGTATGCCAGTTGGAAAGCATAGGTAACAAAAGAGCTCAAAAAGTGTCTGTCTGGTATGCACTATTATATTAAGGGGGGCTATGGGTGAGTCGGCATACAACGAATGTTCTTGAATGGACACGTACTAGCAACATATGGGAACGACTGCCCTTCTTCATCAAGTCTTGTTTGCTTGCTTGGAAGCTATAACTTCCCTCTTCTCCCCTTCTCAACTCTCACCCTTAACCTCTCGGCCTTCATCAAACACTTCCATCTTCCCGGGAAAGTTCCGCCTCCCACTCAGTTGTCAACAACATAGTACGTCAAGGTGAGTACACTTCATCCCGTATCTGATATCTCAACGGGCCTACGTCGAGGTATTCAAAGGGTATCCTTACCATTTCACTCCTCCAATACCTGCAAGTTAACATCGGCTTCTCACACACCTACTGTTCATCCAGCTTCTCCGTATCTACGAACAATGAGTGATCGAAATCCATTCCATGGGGGCGGCAATGAAGCCATGCCCTGGGCATTGGGCTTCGGCCTCGACAGCTCCCAACACAACGACTGCCCAGACATGAATACCGACTTCTTCTCGGATCTGATCAACCCCGACGGACTGGCGAACACTCATCATACCCATTTACCTATCGACCCATCTGCGGAACCATCGTCCTATGTCTCGCCGAACCGCGACCCAGAGGCATCCACAACTACCACGACTCCGAACAGCATCCAGGATACCGAACACGCGCTTCCAAGCGGTGTTTTTGAGCCGGAGCGTGATGAGATCAAGCATACTCCGGCCACAGAGAGCACCAATGGGGATGTGGGTGAGCAAAAGCCCCGCGAGAAGAAGCGCCGTCGAAGTCGGAACTCGCCAGAACCCGATTACTCCCAGATAATCCTGGAACTCAACAAGAAGCGGAAACGCACTGGACAGGCCTGTGATCGGTGCAGGGTATGTTGATATATTAATACCTTGTTTATGGCGTGTCGTACTCACTACAGTGCCTCGCGGATACGCTAACTACTCTGTTTTCCTGTAGGTGCGCCGATACAGGTGCGACCCAAGCCGCAATGGATGTGTCAATTGCCGAGTCGCTGGCCGGATGTGTGAAGTGACCGACTGCGTCACTGGAGAGACCTATGTCCGCGGTGCTGCTGGCCGAATGGCGGCCGAGGTTGACAGACTGAAGGCCCGCATTGCTGAATTGGAGCGCGAGAACGATGATCTCCAACGCAACACCAAGCCCTACTATGGCTACAGACCTCCCAATGCTCTCCCGGGCACTACATTTGCATCTGCCGCCATTCTGCACCGACAGCAACAGCAGCGGCAATATCAAGGCAACTTGCAAGAGCAGCAAATCAACCGTCATCGGATTGAGAATACTAAGCTGCTGAAACGGGTTGCTATCCTCAAGGGAAACCCCGAGACTCTCCAGAAGCAAATTAAAGAATAGGAGGAACTTCTCGGACCGACAGAGGTATGTCCCAGAAGTCTCTTATCTGGCCACGGAAGTTGTACTAAGAAAAAACCAGAGGACATGACCCCTTTACAACAAGAAGTTCACCCACGCCCGTTAGGTTCGTCCAGCACGCTGAGCCATTGGCCCAATCTGGTTTGTATTTCTTTCATCACTGTTAGAACATATATCATCTGTCTAATCACTGTCCTTTTGGACATTCTTCAATAGGTCTTTACCTTCCGGTCATCTATGTCTCTTCTTCAAATTTAGCCGATCCAGTTCTTCATCAAGTTGCGTGCCCGATGTCTGCAGGTGATACCATTCGCCAGTCCCACGCCATTTCCTCTTCTCTGCCTACTCCCCCGAGTGGGCCAGCCCACTGATTCATTCCGGTTCCATTGGTCAACCCAGGCTCTCTTCAGTGTTTTCTTCGTTCTTGAAAATCATTGAACTATCTAGTGGCACCGTAACCCATGGTTCTCCAGAAGGAGACAACAGAGGTGGAAATTGAGCCAGACAGCTTACCAGATGATGTTACTTAAATAATCGAAATTTTTGACACTCTCGCCGTCGCGCCTATCCTAGTGGTAACCCTGTATTATATAACTTGTATCAACACTCTCTTCCTTGTTCAGTTCGCAATCCACATACGTGCAAATAAATGGGGTTCAAAATAAGCACATCCATCCATGATGTTTGATTTATCTTAGCTACTCGTGGGACTGACAACGTAGGATACCTCTTATGACCTCTTCTCAACTCCCATCCTCTCCCCATCTCCTTTTCACGAACTCTCTGTCTTGCGGAAAATCCCCTTTCACTCGCCTAGACACCCCTACAGCATATCTATCAGTAAGTTTGAGTTCATGCTCCACTACTAAATCCACAAATATCAGAGATAGCTGAGAGATCCTCTTCCTACGTCTCTCATTAAGTTCCTCTGAGCTGACATTGACCTTCCTCTGGTCTAGCCGTCAATCTCCCGCCTCATACCGCAAAGAAAAGATGGGGGACCTTGACCCATTCGAGGGAGATGTGAGCATGTTCGCCGATCTCATCGCCTTCAATGGAGTTCAGGACGCCCATCAAGGCAGTTCACTGTTCGACCCTGCCACTACCTTGCCGACAGAAACCTCCTCCAATCCATATCAGGTCGCCGCGAAGGACTCAAATGACGGCCAGCTTGCAACAGCCCCCAACCCCACATCCTTGCCCGCCGATAACATCCAGTCCAACCCGGCACCAGAGAGTACAGCTGGCGATGATGGTGGTCAATCGAAGAAAAGGCGCCGGAGCCGAAATTCGCCTGAGCCAGATTACTCAGAAATGATCGTCCAGATCAACAAGAAGCGCAAGCGAACCGGACAGGCCTGTGACCGGTGTAAGGTATGTTATTTACTGCACTGATGCTTCAGGCCTCTATCTTGATATATCGTACCTAGCAGATGCGCTAACGATCTAAATGCAATGCAGATCCGGCAGTTCAAGTGTGACCCAGGCCGTGCCGGCTGTGGAAGCTGTCTTAACGCCGGGCTCGATTGTAAGTTGACGGATTCTGTTACGGGAGAAACTTACGTTCGTGGTGCTTCCGGTCGAATGACCGCTGAGATTGAGGGGCTGAGGGGCCATTTTGCGGCTCTACAACAGGAAAACAACGATCTCAAGCGAGCGAATGAGCCACGACTGGACCTACGCGCCACGAATCATCTCCCTACTCCCGACTTCCTAGTAGCCATGACCAGCATGCAGAATCAGCATCTGGTGTAGCAACAGCAAATTGTTGCTCTGCAACAAGCTAACGACAAGCTGCGACAGAAGAATCGAATGCTCCGCGAGGATATACGTGCGCTTAACACACTGGTCGAGGAACAGGAAGAGTTGCTCCGTCTGACGGAAGTAGGTACCTTGTACATTCTGCTTCCCTGGAAGTGCTCGCTAACAAGTTTGAAAAGGACGTGCTATTGGTCGACAAGAAGGTTAATCAGATGCTCTAGTCTGCGCAGACCTCCCTACCCTCGACCAAGCTAGGTCTTGACCACGGTCTACGATCGATGTTCCTATGTTATGAGGTGCTTGAATTGTTTCTATCGGCGCGAATACCCGGTCTCAGTGCTATTCTCAATTGTCTCTCCTTGCGTGCTTCTCTGGTTGAGCAAGTTGTTTCTTCACACGGCTTCATTCACAGGCATAGATCTCCTTGTGCATACTCTTAGTAATTCGACGCCAATTGAGCCTTTGTACCACACATTGTTTCATAAAACGTCAGTAGAAGATATTGGACACGGATATCTTGTAAGGTACTGTGTCCCTCCTTTTGCTGTACCCTAGGTCTACACCCACCTCTGATGATTTGTATAAAAGCTAGCTCTGTGCGATGGCCCTATTCATGTAGCAGCTTAGCCATTTGAAAACGGAGAAGACATAGAATAAGTGGCTTCATGCTGAGTGAGTGCCCGGAATTCATTTTCTCTAGCCTCACGGAAGAACCGTAAGGAAAGCAAGTGCCTCTATCGTCTGTTCGAATGATCCCCGATCGCCAACAATATATGAGAGCTCTTCTCCTTGGTTTACACTTACCTCGTCGTCTTCCCTGACGCCTTCAACCATTCGAAGGGTTTCTTTTGCTTCCCACCTCTCTCTTCATCTTCCTGTTGCATCCATCCTGATTTCTTTAACAAGCTTCATCTGGATTTACGTTCCACATCCCTGAATATTCGAGAACAACCTCGATCCTGTGGGTGCCTCTCATGTCTGTTCCTACCATCAGTGTTATCAAAGTGCTTGAACCTTCACGCCTCTAGGTTGATGTCTCTTAAATACTTCTGAGATTAACGTATCTTCTGACTTCACTCTAGATCTTCACCCCCACACTCCGTCGTCATGGAAGATAAAAACAACTTCCGTGGTAATAAGGGCATCAGGCCTGGGACACAGCCCTCCTCTACCCCTATGCCTTTCCCACCATCTTCCATGGGAAGCTTTGCTGGATGGTACCACGCTTCGAGTCATTCTATTACCTATTTCGATCCTTACAACACCCCTAGCCAATTTTCAACACAATCTACCTCGCCCTTCTCCCCCGTCTGTCCCTCATGTTCTGCTACTGGTCTCCTCGATGCTAGCCCGGATTCAGGTGATCAAGTTGTTCCAAACAAAACACTGAAGAGTCACAGCGCCGCTCTATCCCCTTCGACTATCAGCAATATGTCGCCCACTACAAAGGTGGAGGGTCCCAGCTCGCCGGGAGAGGGTGATGCTCTAGCTAGCGGAAACGCAAAGCGTCGACGCCGCTGGTCTCCAGAACCCGATTACTCGGAGCAAATTCGAGAGCGGAATAAGAAGCGTAAGAGAACAGGCCAAGCCTGTGACCGCTGCCGAGTACGTATCTTCATTTATTCTATCACTCTTATCATAATCTCCTTCCCTTGCTTCTTACCTCGCTCTCACATACAACTAACAACTTTTTGCGTTTGCATAATACAGATCCGCCGGTCTGCATGCGATCCGAACCCTAAGGGGTGCGGTAACTGCTCGGACGCGGGCTTGGAATGCAAAGTGACTGATAGCGTCACTGGAGAGACTATCGTTCGAGGGGCTACTGGGAGAATGATTGCAGAGATTGAAACTCTGAAGGCGCGAGTCGCAGCCTTAGAGAATGAGAATGCGCAGCTCCGCACCATTCATTTCTTGTCTTGAGTTGGCTACCGCCAAAATTTCTACTGAGCCCAGAGAAACAAGCATATATCTGTTTTTAACAAAGCACTGAGCTAGTGCAGTCTCGCATAAGTAATCCACGTTCTTAAGGCTGATGGGAAACTCACGAGTAGACCTCATCTCGTGCATCACACTAGTCATATTCAAGTCATGTCGCTTTCTATGGCTTGACTCTGATCTCTTGGTCATGAATGATATGCACTGCCGAGCAATGAAAACTACAGTACACTTCATGTTCCTTATGGTTATTGTCTTCACTAGAACCCCCCTAGATTCCTAGGTGGCTGCTTTATCGTTTCCGGTCTTGGAGATGACGCCGCGCAAGTTCATAGCTCACTTTATCTCATTAAGCCATATTGACTATTTGTCTACATCCCTTTCATGATAACCTGAATCTTCCGTGGTTCTTTCCCGTGCAAATGGGAATTTCCGGCATAAATACTCATATCTGTTATGAATGAAACACATTTTCCAAAAATATGAACTTCTCCAGCCCATGATCATCATACGATTCCAGGCCAACTTTCGGGGTATACATTACTATTATTTTAGAGGTGTCAGCTTATACCACTACTTCTTGATATTTATAATCTTTGAGCTGCTCTATATTCTCTCGCTTCCTCAGCATCAGATGCGCTCACTATCTTAAGCACACATAACTCTTCAACTGGCCTTTTGATCTGCTAGATCCTCGATAAGTGATTACGGCCTGGAAAACGATAGTCGAGTCATGGTCACAAGAAGAGGCTAACTCTGGTGTGTCACCGAAGGACAAAATATTGTCTACTCCGCTTACCGACCTTCTCTAGGCCTTCGTGTTTCGGGGTTCTAAGGTTGTTCCTAGACCAAATTATCAGCGTGCAGCTAGAGGACACTAAACTGCGTTAACAAGCTACTATCTTCTGAGGGAACAACCAGATCTCACGAAGGGGGGTCAAATCTCAAAATTCCACCCACACTCACAGATTCCTGTACCATGATATGCCTCTTTTAACGCCGAGTACTATTGAGCGGTCTCTGTAGGTGCGCCACCACCCCAGGCTAACCCAGCCCCGGCCCAGCTGGGATAAGTCTACAATCTGTAGGCTTGCCTCCCCTCCGCAACATTTGGATCTTATACTTTGGGTCTTCTTCTAACTAGTACGACTTTTGCAACTTCTAGGCAGCTCCATACTTGTGGCAAATTGAGGCATGTTGTCAACGGTGATCTCTTCTACCCAGTTCGAGACGACGATGAGTGATCATAATCCGGGAATTTGAGGTAGAGGCGAACGTATGCACCCGGCTCATTACGTTTGATGGGCTGCAAACCACGTATAGAGGATGTCTCTCGTTCATCTCTGCAGGTGCCTCACCCATCGATCCTCTGGCGATCGATCCTGTTGAAGTCAACGTACACCACAGAGACTCGGCCACACTGGGTCTACTCGGGCCGGAAGGTTTCAACGGAGATTGCATCGCCCCTTCGCTGCATGGGAAGAAGCTTTGTCGATGGCATATCTCGCCTGAGCCAGATTACTCCTAGATAATCGTGGGAACTAAACAAGAAGCGTCATACACAAACTCATTAGGTCGCTCATACTTTTTGAATGGATAGATCTTTTGTCTACGTTATCTCAATCAAGATAACATATCATAGGTCCTTTGGCGCGACTCTAAAGCGAACTTGGGTTGGCTCGCTAACTTATTTTGTAGCTTCTTCATCACTGTTTCGCAGAACTACATATTGATCTGTGCTTATTATACGGATGTGCCCAGTTTTTCAGTGCCTTCTCTGTACACTATTTCACTGCTCAAAGGACAACGAGTGAAAACTTTACTCCCACAACTTAGTTCAGTTGTCTTCATAGAATAAAATCGTTTATTTCGTAAACCCCGGGTATCTCCAACTAATACAATTCCACCATCTAAGCCCGGAAGTAGTATTAACAGAATAATATGACTTTACATTACCAGCTTGCATTCTTCTTCCAGCAGCAACAGATCCCCTTGCCCTCGCACCAGTCTCTCACAACCGCAGTGCCAACCTCACGATCCTCACCAATGAGACCGAGCCCTTCGACATTCAACCAAGACGTGAAGTCTTCAAGGACGATGGGGTCGTACATGAGAATCTTCTCATGCCAGGTTGGCCGACTTCGGCTGCTGGGGGCCAAGAGCTGGGGCTGAGCGCGAACCGCCTTGGTGATCTGGATGGATATGTCCAGCAAGCTAGTGCACTCGGGGGTTGACAATTCATCTTTCTTGGAGGCTGCGCCAGATGACGATGGTTTTTTACTGCGTGAAGTCTTCGAGGCAGTTGCTTTGCGTTTGGTGGGGGTTTGCGGCCGGTCTTTGGTCATGATTTCCAACGAGGGGACTTGACCTGAAGTAGTGGCGTTGGAGAAGATTTCGGTATAGTGATTTTGTACCTGGCTCGGGGATAGAAAAACCTCATCCTCCGAGTCTTGTATTTCTTCAATATCTATGTATGAAGAGGGTGGGGGGCGTCCAACTTTTGGCGAGGATTGCTGGTTCCTTTTTGGGCTGGTTATCATGATAGTCTCCCTTCGTGTGACAGCATCCGTTGAGGTGGATGTGGACATGGACGCAGCCTTTTTAGGTTTCGTCTTTCCCTTGGACTTGGCCTTGGGATTCGTTGTGGTTTTAGAAGGCGCAACGGTTGCAATCTCAGCATGTGATACTAATTGGGGTTGAGAAGAGACATCCACAGTTTGGCTAGCCTTGCCATGCTTGGACTCCCAGCACTTCTGAAGCAGGTCGATCATCTTCTTCCGTCCTTTTACAGACTTGAAACCGTATGCAGCAACCTGCCTTGAAAGCTCGGCATCTGTGAATCCACTATACTGTGGCATAGAGGCCGGTTGCGAAGCATCCGTCGCTTGCTGACTTTTAGCTGCTGTCAGCTGGACATCTTGCACAGGTGATGCAAGCACGGCAGTGGTTGGAGAATTGGAGTCGGCTGGTGGCTCCAAGGGTTTCGTTGATGACGAAAGTTTGCCTCGTGAAGTATCAGCCTTCTCATTGTCAAGTTCCAACCACTCATCATCGGAGAGGTCTAGTCTTGAGGTTGTTTTAGGCGCATCCTTCTTCTTGTAGACATGGGATGGCTCTGTCAGATCAATGTTGTCCACAGTTTCGGCCTGAACCAAGGACCCTGCTGCGTCTCGGCCAGCAACGCTCCATAAGTTTCTGTCGCCAGTAAATCGAGACATGGAACTTGATGTGGATTGGCTTCTTGCAGTTTGCTCAAGGACTGACGAAGAGCTGAGACCTCGTTCCCCAAAGGCCAAGTTTTCCGATGCCCGGATAGCCCGCTGTATTTCTCGTAACGTCTCCGGTGAATCGTCTCTTTCAAGCTGGCTACAAGTACCGAAGACAACATCCTGCTGGTCCAAAGCCTTAAAAGCTGCATCTGGAGAAAGCACAATCAATTCCGGGTCATTGCCGGTTGTTTTGGTTTTGCTCACTCGGGGCTTTGATTTAGTGATGTATTGCGTGATGTCGTCTGCCGAAAGATCTTCCTCTACATCGTTCGATGTATACTGAGCAGTCATCCGAGCTGTCAGGGTCGTGAACCGCTTCTGGGTTTTTGGTTTCCGTTTTGGCTGTCGTCCAGATGATGATGACGTATCTCCTTGGTCAAGGGTGTCCTCTTTTGAATTGCGGTTGTGCAGGGGTTGACATTGAGGGTCCACGAGCTCGATTCTCCTTCGTTTTGTTGGACCTCCTTCATTTGCACTGACTTCTCGGGCATCCGAGCCGGATGTGGAGTAGTTGTAATCTGTGAGGATACTCCCAAATCCACCTTTCGCGCTGAATTCGCGGCTCTCCTTAGGACTCGTCCCGTTATCCATCGTGTCGACTGGCTGCGGAGACGTCTCTCTGGGTGGTGTCCAGTCCCGACGTCTTGTCATAGCTTCGTCCAGATGCAAAACCTCATCTTTGCCCAGCGAATTAGACGGTTTCTTTGGTTCAGATGTGTCTGTTAGATCGACAGGAGTATTTTGCACCGTCGCCGTCTTCTGACCAGTCTTCGTTTGAGGATCGTTACTCTTGCTCGCCTTGGTAACCTTGCCAGCCAGTTTCAAATTTCCCGTCTCTTTCTTGGCTCTCGGCTTTGCGCGACCTTTCTGAGACACCGCGGTCTTCTTCGCAACGGTTTTGTCGGAATCAAGGGATTGGGGCTCTAAGTCTTCCACAACGTCGTGCGTCGGCTCATTGGTAACCTTCCTCGCCTTCTGTCGCGTTTTTTTCGGAATATCCTTCTCTTTGGACTCCGAAGGAGCGGTCGTTTTCGTTGCGGGGCGTTTCTTCTTGGACGCGTCGTCCTTCCTTGTGGGTACGTCGAAGAACCGAGAGCGCGATGGGGGTAGGAACGGCTCCGATGGAGATGGGGTAGAAGGTGTCTTCGTGGCTTCTGGTAGTATCCTAGACTCTCTCACGGTGTTGCTGGCGAGTCTTGTCGGAATACACGGCGAAGTACTCGGAGACGAGGACAAGATAATCACGTCCGCAAAGCTCGTCATTGTGGCGAGCGGCGCGTTTTGCTGCCGAGTGGTTGTGTTTGTGGCGTTGCAGGCTAGATCTCCTCATAGCCAGTCGTCTTCAATGAATCCAATCACTTCTGATTGGAATTTGACGGCTGGAAGCCCGCGCCGTGGGCGTTGCTTAGTTCTGGAAGGTCGCGACAAGGTCTACTTGGAGGGATGACGATCGGGTCTTGGCAAAGTTGCAGGATTGCCCTTTTGGGCCGAGGAAAACAGTCTGGCCCAGCAACGCATACCACATGTAGATTTTCAGACCACTACAATTGAAATAAGGGGAAGCATATAGATTGACTAAAAAATATCAACAGCAATTAGATATTGAGAAACCGTGGTCAGGATTGACGTGGCTGGCTCAATCTTTTGAATGCATGTGATTGTCTCGGTTCCACCTAGTATGTTAGGTAGACAGGTCTATTTTTGAATAAGGTCACTACTCTCTGAGGGAAAATATGCATTCTCGTTCTAACGTGAACTTCATAATGTCATTATTTTTGCGATTTAGCTATCATAGAGCATGATCCATTTTGCAAGACCAAGCTCCTTTGAGGGCAGTCCATCCTTTGTTCTTCCCAGATTATTGTCTGGTCACATGGAATCCTCAGGTCACTGTACGATGTGCTCCCACGAGTGATATTGCTGTATATGGAGGCCATCCATAATCCACAATATGTGACGGTATCAACAGACATTGTGCCCAAATAATACGTCACTCGTGGGCAAGGGATCGATAGACGGCGAGATTCATAGCCATACGAAAGGCAAAGGATGGACGACAAGTCATGACCACCGCTGATACCTTTATCTCACACCTTGTTGGCCAATTTCAAGGTGAGACCGGTCGATTGGTCTCCATCAATCCTATCATGATCCCCGGAGAGCAATGGCTCCCAGCATTGAAAGCTCCAATCGTCTTTTGGCGTCGTCAGGTTGACTAGCATCTGGCTTGGCCGCTGGAGAAGGCAAGGCACCGAGCTTGTAAAGCTTTTTAATCTTGCTGATGTCGGAGATCTCAGACAATGTCAGGTCGTCGAAAGGTACGGATGTTCCTTCGACGGAACTTTCTAGATGTGCGGCAACGGAGTCATGTGTTATCTCCGGGGTCACGGAGACTTTAACAATCAACAAGTCCTTGGTGGAGTCGGCAATGCCGAGCTTGCGGAAGGACTCAGCAATCTAAGCTAGTTAGCTTTGGTCAATTGTGGCGCAGTTTTAAGAGTCACCATACATTGTTGGTCGGGTTGAAGGAGAACACAATCTCCGAGTGCACATTGTGGGATCTGAGTCGATTATTCATGTAGTCATTCATTGCACGAAAGATGGCTGCTAATGCGTGCGCTCTGGAAAGCACCTATACTACTTAGTTAGCTTTCTCATATCCCTTCACGTAAGATACAAGTTTATATGTTCTCACCAAGCTTGCATCGATCAACGCATATTCAAACTCTGCATTGCCGGCTAGCAGCTGCTGCCGCAGAAAGGCCGAGTTCTGGACATTGCGATACAGCGCAACATGGACTGGCAGCGAACCTGGCAGGTGGGGAATATTGACCGTCTCTAGCTTCAACGCCATTGTTAAAAATAAGAACAGGACCTCGATCAGAGCATGACGTATCTCGAAAGTGCTCGTCCCCTCGTCGGTGCTTCTTCACCCCGCCAGTCACGTGTTGTTCTGGAACATTCGGACTTAAGAGCTGCCGACTTCCGTCGTGAGTAAGCGCCCTGATATCACCGGTCCAGCCGCCCGCATATAAACGTTTCATCGCCATCTCTTTCCTTCCCTCGACATCATTGTCGTCATGGCTTTCTTCCTTCGGCGCCCGTTCGCCGTATCATCGGCCCTCACTCAAGCTCCAAAGCTTTCGAATACTGCCCGCTTCATCCACAACTCTCCATTCAAGCCTTCTCAGGCTGCTAAGCCGTTCGGTGCCCAGCCCTCGTTCTTCACCAAGTCTCACCAGACCTTCCACAATGCCTTCCGCCGCAGCTATATGCAGCAGACCTACAACACACAGGGTGGCAACTTCACCCAGAAGCTGCTATACGGCGGTGCCATCGTCGGTGGTACCATTTTGGCCACCAACTTCATCTTCAACCGTGAGACCCGTGAGGATGGCGGCATGCCCGCTTACGAGCGGAGCTTCCTGAACGAGACTTTCATGCACACTGGACTTGGTATTGGTATTATCGCTATTGCTGCCCGCGCTCTGCACACCAGCGGCTGGTCTTACCGTCTTATGGCCATGAACCCGTGGTTGGTTATGGGTGTTGGTCTCGTTGGCAGCATTGGCTCGATGTACGCCACCTTTGCTACTTCCCCGGATAAGTAAGTATTTCAATCAACCTCTTGCGCTTTTTACCCCAATCAAAACTGGCAATACTAACAGTTTTCAATAGCTACGTCTTGAAGTATGGCTGCTGGACTTTGTTCAACCTGACCCAGGCTGCGCTCCTCTCCCCCTTGATGTTCATGCACCCTGCTATTCTCGCTCGCGCTGGTCTCTACACTGTCGGTATGATGGGCTCCATTGCCTTCGTTGGTGCTACCGCCAAGCAAGAGAAGTACCTTTACCTCGGTGGTCCCCTCCTTGCTGGTGTTGCCATTGTCGCTCTCTCTGGTCTTGCCCCTATGGTTCTTCCCGCCACTGCTGCCCGCACCCTGATGTGGTCTGAGCGCATCTGGCTGTATGGTGGCCTGGCTGTCTTTGGTGGCTTCACCCTATACGATGTGCAGAAGATCCTGCACCACGCCCGCCTTGCTGAGCGTGGTTACATGAAGCGTGACGTTGTCAACGAGAGTGTCAGTCTCGAACTTGACTTCATCAACATCTTCATCCGCATGGTCCAGATCCTCGGCATGCGGAGCAACAACCGGAAGTAAAGTCTTCCCTACCTATGGAGGTGATCTCATTTGATCTCCTTCCCTCGATTCATCACAAATCCTGTATTCTTAACGACCTGTCCTACCTTGTTTCCCCTTATTCCAAATCCTCATGCTTCTGAACACGAGGTGGCAATTCGCATAGTTTTGTCTCTCACATACAATATCCGGGGATTAAATCTCCACTCCATAGTCCTTTGTTCGTAATTAGAGCAATATGCAATCTGCCATTTGCCATCTCTTTCGAATATGAATAATGTCATTCAAATCTCACCTGATTTTCAAATGATATGTCTCACTTGTTTCCAGGCATTCGCGCTCCTTCCATGAGCCTTCAAAACAAAAGGCTACTTCCACCTCAGAGCATCGGTCCACTCGGGTCGTCCAGCTCTAAGCGACCTTCAAATCCCGCATTGATGCTTCTAGGCGGCGGACCACAGAAGATCGCACAGCAGGCTCGTTGTTGTGTATGATAGCTACGGCCAATATTCCCTTGAATGGTTCGGTCGCAGAACTTCCTTAGTAGATATATTTTTCATGTAATTTAATTTCGACTACGCTAAGAACCATGATACTTCTGGAATAAGCTGATAGAAATGGTAGTCTGTTGGTTATGATGGTTTTGCAACAACCCTATCCCCGAGAAAATATACAGTCCTATTCCCAATTTTACAGCATGATATTTTAACAAAGAATGCTTGAAAAGATCCCAATGAATCAATCATGAAATACCTAAAGCCCGCCTTGATATAGTTCGTGTCGGCCCAGCAAAAGGCGGAGCCATGCTAACCGAAAGGGGCTCTCCACGGCCAAAGCTTTTCCCAATCCGCGCTCACCTGCACAGACGTCAGTCCGCACTCTCCTCCATTCCTCCCCACCAACGAGCCAATTCGCCTCAAGAATTCAGCGAACTCCTCCATCTATCCATACCCAGCCAAAATGTCCAACGAAATGGAAGTCGACCCGCCCATCGCCCAAGATGATGGCGCCGAGGAGTCTGGCCGCGGAGTTGAGCCTCGAACTCAGACTGGCGCTGTCGCGGTGCGCAGTATTGAAGGATGGATTGTGATGGTCTCCAATATCCATGAGGAAGCCTCAGAGGAGGATATCACCGATATCTTTGCGGAGTATGGCGAAATTAAGAACTTCAGTCTCAACCTGGACCGGCGGACGGGTTATGTCAAGGTGTGTCGTGGCTCTCGTGACCTCACAGGCATTTTCAGCAGCAGACTTTCAATCTATATTACTGGATTGAGCTGCTGGGCCAACTGTGGTATAGGAGCTTTTTGTTAACAACTTTAAACGCTAGGGATACGCCTTGATCGAGTACTCGACCCTTCCCGAAGCCTCCGAGGCAATCAAGAACCTGAACGGCAGCAAGCTCCTTGAACAGACTCTCAGTGTCGACTACGCTTTCGTCCGCCCTCCCCCGTCGAGCAAGGGCAAGGGGCCAGCCCAGAAGAATATTCGTGGCGCCGCTGCCCGGGGCCGCAGCCGCAGTCCTAATCGCAGTCGCAGCCCTGGAGGTGACCGAGACTAAAGCCGTCGACTCTTTCCTGCACAAACCACGTTCTTGACAAGGTGTCCGACCTGTGCCTTTTTCTATTGATACCTGAACTTGTTGATTTTGGCCATCTTGGTCCGCGGCGTACCCGATTTCTATCGCCGATTCTCCTCCTACCGCCGAATTTCTCTTAGCGAATTACCGAATACCACGGATGTTCTCTCTCTCGCCGGCTGTATCTTTCCCTTGATGCCGTTCATAAACCAAGGCTTCTAAGAATGCGAATTCCAGCACATTCGTGGGAAGATATGCGCCGGCGCCATAATACATTGTTCTCTTGGGTATGATGGCTCGTCTCATTAGCTTGTGTCTAGCATACGCTGACTGGATCTTTAGAACTTAAGAATGCTTATAACACTTTATCTCGACCCCAAGAAAGCTATGAAACCCTCTTCTTTGACATGGGGATTTGTCTGCTCTGTACGTAGAGATCTATAATTGCAATTTTGGAACAGCCCCTAGCGTCTGAATGCTGAAATGACTTTTTTCCCCCTACCTACTGGTTCTCGGCGATGGGCTTCATAGGACTTGACTGCGCAAGGAATACGCACTGGATTGTTTCAGGTCATGGCAAGCTAGTAGTGAGAGGGGCTCCTTTAGCTAGGTTGTTTCGAGTAAGAACTGCAATGCCGCGTGATATTATCAATGCGCGGTCTAGACCTTTCGAGATAGCCATGGCTACTGTAGTGCTCTATATTTCCAGTAAACGATTCAAGCAACTGTAACTCGGACATATCTATCGACTTCCCTAACGCAACCCCTCCCATGCTTCATACAAGTCCTTCCTGTCGACCGTATGTTTTCTTCGAGAATGCATATTATCACTGCCAAGACAGATGGAAGGCCAGTTTACGACAGCAAATTCAACTCTGGCGTGACGCCACAGTGTCATAGCTTTCTATAGTACTATAAATGCCGCAAGACGTTGGAACATATTGAATCGAGAAACTCCAGGTATGTATGCTATGGCTGTCTGTCTTATCTAACAACATGCCGGTTGCACCGCCCACAGACAAATCCCGAGCCTCGAATCAAAGATCATTGGGCGTATCAATAAGAGGGGAGATCATAATGGTACGGTACACAGCAATTAGAGGAGCGCGCTCTTCGCTGGAAATGAACAAGGGCCGAGGCAATTGGCATGCGGTATATTTAGTTCTTGCCTCCGGAGTGGTCCTTGGTCAACTTGTTGCTAGAGGAAAGTTAGCGTTGGAGTTCCTGGAGAGTACGAGTCGCGAGACAAAGAAGTAATGAGACGTACATGTGACCCTCAAGCTCGTCGAGGTGTGCGCGCTGGTCGTTGATCTTCTTGCGGAGCTGGGCAAGCCTGGTTCGAACTATGGTTAGTAATGGCCTCAAGGAAGGGAAGTAGACATGTAAACGTACTTCTCAAGCTCCTTCTCGCGGATGTAGAGAGCCTCCTGGGCAGCCTCGCGCTTGGTGAACGAGTCACTATTCGAACCGTGTCAGCAATTGATGATGTCATACAGCTACAACAAGGCAGACACGCTGTGCACAGCTGCCATGCAAGCCTCCAGGGCACAGACACGCTGATTGTAGCATGGTACACGATGCAGGGGAGGGGTAATGAAGAGGGATTACGAACCCAGCAGCAGCGCCTCCAGAGCGAGGGGCGCCAGTGTCTCCTTCGCCCATTCGGGGCGCAGCAATGGAGAAGGACCGGGTCAGCAGAGCCCGGTTGGCCGTGACGGCAGGTCGGATGATGGTGTTACGAAGCATTTTGAGTAGGTATGTGAAGAGATGACTGGAAGAGTGGGAGAAAAGCAAGTTTAAAGCTTACGAGGCAGAAGGACCAAAGGAAGCTGAGGGAAGCTGCCGGGGGTATGGCATGACGACAGGGTGCCAAGACCACATCATGTGATTTTGCGTCGGGTCCGGGGAATACCTCCAGGGCGATCAGCTCAAGGTCACGGGCCTGATTATCTAAGTGGCTTATCTAAGTGGCTTATGTCAGCTCGTGGAAATCTCGGCTGCGATAAGTCGATGCGTTCTCATTCGACCTGGACGGAGATCATGAGGGAGGGGCCACCTCTGATCATAGGGTGCAGAATACTGTAGAGTGATTAGTTCTTGGAGTTGGCTACGAAGATTGGCTTGTCTGTGCTCGCACAGCCTTTTTCGTCATCATGGGATATCAGCCTCGTACACTCCTACATATAAACAGTACTGTAAGTACTACTGTAGTATAGATATGTAGCCCTATTAGTTCTAGCGGTCTAGACTAACAAAGGAGGGGTTAACCAGCGAAAGAATATCCGTGGGAAATGTTATGGATGTGTTTCAAAGAAATGGGCCAGATGGGCAGTAGTCTGCCTTGGAACGAGTACAACAAGCGCTTTTCCAGCATGAGGCGCAAAGAAGGGGAAACGTTCCAGGGCGATTGGTGGGCGCGGGATGGGGGATGACGCTGGGCAGGCCCACCGAACCACACAGAAAGACCGAGTTGAACACACGAGAGGGAGGGGAAGGGGGATAAGACGAAGAGAGGGTATATACTCACAGAGTAGCCAAAAAAAGGACCACATGGGAAGGGAAATGATACTCATTTCAAGTCTAGTCCAATAGTAGTTCGGTAGTCATCCTTTTTGTCGTCCACTATTATGATTCTTGTAGATCACCTGCTGGCCCCCCGAGTTGCCAGTTTGTGAGTTGCCCGTCTGCTCCGTAAATCCCAACAACACCGCCTTCTCTCCCTCCTTTCCCCCTCCTTCTCCTCTCCTCCTTCAACTTCAACCTTTCCCCCCCCTTCTCTTTCCACTCTCCATCCACTTGATTCCCCCCTTTTCGGCTCTCTTTTCCCTCCTCTCCAATTTACAGGTGAGTTCGCTTCGTTTCATCCTTTCCCTTGGCCTTCCCTGTTCGCGCCCTCCTGTCATCACCCACACACACACACACATTCAACCTATATACGGTTCGACCGGGGATCATTGAACATGGGGGAAATTTGGAGGTCATTTCAGCCTCCTCTCCCTTCCCAAAAACTTATCACGTTGCTTCTCGTATCGCCCACCCATCGAGATCGCACATCTGCCATCGTGAAACTCCATCATCATCTCGCTGCCTTGTTTACTGGCGGGGCCGTTGCCGCGACCGCTTCGCTGTGATCGACCCCCCTCAAAACACGCTCGGCCGGGAGGGTCGACAACTCGGCGCCGTCAATCATCAACGATCGGCATTCGTCTCCACGTCTAGGCGATGTGGCTGTTGAAAGAAAAAAAAATTCCAATATTCGTGATGTCGGATGGAATGCTTGTCATTTCAAGGACTGGGCTACACTTTCGCTGCGCCCCTACCCCTCCCGGTCGCTGGCGATGATGTCGATGGCGTGATTCCCACTCGCATTCTCCATATTCCATGGCCATCCACATACGATTTGATGCGTGACATGAGACTAATCTGCAATTTTATTGATTTCTGTAGAACATTTTCACAATGGGTCACGAAGACGCTGTTTACCTCGCCAAGCTCGCTGAGCAGGCCGAGCGCTATGAAGGTTCGCTTTCCTCCCTCAGAACCACTCTCACTCCCGTCCCCCCCCAAAAACGGATTGAGATGCCTCGATCGCGAGTTTCGAATATTAACATGCGCCCACAGAGATGGTCGAGAACATGAAGGTCGTTGCCTCGGCCGACGTTGAGCTCACCGTTGAGGAGCGGAATCTCCTGTCCGTCGCCTACAAGAACGTCATTGGTGCCCGCCGTGCCTCTTGGCGCATTGTTACCTCTATCGAGCAGAAGGAGGAGTCCAAGGGCAACGAGGGCCAGGTTACTCTGATCAAGGAGTATCGCCAGAAGATCGAGGCCGAGCTTGCCAAGATCTGCGACGACATCCTCGAGGTTCTCGACAACCACCTCATCAAGTCTGCTCAGTCCGGCGAGTCCAAGGTCTTCTACCACAAGATGAAGGGTGACTACCACCGTTACCTTGCTGAGTTCGCCATTGGCGACCGCCGCAAGGGTGCTGCCGACAACTCCCTGGAGGCTTACAAGGCCGCCACCGAGATCGCCCAGACTGACCTCGCCCCCACCCACCCCATCCGCCTCGGCCTGGCCCTCAACTTCTCGGTCTTCTACTACGAAATCCTGAACTCCCCCGACCAGGCCTGCCACCTCGCCAAGCTGGCCTTTGACGACGCCATTGCTGGTTAGTTTCTTTTTGCGCTCTGCCTACTGGCTTGACCGTAAAGTTAAAGGTGTCCGTTGCTAACATCGCTTGCAGAGCTCGACACCCTCAGCGAGGAGAGCTACAAGGACTCCACCCTCATCATGCAGCTCCTCCGTGACAACCTGGTACGTTTTGGAGATTTACTGTGCTATAAGCTCGCGCATTCTAATTCCTTTTTTTTCAACAGACCCTCTGGACTTCCTCCGAGGCTGAGACCTCCGCTGAGGCCGCCCCGGCTGAGAAGAAGGAGGAGGCTCCGGCTGCTGAGGAGAAGCAGGCCGAGTAAAGAATGAAATTTAAAAAGATCTTGATGATGGACTCACGTCCTCGGGAGACGGATGGGATAATCGAGGGAGATTTGCACGACTGGTCTTCCCTAGAGCAAATGGGAGGTCTAGGCGAGGGGATCGCTGAAGGATACGAGTAAGACCTGCGAGATGCGTTATGTCGATGTGAGCAAGATTTCTTTCGGTTCCACTATCTGGGGGCCTCGCGGCCTAAGGGTAGCAAAGGAACCGCAGCTTTTTCTCTGTGATTTCGATGTTCCCATTCTTGGAGAGAACCTCTTTTTGCCTTGAGCCATCCCCTGCTGTCCTCATGCTTCGCCTACAGCTCTGGGATTGGACTGGTCCGGTCATATCTCCTCTCTTTGTTTTTCTCTTTCATTCTCCTTGTTATTTTGTCTACTTGCCTCTTAACTACCCTTTTAAAGAGTCCCCTTTGCGCGCACTCTCCAAATCCCCCCAACCCACAACACATACACACGGACAGAGAATCTTCTTTTTTTAAATCAGTTTTCTTATCAGGAACTTCAATGAGGGCCTCGTACTGATCCCCGATCTGGCTTTTTCTTCTTTTTGGGCCTTATCTTCCCCGATTCCTGATATTTCTTGTCTTTCCTCTTTATGACCTCTATATCTCTCCACCTCCGTATGTGTCCCGTGTGGCCTTTTATCCTCGCTAGATGTTGTTTTCTTATAAAGATCAACTGCCCTTAGTATATCTTTCTGCTGGTAAAAAGGTATGGTATTTGTTTCTCCCTGCGAAGCAGTCATTGGCGATAGCTCTAGCCCATTCATACGATACAGCTCGGATCTATCTTTTGTAGTTTCACTACTCGATTGAGATCCAGGCTTGGTATCTATATGGCTCTATAGTCCTTAGTCTGGCTATGGCCAAGTCCATGGATTGTAATTCAATGTACTACCTTCTTGCATCCATGCTCTCGAGGTCAATCCCTTTGACAGTTCCCAGAGCAATCGCCAAAAAAAATGGTCAGCTAGCGCACCTTTCCTTTTGAATGGTTTACGATTCTCGTTCACTTGCTAATCCCCCCATGACCTCTAGTATGAGACACATAGCAGATACAAGGTAGTGCTCACAGGTATGAGCCATTGCCCTTGGGAGATAGTCTTTCTATCCCAGTTATCATATGTCAAGTTCAATTATAGAGTGCAATGTGCACATGGTCAATGTTGATAATGGGAGACAACAAGAAGGTATCCAAAATGGCTAGTCGAAATCTGATTAATGTCAAAATGTGACTGGCTTTTTGGACTGTGTCTAGAGCTCTAAGTTCTGTGAAGCTGAAATTATGGATAGAGAATTATAGGTACAAATATTATCGTCAAGTTATCCGATTGGGCAATGCTTATCCCTAGTCCTTCCTTTACTAATAGAAGATGAAGGTCGAAGTCTTAGGTTTTTATGTGGCAGGCTGAAGCTTCCTCTCTTTTGCTGCGTAGACTTGAGATATCACCATACTTAGCTTACTTCGATCATCAACCCATAAATGGCTTTCAATGCTCTAAGGGAGACTTGTATGCCATAACACTCTTCATACAGCATTTTAATATGCTTTCTCACTGAAACAGCCATCTATTCTTGTTGACACGAAAATAGGACTACAATTTCTAGGGGGTGAATTGTGGGTTATTCTTCTTCCATCTTGTATAGTCTACTATAGGAAAGAATTGAAGGAGATAACCTTATATATTCCGGAAACCGTTGTTCCTACATTGTAAGTAGAAAGAGCGGAGCACCAATGACCTGGGAAATTCATTACCTGAAAGAGAGATATTGACCGAGCATTGAAATTGAAGCCTCTCATCTGCCTAACGGCCCATATCAATTCGGATTGTTTCCTTGTGTAATCCATACCTAGGCTGATTCACGTGGGTATGTGGACAAATTAAACTTGAGCTTCACTGCCCGTGGAATCTTTCTTGTACTCAGCTAGATCATTTATTCAAGCAAATACGTCATGTGTAATGCTGTTTGTGTGAGACTCGTCATTGTACGCTAGTATAGAAATACAGATACAATTTATATCTATTAAGCCCCATCCATAGTCATACTTCAGTCTATATTTTCAGAAACCTCCAAAAGTCCTATTGAAACCTTATGACACAGTCAATACCAACCACGCAAGTGGCAAAAGACAAACTACTGAACAAACACAAAGATAAGAAAGACGATTGCCGAGAGACGATCCAAGGTTCCACATGACGCTGCTGACACAGATAGCAATCAAGCCAACCCTATGATCCCCTACT